CCATAAACACAGACAATACTGAAACTGGGAATTTAGTAAAAGTTTCATAAATAATCATGATTACTATTAAGCCTCAAAGCTCTCCACTTGCCTGTACAGTCAAGAACACTTATCTAAACACGAAGAACTCACCAAAAAGCCTGTTGCATCTCACTGCATCAGGCCAACACAGTACCTATGTAGAACTGCAAACACCTTGTATAAAAAACCCCCCAAAACATTGCCTACAAAGACATGTTTCTCTACACCCCTTTTCAGTTAATTTATGAGCATGGAAGTATGCATGGACAAACCTGGACCCCATGATCATCTTCTAAGGTCCTTCTTCATGCGCCTCCTCCATGAAAGGTCCGGAGGTTGGCAACACAAGAACAGGCCTTTTCTGTGGTTGCTCCCTGTTTATATAATGCACTCCCTTCATTACATATCTTTAGGTGCCAGGTGAAAATGTTTCTGTATAAGCATGCTTTAGCCGATTAACATTCTATGGTCGTTTAACTGGGTTGTGGGAGGGGGATTATTGGTTTGTTTTTGTTTTATTATGTATTTTGTGTTCTCATTTTGTACTTTTATGTTGTGAACCACTCTGTGATCTTCAGATGAAGAGTGGTATACAAATATGATGATGGGGATGATACTGTTCTAATTTCATATTGATACTTATCAGATAAATTTACTATTACATTATTAAGGACTCAAGATGAGAAAAAAACCATGGAAGAGAGAGCATAATGCATTCAAACGAAAGGTACTTGAGGATGGCAAACAAAAATCAACCACTTCAAAGTTCATTTCACCCAGAATACAAACTTCTGACAACACTTTAAAATTCTCACTTACACTTGGTTCACCATTAGTTTTTCAAAGTCTTCAAGGGCAAGTGCATCCTGGCATAAATTCAAGGACTGGATGCACATCCAACCCCCACAAGTTGTTCTGCACCCCAAACCGGCCTACACGAAACTACACTGTGATCAACAGGCATAACTGCTATTCCAGTGCAGTTGTCAAGCTGCACACTTGAATCCTGCTTCAAAGGAAAGTTTTCCTCAATCTATAAAAAGCTCCAATTTTGATTAAGGCCAAAGCAGAGCACAGTAAGTACCAGGCAACTTACTAGTGCAGACAAACCCTAATATCAGACTGACTTTAAACCAATTTGTTCCCAAAGCACACAATCTTACTACAGAGCTTCTATTTCTAAGCTGATAGTCTCAGTTTAAGCAAGCACTTAAATAAAATGTAAAAAAGAAATCATTACAAGTAGAGTTCAAGTTTTAAATTTAAGTATAGGAAGGGAAACCTCAGGGGAGTCTGTATTTGGCCATCCTCACTGATATAGGGGAGTCAAATTAATGAGTTCATGGGTTAATTGATCTTCCTCACTGCTGCATTTGGTCTATTCTGCCTGCAACAAACTTCCAAGTTCTTAGAATTCTCATGTGAGCATGAGTTTGTTTCAAATGCTGACCCTGAAACAAACCAATATAAACTGAAGAATCTTTACCCAGTTTGCCAGACTTAACAAGATGTTCTCTGAAAGGCAACTTGTATTGTTTACATCAGTGGTTCCCAAATGGTGGTCTACATACCTCAGGAGGTCCGCGTAACACACCCAGGAGGTCCATGGCACCATTCACATAAAAAAAAAACAACCTACCACAGAGATATCAAAATTTTCAAAAGTAAGGCGCTCATGGCTTTGGGTTTTGAAAGTCCACAGTACTTTGCTAATTGGAGATCACTGGTTTACATTTCTGAAGTTTAGTGCATCTAATATTTATTTAAAATATTTTAATATCACTGTTCATACAAACTTTTTCAACATATACTGGAGCTAGCAACTTCACTGGTGAGCAGTGCAAATTATATGACTGCCCCCTATGCCTCTGGAAAATATCAGCATTGATTTTTCAACCCAGATTTTTTTCCCAAGCAGAACGAGCACCTTTCATGTATTTACTGTTCAACTCGCAATGCAACAACTTCTTTCTTAGACTCAATTCATATGAACTATTATTGGTGTCTTTACTGTGAAAGGATTGTGGAGTACAAGAAATGACAAACCAAAATTGCCAGCCTACCCACTTACCACTCATGTCTGTTAACTGGGTGTGGAATACTGCTACTGACCTATCAAGAAGGAATTACTACTTGCCTAACTACAAAGATGGTGCGAGTAGCTCACTCAAAGAACACCTGCAATCCTTTCAATTCATGCACCCGTATGCACAAACACGGGGTAGCCAGAAAGCTGACAATGTAGACAGCTACATACAATATGACCCTCATCTGGTTCACAAAGGGGGCAATGCTATGGTCCTAGCTCCTTCAAAGCCCTGGCCTAACTGATGTCAGCATCAGTATTGTCAAAAAGCAGCATGCTAGAAAATGATTTGGACCTGAATGATCCAAATTCCTTCCAGTCCCATGACACGCCCGCAAACTGGAGGGAAATTCAGTCCACTTCTGAGTGCATTTAGATCTCTATCTCCTCTTCATTTCATTGTTTCCAATGCTGCAGCTACAATGGCGCAACTGACTTGTGTGTGCACAATGGAGTTTCCTCTTCTTCTCCTGTCACCTCCAGACCCTACCCCACCCCCACATCCTCTAAATCAGCTGTGGAGGATTGGGGCATCCTCCAGAGCAGAGTTTGGGAGTATGGACAGTAGAGAGGAAATAGAAATCCCATTGCACCTATGGAACTACATGCACAAAGAATTGGATAAACCCATTGGAACTCAAGAGTGTCCCTCCACCCTCACTTCCACAGTGCCAGCTTGAGTCTGTCAGTTTGTAGTAGAATAACGTGGTAGAACCACCATCATTCTTCCCCTCTCCTCCCATCCACACAAATGCACCCCTTAGGATTGAAGCCTTAATCACTTACCATTCCATAAAACATATCTGAAGCAATACCAATTTACATTTCTACCTCACTTTAAACATGACCTAACATGTGTCAGGCAGACAGACTTTAAGAGTCACTTCACAACAGACAGGGCAAACCACTAGTGTGACAGGCAGTATTGCTCCTACAAACATGCAATGTACACTGGTGAACTGTAATAGTCACAGTTCTCTAGTGCATGACCACAGTTTGTTTGATATTACACATTTGCCCTACACACATTACCACAGCCAAACATACTGTAACTGGGATTTTTTATTAAATGTGGAGAGGGAACAAGAAGAAAATCTCTGGATAGTTATTCCAGGGAAAATATCGTATCAGAAAGATTTTTTACTTCGGCTTACATACACAAACATATAATAAACAATGTATGCTGCAGTATCATTACCAAGCTGAGGTATACAGTTAGTAGAAATATGAAGGCTTTGCACAAATTTAACAGGGTTGGTGCTAAACTTAGTGCCTTTGCAGCTCCACAGAATTCTCATTTTCCAAATATTTTATCACCACACTGTACAATGGACTCAGCCCTAGTCAATATAAAACCATTCCCTACTGACTTCTTTTTAATTTAAAAAGGGGTTGCTATCATTTGACAGGTTGCAGATGTGAACCAAAACTCAACAGCCTGAGTAGTGAAGCTACCAAAGCATATACCAAAATCTTAAGTTGAGACTATCATCTAATGTTAGCAGATATAGGCCTGATTCACATGATATTGGCCTGATTTGCACAACCCAGTACACTAAACTATGGTTTACCAGGCCCACACACTCCCAGAGAGTAACTCACAGCCACTGTGCTCCTCTCCCCAGTCCTCCTTACTGTCACACCACATAGAGTTAAGTCAAAGTTTCATTTAGTGTGTTATCCAAACTCTGGCCCATGGTTGAGTTGTAGCCAAGAATAAACTTTGGCTACAGCTCATGGCTAGTAAGGAGAGAACTTAACCACAAGCCCAGTATCATGAGCCTGGTTCCAGGCCATTAAGAGTAACCAATGTTTCCCAGATCACCTTTACAGCACACACAAAAATTAGACTATTTAATATATAGCCATGATCAATTGTAATCTTCCATGGATCACGCACAGGAATACAGCCATTCTTTTGGGACTATCAATTTGGCAGTCGGGGAGTGACTGCCTGTCTACCCTAACCCTGAAAGCAAGCTGACACCTTTCTATTACCTGAAGCTCACACCAAGCAACCTCCACTGTGGTCTCCGTGTCCAGCCCCTTGTAGACAGTCTTGAAGGAGCCTCTACCAATCTCGATGTCAAACTTAAGAAAACGGCCATCTGGGGAGAAGGCCACAGCTTTGGTCTCCAGCTCCTCAATATCTTCCTGCTGTTTAGTCCGCTCTTCTTGCAGATCCCGGGCAGAAACGGCAGTGGTTCCCGCTGTACTGGTAGGGGGCAGTGGGGTGACCTCTATTCCATCCTCCTTGGACAGCAGCAGTGGGGCAACGTCCTTTGTTACCAGCGCCTCTTGACCAGGCTGCCCCTCTGCGGGTGGAGGCAGAGGGGGTGCCTGCTGCAGGAGCAGCGTGGGAGCCTGGCTAGCAGTGACAGAAGCACATGCTGCCTGGATGACAGACTCCGGCGGCGAGCCCAGCACGGGCGGGATGCTCCCTCGGGCGGCTGCAGGAGGGGGAGGCGCTGCGGGCTGCAGCCGCGGAAGCTCCAGAGCGGTCGCATTCGAGTCGCAAATGACACTCCGGCGGAAAAAGCGGTGCTCGGTGGCGGCCGCGCCACGGCTGTCCTTGTCCATGGTGTGGCGGCGTCGGCGATACTCCTCGATGCGGGCCCCGCTGCCTTCCGAGCCTTCGGGGTCCCCGGTGCCGGCGGTAGCGGTGGCTGCGGCGGCGACCCCCAGCTTCTCACCAACGGAGCTGTCCGAGCTGGAGCCGTTCTTGGGCGGGGGCGGCGGAGGAGCCAGGAAGCGGGGAGTCTCCGAAGCGCCCCCCGACATGGTGCCGGAGGAGGAGGGAAACGCGGCGAAGGCGCGGGAGCCGCGGCGGCAGGAGCAGCACCAGCAGCTGCCGCTGCTGCAGCAGCAACAGCAGCTGACTCCAGGAGGGTCAATGCAAGGCGGGGAGCGCGCCGAGGAGCTGCTCTCGCGGCGAAAGCGGCGGCGGCGGCAGTGGAGGCTCCCGGAGGCTCCTCACCGCGAGGAGGAAAGGCAGCAGCGGCGACGGCTGTTGCTGCTGCTGCTGTGGAAGCAGAGCGGGCTGGGCCGGCGGCGGCAGGCGGTCAGTGTCCGCATCCATCCTGCTGCAGCGGGGGGCCGAGCAACGGGGCCGACATGGAGCAGCAAACAGCGGCGAAGATGAGGAGGGATCCGATGAGGAGCGGGGGGGGGGGTCGCAGGAGAAAGGCGGAGAAGGAGCCGGGCGGGAGCCCACGGCAGGCCCCGAGCCGAAGGGGTGGGGTGCGGGGCTGGCCGAGGCCCTTCCCTGTCGGGGCCGCGCGCGCTCTGCCTCGCCCCGCCGCCCGCTCCTTGCTTCGAGTCCGGTCCAGTCAGAGAGCCAGCCGCCGCCGCCGGAGAGTCGCCTTCCGTCCCCTCACACGATGCCGGGACTCCCGCCGCCGTCGCCGCCCCTCCTTCCCTCGTTCGCTCCTCTCACCCGGAGGAGGAGGAGGCCACCGCGCGCCTCACGCTGCGAGAGTGGCTGGCCTGAGAGGCGGGGTGTGGGAAGGAGGCAGAAATTCGTAATATTATAATCTAAGAAGGGAAGACGAGCTCGTCCCGCCCGCCTCAGCTCCTTCCCGTCCTTCTTTCGCTCGCGGCTCCTGAGGGGAGTGAGGGATGGGCCTCCCCGCTGCCACCTCTCCCAGCCCCGGGGAACTCGCCGCGCTAAATGGCGACTGTACCCGAAACCGACACACACGCACACTCTCACTCACAGGGAGCCACAGAGACAGCAAGCCTCGGAGGCCACGCCCCCCTTTTTCCGTCCGCACTCCACCGCGCCTGCGTCAACGCCGCTTCTCCTTCACGGCTGCCTGGGGGATGTAGTTCGCGGGTGCCTCAGAAGCGGCCCGCCGCGGCGCGGCCTACAGGTCCCGTGATGCACCGCAGGCAGAGAGGGTTGAGGAGGAATTGGAGGGAACTGTGGGAGTTGTAGTTTTCCTTTCACAGAGTACTTGGAAGCTTTCTCCCTTCGCGCGCGCGCCCCTTTCGCTGCCTCAGAGGAGAGTGCGTAGTAAAGGGAGGTGGGGAGAGAGAGGAAAGGAGCCATTATCAGTGGGTTGATTCTGAAGCGAAGGAGTTTCCCATCATGCTTAACTCACCTACTTTGGACTTCCAGCAGAAGCTGTGAACTTTAAATGAGAACAAGTACCTTCCTTAATTTTATACAGCCCAGCTTCTCAGGAGAATTGTTTCGTACTTCTTATTTTGCCACCGGCGCTGGTTTTAGAGAGCTATGTGAGAAAGCCTAAAAGTAAGCTAAATCTGTCCGTGGTTTTTTAGTTTAGGAAGCAATTCTATTCACATTTACCTGTAATTACGGTAAGCTCCATGTAACACAATAAACAGTTAGACTCACCCACTTTCTGATTTAAATTAAGTGAGAGGTTTATTGTTAGGGATTGAACTTGATGGAACTCAAACTATGGTCAGGATGAAACCAGTTCACTTCTGATTATTCACATGGTTTAGTATTACATCTTAAGTAGGCCAATGGTTTGCTTCGGTTGGTTGTTGGTTTAGTTAACAACATAGGAGGAGTTTGCTGTTGCAGCCCATTGACCCCTTCAGTCCAATGCCCGGTTGAAACAATTTCCAATTCCAACCATTATTGTTATTATTGTTATTATTATTATTATTATTAAATTAAATTTCTATGAGCCTATGGGAAACATGAAAGCAGAACCTGAGGGCAACAGCTCACACTCTATTTGTGATTCCCAGCAACTGGCATTCGGGGATATTCCTTCCAACAGAGACACCCTGGCTAAAAGCCTTATTATCTTCCATGAATTTGTCTACTACTCCAACTCATAGGTTACGTAGTGAGTGAAGAAACAGCCCTTGCAGAACATGTAAACCCCGCCCCAAGGCAGCTGCTTATATCCTGCACTTCACAAAAGAGAAATTTCCTAAGTCAGGATGAATCCATGTATGTGTATGTCTTTAATGGTGTGCGTGGCTGGAAAACATGACTAGTAACAGCTTCTTGCTGCATTTCTACACAGTGAAACGGGCAATTGAGCCATCAGCACATGTGGCAAACTACAAATGAAACTGATGTGATATCCTAGTGTAATCAGGAACAATCCTCCTAATTAATATTTGAGTTTCAGAATTGGCATTCCACAGGAGATATCCCACTGGTGTTCCTCCCATAATACCTTCTGAATAAAATTATAATATTTTTATGAGGGGGCTGCTTGGTTGATTTGAGCAGGGGTCGGCAACTCAGCAACTATGGGCCTTCATTGCCTTCATTGTTGCGGCAGGCAGGGCCCCCAGAATCTGAGCTTTAGTAATAATAATAATAATTTTAAAAGTTAGGGAACTGTAGTTTATTAAAGGTAGTGAGAATTAGGAGACCCCTATACTGTACTCAGAGCTACCGTTACCAGAATTTCCTGGAAAGAGAATTTCTCAGAGCTACCATTCCCAGAATTTCCTGGAAATTTCCTGGCTGTTATACCATTCTGATAATTCTATCTCTTGGAGGAGAACAGAGGTTTCTGAACCAATGACAGTCCCCCTGATTCTTTGGGGAAATCCATTATTGTTTCTGCTTTAAATATATAGTCCAGATAGGTAGGACCTTATTCTATAGCCCTCCTAGAAAGTAAGTTATGAAACAAAATGTACTTATAGCCTTCTAAACAATTTCAGTGAAATTAGCCAGCCTAGCTGCTCATGCCTGGTTTACTGTATTAGTGAAGTTAGATTGATAAGTGAACTATTTCAACACCAGGCCACAGAAAACCCTAAACCTAGGGTCTCCCCACCCACATCCACTTTTGTAAACTTTTTCTGCTTACTCTTATTTTCTTGTGGTCCTTGGAATCTCTGTACTTTGCTCCTTTTTCCCAGCAACAACAATGCATTATTCCTATGGTGGATTCATCTGAGTTCAGGAACTTCCTAGCAGTTATTTTCTGCAAATATTACTACACAATAAGTGCAGGTGAATGTTAAAGAATCTTCACTCCAAATGGCAAATACAAAATATGGAAACTTTTCAAAGAAGCTTAATGTCTCCTGTGATGCAAAAGGTGATGACTAAGGATTCATTAATAATTAACTTCACTGTAGAGTTAATGTACAGTAAGGGTATTCATGACTACTTCAGAAGTAAGTTTTTGTGTTTAATAGGGCTTACTCCGAGGTAAGTGGGTACAGGATAACAGAACAGACTTCAGTTTAAGACTGCCATTGAAGAAAACAGAGGTATTGTTTAACAGCTGTATCTTCAAAATCAGGACTAGCAAGACTTGGCTAACTTCCTGTGGTAAACGTTACAGTTTTCTGGGTGAAGGGAGAGCAGCAATGACTGATCTCTCTTGTTCTGTTTTATGCTATGCCCCCCCCCCCACAGTAGCCATTTGTGATGTGCCAGTCCCCACCCCCACGCCACTCATAGCACGCTCTCAAAATCTGAAGTGTGTCCACTTTTCCACAAGGACTGATGACCTCTGAATTAGATGCTGCTTATTATATATTTGGCCCAATTCTGGTTTTGGTTTTGTTTTTGCTTTTTAGGGATGGGGGAGAGATTCCATTCCATGCATATTTAAAGGTATACCTACCCAATTCACACTTTTGAAAACAACATATATCACTTTGTGTAATGTTTTAACTATACCAAGTTTTTTCTTCTTTTTTTCAGAAATATTTTTTGTCTTCACAAGAGCAGCCCGATGAACTCAAGGAAGCCCTTAGACTTTTGTGAGTAAATAAGCCTTTTGTTTTGTGAACTGACTCAAAACCAGCTTTTAATTATGTGTAACATTTTAACATTATATTAAATAGCTTTGCAGTGTTGATTAAATACTTCATAACACTAGCATGTTTCAAAAATCAGCAAACTTTTTGCTGCATCCAAAATATTGAGTTCTGAACTCAATCTGTGTGATTCAGCCAAATACAAATGACTTAAGGAGCACTGCAAAACAAAAAACAAAAACACTTGGCTGTGAATGCAAGGAAGCACAATTGATTTTTCTTTATACGTCTATTGACTGGAACTTTCTTTCGATGACTGGTGCACCGACTAGAAGAATAGACAATTAATAAGAAAGCAAGTGCTTAAAAGTCACCTAGACTTACCAGCTCTGTGTAATATGAGGCAAACATATGAAGACCCTGCTGGATTAAGCCAATGGCCCATCTATTCCAGCATCCTGTTCTCATACTGACCACCCAGATGCCTGTGGAAGACCTGCAAGCAGGAACCAAACACAAGAGCTCTCACCTGTGGTTTCCAGCAACTGGTATTCAGGATACGGCTTCCCCCTGTGGAAGCAGAGTATAACCATCATGGCTACTAGCCATTGATCGTCTCCTTAGGATGGGGTGGGAGAGCCTCAGGCCCAGGGGACAAATGTGGCCTTCCAGGATTCTTCCTAAGCCAAACCCATTCCTAGTCCTACTGCATGCTTTTGCTCAGCTGGAAAGTGTCTTTAAACTGTGACAATGCCTCTTGAGGATGCTGAGGTGTCTATGTGTGCACAATTTTGTATGACTGGAATGTGGTCTTGCTTCACCAATGTTTTTTGGCCTTTGGCTCCACTCAGAACTGGCATGTGTCCTCCAGCAGGCTCCATATGTTGGATGTAGGAAGGTTCCATCCATGGGCTGGAAAAGGTTCCCTACCCCTTCATTAGAGACACTCATAAGGGCAAAGAATTCCATTAGTTTATAAATTGAAGATGGTCAGTTTTTATATTGGTTTTTTCGTGTTTTAAACTTAAATTGCATTGGTTTAGAAGGAGATTAATAAATGAATGGTAATAAAACAGGATTCACTAGTATAGCAACTTTTTTCAGAATATAATATTTTGTTGCACGTGTGTCACCTCTACTGCATTATTCCTGTTGAAGGAACCTCCACAGCTCATCGTTTTTTGTGCTTTTAACTGTTTTTTCTTATGTGTAAATTACATTGAGACAATGGTTTTCGAGAAGAAATTATAATAATGATAATTTAAAAACAGGATTTATCTGTCAGCTTTTTCAGGATATAATATTTTGTTGCATGTGTGTCACCTCTGCTACATAGTCAAGGACCAGCCTTTGTATTCAAGCCTGTACCTTTTCAAGAGGTGAGAACATTCCTAAGCCCATTGAAAGCAGTGGTTTTAGGAGCACCTAACTCTGCTTGGGATTGTGGCAGTGCCAGTGGCAGTGGCAGTGCCAGGCAATCCTAGAGATATACAGTTGAAAGTTAGCCTCATTGAGTTTAATCAGGCTTACTCTGTAGCAAGGGTGTTTAGGATTCTAGTTTTAACAGGTTAGCTCTGTGTACACATTTTGTAAAACAAATACTAAAAACCTTCAGGCTATCACAATGCTGATCTGTAACCCTTAAATCCATAGACAAATTATTTTGGCATTGTCACACCTTGGGGTTCTTCCTTCTCCAAGCTTACTATTGATTTGTAAGCATTTTCTGTAGCGTGATCAGAAATGAAATATAGTTGCTGTAACTGGTTAATGGTTCAGTCACGCCTCTTCTGAACCCAAACTCATATCTGCCAACACATTAAAATCTGAAATACATATTTTCTGTTTCTACATGCTCACCACCTCCCAACTCATGTAGAAATTATTTCCATGTTGTTTTTAGAGATATGAGCAACATGCATGAGCAAGCTTATGACCTGAAAATGTGTGGCCTGATTCTTTGCATACTTGCTCAGAACTCAGAAGGAAGTTCCATTAATCCAAAATAATTGCTTCCCTAATGTTGGCCAATAGTGCTAATCACCAGGAATTTTATTTCTTATTACATTTATATCCTGCCAAAGAACTCGAGGTGGTATACATCGTTCTCCCTCCCCATTTTTATCCTCTCAACAACCCTGTGAGGTAGGTTAGGCTGAGAGACTGTGAACGGCCCAAGGTCACCCAGGATTTGAACCCTAGTCTTCCAGGTCTTAGTCTAACACTCTAGCCACTACACCTCATTGGCTTTGTGCATGTGCTAACTGGATGGTAATTGCAGAAGAATGTATGAATGGAAGTGGAAATGTCTTTCTCCCTGCCCCCATTTCCATAAAGGAGGAAGTAACTTTTCCACTGCTTTCCCTTGCAGCTTTCTAAACTCTGATGGGCTATAAGAATAATTTGGAACAGCTCTAATGGCCCTAGCCTGCAGTAACAGTTTAGATCTTGTGATACCTGACAAGTCTACAAATAGATCATTAAATCTTTGTATTGCTGGCAGGAGAACAGGGAGGAATAAAATACTAGCAGCAATACCTCTTTCTAGGAAGCATTGAGGCTGAAAGTTACACATAAAACAGAATTTAATTTGAACGAACCACATAGAAGGAGGCTTGTAGTCTGTGGTTTTGGGGCACAGCATTTTTTAGTTTTTAGCAAAAAGGTTCTAGTTACTAAGGGTTGTGTAGCCATTGGAAGGTAGGACTTTAGCTAGAATAAAGATGCAAGATCAATATGTAAAATATATGAGTTTTATATACCACTAAGCTTTTGACCATAAATCATGTAATTTAGGAAACGATGCTGTGTGGAAGGACAATTTAAATAAGTAAGGGCATTATAGTTCATAGGGATTTTGTCTCTCCAGGGAAACATAGAAGAACAGTACAGTCGTACCTCAGTTCTCGAACGCCCCAGAACTCATATGTTTCGGCTCCCAAATGATCGAAAACCGGAAGTGAGTGTTCCAGTTTTCAAACATTCTTTTGGAAGCAGGACATCCGGTGTGACTTCCTGCAGCCAATCATAAGCTGCACGTTGGAAGTTGAACATTTCAGAAGTTGAACGGACTTCCAGAACAGATTCTGTTCGACTTCCAAGGTACTACTGTAGTTATGTGGCAGTGGGCATGGAGTAAGGACTTACAAGAAATAATTCCCAGCACCCTTGAGAAATTGCACATTTATTTAAAGTATATGCAGCTGCTGATGGTGGCCAAATCACTTTAAAAACAAAACTTTACCAGAGATAAATTAAAACTATTTGTTTCATTACATCTTACGTTGTATTTTAAAATGGCAACAGCAGCAGCTTTACTGGCATTCTTCCTTGTTTCCTTTGTACAGCAGTTAATAATTGCAATTTGGATAGTTTACAGAATCCTCATGCCCATTCATGCCTGTGGTGTATTTGTCTGTAGAGTGAATATTTCTTGTGGAATCATGGGTGTGGGCTGTAAACAGCTTTTTGCGCTAGATTTTCATTTGCCTCAGGTATCTGAGTGGGATGCTTGTTCTGTCAAATTTGTTGAGACCTCTTTTCCCATTTAAGTTGAAGAGAGCTTTTTACTTTCCAGCTGCACTATACTCAAGATTAGGGAAAGAATAGATGAAGGAATGGGGAATATAACTGTTTAATGCTGCACTTTTAAAGGGACCAATATGAACCCAATATCTATTGGGAATAAATGGATCAGCTGGGGCTGCCTTGACTGAATTACTTCAACCTGGCTCAGCCAGAAATAACAGTGGTATAATGCCTCCATTCCAGCTCAGTCAAAGCACTCTCAGCTGAGACTAGTGTAAAGCCTGAAAAAAGGATGCTTTGGGCAGGGGAGACTTACTCCTATTCCAAACTCTTTTCAGCTTAGTAATATGCCAAACCCATTGGAAGTTACACTAGCAAAAAGGGTAAGTCAAATGATTTGTTAGAGGTTTGTTTTCCCTCTGCCGGGCTCACATACCCTTCAATATTTCTCAGATGAAAATAGGGACATCCCATTCCATCACAATAATTTTACTATTTATATCCCACATATCTTACTGGGTTGCCCCAGCCACACTGGGCAGCTTCCAACATATATAAAAAATAATAAAACATTTTTTTAAAACTTCCCTATGCAGGATTGCCTTCAGATGGCTCGGAAATTGGGTAACTCCCTACCATCCAACATTTCTCAAATGAAAATAGGGACATCCTAAGAAAAAGTGCGACATTCTGGGATTAAATCAGAAAGCAGGATGGCTTCTCTAAAGTACCTCTAAAAACATTGCAACTTTAAAGCTCTCCAGCTATCCTAGGAAGCTCTGAGCACCTCGTCTCATAACTTAAATAAATACTGCCCACAAATAAGATATTATTATGGGAAAGGGAAAATAGCAAAATCAGGCGATAAATTGATTAAAGATGCTGTAATAAATTCAATTCCTTCACTCTTTTTTTTGCTCTAACAACATGTTTTAATAATTTGCAAGTTTTATTGCTCAGAAATCAATGAATACATGATTTATTTGTTTTCCCTTTCAGATCAAGTCAATCTGTTTCCCCTTTTAGGATTACTCCCCACCCCCGCTGCCTAAAGAAACAGGTGAAACAACAGCACTTTTGAAAAATAGGAAAATGTGACTGTAAAAACTGGCAGGAATCACTGCAGGTGTTAACTACCTTATAACATATCAATGTTTTTCTAACCATTCAGTAGCTATTAATGCTAACAAAATTCTAATCTGACTCAAAGTGTCCATAAATTTAGGGTAGCCAGAGGCAAAAGGGAGTATGGCTCCTGCACCTTATTCCATTTATTCCAGTTATTTATTTGTTACTTTTCAAGGCCAGGCTCTCCCAAAACAATGCATAGAGAGAAATAAAAACAGTAGACTATCAGGCAGAATAAGGAGCATTGAGTGAATACTGACAAATAACACAGTGAGAGAAACTGAACTAGATCACCTAAACTCACAAGACAATAATAAATTAATAAGGGTTTATAGAATGTCAGAATGGAAGGAGCCAATCAAATGTAATCTGGAAGAGAGTTAGCTGCCACCATCAAGATCTTGTCTTCTGACCTTGGCATGACCTCAAACAGATCTTAGATCACAAATAGGGTCATTTATATGCAGGCAGTCCTTTGGGACCCAAATGGCTTGGGGTCTTAAAGGTGAATACCAACACATTGAATTGGGCTCAGAAACACCATTGGCATTAGTGCAGTTGGCCCAGAAATGGTGTTACATCTTCAGACCTTCTGGACTCATTATATATAACAATATTTATATCTCGCCTTTCAGGATGTAAAACCTACCAACATGGTTACAAGTAACATTCAGTTACCATTATTATTATTATTATTATTATTATTAAAAATTAGCATGTCTGTAACACATCAAGATCATTCCCACAGGGCAGCTGGTAGAAGATTCTGGTGAGGAGAGGTGAAAGTCCAGCCTGGAGATTTCCTTCCCTCTCTTCTGAATTCCCCCCCCCCCCACAGATCAGTTGATGCTAAATTGCCTGGGGGTGGGTTGGAATAGTCATCCTGAGCACAGGCCCATAGTTAAGATTAACTCAATTTAGAGTTAGGATGTAATGTTAAAACTGACTTTAGTTAATCAAAAATAGGCACAAAACTTTCTAATCTCCTCCTCACATACCCACTAGAGGTAAGAGACCATATGAGTCCAAGACTTTCCTAGGCTTGTTTTCACCACACTAACCTATGGTTTAAAGTGATGTCCAAGCATGGCCAGTGAGAGTCACTAATTACTTTACCAGGACACCTGTTATTTGCAATAGTAGATCTGAGGATGCTGACGATTGCTCCTGCCTAGAACCACACTCACAGAGTTCTCTGGAAGAGACATGGCTGATAAAAATTCAATACTTGTAGCATAGACCTCTCTGTTATATATACTGTTAACTCTTGCATCTATACAAACTGCTAGTGCAGATTTTAAAATAAATTTAATCTAAAATGTCACTTGCCAGAACATGCATCCTATCCAGCTTTTAACTTATGGGAAAGAAGCAACAGAGTAAATAACTAGTTTATAAATGCAAGCATTAGCTGATGTGGTCAGGATGTGAGAGAAAAAAATAGGGAAAATGTCACTTTTGAAGCAAGGGTCTAGATCTAGTCCCTCTTGAGGGCTTTTATTACTGTAAAAGCCCAGTTTACCATGCACATGCATGATAAAATCTTTGGATCCCTTGACCACATTGAGATGTCCAATGGAAGGAGGCTGAATTTGAAGTGATATGAAAGTTCTGTCTGGGGTGTGTTTGATTTGTCATAGGTCCTGCACAAAGGCAAGTCATCACTTGATGCTGCAGACATCCGAATAATAAACATGCCTGTATGTGTGAATCAGCCCAAAATGTTACATAGAATGCCTAATCTTCTTATAGTTGCAGTATTGTATTAATGTTTTGATCCTAGCTGCTTCTTTTGTAAACTGCTTTGTGAGGGCTTGGCCCTAAACAGTGAGATAATAGTCTTAACAAAGTAACATAAAAATAAATCTGGTGATGTTTTCCTGTCACTATGCTGCAGAAAAAGGGAGAACCACAGCTGTTGAATTTTCTTTTCTCTACAGTCTTAAAGGCACAGAACTTCTCTAGAGCTTATTTAACGTGTGTGCCTGTCTAAGCGTACCGTAATTAGCACCCCGATGAGTGCCAGAATATTTGTATGTGTTTTGCATACCAGACAAATCTATACAAAACAAAATGGGAACACACGTCTATCCGAGAGTCTGGTATGATTTGCACTCCTGTCGAAATCCTGGCTAACCTCTGGAACATCCAAACAGTTCTGGCTATTGACACATTCTACCCTGAGCACCCTGTCCTGCTTAGTGAAGCCCGTTTGGCTCCCTGATATAGTCCAGAGCTTATGGTGAGGAAACAAGCTGGGAGACGAATTGAACATGAGTGGAGGAAAACTCCAGTTGAATGCGATCAAATGCTGGTGAGGGCTCATCATTGAGCCTAGTGGCAGTGAAGGCAGCAGAGAAGCTTCCCTGCTTGCAGAGCACGCTCCCCAAGGAGGTTTGCCTGGTACCTTTGTTACATACATTTAGGTGCCAGGCATAAACATTCCCCTTTTCCCAGGCCTTTGGCTAATTAAACAATCTTTGGCCTTTTAATCCAGGGGGTTATTATTGTTATGTTTGTTACTATGCTGTGTATTTGTTTGTTTTTATATTGTAAACCACTCTTGTGATTCTTAGATGAAGGGCGGTCTAGAAATTTTGTCAATAATAATAATAATAATAATACTTTACAGTCTAACAAGTACCTACAACCTTACACTTCGTACAAACACATGGACAACCTTTTTTCTACTTATTTATTTTTGATGAGTCCTCTTGAGTGGTTCACAAAACTTTGTAAAAGTATACTAAAACATATTAAATGTTTATTTCAAAATAAGTTGCACTTAGGCTGTGCAGACACCATGTATTTAAAGCACATTCCATCCCTCCCCCCAAAAGAATCCTGTGAACTGTAGCTTATTCTTCACAGACCTACCGTTTCCAGCACCCTTAGCAAACTACAGTTCTTATTGTTCTTTAGAGTGCTTTTTAAAGGTTCGTACAGCCTCAGTTCAGTGGGGCTTTCCAATGGAGTCTTCCAAGGTATGCATGTAACAGAGCTCCAGGCCTCTAGGGACACGTATCCAAGTTCAGCTGTTCCTGGATTTTCTGGTTCTGTTACTGAGTATGAACAGACATTGGTAAATTTGTTAGTAACCAGGTTCTTATCTTCTGCTGCTATTATAATCAGGGAAGTACATCTCCTAATGAAGGCTTTGTGTGAAAAATAGGACAGAACTCTTGCACCTATAATAATTAAGTAGAAATGGAAATGTAATTGTGTGTATCTTACTCACGTAAGCCACTGCTTCTAAAATTCCTTTTGTTCAGTACAACTATTAAAGGTGCAGGAACTCGGTCTGATTTTTATCTGGTCACTTTAACTTACATTGACAAATTTAACAGGACATCCCTCCAACAAAAATAAAACAGGGACAGTAATTTTCCAGGGACAGGTTACATAAAACAGGAACTGCCACTGGTTAATAGGGGTCACTGGAACAAACAGGGATGGTTGGCTCAAACTACATGAGATGGCAGAACATCTATTAGTGTGAACTGAAATATTCCTTAGCCACAGAGTGGAGAGTAGAAGACCTGTGTGTTGGTTAGTTGGTTGGTTTTTAACAGGTGTGTAAAGAATTTCAGCAGATGTAGTTTTCATAACAACAGCTTTACCTGCTTAAATCCCTGCTTCTACAGAACTATTAAAGGTGCAGGACCCCACCCTCTTTTGCACCTGGCTATCCCACCACACCTGTTTGCCTGATGTCAACCCCCCCCCCCCAATATATATGCTGGGCTGCTATGTAGGAAGCTTGCCTAGCTGGAAGGAAAACGCTGGGGGTGGAATCAACAACAAGGACATGAAGGAGTGTCCATAGGCCCCTCCCAGCATACATATTTTGCTGTAAAATCAGACTCCACAATGTCTTCCTCGTATGTGATTGTGGTAGACCCACAATTAAACAGACAGGCCATTGTCCTGTATAATTTGAGCTGAAGCCTGTTACTTAGACTTGTGAGCCACCTGAGACTCAGATAGCTAACCTGGATGGCTTTGAAAGAGGATACAGCAAATTCATAAACGATAAGGCTACTAGCCATTATTATCTCCACGGTCAGAGGTGGCATGCTTATTCTGAGTACCAGTGTCTGGAAACAGCTGGAAGGGAGAGTGCTCAGCTTCTGCTTGCAGGCTTTCCATAGGCATCTGACTGGCCATTGTGAGAACAGGATGCTGGACTAGATGGATCATTGGCCTGATTCAGGCCTTTTCCATTCCTCTGGCTGTTTATCCTTAGGCCTTAGAGCCCTTTTCAGAGCCTTAATGAGCTTTAACTGCATTGTGACAGAAAACATTTTCTAGAAGACATGAGCACATACAAACACCCACAAGCTAAACTAGCAACTTTTCCAGAATTTCTAGTTTGTTCCTCTGACAGAACTACTGAGTGCCCAGAAGACTGTGCCACTGTGAGCTGAGTTAGCTCCAGCTTCACCTTTGGGCACCCTATTGCTACCCTACAACTGAGATGTTTTGTCGTGATACACCACAAGCCAAATTAACTCTGCCATGGTGTACATATAGGCACAATCAGCTCAGAATGGGCCAAAACAGCTCCAAGTCAACATTGCACAAGCTAAGCTTTTCTTGCATATGGTATACACTGCAGTGTTTGTGAGTACAGGAAAGGCCATAGCTCAGTGGTGGAGCATCTGATTTTATGCAGAAAGCTCCAGGTTCAATCCCCAGCATCTCCAGGTAGGGCTGGAAAAGATTCCTGACCAGAAACCTGGAGATCAGCTGCCAGTCAATGTAGACAGTTCTGCACTAGATGAAACAATGGCCCCACACACTATAAGAAAGCTTCTTAGGTTCCTGTGTACTGAGAACTGCAATAATTTGTGGCTAAAATTATTTAATTGCTAGCAAACTTTTCAACACCAGAGTCACAGGCCTCTCCAATGTAGTTCTTGTTCTTGTCAAGCAGTTGAGTCAACCCATTGTAAAGTTTCTAGGCCAAAGTGTGTATATGTGTGTGTGTGTGTTTTAAAACACAGGTGACAAGAAACTGTGCAAGTATTTTAAATAATGTACTAACACCTATTTTTGAGACATTTATTTCGGAAGCAGCTCTGATTAAACTCAAGTGTTTCCATAGAAATAATCCTGTAACCATAGGCAATTTTACAACTGTTACTGGTAGATCAGCAGCATCACGCTCAACTGAATTGCCTTTCACTTCTCAGCATAAATCAGAGTCAATCTTATCAGCTGGTTCCAGCATAAATCCAGCGTAACTGAGAGGAGAAGCAGACTGTTCAGGGTGAAAAAGCATTGATGGGTTTTCCTTATGTTCAGATATCATCTTCCAAGCTGTATTTAAATATGTAAAATACAAATATACATGATGCATAAGCTCCAGATATATATAATTTATATTGTAATAGTGCTTCACTGTAGATTAGGATAGGAAGCCTATGTGTCCGTTCTTGGGAGTAGGCTATATCGACTATAATAGGACTGAGTTTTGAGTAAACACATGAAGGATGAGACTGCACGTGTCGTGGACTTGGCTTGTTAATGTCCATGGGTGGCTACCTTTTTTGGGTGTGAGGGCTTCATCATACAGGAGTCACATGCCAGTGGTCAGTATGGTCATCACAGACAGGCATGTTCTCTCCCAGTCTCACACACAAACACAAGATGCACATAGGCAGACACAAACACAGCACCCTTCCTCAATAGCTCCATGAAGAACAGATGTGGGGTGTTATTGCCCCCTCACTGCTGATCAAATGACTGATCTAATGACCAGGGAGAGGGCAATTTACACCGCCACCCACCCACCTCCATGCTGTATTTACCTACCCCTTTCCCTCTATATTTGCTGCTGCTCCAAAATCCATGGGGTCTTCAGGAACCTGAACAATATATGGCAGTGAACAAAGCTGTATTGTAACTTTTGAATAAATGGGCAGGAGTCTTGATAGAATAAAGTTATAAACTCAAACAAAAAAGCAGCCAGGCCCTGGCAGGGCCCACTGGCCAGCTTAGCCTTCTGAGGTCCGGGGTAAGTGTACCCGGCTTTCCCCCACCCTCTGCATGGGCCTGATAACAGTGGTTGCCAGTGGGTATACAGTGGTACCTTGGGTTAAGAACTTAATTTGTTCTGGAGGTCCGTACTTAACCTGAAACTGCTCTTAACCTGAAGCACCACTTTAGCTAATGGGGCCTCCTGCTGCCGCCACGCTGCCGGAGCACGATTTCTGTTCTCATCTTGAAGCAAAGTTCTGTAACCTGAAGCGTATGTAACCCGAGGTACCACTGTATTTGGAATTTTTAGGAAGTACCTTGGACACCAGTCAAAAAATGGCTGCTGTATATGTATATGTATGTGTGTATGTGAAAATTTATCTTCATTTTAGTGCAGATTTCTCTTAGTATACACATGCTTGTATGCAGTTTTGCCCAATATCCACATTTTAGCAAAGCCACCTAATGCAACACAAATTTTATATTATTTTCACTAATATATACATTTTTATGCACACTATACCCTCATACACATTACTTTTTGATGCCCGCTAAAAACACTTTTGTTTAGAAAAGTCTACCCAGATACTTAGGAAGCTGAAGTAATTTTAATTTGTTTTAGTATTTTAACCTTTGTATTTTTAAAGTATAGCTATAATCTTTTCTTGATTTTATTGCTTTATCTTTTTGTAAACTACTTTGAGGTCACACCCAAATCTAGTGGTATATAAATTGAATGAAATAAAATAAATGACTATATTACTGAGCTGGAAACCTGCATTGCAAAATTTGAAGTTGAGCAAATTCAAAAGATGACTGTGTTGGTCCATGTATTCTTTCAGAAGGTGCAAATTAGGTAGCTTTGCCTTTAAATGTGAACTGTGTCGACTTTTTCCTCCATCCCTAGCCTGAGTCCTTGGGAAATTTCTGCCACTCACAAGTCAAATCTTGAATTGCAGAATTTAATTCTCTTGTATCTCTTTCAGAACTTATACTGAATTAGCTCAAAAGTTTATTTCGAGGATGTCTCACACTGGCATACATGGACTGGTGACTCACCAATATAAGAGTGAGGCAGCTCTTTGTTTTAACCCACATTTACAGACTTATCCATGATGCCAAACACAGGGATATGTAGAAGCCTCTAAATTACACCAGGAAGGAACACTAAGTAAGGAACATGTGAAGCTATAGAAATGAATTTCAGACTTTCTGCCTGTAAAATTTTCAGACTGCCTACCTAGGCCCTAGGGCAATACTTGCAGAAGAGACAACTCCCTAAGTCTGCTTTATCCTGATTTGACCCCACAGTAGAGCAGAGCTTAATTTTGCATTGATTATTTCCATTTAGTTTGCTGTAATAATTTTGCCACGTCATGATGATATAACTGCTCTTTCTTGATAAAAGCAAACTAATTGGCAACATGTCAGGATTTTCCTTTCTGAATATGTTAAAAGTACCCCTCCATGTGATTCCCTCTCCCTAACTTCAAATGAAATGGAGCAGAGATGCAAAAACTAATGCCCGAGATTTGTGAAAAGTAAAATGAACGTAGTTTTAAAAGTGTTCCTGGCATTTTCATGGAGCAGATCTGCAGCACAGATCTCCTCAAACTGCATGGAAGATGGAAAGGATCCTGGCTCTTCGGCTAGGTTATGAAAGATTCACCACAAGGCAATTCAACCCTGCAATTCAAGACTTGTTTGTATGTCCTCTCCCCCTCTTTTCCACATTGCAGACAGTGGTGACAGTGGAGTAAATGGGGCACTGCCCCACAGTCAATCTGCCTTCAGCCAGCCTTCACCTGCCGGTCTTTGTACTAACAACCAGTCTGGGCAGTGGCACTGGCTGTCAGCCTTCTCCATATTAAGCTCATCGTTGCCCTTGTAGAAATCAGCAGGGAGGAGGATGGGGACAACTTTAATTGGCCATTTCCTTTTTTTGAAGGCTTATCTAGACCAGATGGCAGCAGTTGTGAGTGTTTATCCACTCAAAACTGACCCAGTCATGCAAAATTAAGGAAGCAGTGGGTGAGTTCAGTTTTAAAAGCAAAAGGAGTACACTGGCCAGAAGAGCAGACCTTCTACCCCAACTGCCACCCTCATCCCCATACTATGGCTTAGCTCCCTGCAGTCAATGCCACTTCCATTCTTAGAGCTCATATGAAAAGATTCCGGGGGGGGGGGGGAGAGCTCTCATATAACATAGTGCTCCCATCACAGAGCTTCCCTCTTGTAGGCAAAGATGAAAATAACATTTGTACACTCCCCCGCCCCGCCCCCAAGTGCTTACATTTATGCATGGGGACATTTGCAATGCACACTTTTTACTGTTACCCCTTGTGCTTTGTCAGGTGGGCTTTGGGACAGAGGGTGACCCAAGGGATTAATGTGACAAGAAGGGCATTGGGAGGTCCTGCTACATGCATACTCATAAAATCATAGAATTGTACAGTTGGAAGGTACCCCAAGGATCATCTAGTCCAACTGCAATGTAGGGATCTCAACTAATGCATCCATGACAGATGGCTTAGAAACCTCCAATGAAGGAGAGTCCACCACTTTCCGAGGGAGGCCGTTCCACGGTTGAACAGCTCTAAATGTCATAAAGTTCTTCCTGAGATTTGGTCAGACTCTCCTTTCTTGTAACTTGAATCCATTAGTTCAGGTCCTACCCTCTGAAGCAGGAGAAAACAAGCTTGCTCCACCTTCCATGTAACAGCCCTTTAGATATTTGAAGAGGACTATCATATCTCCTCTCAGTCTCCTTTTTTCAAGCATTCCTCGTAAGGCTTGGTTTCCAGATCCATGATAATCTTGGTCGCCCTCCTCTTCACATGTTCCAGCTTGTCAATATCGTTCGTAAATTGTGGTGCCCAGAATTGGACACAATACTGCAGATGGCAAGGCAGAACAGAGTGGTACTATTACTTCCCTTGAACTGGACATTAGACTTCTGTTCATGCAGCCTAGAATGGCATTAGCTTTTTTTTTTTTTTTTGCTGCTGCTGCATCACACTTTTGATTCATGTTCAGCTTGTGGTCCACCAAGACCCCTAGATCATTTTCACACATACTATTAGAAAGCCAGATGTTCCTCATCTTATATTTGTGCAGCTGGTTCTTCCTGCCTCAGTGTAGAACCTTACATTTGTCCCTATTGAAATTCATTTTATTAGCTTGAGCCCAGTTCTCCAATCTGTTCAGGTCATTTTCAATTCCAATTCTGTCTCTGCAGCATTAGCTACCCCTCCCAGTTTGGTGTCATCTGAAATTGGATGAGCATCCCCTAAATTTCTTCATCCAAGTGGTTTATAAAGATGCCCCACTTGCTATTTTTTTCTAGGATGAAGAGGAATCATTAGTGACCAACTCTTTTGGTTCAAGCAGCTACAAATCCATCTAACAGTTACCTCTTCCAGGCCACATTTTACCAGCTTCTTCACAAGAATATCATGGGGGACTTTGTCAAAAGCCTTACTGAAATTAATATACAGTGGTACCTCAGGTTAAGAACTTAATTCGTTCTGGAGGTCTGTTCTTAACCTGAAGCACCACTTTAGCTAATGCGGCCTTCTGCCGCTGTGCCACTGCTGCACGATTTCTGTTCTCATCCTGAAGCAAAGTTCTTAACCCGAGGTAATATTTCTGGGTTAGCGGAGTCTGTAACCTGAAGCGTATTTAACCTGAAGCGTATGTAACCCAAGGTACCACTGTACATCTACAGCATTCCCCTGATCCACCAAGCTTGCAATCTCTCTAGTACAGGCATGTCCAACCTGCTGATTGCGATCTACTGGTTGATCGCGGGGCATCCCTGGCCAATCCTAGCCAATCGCGTGAGCCTGATTGATCAACCCAAAAATGAAACAAAAAACAGAAAAAGCTCAACAACTTTGGTGAAGCCTTCCCGCAAGAAACTCAACAACTTTGGATCTTCCTTCCTCCAATGGGTAGATCACTGACAGTTTATATATAGTGGGAGTAGATCGCAGTCTCATGGGAGTTGGACATGCCTGCTTTAGTACCCGTGAGTGCAGCTCATCAGGCCCTGAAGATTTGGATTAATTTAAAGTAGTTAGGTGTTCCCCTATCTCCTCTTTTCCTATCTTGGGCTGAAGTTACCCCTTGTTATCACCAGGTTGGGCACCACTTTACTTTGGGGTGAAGCCATAGAATTGTAAATGGAGCCCCGATCTCTGAACAACTTCCCCAAAACTTGTGATTTTGCATTTCAGTGTTCAGCTTTCAGCAACTGCACTTGTCAAATAGCAATACTGAGATTACTCATTAAAGGATTTGACAGCAAATATGATTTTTTAAAAAAATATTATGTCAAATACAATAAGGCTGTTTCATTCTTGTCTGCAGGGCAAACATCTTGTCAAATACTGTACATGTAAAAATGTCAGCATGAATGAAATACACAAAACAAATACACTACTGCTATCTGTCTGCATGGTACTTCATAACCAAATATGACATTTCTATCCTACTTTTTCCTCCAAGGAGACCAGAGTATGGGGTCCCTAGGTAGTCTCTCCTTAAGCAACTGGCTATGCTAACCTGCTTCTCTGAATTATTATATCAGGTGGCTTCAAATACAGTGGTATCTCGGGTTACAGATGCTTCAGGTTACAGACACTTCAGGTTACAAACTCCGCTAACCCAGAAATAGTACATTGGGTTAAGAACTTTGCTTCAGGATGAGAACAGAAATTGTGCTGCGACGGCGCGGCAGCAGTGGGAGGCCCCATTCGCTAAAGTGGTGTCTCAGGTTAAGAACAGTTTCAGGTAAAGAACAGATCTCAAGCATGAATTAAGTTCTTAATCCAAGGTACCACTGTATACTTATGGGCCCAGAAAATCATTTGAATATCGTATGTGAAAATCCTGATTCCTTTCCTCTCTAACAGCAAAGAAAAAAAGTTTAACGAATCCCAGCCTTTAATTTTCTGCACCACTCCTTTCCCATAACCACTTTGATCTTTTTTCAATTTATGCTTTGCTGCAGGATAATCTGGAAAAAGATCTTCTGTGCTAATATCTCATCTCTTTTTATCTCTCTTCTCAGCCCCTAGAGCTAATCTCATTCATTTTCTATAGCCTTGTGCGTGAGAGAACCCAGGGCTGACTGAGATTTACAGCAGTAGGCTTGCAGTAACAACAATGAGCAGGTAACACCAGAGGTGCAACCCTCTGATCCCTGATCACAATGTCACAGGATGGTTGGCAAAGTTTTGCCATTACAGAACTGTCAGCCTAGCTTCCATTCCAGATAATTTGGTAAAATTCACTGTTAAAGCTCAAACTGTTAAAACACACAGAAGAACAAGTCTTCCTGAGGGTAAATCAGTGTGGCCTCTGCCAACATTTTAGAATTCTTTACAAGTGTCAAGCCTCAAATACGTAGATAGGAGCAATCTGGTAGGTGTTACCTGCTTGGACTTCCAAAAAGTTTTTATAAAGCCGTTCACTAGATTCCTGAACAAATTTAGTCACTAGATAAGTGGACAGTCCTGCTCATGGTTGGTAGGAATAGGAAGCAGAAGATAGTTGTGCTGTAGTAGTCTGAAGTAACAACAAGGCTTAGACAGGGTTTTAGACAGTTTAACTACTATCGTTGGATGGAGTTTGCCGAAATGCAGGAGGAGTGCAGATGTAGAAAACTGGGCAAGTCACCCTGGAGGAGTGTTTAGGGGTGGGGCACGGTCAATTATATTTGCTAATCAATCATTCCTAGCAGGAATTCTAGGCTAAGAAGAGTAAACAGGGCAATGGCATGCAGGGCTGAGTTAAACTAGATTTTTGTCTCTGTCTCTTTTGGGTATGCAAATAAACAAAGACACAACTAGAGATCAATAGCTGAATGAAGGCTATGTACACACTATACATTTAAGTACCCCCCCCCCCAAGAATCCTGGGGACTTTACCTTATTAAGAGTGCTAGGAATTGCAGCTCTGTGAGGGGTAAAGTACAGTTCCCAGAATTCTTAGGTGGAAGCCAAGTATTTTATTTAAACGTATGGTGTGTACACAATGGAACACCCGTATATGCACCAAGACATTGCCCCAATTTCTCTCCTTTGTATTCAACAATTAACACAACACATCTCTCCAAAGCTATCCATGTATATCTGGAGGACATTTGTAATACTGACAAAAGTAATAGAATCATAGCCAAAGGGCATAGCAGTCATTTCCCTCCATTTTGTGTGTTTGTTTGGCTGAAGCTTGAAGGCTTCTGTTCATTTTTTTACCCAGCTACTTTTGCACACTTGCTGGCATCACAATGCATAAATAACATACAAAATTCACTAAATAAATGGGAGACAAGGGAGAGGCACTTGCCCCTGTCACACTTTGGCCTTCTCTGTGTGAATGTAGACATCAGTCAGAGACTATGATAGGCTTCACCCAGCCCCACCTCAAATCCTTTCCATCACTGGGTGAAAAAAATATTACTGAATCAAGTAGATTTTTTTTTTTTAATTGTTTATCTTACTCTTTTCCCTACATACAGACTAGAGCATAGTGGTCAAAGTGTCATGAGCCGAACAACAATGTAACTGCAGAAACAGGAAACGCAGTACATGGAACGTAAGATCCTTATCTGTTAGATGGTGACAGACGTTGGGTTTAGGAAAGTTACCTAATCTGAGCACTGACAGCTTTTATGATGCCATGAGAAAGGAACATCAAAAGCTCTTATTCAACAAATAGAGCCCTGCATTCCACAAGCATTTGTCAGCCATTTTCCAAATTGCCCCAGTGATTTCTCCTTTATGTATGTCATACTCTCATGGCAGATTCCTTCCTAATAGCAATAGTCTCTAATGCAATAATCCCAAACAGTCCCCAGTGCCCTTTCCTTTAACTGCTCAAGCGCATTTTCCCGTACATTAGAAAACAGAACTCCCGATATCTTAAAGCCTAAATACAAATCTAGCCCACACTCTGCAGGCCACTTTCAATATCAGATAAAGTAATATGACATCAGGTGATTAAATTTAAAAGGAAGACTCTTCTGACAATGATGATTCAGGCATGCAGGTACCAGATCAGTATTGCCCACTTTTGGAATCCATGAACTCCTCCTTGGGGTGATTGTGGGTAGATTTGCTGATTGCAGCACAGTAAAACAAAATGTTTGTCCCTGGCAGTAGAGTGTACTACAAAAACCTTTCCTCCATGGTTTATTATCCCAGATATCCACCCCTAACCCATTTGCTCTCACAGTGGCCAACCAGATGCCTGTGGTAAACCCAGAAACAGGAATTGAGTGTAACTGTTCTCTCCCCACTTGTGAATTTCAGCAACTGATATTCAGAGACATACTGCTGTGGAGGTAGTAGATGGCTATTAGCCACTGATAACTTTTTCCTCCTTTAGTTTATCTGAAGTCCTCTTAAAGCCATCTAATTTGGTGTCCATCACTAGAGATATTATGACCAGGCCAGCATCATCCCCTAGTGAACTGCATGGCTGCATGGGGATTTCATTCTTGGTCTTCTTCCCTATCCTTGTCCGTCATTTTACCCACTACTTAAAAAACATGCCCACACATTTCCATTGATTTTTAATTTCATTTTACCCACTACTACACCGCAGGTGGGCAGAAGTTAGATAAGGATCTACTGGCAGATATCTGGGTAAATTAAAGAAGACTGGCAAGTATTTCTGATGAAGAAAGCAGGTGGTGGTGGCTATAACCAGGAGTGGGTTTTGTGGGGGAGGACTATGAGCTCAGTTTGGTTCTGGCACTTAACATAAATTCCTGGGCTCATAGTATTTTTGATTCTAAGTGCATGCCTTTTACATCTGGCTCTGGTTGGTGAATATCAGGATTCTAGTAAAATATAAAGTAGGTTCTGCAAGCCTGAAGTTGCCCACTCCTGCACTATACCATCCCAGGTGGATTTGCAGCTGCATGCCAAAATTCAGAGGCGTCCTTTTGCTGTGCCCAAGAACTTGTTCATGTCTAGCAAAACTTTAGAACAGCAGCACCTCCTCTCCCCACCAATGCCTAAAAAACACAGTGCAGCAAATTGCATTTTTAATTATTCCATTTAAAAGTAATCTGTTCAATTGCAGGGAAATTGGAAAAAGAAAAAAGTCATAAGGCATTTGGAGCTGTCTTTGCAGTTCCTTGGATTGTGTCCATCACTAGAAAGTTTCATCTAAATTTACCTCCCTGCAACATTTAATACGAACTGTTGTGATAAAATTTGTAATTTAATATTTATTGGTCAACAAAAGCAAACATCTTATCTTATTTATTTTTTTAAACGAGTTGCAACAACGGAGCTATGTGAGATGAACAGATAATTATCCTGACAAGAAAAACTTCCCATGCCCCCACCCTGTCCCACATCTGAGCATGATGAAATAAATCAAGCATTATGTTGTTCATAACTGGAAAAGAGATCATGACTAGCATTATCTCATTTACTATTCAGTTTGTTACCCACAGTTGGACTGACTCAGAGCTATTTGGCACAGAAGGGTTCAATTTGCAAATTCCTGAGCTTTAAGGTGAATTAACTCCCAGGAATGCTCTTGAGAGACACAGCTTTAAATGGTGGCCAGAAATCATGACACTGTTCCAGCAGAGGTTGTCCATGGATTCATCTGAATTGACATAACTCTCCCCTTTAAATGATAAAGCTTGTATGTGATATTGTACCCTTGTCTTGCTTTAACTTGTGAGCTTTATTCCGCTCTTCTAGGTCATAATCCTAATTCTCATCCAGTTTAAGAATCTTGGTTCTGAGCTATATTTTAATGGGAATACTGAAATTCATGTCTACGTATGTGCCCCAGGAGTCCCTGTTTACTGGGAACAGTTCCCATTTTCCCTGTCCCTGTTCCTCTTGTTGTTTTTTGGTTTCGCCCTGTTGACATTTTTGTCTGGGTTCTGACACCTAAACAACCTGCAAACAAATCAGAATGAATGCAGGACAAATGCTCATTGGCATATAACCACCCTGCAAACAAATCAGAACAAATTCTCAATAAAGCCTGAAGCTATGCAAGGAAATCAGCATGAATGCTCAACAAACAGGTTGTCTTTACTCCACTTGAATTGTGCAAACAGCTCCAGCATCCCACCCACAGGATAGTAGTAGTCTGAAGGCACCACCTGGAGTGTATGTATCTTTAGCCATGCTTCTTGAAGTTAGCTCAGAGAGTGGATCTGACTTTCTTTCACCAGGTAGTTCTTACCAGCACCCTGGCATGCTTTGGGCCCCACCATGGAGTACTCTCTCTCTCTTTGTATCGCTGTATCGGTCTCCAGATTGTCTGCTGTCACCACCTCCTCTGCTATACACAAACCAAGTCCAAGCTTCTTGGATCTGAGTTGATGTTTACCTCGCCATCTGCAACAGTAGTAGTAGTAAACCCTTGGCAGAGGGCCCCCAGTGTCACATTCAGCCTTTCGACACTTGCAGCCATGCTGGGTTCCAGCCCAGAGTCCTTGAAAGTTTCCAGCATTTGAAATGTAGTAGCCCTTCTACTCCATTTCCACACCACTCGAAGCCAAAGGAAACAAAATAAACAAACAAACAAGAGGGAGCCGGCTTGGGTCACCTTAGGTGGTCTATAAACAACCTCTCCAGCCTCAGCAGTCCTGCTTTCCAGCAGCTCTTTCGACCTCAATCTGACACTTACTTCAGGAACCGATGAAGCAATGCTTGTTTAATTCAGACAAGCAAACAGAGCAAAGGGGAGGCAAGATCGCTGAGGATTACCATATGAATGGACGCCTTTTCTTTCCTTTGGGCCCTGCTTGAAAAAAGTGTTCTTTCTCATGTAAGACGCAGCTCTTGAAAAGCCATGCATCACATACAGATATTTAGGAAATGGTGCCTGGGCGCCCCTAACCCACAGAAAAGCAGTTTAATATGCTGCTGGGGCAGCAGCCCCTTTCACATAGTGGGCAGAGAGGATGGGAGAAGCAAGGGCATTTCAGAATAACAACAGAGGGGAATACAGTCTTGAGTCAGCTGACAGCCTAATTTAAAACACCCTTTCTGGAAGACATACATTTTTAGCAGACTTGTCCACTGGCTCAACAGATCTGGAAGGGAATGTTGTTTGGCAGAGTTTCAAGGGATGACCTCATCTGAACACTTGATACTATGGTGCTTCTCTCCCTGCTCCTTTTATTTACAGAGGCCATGATATGGCCATTCCTGTGGAGCCTGCTCTGCTTCCTAACCTCACTTTAGTTTGTTGTCCTGAAGACTCAAGAGTAAGCATTGTCATCTGAGAAGGGATTCACAGAGGGATCTTTTGCAGGCTCTCAGATGGGAAGAGTCACAGGGCAAGGCAGGTCTTTAGAGTATAATTGCCGTGGTAGACCTAGAGAACTCACCAGTCACGAAGCTAGACAAGAACTTTTTTGTCTCTCTTAAAGAAAATCAGAATAGATGCAGGAAACACCTGACTCCGCCCAGATGGAATTAACTCCAGTGCCACCTAGTGACTCACTTATATAATGACACTATCCACACTATCACGGAATAGGAAAGAGTGGAATTGCTCTGGCTAAAGAGCCTGGCCGGACCTGGAAGTTTTACAAAGGTTATGTTTTTTCATATGGTTCATATGATGTTTAGATGGCTCTTGCAGGTTTGGTTTGCCTTCCTGCATCCCTTCCCGCACCCCCACTTTGCTGAGTGGCAACACAATTTTCAGGAATGTTAATGCTTGAACTTTGACACTTGCCTGACTTCCTCACTGCATTATTTTTTGAATAAAGGAGACCCTCCAGTGTGTTAGTGAAGCCACTGATATCATGCAGATGGAGTCCAGAGAGAAATAAAATCCTAGTAACACTTTATTGAGCAAAACTGAACAAAAACAGTGTATAATTTGAGGAGAAAGAAACAGAGGAGTTTTGTCTTACTTACTCTATGTACAGAGCAGGAAGACATTAAACTGCTCTGGCTATGTACAGAGCAGGAAGACATTAAACTAAAACATACAGAGGAAAACTGCCTTAGAACTGCACAGCCAATCAGAGCATGTGCCACCTCACTAAAGATCATGGCACTCTAACTGGTTTCTAAGCAACATCTATATATACACACACACAGTTGACTAACATTGAGAACAGAATTAATCCGTAAGCAGAATGATCTCTGTGCATTGTGTTGCATTTCAACACAATTATCATATTTTTTCCTATTGACTCTGATGTGTCTGGATCGAATAGATTTCCTGTCTGCCACCAATGTATATTTCATCTCTCCATTAAATTCTGCCTCTTAAAAGTTTGAAGAATTACAACTGTGAATGCTGCCATCCCTCACATTTTCAATCTAAGCTGCTGTCAATCTTCGCATACAGTGCCACCAAGAATGACATACTAGCCATGACTACAGATTCTTCCAAGAGTAATGGCTACAATTTAAATGGTACTTGAGTATCCTGTGCACATTACATACCTGATCACCCCAGTCATTACAACAAGCAGGCAATGTAAGGCCAGTATGGGTTTTTTCCTGGGGGCTATGCAGTACCGGCACCTATTTTTTCTAGAAGAAAAGCACTAGTAGGGCAATATCATTATTATCCCAATATCATAGATAAGAGGGCTAAGAGCAAATGTCTTGCCTAAGGTTATCCAGAGAGCTACATCACATAGGGAAGCTCTGAACCAGGAATTTCCTGGTTCACATCTCAGCCTCCCAACCAATTTGCTGTACTAGTCAACAGCACTCTTTGAAGTACCTTATAGTTATATCAGTGAAGATAAGCCATTCTTAACAGCTAATTCCACAGTTTTGAGGCCAATATCAAAGTTTGTAAAGTTCACTTTTAAAAGGAATTTGTTCTACTTCAAGTATAACATGTCTTAAAAGGAACTAGTTTCAGTTCAACCCTTTACAAAATGAACTGGTTCACGGTTAGTTCACAGTTCAATTCAAGTTCACCCAAAGATCCTCAGCAAAAATATTTTCATTCTGAATGTTACAAGCTGCTGTGCTGAAGTATGAAATATACCTGGGTGTTGGGAACCTTTGGCTCTCCAGGTGTTGCTGAACTACAACTCCCATCAGCCATAGCAAGCATGGCCAGTGACCAGGGATTATCAGAGTTGTAGTTCAGCAACATCTGGAGGGCTACAGGTTCCCCACACCTGTGATATACTTAAGAAGGCTCTTCTATGGGTTGGACTATACCACCTTTGTAGTCCCTTCTATACAATATGATTCTATGATAAAGCTAAGAAGACATCCAAACATACATACAACAGAATGTGAATTGTTTGATTTATTTCCCCCAACAGTTGTTATATTTAAGTTTAAAGGCCCCAATAATCTATAGAGTAAGGACAACATGTAAGAGAATAAAGTTGAAGGTTAACTAGAAATCATTCAAATATCTATCCTAAAATCAATTCATTTCCAGTTCACTCAACAACTATGAGAACCACTTCCAGGAGCAGCTCAGAGATTTTTGGGCGAATGTTATGAACTTTGTTAAACTAGCTTATTCCAAGCACTGACAGCTACAGGTAATTAATTTCCTGTAGCAGTAAGGTGCTTTTGAGAGCCTTTTGGATCTAGAAAGTAAGATACAACTATTATGAAAAAAAATAAAAAGGAACAATTCTGCATAAAATGCATGTACCACTTTTAAGGGCACACAAAGGTGACTTTACAGTTTACCATCAGCACTGTGATTAATGTAGCTATTGTCATATAGTTCTGCCCCCTCAAAAAGTTGCTTAATTAAAAATATTATGGACCACTTCTCAAACAAAAAGTTTCACAAAGTGATTCTCAACAATATTTATTGTGCCCACTTGCCAATTACTCTCCCCCACAATGACAGAAATATCCAAAGCCTGGAAGCATATTTGGAAACAGTGGGTGGTTGAAATGTTAGAATAAAGAGAAAAGGCTAGGAATGGTCCTTGTGGGAAGTACTGTAGCTGTCCCGTAGAGTGACCAGGTGTCCTCATTGTTACCAGTTAGACTGCTGTTTCCAAGAAATTCCTGGGCTTTCTGCATGTCCAGTACTGGACATACAGGGTGAGACAAGGTCTGCAGTGGGTGATCTTCCTTGTATTTTTACTAAAGGCAAGCCAGAAGCTCAGCTTGCTGTAGGATGCTGGTGCCGCACAAATTAAAACCTCAGTGCCATCCTCCTGGGAAGGGAAATTATGTCATGTTCATTTCCTTTCCAGAGACAGCATTTTAAAAAATGGCTGCCTGGGGAATGACAACTCTTGTCCCTGGGATGAAATTATAGTCAGAGGAAAGAATAGGATTAAAATCTCAGCTCCTGACTTGCCTTTAGGAACGAAAACCTGAACCTTCACATCAGGTTCTGATACCTGGTAAGTCCAGACTACAGCTCCCATCATCCTTGACTGTTAGCAATGGTATCTGGGACTGATGGGAGTTCAAAAACTTCCAGAGGGCTACAGAACCCCCACCCCTAACATAAAGGAAGCCACTGAGGAGAACATTTTAAAGCAGTATCTGTATGGCTACCATTTTGTATGAGGCGGCCTTGAGGAGGTAAGCCTGGAATCCTAAACCCACTTACCTGAGACTAAGTCACACTAAATTCAATAGGACTTACTACTGTACTAGGAAGACATGGTTAAGTTTGCACTGCAAGTTGTGAAGTGGGACACAGATTTCATGAGAGGATGTTTTCAAAAGCATTTGCCCTGCCTAAACCCACCATCTCAGATAGTTGAAACTGACTCTTATTTACTTGGGGATTAGAAGATTATTATTTTTCCTTGTTGAAAACATCGCTGCAGGCCACTGCTCTTGAACAATTCCCAGTGCTACAAAAAATGATCCAAAACATTTCTCTTCCCTGAAGACTAATTAAAAGAAGCGTATTGTTTTGACAACTGCTTTGCCAGTCAGAAACTTAAATCCTGAGTTTAGATTCAATATATTATACATGCAGATGCTCTTTGGCTTGCTAATATTTCTCAAATGTATGTCCCAAATGCTGTAATTTGATCCCAAGAAGGGAAGAAAATGGAGAAGAGCTAAATGTCTGGGGGGCTGCTTTGATGGGCAATACGGTGTAGTCATAAATAAAATAAACAGCTGTGGAATGTTTATTATTTTATTTATTACTGTATCTGCATCCCACCTCCCTTTTACTTATTATTACATCTGTATCCCACCTCAAAACAGTAGGTTGAAAAAAAGTGTGTCCCACCCAGCCCCATTATTAACCAACCCACCCTGAGTTCCAAAAATCTGAGGTCCATTGTGAGAATGTAAAACTTTTTTAAGTACAAGTTTTCCAGTATATCCAACTTTCAGAAAATAGTGGATTTTTAAAAGAAGCTGTTTAACACCCAGCCCTGCTGATAAAGCAGAAGCTAAGGTTACATTGGAGATGGTGGTGAGTGAACAATTAAATTACGTGACAGTCCTGGGATGTTCTGTTGTGATACACACCCACTGTGACATCACCATGGTGGGGCACCACCACAACAAGAACGGTACTGTTTGCATGCACTTTCATTTGTACACACACAGCATACCCTGCAAGTATCCTGGAAAAAACAGGACCTCCCCCCATTTTTTCCCATGTGAGAGCAGCCCCCCCCCCAAAGTGCATCTTTTGGGCTCTGTGTCCTTGTGTGAGTCATGTGATTCACACAGGAGCAAGGCCTGGAAGACATGTATCCTGGTTTGGGGACTCAACATATTGAAGGGTATGCAGACTGGCATAAGTGGATTTATTTACTTTTAAAAACTTGTTTTGCATCAATGTTTCAGGAGCTCGTCCTACTCTTGAGTAGGACCCTGGCAAAGACACATGCCCAACTGGCATGTTCTCTCCCTCCTGGTCGATCGTTCGGGAGCTTCAAAAGCTTTCTTTTGCCCGAACATCACAGCGACTGATGCCAACGGACATCAGCACACTCGGGGATCCGCAGAGTTCGCAGTTGCATGACAGACCTCAGCAACTCAGCATTTTGGCTAATCTACCTTATTTACATATAAACACACACGGAGCATTGCAACATGGCTCCCTCTCTCTCTAGCATCAGACAGCAAAGAGAAAGGACAAAGGACAATAGTCCCACTTCACGGAACACAGTAACACAAACATCCTGTCCCCGGCACTTCCCACTCTGTGGAGTCAAAACATACACCGTCATGTGATAGACAACAATCCCATGACTGCAGTCACGGAGCAGGAATCTTAACACAATGCTGGTTTGTGGGAGGAAACTCACTAACTTCTGGAAACAGGATATGTCTGGATTTGGGTTGATGCTGCATGCACAATATTTTAACAAGCAAACCTGGCATACAGAGCACACTGGATGCACACTAAACTGTAGTGTGTGCACAGACTCTGCCTGGGGAATTGGAAGGAGTTGATCATGACAGCCAGGTTAGGTATTCAAGACTACCGCCACATTTGCAAATTTTAACAAAGGCATTGAAGCTGTAATCCCGAATCAATGGTGCTCTAAAAGGCATATTGCATAACCCTATCACATTGTGAAACTGATATTGCTGGATGAATGGAAGTCATTTTCATGAAAACAACCATAATATGTGCCTGGCCCTTCCCTTTTTAGTGGCTTTCTGTCTGCCCTTAGAATAAATGAAATGCAGTGTACTTGTGCATAAGGGATAACTCCACCTGAGCTCCTCAACACAATGAAGCAAATTCCAATCCGGTTGCTCTTCTGTCTTATTGAAAAAAGACAGTAACTTTCTTGTAAATCTCCCAAATTCTCCTCTAAGCCAAGGGTGGGGAACTTCCAGTTTGCAGACCGACCAGGTGTCACACCTAATGTGGGAAACTAAGTCACATAGCCAATCCTGACATAAAGCAGGGATGACTTCAGCTGATGAGTGGGAAGTTCAATCCTGCTGGACTGGCTATATTGCTTAGTTCCCTGTGGGGAACTCAGTCGCTCATCCTTGCCTTGCAGAAAGCTCTGAAAAAGACCCTTGCACTGTGGTTCCTAAGTGCTTGGCATCTGACATCATAATGACACCAGGTGATTGACTGATGAGTTGTCCTACCCACCTATCAAAATTGGTCTGCAGGGGTAGGACAGAAAAGCCCCAAAGGTTCCTACCTCTGCTTTAAGCCTTCCATGACAAGTATGTTGATCCCAATTATTGGGGGGGGCCCCCCTCAATTTCAGAGTCTGCACTAGCGCTCCTCATTATTCATAGCATCAGTTTGCTCCTCTGTTTTCTATTACTAATCTCCATGCAGTTCCTACACATCAACCATCACCCACCTGGCACCTTCTGTGCTGGCGAGGCTTGATGGCAGTTGCTGTCCAAAATATCTGGAAGGTGCCATGTTCATGAAAGCAGCTGTCCACACACTCTTCCCCCTCTTGGGGGGACTGTCAGGAGCACTGTTGGGTTTTGTATTAAGAGGGGAAAAAGATGGACTTGGTACCGTTGCATTCATGCACATTTATACACTTCTTACTGAACAAGAGATGATGTCCTTGAGATGAAAGCTCTAGGATTGTACAGAGACAGAAAGCATCTGCTTCTCCTTCCCTCCTCCCCTTCTTGAAGTAATTAGAAGGGCAAAGGCAAAAGCAGAGACACTGGGAGAGTTCTGTCTAATGGTGGAAAGCTTTGTACCTCTTTAATGATGTATTAACTCCCACGTGCAAACACACGGGGCGAAACAAATGAGGAAGTGCGGATCAGAGACTGGACTGCATTTTTGCATTATTGCAAGTACCAGATTGTGTGGGGAAACCGAAGGTTTCAACCAAACCTAAAGCAAACCTGATGTTCATGGGTGCCGTGTTCAATAATGGGAAATGAAGAAGCCAGGACATAAGAAACAAAACTGCATTTCTGGTTCACCCTGTATTTATTTCTAATTATGGCAATGAAATGACAGTATGGTAAAAGCCATATGTGACCTTAGATCTATAGGAAACCTAGATCCAAGATCCAAATTCACACATCCAGCACTACAAAGCTTCAACTGAAGGCATCTTCAAAAATAAAATATCTGGTACTAATATTACAAATTATGTGAAAGCGGAACACATTGCGCAAGCTTTCTTGTATCAATGGCAGGATGTGAGGAACAAACAGGAAGCAGTCAAAACCAATTAAGGGAAACCTCTGATCTGGAAATGTCTGCAGGTGAAATGCACATTTTGCATCCAGTTATTTGACTGATCCAAAGCCCACTTATTAAGTCAATGACAATAAGCTTTTTGCTAATGCAGGAAGGTAGCCTGCATCAGAGAATGGGAAAGATATATATCAAAGCAGCTTTTGGTCATGGGTTCAGAGAAGTTTGAAACAGAAATTTATGTAGTTTTTATTTAATAAATTTATTGGCTGCTGCACAAAATACAATATTTTCCAATAGTGGATTACAGTTTTAAAACAATTTAAAATATAAAATAGCATAATAGCATTACAAGCCACCCCAATCTCTGCCCTGGTGTGCACGAGATTGCAAGGTTCTTGACCACAAACCTAGGAACAATGGAGGCTGGTGCGCAGCAGCAGCAGCACCCCATACTGTGCCACCTTATCCTTACAGTAGCAGCTCCATAGTTTTTGCTCTGCAGCCTATCTTGGTCTCCAGCGTATATAAAAATGTGGTTCCTTCGCCACTTCCTGGTACCCTGGTGGGAGGGGGATATTGCTTGGTTGTTTTCATTTTAACTATTTATTTGTGTATTTACCTTGTATTTTTATCTTGTGAGCTGCCCTGAGATCTTACGATGAAGGGTGGTATATAAATCTAATACCATCTCTCCTAATCCTGCTCTTCCTCAAAAAAATTAGTCCCCTTTATTCCTTTGCATTCTAATACCCATTTCTTTTGATGCTTTGAAGTACTAATGATTAATCCCTCCAGGCTCACCTAACAACCACTTGTTGATTGACTAAGATTAAAGGCTGGTACACACTTAGGACATTTACCTAGGTTAATTACTTCTTCGTATGCTAATTGCTGATGCTCAGAAGTAGGTCCACACACATATTCCCGTACACATGGATCTTGAGTACATTCTTCAGACTCTGAATCACAGTCTGTACATACAAACGCTAATTAAACGCCTCAAACTCATTACATTACTCCCTTCTAATGCACTTTGAGACTGTCTTATAACATATCCCAGTTGTAACATACATTTCTAATTAAATCCAAAAATTTGCTAAACCTAAACATTTAGCACCATAGATCTATTGCAATACATTCATAATCATATCAATGAAATATTAAAAACTCTTCTATATGATTTTCCTTCCAGTATATCACACAGCCATACTAGCACACTGCTAAAAGCAGAGGCTATTGAACCCCCTGACAAAAAAGCAATGCTAAAACAGCAGGGCCATAGATGAGTGGGAGAGCATCTGCTTTTCATGCAAAAGGTCCAATATTCAATCTGTAGTATCTCTAGGTAGGGCTGGGGGAAGAGCCATGCCAGAAACTATGGAGAGCCTCAGCCAGTCACTGTAGACAATACTGATTTGCAGGAGTAGCTCATTCTGTTTTGATGCCTGAGGGGAAACAGGAAGATGCTGCCCTGCAAGTCTCACTGGAGTCACACGGCTGCAGCTTCTGGGTTCTGGCGAGATCTCGCAAGAGGTCCGCAAGATCTCGCCAGAACCCGGAAGCCACCGCCACTTGTCTTTGCTTTTCTGGTGGCAGTGGTAGCAGTAGGGGAGCAGGTGGGGCGCCCTGCTGCTATGAGAGAAGTGAGGAGAAGCTGTAGCAACAGCAAAATATTGCATGAACTATGCAAGATCTTGCGATAGTTCCACAAGATCTTGCTGGAATCTGCCACTGCCACTTCTCCTCGCTTCTCTTGGGGGCAGGGCAGGAGCAGGTGGGGTGCAGCCCCTTAGGATTCCACTGTCTGAGGCAGCTGTCTCAGTCGGCCTCATGGGTGGGCCGGCCATGCTGAACTAGATCAATAGTCTGAAATTGATATAAAAGCAATGCTATCTGGAAAAAGAAGAGTTAAAGTTACAGAGTTGATTTCTAGGGAGGAGAGAGACATACCACAAGAAACAAATGTCTTGTGCTATCTATACAGGCCATAACTAACCCAGCTGCCTTTGGAAGAGCTCCACAATAGGCCATTTATAATGGGGAAAATTGTGCAGTTGTTCCACTATCTTAAAAAAACAACAAAAGTTGGAATGTCTGTGGTCTGGGGTGGGTGGGGAGGAAGCTAAACATGTGGGGATGTTTTGCTCACATCACACAGATGTCCCCCGAAAGTAAGTGAACAAAGTGTGAGTATTCCACTGTAGACACCCAGCAGAAACAGCCTTCATAACCTATGTTAGGTTGAAAAGCAATTTCAGAATGAAGCTCTCCCCTCTTGGGTTTCAGTTGTTATTTTAAGGTATTCAGCAGTGCTTTCTAGGATGTTAGAATTTTTGGGCTGGATTGGTGCAAAGGGTTCCAATTAAAGATGATTTAGAAGCTATATGTAATCATTAGAAATATTATTGTTTTTGTCCATAGGATGACTTCTTAACTCAAACTGCCGTATTATACCACAATGATTTGTTCTTTGTAAATAATTAGCTATCTCGACATTTTAGGTACTTTTCTATGGATGCTATTGGGCATCAGATAAGAAACTGCTAGATAAACCCTGACTCTAACTCTAGGATCTGAACAAAATAGGTCTTGGCTGCACCACTATGAGTGTAGTTTTTTTTAAAGCAACAACAGGGGATTTTAAAGATTTAAATGATTTGGGGAACTTGACCATTCTAACTTGTGACAGCTTGCATTTCCAAAAATAAATGGGCATTTCTGGAAATGCAAGCCATCAAAACACAAAAAGTTCCCCAAATCATTTACATTAAACAAAAATCCAGTTTTACACATGGGGTGTCTTGTGTGCCTTTGCAACGGCCATTGGCTAAAACCAATACAACTTTGACTTTGGTGCTGTTTGCCCCCCACCGCGGGCTGTGAGCCTCCAGACTCCCTAAAGTACACGCTCGAACTCTGCCACCACTTGTCCTATATCAGGTTGGATTTAGCTGGGCTTGCACAAAGAGCACATGAGAAGTTGTCGCATTAAACTTTGGTCTGTGAAGAGCTCCACCTGTGGAATCAAAGGCACAGTTCAAAAGTTACCTCTAATTTCTCCAGGCTTCGCTTACTCTGTTTCATGATAGAAACAAAATCTAAAGAAAGCTGCAGATTTTAGCTAGGAATTGAGGGGGCCACTTAACCATATGATCTTTAGCTGTTAATTTAAAGCTGGACTCTGCGTCTATTACCCTCTCCTTATTTCAGCTTGACCCATTCCTCACTTCCTCCTGATTCCCTAGTGGAATTTATGGTTTAACCACAAAACTTTAAATGACCTAGTGTTTCAGATAGTACTGCTTCCTTTCTTACTCTTAGCCAGAAAAGATAATAGTGATTTTCTTTGAAGGCCAGCAATTCACTCAGCCAGACTTTTCCTTAATTATGGTATATGATGCGCATTCCCACTCTCAAATACAATGTTTCTTCACAGCCTTGCACCTTATGCAGTCACCTCCTCATGCGAAAACAGTGGCTGTAAACAAACTAGCCATGCATGTTGGCAGCAGTGTTTTGGTACAGTCAGAAGGGGGACAGTTCTACAACAACCTCCTCCCTCCTCAAATACTACAGTGTGACTTCCCATTTCTAGTCAGCTGTCAGCTGTGTAAACACAGATAGTGCTCTTGGGTTTTCTCCCCTGAAGCAGCAATAAGAAATTAAAAACCTGACCTGTACTATTGTGCCCCTAGTGGAGAGGAGGATTCAATGCATAAGGGGGGAACCTAGTAGACAAACCATCATTCTGAATGACTGTTTACAGCCTACAACTCCCATGATCCTTAGCTAGCAGGACCAGTGGTCAGGGATGATGGGAATTGTGGTCTTAAAACATCTGGAGGGCCGAGTTTGAGGAAGCCTGGTCTACAGGATTTTAGTATAGGAGATAGTATATGATAGTATATGCCGAAGGTCCCAGATCCTATCTGCAGCATCTCCAGGAAGGTCAGGGAGAGGCCCCAATCTGAAATCATGGAAATCTGCCCCCAGTCAGTGTAGCCAATACTGAGCTATGTGGACCAGCCATCTGACTCAGTATAAAGCAGCTTTCTGTGTTCCTTCCTAAATGTTTGAAAACTGGATGAGAAAATATGTAGAAAGATTATGGGGGAAGACTTAAGTCATTAACTTTATGGTGTCTTTAAATTCTTATGGATTTTTGAATGTTCAAATATTTAGAATTTTCAAGGCACTGATATTTCCCAGCTACAGTTGTAGAATAAGCATTTAATCTTTACCAGCTGCAGTTTGGCATCTACTGTGTCCATAAAAACCAGTGTAAACTACGTTAATCATAGACAATAAAGGGAAATTGCCATAGATTATGAAATATTTCTGAAGTTGACCTCAGTGTTGAACTAGCGTGACTCTTACAGTGACACAATATTACCATCAAAATCCTTTATTATCTTTCTCTTTCTCTTTCCCTTTCCTGTTAGATAAGTGTCATTATAACTTCATTTTTATGTTGGGTACTGTAAAGCGGTGGTTCCCAACTGTTTTTTATATGGTGATTGACGGCGCTTTTTTTCACTCGGAGTGCGCTGGAGCGTAGTTCCGAACAACAACTTCTGGCCCTGAGTCTTGGTACGAACCAATTCCCAAAACAATAACACTTCTCCTCTTCCTTCCCCCTCTCTCACACACCCAACCCTGACATGGCCATGCCATTGCTCCTCCCCATGGGCTATGCTGAGGCTGCTCTAGCAGGAGGCAACAGGGAAACCATGGTGCTGGAGGGAGCAAGCAGGGAGAGGGAGGGAGGGGGAGGGGGAGGGGAAGCCAGGCCACGGTGTAAGGTGTTCACAGCAAGGAGCAGGGCTTTTTGTCAGCTGGAACTCTCTGCAACTCGGTTCCGGAACCCCCCCCCTTCTCTTTCTTTTTAACATTTTTTTAAAATTCATTTTTACTTCTAACATTTATCGTCATAAATTCCGGTACCTCTCAGGTGGGTGCCATTGCCATTATAAGTGAACAAAGGAGACATTCATGGTGAATTCCAGCACCTCTCTTTCTATCAAAATAGCACTGGTGAGGAGGAAGAGGTGGTGACTGGTTGGGGGGCCTCCCTGTCACCCTGGCCCAGGCACCTTGGGACCGCGGGAGCAGCATGGCCGCCAGTCTGTGGATGGGAGGTGAGAGAAATGGAAGGGCGAGCAGGCTGCAGAGGGAAATTCCATGGCTGGGTTGGAAGTTTGGTGGATAGCAGTAGAGGGAGGGAGGGACCGATGGCGCACACTCTCATCTTTGCAGCAGGGCATGCTTTCCTCTCTTTCCCCCACCCTCCGTTAAGTTTCCTCAGTCTACCTTCAACTGGATGTTCTTTGTGGGCAGAAGCTTGTTTGCAGTGGCCATTTCTCCCGTGGTTCACAGCCTCTGTCACCAAATGTGTGACCAAGTTTGGTTTTGCAACTCGTTTTTCTGTGTCTGCTGCAGCAGGTGAACCAAGTGGCTATTCTGGAAATCATTACAGCGGTACCTCAGCTTAAGTACTTAATTCATTCCGGAGGTCCGTTCTTAACCTGAAACTGTTCTTAACCTGAAGCACCACTTTAGCTAATGGGGCCGCCTGCTGCTGCCGTGCCGCTGGAGCACGATTTCTGTTCTCATCCTGAAGCAAAGTCCTTAACCTGAAGCACTATTTCTGGGTTAGCGGAGACTGTAACCTGAAGTGTATGTAACCTGAAGCGTATGTAACCTGAGGTACCACTATATTTTATCATCATTGCCACCTGCTTGGAGAAAATAAAAACAACAAGCACAGCAACAGCCTGCCAGGGTGTACAGGAGGATGAGGAGCAAGGGGAGATTGTAGTAGAGGTGAGGGGGAAAGTTCCAGCCCCGTTTTTTTCTAGAAAAAAGTGACGGTGATTGACAAGTCCAAATTTCCTTGGTATGGTGATGCATCATTCTATTGTCCTATGAATTTTGGATCTTAGGACTTCAGCAGCTATTGGTTTTTGCATTTTAACTGCAAGTTTGCCTATCTATAACCATTTATAAGGACCGCGGGTGGCGCTGTGGGTTAATCCACAGTGCCTAGGACTTGCTGATCGAAAGGTCGGCGGTTCGAATCCCCGCGCGACGGGGTGAGCTCCCGTCGTTCGGTCCCAGCTCCTGGCCACCTAGCAGTTCGAAAGCACCCCAAAGTGCAAGCGGGAAGGTAAACGGCGTTTCCGTGTGCTGCGCTGGTGCTGGCTCGCCAGCTGCGGCTTAGTCACGCTGGCCACGTGACCCGGAAGCTGTCTTCGGACAAGCGCCGGCTCCCGGCCTCTTGAGCGAGATGAGCGCGTAACCCCAGAGTCGGTCACGACTGGACCTGTTGGTCAGGGGTACCTTTACCTTTAACCATTTATAACCATTACTTGAAGTTTGTGACACTGGAAGTTTATCTATTTTAGGACACACATTATTTTTGTGATTGTGAGTTGTCCTTTAAAAAAATTAAATACAATATTGTGTTTTAATGTTGGAAATGTTGGGACCTTAGAGCAAAGAGTGGGATGATGATGATGATGATAATGGGGTGTAATTTCCAGGGCATCAAGCCAGTTATATGCCTGGGATGAGGCAGCAACCACTAACACCACTCCATCTCTACAAGAGCAGCATAGCTCATTTCCTAGTGAATTCTGTTAGGCACCCTGGGTAGTCTGATGCCAATGGGTCTAAGCCAAGGGAGAGGAACCCTTTTCAGTCTGAGGGCCAAATTCCCTTCTAGACAATGTTCTGGGGGCCACGTGCCAGTGGTGAGCAGGGCTAGAAGCAAATTGGGCAAAGCAATGGATGCACATGTTACCTTTGTGCAAAAGATTCGTTGTACATCTTTCTTTTTTCCATCTAGGCATGAGAAAGGCATTTTTAGAGTTCAAGGTTACATTCCAGCCGGGCAAAGGCACTTAAGGAGAGTACGAAGCAGAACCAATGAGAGATATGGCCTGGGGAGTGCAGGAGTAGTAGTGGCCTCTTGAGAGTCCAAAGAGGCCGACAGAGATGCTTCGAGGGCCACATTTTGTCTCCAGGCCTGCGATTCCTCACCCCTGATCTAAGCACATGGAAGGAATAAGCAGAATGCTCCATCTGTGCAAAATTAACCACCAATACCTGCAATTATCTCATCCCCTTCTGCAACAACTGCCCATTCAAGAGCGAAGGAGCAGCCCTCTATTGCTGCTGAAAGGATCATTGAGGACAGAGGCATTAACAGCCATTAAATGTTCATGGCTTGTAGATGATCATAATGATCTACATGTGATTTGCATGCTTTCTCTTACACAGAAGTACTATTGATGTAGGGAAAACATCATATTAGAAATGGTTGAAGTTCCACAGTTCTTGTGGTGTGATGTGCGTTCTCAGTGCCCCAGTTTTTCTCTCCCACTTGCATAGCCTCCCTTCCTGCAGTTGGCAACCATGCTGTGTTTTGTTATTCCATCAGAGCTTGTGATGGTGATGGTTTGTTATATTTATATCCCACCTTTTCCTCCAAGGACCTTGAGATAAAGCTCATCCACACTTCCCTTTGTCTCATGATTTCTTCTGCTTCTCCAATAATTTCTAGGCATGGGTTGAAGAGGTTTTTCTTTTGTCCCACTGCTTTCCCCTGGAAAACCCAGTGTTTACTGCTGAATCAGAACAAACATCAATCTGCAGATGGGTGGGCATGAGGAACGGGGGCTTTTTTGTGGTGGTGCCAAGGCAATGAAACACTCTGCATAACAAAGGAAACTTGGTTGACTGTACTGTTGCTCACCAAAGATCCATATTTTCCAGCAGCCATTGTCCTGTGTGGGTTTTTACTAGAGATTTCTCATTGTTATTGTTTTCCCCAATAGCATTTGACTTGTTGATTTTAATACATTGGTTTCTTTTGATGTATGATAGTAATATCTTGTTTCTCTATGGCTGTATTTTCATGTCATGGTAAACTATGATTAATGGCTTATGAAACGGCAGATAATTACCTGCTTGTGGACAACTCCTTGCAGATTATTCCCGCTCTCAAGTGGGAGCAACAAACCATGATCCTTGCTTAATGTTCTGTTTGCACTGGGGCTCATGATTTGTTTCACCCCCAACAAACCACAATCTGAAGCCAATCTTTGTTCTTGGCTTATCAAACATGTTCTGTTTTGGCAAAACAAACTATGATCCCCAGTTTGGATGCAATGCTAAATCAAGGATTGTTGCTCCAGCTCACTGGTGGGAAACCATGAAGCAGGAATTATCCATGTGTTCACAGTAAACCATCGCTTACCGCAAGAAGTTTATATATGTTTGCCACCTGGGATATAAAATATTGTGAGTAAAGTATCAGAAAAGATGCAGCTCAGTTGAAGGATCACAGGCTCTGCATGCAAAATTCCCAGGTTCAACTCCTGGTACCTTCAGATAGGGCCCTTGTCTGGAATTATGGAAAACCAATGCGGGTCACTGTAGCTAATACAAAGTAGTGCAAACATGTTGGTATGAGGCAGCTTCCTATGATGCTAAATAAGCAATATGCTACTCATGTAGAAGTATTGCCTTTTCACAAAAATGTCCCCATCAAGTAAAAGACAAGTACGGATGGAGGTGTCAACCTGAGAAAATGCCTCCACTTTTAAAAAGTGGATGCAATCCCCAGAGATGTTCACCTGGTGCCTACCTTGGTGTCATTTCAGCACCTGACCACAACCATTTCCCCAGGCTTTGGACTATACTATTTTTAGTGGAGGAAGCTAGTGAATTAGTTTTGCTGTGCTTTCAGATAAGGCCTGCTGTTTTATCTGCTGTTGCTGCACTTGACATTTTGCTGGTGTGTTTTATGTTCATTTCACCCTGGAAACACTGTGTGTTGGAAGGTGTGGGGTTGTAAATTCAGGAAATGCAATGACTGAAAAGGACTGAAGTGGCAAAGGACGCTGCATCTCTCCTTGAGAGAACCCATGCTTTCCTTGCAAGTAGTCTTGGTATTTCCAATTAAAATAAGCTCAGGAAGCAAGGCTGGGGGAAAGACATCTGCTTTTGACTCTGAAAAGATCAATACTAGGCTAGGTGGACCAATGGTTTGACTCTGTCGGCTTGTTCAAATGTTGCACTGAACACAACTGCAAGCTGTCTATACACACGGATGAGTGTTTGTGTGAAAGGAGGTACACATGTTGATTTGTACAGCTCAACTAATTTGTACACAGGTACACATATTGTACACAACTTGAATTATAATATGTAAGCATCCCTAGGAACACAGGAAGCTGCCTTATATTGAGTCAGACCATAGGTTCAGTTTAGCTCTGTATCGCCTACGCTGCCCTTCCAGGGTTTCAGACAGATCTTTCCGAGACTTACCTGGAGCTGCTGGAGAGTGAGCCCAGGACCCTCTGCATGCACCGCAGGTGCTTTTCCAATGAGCAGCAGCTCCAAGCTTCAAACACACTGCTGTTGAGCCTCTTGGCCTGCTACTATTTTCACCACCTGCTCTGGGGCAAAACTAAATCCCTGCTTCCTACTGCAGGTGGTGGAAGAGTGTTTTTTAAAGAGATAGTTTAGCAGAGCTGCATTCTTGGCTATGACTTTCAGCTTGGCACCTGGGGACTCTAATTGCAAATTCCCAAACCAAATTTGGGTGTATTGGAAATAGCCCCAAAGTATAATCATATGGACTGGAAAGGGCTTCATAAGCTACATGTGACTTTTTTTTTCTTAGTCAACAAGGAGCGTGACAGAGTCTCAGTAACTGTGTCAACAGCCATACGTGATAGAAGCCATCTGCACACAAGGGGTCTGTAACAGCCGGTGGCATTTAGGATGTGTGCCGAAAACTGGCATGGTCTGTGCCTTGAGCCTCTTGGTACATTGTGTGCACAACGGCATCGCAGCGCAAGTGACCTCACAGGGCTCAGCTGAGCCCAGAAGCTAAGGAGACATGTAGTCATGGCTATGATGACAGGAGGGCCATTCAGCATCTTAAGAGACAATAAAGGATCCGTGTGCCCACTTTTTCCACCACCACCACCACCCCTTCTCCTCTCCTCCTCCCCCTGCCCTCAAAAGCTGAAGCCCAGGCCAGAGTCCCACATCATGCAGATGAATAGCAGGTCTGTTCCAGCAGCTGTGCTTTCCCTCCCACCCAGCAAAGGCACTGGGAGACTCCAGAAAGCTGCAGAGACTTGGTCTCTTGTCCGGGCTGAGAGGATTGAAAAGAAAACCTGGGAAGAAAAAAAGAAAAAAAAGAGATGGGATCGGAAGGAGAAATGATCAACCTTCATGTGAGTCCATTTTGGGCATATCAAGGAGGGGTTGGGGGCTGGTGAGTGAGGCCTAATGCTTGTCAGTCACTTCCTTGTCTCTTTTTTATTTCACCCTCTGCCTTTCTTTGAAGTCTCTTTCTGGATATATCTCCTCTCACCTCCTTCTTGCTCTCTGTCACTTTCTGGGCTGTTCACAGGAGCCAGATCCCAACAGGGCCCATCAAAGGACTGATAAGCTTTTCGGATAAGGAGGAGAGTCCCAGACAAGGAGAGCTGCCTAGAAAGAGCTTTTCTTGAGAGGCAAGCGTGCCTGTTTGACAAGCTGGGAAAAGTTATTCCATCTCTCTCTGTCCTTCCTCACAGAGCCCTTCTGTACTTCATTAGAAAACGTTCCCAACCCGAGGCATGAGGGGAAAAAGAAATAAACACTGCAACACCAAAGCGAGACAGCCCTGGACCCAAATTCCTACCTGGGGTTCCTAGAGAAACAAAACCTCTTGATCCAGCCCTCTCAGGCTCCTCTTTTTCTGCTCCTCAGAGTTTGTTTGCTTGAGGAGAGGCGCTTCCTAGAACTCGGGTGTCTCTTGAAAGGGCTGCTTATTGCAGATGGATTGCATTTTATTTAAAAAAAAACTGCCAAAGCAAAGGAGAGAGTTGAGTTTTAAGAGTTTTTAAAGTTTAAAGTTGACCACACAGCAAGACTTAACAGATGTTGAGGTATTTTATATCTTGTTTATTTATTTGCCATAGTTATAACCCACTCTTCCTTGTTAATGCAATCCCAGAACGAGAAAGGACACTAAGGCAGCACAAGGAAATAATATTTTGTTTTAATGCAACTTAATGTAAAAAGAGACAGGGATAAATAATCTGACCAAACCCAAAGAGTACTCATTAATAGTTCCTCATCATCCTGGAAAAACGTGGGCAGTTTTTCACAGCCCGTTGTTCCAAATCTTTGTAAACAACTTGGATGAAGGGATTGAGGGGGTGCACATCAAATTTGAAGATGATTCCAAACTGGGAGGGGTAGCTAAGGCTGCAGAAGACAGAATCAGATTTCAACATGACATTCACGAGCTGGGCCCAAGTTAACAAAGATAGAAATCTAAAGTTCTGCACTTAAGCAGGAAGAACAAGATGCACAAATATAGGATGGGGGACACCTGTCTTACTAGCAGTACATGTGAAAAGGATCTAGTGGTCTTGGTGGACTGCAAGTTGAACATGAGTCAACTATGTGACGCAGCAGCAAAAATAGCTAATGCTCTTCTAGGTTGTATCAATGGAAGTCTAGTGTCCAGTTCAAGAGAAGTAATAGTACCACTCTATTCTGCCTTGGTTCGACCACACCTGGAATACTGTGTCCAATTCTGGGCACCACAATTTAAGAAGGATGTTGACAAGCTAGAACGTGTTCAGAGGAGGGTAACTAAGATGACAAAGGGTCTGGAAACCAAGCCTTATGAGGAATGGTTGAAGGAGCTAGAGCCAGCAAATCATTGAAGCCCCTATCAGAACATCTAAATCAGAGATTGCCAACATGGTGCCCTCTGGATGTTTTGGACTACAACTCCCATTATCGCTCAGCGTTACCAATTATGAGGGACTATTGTAGTTGTAGTCTACATCTGGAGGGAACTGTGTTGGTTACCCCTGATCTACTAAGGCATTTTGTTGGTCACTGTGGGAAATAGGATGCTAGACTAGATAAGCCTTTAATTTAATCCAGCATGGTTTTTATGTTCACCCCTCTTGCCTCCTTCGAAGCCCACCTTTTCTTGTGAAGTCCTTTATTAATTTCCCTGTCCTAGTCTTTCTAGCCATGCATACTGATAACATTGTTTCAGCAACCTCCTATAATTGGCAGTGCATGAAAATATCTGACTTGCTAGCATGCCAAAAGATGGGAACTTTCAAAATATTTGTTGTGGATTCCTAAAACTGTTTGTATTATAGCATTCTAGTACCAGAAATGAGGGGAGATGTTGCACCAGGGATGGTGACTCTTGGTTTCAGTTTCTCTCACGTCTGCATTTTCCCAATTCAGTTATCCATATTTTAACATAGTCTGCAATTTTTAAAAAAGTAATTATGTAAATTCATCAATATTTCAATGCAACTATATTCTAATATCCTTTTTTTAATGATGTTTTCATTAATATGCACATTTTATTCTTGTGTGTCCATTTTTGTCCACGTTACATGGTTGGGGAATTGCATTGCCAAATTTGGAGAAGTGTGACTTTAAAAGATGGCTGTGTTCACGAAAAGCATGAACTGAATCAAAGGTGGTCGGGAAAACACCTGCACTGTGTGATTTACTATGGCAACTACAAATACTTTTTAAATAAGCCTTTAAAATAAACTTGGGCAGCAGCCTAGGCATTCTCCTGGTCGGCTCCCACAGAATACCTGTCTCTGAAGAAGGACCCCTCTTTGATTCCTTCTCAGAGACCAGATGTGGAAGAGGTGGCAGAGAAGCAGCTGCCGCTGCCACTTTTGCAATGACAATAAAGCTGTTTGTTTTTCAAAGTAACGGTGGCAGGGACAGAGAAGAGGGAATAAGGGGCACTGCCACTGCAAAGAGGACAATTGTGGGGACACCTCATCAACTGGATCATTCTGGGAAACCCCTGTAATCTGGAGCTGGACCTTAATAGATCTGAGTTAATTCACTTTGGCTTTAAGCAGATCTGACTGTCTTCTGTTGGACAATACCCCCTGGGTATCACATCCATAAGTCGCAAAGGATGGTTCCAAAAATTGGTGCTCAGTACTTCTTGGGGCATGAAAGAGAGCTCAGACCCAGAAACCTGCTGAATACCCTCATGTGAAGGAATATAAGAAGAGCCTGCTGGATCAGACCAATGGCCCCTCTAGTCCAGCATCCTGTTCTCACAGTGGCTAATCAGATGCCTGCAGGAAACCCAACAGCAGGATTTGAGCACAAGAGCACTCTCCCCTCCTGTGGTTTACAGCAACTGGTATTTTGAAGCATTGCTGCTTCCAAGGAAGCCTGAATTGGAATTGAGAGAAGCTGTGAGTCAGAAAATGTTGTGAGGAAACAGAGCTGAGAAGTAGAAACTGGAGGAAGGCCCAGGCCAACCCCCAATGTCTCAACCACCTCCTTCAACAACTTAAAAGCCAGCATTTAGAGGCTTGCCACCTCTCCCTAAGGGAGAGAACGAAGAAAAGAGCCATTGCTTATTTCCCTGCAAATAAACGCAGAAAAGTGACTCTTTCAGGCAAAGTGTAGCTAGCAATCTTGCCCACGCATGTTTGTCTGTGTAATGCAGAGGTAGAGGCTCTTTTGGGGTGGCCAAGGGCTGCATTACTGGGGTGGAAAGCTATGGGGGGGGCTGCATTCCAAGAGTGGGTTGGTCTGGACTAAAAGTGGGTGGGGCTCAGCATATGCACACACTTAACAAAGGCACACACACACTTAGCACACAGACACACTTGACACACACACTTAATAAAGACTGTTTCCTGTCCTCTATTTCTCCTCCGCCTTCTCACTCTTATTCTCTCACTGAATTGCATCTCTGTGCACTGAGAAGCTCCTGCCTCTCAGTGTACAGAGAGGAAATGCTGCAAACTGTTCTTACTGGATCACCAACTCCCTGCTTTCTATCACCGGGTTCTGAGAAAGGACTCCGCTTTTCCCAGTATTTGGAAAGAAATAAACAGTGAGCTGGCCAGACAGAGAACTTGCATGGGTGTGGCTTAACAGGAGAGGCCTGGCAAGCTGGATGGAGAAGTCTGGTAGTCCGGATCTGGCCCACAGGCCAGTCAAGCCAGTCATTCCCTCAGCCCTGATGTAATGTGGGGAAAATATAAAGACAGCTTTGTAAAAACAAAAACAAATGAATGAATGAATGAATGAAATGATCTGCCTTTCCATTTGTTCTGTTTAACCCAGGAGTGGGGAACACTTGACCCACAGTTGTAATTAGGGCCAGCATGGGCTCCAGTTTGGCCTGCAAGGCCATTTACTCAAACCACACCCACCTTCCCTATACCTAACATCAAACATGATGGAACTCATGTTTGATGTCATATGGAACTCAGTAGTGCAGCCAACCCCTGCTGAAAGCAGAGCTTGAAGTAAGCACCTTTCAGCTCTCCCTTTAACCCAACTAAGGACAGAGAAACACCTTTGCTTTTTGCACTTAGAAGGGCCAGCATCAGGAGCTGGTGTTATCGGGCACCTGCCAAGGCCCACACCCCTTCAAGGGCTCCACTGCCAACCCCTAGAGTTTCTTGGCCCTGCTGCCACTTCTCCTTATTGTATGTTCACCAATCCATAGCATAATTTTTATGTGATTTCATTTTTAAGCTATTTGCATGCTGTAAGTCACCTGCAGAAGAGTGAAAGTGCAGAAAGGCTTAATATAAATTGTACTACTAGGTAAAGGTAAAAAGGTAAAGGACCCCTGGATGGTTAAGTCCAGTCAAAGGCAACTATGGGGTTGCGGCGCTCATCTCGCTTCAGGCCAAAGGAGCCAGCATTTGTCCACAGACAGCTTTCCGGGTCATTTGGCCAGCAGGACTAAACTGCTTCTGGCACAACGGAACATTGTGACGGAAACGAGAGCGCATGGAAATGCTGTTTACCTTCCCACCGCAGCGGTACCTATTTATCTACCTGCACTAGTGTGCTTTTGAACTGCTAGGTTGACAGAAGCTGGGACAGAGCAATGGGTGCTTACCCCATCGCGGGGATTCAAACCGCCGACCTTCTGATCCGCAAGCCGAAGAGGCTCAGTGGTGCAGAAAGGCTGAATATAAATTGTACTACTACTACTACTACTACTACTTCTACTGCTACTACAAATGACATTTATTGATCAAGTTTACAATGGATGCCAGTTACTTGACATAAATGCAATCACACCAAAACCTCTAGCGTCTGTCTGAAATTTGAAATGACATTAATTGGAAGCATTTGTTCCTCTCCATGGCCAAAACAGAAATGAAACCAACCCTGGATGTTTCTTCCTTTTATTGTTCTGTTTTGGTTGTTGTTGTTTTAGCTTGTGTGAAACAAATAGAGTGCTTTTGTTTGTGCAGTTATTTATTTATTTATTTATTTATTTATTTATTTAAGTAAGTTAAGTAATGTGTTTGTAGTCCACTTTCCCTTTTTAAGCCATGATGCCTTTGGCAACATTCTCAGTGCTGCCCTGCTGTTCATCATTTTGCTTTTATCTTACTGTGTCCCTGATGTGAAAATTGAACTAATCAGTTTCAGGAACTAGGAAGTGTACATTTATGATTTAAGTACCCTATTTTGACATACTGGAAGTACCTTCTAGGAAATAACAACTTGTGTAGTAATTGGTGATTGTAGAGTTAAATATTGCTTGGAGCTAAGACTCCACCTGTTAGTTTGATCTTGTGGTTGCTTTCATTTTCCTATGTAGTTGTGTGTGAGCCTGTTCGTCAATAAGCAGCGTCTTTTTCTGGTCACAAAGTGAGTAACGTTGCCTTCTAATTGAATAAAAGCTTAGCAACTAGTTTGTAGGAGCACAACAGCTGAAAGCTGTTTTCACAAACTGTTTAGAAACTATTGTATTATTTGCAAGAATCCAGATGGGTATGATTGTAATTTCTGGCTGGAAATTTGTGCATTCGTTTTTAGTTATTTATCAAAGGACACCCTTTGACTCATCCTACAATGCGATGATAGATGTTCTGCCTTTGTGCATCGGTCCAACAGAACAAGTGCCATCAAACTTGCTCATCTTTCCTTGGACCCCACTGCCCCACGTGGTGGTGACTCTTTGCCAGTGTTGTACACATATGAGCCAAGACACTGCATAGAATCAAGCCATGATAATAGCTTCCTTTGCGTGTCAAGAGATAGCAGGATATGCCGATGATGGACAGGGCTGGCTCTACTATTAGGCAGAGGGAGGTTTCCGCTTCAGACAGATGATTATGAAAAGGCAAAAAAATTTTAGTTGGCCTTGGGTACTGTGTGCACCTTGATTAGTAGAGGGGGTGGTTGTCATTTGCTGCTCTGCCTTCAGCAGTATGTCGTCTAGAGCTGACCCTGAGCATGGAAGAAGAGTTTCTGTAGCAAGACACTTTGTTAACTTCCACTTAACTCTCTGAAGTACGGTTTCAGCTGAAACAGACACCACCACATGTTCTCTGTGAATGCACACACTTGTGCACTATTTTGTAATGCACAAGAGCCGAATCTTAACTTGTAATTAGCTTGTAATTGGCATTATGATTTAAAGTGGGAATGGGGAACATGGGGCCTACCAAATGCTATTGGTTTGGAGCTGTCATCATCTCTGGCTGCTGGCCAAGCTGGCTGGTACTGATGGGAGTTGGAGTGACATCAGGTGGGGATTCAGCTTCATCAATTCTTGTTTCAAAGAAAAGGCAAGCTTGGAACTAGGTTCAGAATTGGTACTAGGCTCAGAATTCAGCATCCTGCAAATTTCTGCATGTTTCTAGTCCCTAAAGGCTGTGAAAGTCAGCTTAAAAGTGAGTACAGGTGGTAACTATTTTGCGCATGTCCAGTTAATACATGACCGCTGATGCACAGATCATTTTAGACCCGGAAGAGGGAATTGTAACAGGGTGGGCTTGTGTGTGCTGTGTTGACACACACAGGGGCCAAGAACAGAATCCCCGCACAAAATAGTTGCCGCCTGTATTTGGTTAAGGCTGCTTACTAAGAAGTAAATCCCACAAAATTCAATGGGGCTTACTTCTGAGTAGGCTTTATATAGGATTGCAGTGTCAACCTCAGAGGTCAGGATGGCTTGTGGGATTTTCCAATAGCTGTGGCCCAGTCTTGATTGTCTTGCATAGTTTTTGCCATTCCTCATGGCTAACCAATAGACTATGTAAAATAATCAAATTGCAGGCAGATTAGCATAATTAGCATAATTTATAGAAGTCATAGAATCCAGTTCTTCTTGCTGCTAAATTTAGATGCAGAATATGCACATGGCCTGTTGTCACATGGCTTTATTCAGAATGTAAAGGGCTGCAGATACATAGAAAGAGAGAGTAAAAGATGAAAGCACTGAACAGATACACACACACACACACACATATATATATTGTTTCCTTCATGGCACTGACAAGAAAGTGGGTTTGGTTTGGTAACCAAAGAAAGAGACTTCCATTTTTCTGCTTCTGTGACTTTAAAAGTGGTTTCTGAGTGGTTACAAAATCTTTACCTTGAAAGCACATTTGTAGGCATGTGCGGAAATGGTCAACTAATGCATGCTTTCTAGTGCAACAGAGCCCTTTGCTCTCTTTTAGTGGTTTTCCTAGAAATGTGACCATCTGAGGTTGCTGACTGATGAAGCCCTGCCCCTCTGCTGTTAGACTTAAGCAAGGCCTTTTAGGGTCAAAGAGCATGTGGCCTGGGAGGCCCATGATCAGATCTCCTGTTACCTTTTTAAAAGCAATCTCGGGTGGAAGGATTTGAACTGGGCCTCTAGCACTGGAGAAGTAGGGAAGGGGACTTTGGGACTGCTTATCTAGCAGGAGATTCCAATCAGCTTGAAATTTAAGTGTGTAGTTAGAATGAATAAAAGCACCCTGTTGTGCTAGTGCAAAAAAAAATGGACTTTCTGTTTTTAGGAAAGTGTGACAGTGGGAAAGCACTGAAAAGTGTGATTAATGGAAGACACATAAACACTCAGTTATCAAATTAGGGTGAATGCTCATTGCTGTTCTAAAGAATCCAGACATCTTCATAATATTCCACTTCTTCCCATAGGTACCACCCGTGCTTTTCCCCCCCTCTCTTCAGGGGATACTCAAGGGTACGCAGTACTGGCACCTCTTTTTGTTGTTAAAAAGTATGACACTTACTGTAAGAACTTCATGGTGAGTAAAAAGGTAAAGGTAAAGGTACCCCTGCCCGTACGGGCCAGTCGTGTCCGACTCTAGGGTTGTGCGCCCATCTCACTTAAGAGGCTGGGGGCCAGCGCTGTCCGGAGACACTTCCGGGTCACGTGGCCAGCGTGACAAAGCTGCTCTGGCGAGCTAGCACTAGCGCAGCACACGGAAACGCCGTTTACCTTCCCGCTAGAAAGCGGTACCTGCACTTAGGGGTGCTTTCGAACTGCTAGGTGGGCAGGAGCTGGGACCGAACGACGGGAGCTCACCCCGCCGCGGGGATTCGAACCGCCGACAATGCGATCGGCAAGCCCTAGGCGCTGAGGTTTTACCCACAGCGCCACCTGTGTCCCTTACATCACCTATTTTTCTAGAAGAAAAAGCACTGCGTACCACTTCCAGAGGCGGTTTTAGGGTAGTGTGACTGGTGTGGTTGCACTGGGTGCCAAGCTGCTGGGGTTGCCACAACAATGGTGTAGAAGGCAGCGTGTGAAGTGTGTGTGTGTGTGTGTGCTGAATTTTAACATCACTCTGAGTGCTACTGAAATTTGAGAGCCCAAGATCCGCCACTGCTACCTCCACTGCCAATGCAAGTGCTCTACAGAATGTATTTTTGTAGTGGGTGTAGGTGCCTATTGGGTCATGGCTGTGTTATCACTAACCACCACCAGAACGTTTCCACCTCCTGTGCCTTGCCTACGATTTTAGAGGTTCAGTGTGTCCTAGGGCAACATTCCAGTGCACGATCCTTGTCTAGCCCTTAAAAAGACTTCCATTTTTATTTTTTAAATTAAATACTATATTTTTCATCCAACTATGTAAGCATCCCTTTTCCAGAGTTATATCTGTCCTAATTATTTTGTAAAAGAAGTATACTTAACATATAAGCACATATAACTTGGCAGCAAGGGTTGTTCTCTTATCACCTCTGCACTGGAGGATTGAAGGATATTCTGCAAAAGGTTCCGTGCAGTTGAGGGCACTTCCAACAGCTAAAGGTCATCTGTATAACCTGTAAGTACAGAAGGAAAGGGGAGAAAGAAGTGGAAGGGAACATATCCAGGTGGTATCTGAAACTTGTCCAAACTCTGTAGCCAGGGCCAGATAATATTGCCAATATAATGGTGATTTAAGATGTGGAGCAAAAGTTATGTCTGTTTTGCAACTCGCACAGTGCTGTGACTATACTCTGAGCTAGAAAGTGTTCCACGAATAGCCTAACATTGTGATGCTAGAGAGCTTGAGGCATGAAAATATGCACAGAAGGGATTTTTTTGTAAGTTGCCACTAACTTGAACTTTGTTCTATAATTGTGTGATATTTCTCCCCTATCCTCTAAATTGTCCTTTGCTCGTTCATCATAACTACCCTGGGGTGCATTTTTCTGCATATTGGAGAAAGGGAACCTATAGATATTCACTCTGCATGGAGCAACTGGAGCATATATAGAGTGAGAAATAGAAAGGTATCGTGTATGAGCCAAGAGTATGAGTTGAGAGATACTTAATCCAGAGCTTACCTGCGGGTAGAATTAGACACGAAAGCAGATGCGGAACTGCCATGGTACCATGTTGTTTCCTGCCCCTCTATCTGCTCCATAACATCTAGTTTGCCACCATCCAGAATGTGCCACCACTGTGCTCTGCACTAGCCCTAGGATGGCCACTTAGCCATTGCCAGATATGAGGAAATGCATCATTAGAAATAGGACACAGATTTGCAGAAAAGTTGCTTGTGCTAATTTATATAGATGGAAATTTGTAAATAGTCACTGTAATTTACATGGAACAGTGGTTCTCAAACTTTTTTCTCTGGGTCACACTTTCAGGATAAAATTTTGCTCTCGAGTCACTCCACACTAAACCTTTTATTGATAAGAAATACACTGGAAAACAAAAAGAAACAACTCCTAGCAGTGTTTGATTTATAACATAGAACACAACTGCTTTATTATATGATCATGGGACATCCAGAAAATATAAAACAATGCAGCTACATAAGAACATGACTCATTCCCAACTTACAATTATAAATGAGCCTCTTACATAGGTACCTTAAGTATGTATACAAACTCACTGAGAGGTGTCAGTTTGCTTTTGCCAGGTCTTTATATTGGGTCTAATTCGAGACAAACTCTTATCTCCTCATCAACACAAATGAAACGTTTACATGATTCTGAGACTGTCCTTGAATCTTCCGTCACAACTCCTGCCACACCAGTGTGGCTCCCCACACCCATTGAGAACCACTGAAATAGAAACACAATACTGTACATCTCACTGTGGTGGAGACAGTGACCAGATGAGCTGTGTGCCTGTCCAGTCTGCTGTGCAAGTGGACTACTTCCATGCTCCTGATTCCTTGCTGCCCTCCCTTCTTATGGGTCTATATCTTTAAACCAGACTTGGAGCAGACAGCCTTTCAGATACAGGACTACTTCAGATAAAAGACTGTAAAGTAGCCACTCTACTGCCCTGCCCAGCCTCACCCTCTGTTCGCCAAGGGAGTGAGCCAGTGCCCAGTGCAATGAGAGGCAAATCTGTCAGTTACATTTTCTCTCAGCTTATTTTTCCAATCTTAAATTCAGTTCTCCAGATTTGTGCATCCCTTTGCACGTAAAAGCAAATAAGTCCTCGCGTTAATTCATCAGCAATTTAGTGTGCATTTCTCCTGATAGGGAAATTTGCATGCAAAAATGTGCCTAATATAATGCTTTTAATTTTTTAAAAAATTAATATGTACATTCTCATGCAGTTTTCCTTTTTACACACATTTTGGTAGACATTATTTGGTTGTAGAACTGCATTGCAAAATTTGGAGAAGTGTGACTTTCAAAGGATAACTGTGTTTCAGTTTCTGTATTATTTCAGGAAACATGAATTTGGTAGTTTTGACCAAACCAAAATCTCTCTTCAGGCCCTAACTCTAACATTCTGGTATTTGCCTCTGGTTTAGTTATCTGCTGCTGCTGCTTTTTTAAGCAGCCAGTGCTACTCTTGTTTGTTTGATATCTCCACTCTAAAGATGATGGTGTCACCATCAACACCTGATTATTACTTACGTTAATCAGGCTGAACTTTCCATCAGTTGAGGCCAATGATGGGAGGGTGTGGGAAACTCTCTTAACTATGCTTCAGAATTGTAAAAGGCTTCAGCTTCGACATTGTTAAGTTAGAGCCAATTGCTTATTAAGCTGTTCCAAGTGCTTGATTAGATAGAATAATGAACTTGGGCAATTTAGTATATTAAGTCTTTGTTTGGATGCTCTTGGTGGGCTACCAGCAGTGAATACAGACATTTTGATTGAGCTATATTTTGCTAATGGTACTGCTTCTGAGCAATTATCTGTCACTGCTCAACTGCATCATGCAGTCATTGTCAACATACTTCCACATCAGCCAGTCATTGGCTAGGGAAATAAATTGTGAAACACATTGTTGGGAACTTGAATGGCTAGTCTTCTGGTTGTAAATCAACTGTAGCATGCTTTGTGCAAGAAATTGGACATGCTGAAATGTTTTTTTCTTTTAAAAAAGGTAGGTGTGTGCACAGACATAGAGAAGGAATGCAAGAAACTGCCTTTTACTGCAGCAGACCATCCACAGTGGTACCTCTGGTTACATACTTAATTCATTCCGGAGGTCCATTCTTAACCTGAAACTGTTCTTAACCTGAAGCACCACTTTAGCTAATGGGGCCTGCTGCTGCCGCGCCGCTGCTGCGCAATTTCTGTTCTCATCCTGAAGCAAAGTTCTTAACCCAAGGTACTATTTCTGGTTAGCGGAGTCTGTAACCTGAAGCGTATGTAACCCGAGGTACCACTGTATCTCAGTATTGTATACACTGATTGGCAGGAGCTTCCTTAGCCCTATCTAGAGATGCTGGGGATTGAATTTAGGACCTTTTGCCGACAAAGTGGTTGCTCTGTTACTGAGCAAAGTAATGGAGTTGCAACATGGAATGCTGTTGACAACCTTTGTAGAAGGCTGTGGTGCCTAGAGCCATAACCAAAAGATAAAACCATTTAAAACTCAACTAAACTTCTGATACCATGTTGAAAGTTTCATAGAAAGACCGCCTAAGTAAGATTTTGAAGTGCAAAGCCAGGATGGTTTTTCAAAAGCCCGACAAAGATTAGAAATTATGCTATAAATTTATTTACCACCACCTGCAGGCATGATGGAAAGTAATGATTTGCTAACATATGCAGCATTTTCCCTTATAGCTGTGAATAATAAATATAAATAGGTCTGCCCCTCTCATGCATACCAAACTGTATTGTAGAAGCTATAATTTAATGTGAAGTTTGGAATAAGAAATAAGGCCGTCAATGTAATTATTACTCATTGCTGCTCAGCTCTGATGCATTCTTTGGCTTCTCTTTGGTATAGAGCCATGGACATGATCCAGCAAGAGTGTTACAATATGCTATCAGGACCGTCTAGGTCGGGCCTCAAAATATTGTTCAACTACAGCTCCCATTGCTCCTCACTGTTGACAATGTTGACTGCAACTGATGGGAGATGGATTCCAACAACATCTGGAGAACCAGATTTCTCACTTCTATTTTAGGCAGTGGTACAGCTAAGTAACTTCAGATCATGAATTTATGGCCCTCCTTTTTTGATGGTCCTGTTTAATACTTCAGTTGTGAAGCACACAGTTCACATTTATCTTCTCTTCCCCACTGGAGCCTCCAAATCTGTGCTTTGCTGCCCCCAGTGGTGAGGTATTTGAGGCCTGGAAAACTTTCCAGGGTGATTACCGGTATGTCCTCTCAGGTTTCAGAAGGACTCTACCTATCCAGGCAGCCCATCGGTTTCCCCTGACCAGGGCAATGAAGACAGTAATTCTGTTTATTGCATAGATAATGCAGTCTCTTTTCTGTATGGTCCTTTGCACAGCTTGAGTTTGAGGCTGCTACTTTTTAATCTGAAATACTTTTTGTATGTCAGAGTCTAAACAGAGTAATGTTATATTTGCAGGAGAAAATAAAGTTCTGTATTGTTTGATGGGGGGGGGACTGGGACCGGGACCACAGAAGTCCCTAGTGGCATTCTGGTTTTCTTTGGGACTTTTCTTATTCGTGAAAACGAAATAATTTTTTTTTTAAAGTAAAGAGGTCTCTTGTTTGGCCTTCCAGTACAGTTTCCAAAATCCTGAGGCCAGATTTCAGTTCTAACCCATGCATAAGCAACTGTCTCTCTGTACAATGTGCAGGACAGATCTCAAAATGTCTGTTTCTTGGTGTCTTTGAAATTTGAATCAAGCACCTTTTGTACTGCCAGGGGCTGGTTGGTTTGAAATTTGAGTAAATTTGTTTGTTGAGTTGTCTTGAAATTTGAATAAAGCAGGTTGCTTACCATCAGGAGTTAAAGCCACCCATTATGTAACTCCCACCGAAGCTAATAGATTTATTCTAGGGATTAATTTAGCCTCCAGGGTGACAATCAGGCTGAGGAATCTTGTGACAACAGGCTCCATCATGACTGCATTCTTGTGGGGCGGGAGGAACAACTTCTTCATTATCTATGTCTCCATAAGCAGCAGAAGAGCAAACCAATTCTCAGCACAAGCTTGTGTGTTTTTCCTCAGAAGTAAGTCCCATGGAGTTCCGTGGGACTTCCTAAAGGAAACATTTGTGGCAGGCATGGGGACTCCTGAGGACAGCCTTCCAGGGACCACATTCTGTCAGTGGGTGGGGCTAGAGGGGAAAATGGGCGGGGCAACAGATGCAACACTTACTTTTTGTACAGCTATATTTCAACAACAGCAACAGCAACAATTTATTATTTCTACCCTGCCCATCTGGCTGGGTTTCCCCAGCCACTCTAGGCGGCTTCCAACAAAATACTACAATACAATAGTCCTTCAGATATTAAAAGCTTCCCTGAACAGAGCTGCCTTCACAAAACAACACAAAAGCCAGAGGGTTCTCTGCACACACCCTTCTCTCTATTCTGGCAAGCAAGGGGATTTAATCACAGTTCAGCAACACATTCCTGCCAGGCAACACAATGAGAGTGTGAAATAAGGAAGGTGTGGGGAGAGAGGGTGAGGTGTGAGGAGGGATTTGACCTGGGAAGAACCCTCATAGAGAGATGTGGAGGGCCACATTTGAACCCTGAGCTTCCCTGCCACTGGTGTATAGCAGAAACTAATCTAATATTGGGCCAGCCTTGTGTTTCTTGGCCCAAGCAGGATTTGAATTCTGGTCTCCCAGGCCAACAGTTGAACCACTGCTCCACCACTCAGCTGGCATTGAGAAGGAGAGCATGATACTGTGCAGCTGAAGAAGAGACATCACTATGTAACGGCTGTAATGGGAGCTGGTGATGCCTGGGTCCTTTGCATTGAGTGGCACCATTTTTCTGTTGAAAGCATATGAGTCAGCACAGCTGCAGAGAGACCATGAATGAAGGGGCAGCTCAGAAAAACAAGGTCAGCTGACACAGACAAAATAAACACACACATCGGGGGCAGCACACAAACACCCCCCTCTCCAGCCCGCCCTGGTTTGTTTATCTTTTTAATCTTTATCTCTAAAAAAAACAAAAAAAACACACACCACCACTATACATCATTATCCTGTGCTGGTTCTTTTCTCATTGGCTTTGGGGCCTCTCTGAGAGAAGGTACGAGCCACGAGGATCCCTGGCCTATTTAGCAATATTTTAAAAGGTTAGTCCAAATAGCAAACAAGACAGCTTGATCCACACGCAGCAAAAGTCGCAGAAGGGATAAGAGAGGGAGCTGTGCCCTTCAGCTCCACGAATATGAATAGGCACTAAAGCATGCTTAACTTTCTGCTGATTGCATTATGGGGATGTTATCCTCAGCACGTAACTAAAGTGGTGAAAATAACGTCCACATAGGTAGCTGCAATCTGTAGAAGGTTAAGTGCACTTTGAGGCCCATTTAAATCAATGAGATTGAAGGCCACAATTAATTGTCCACATACCATCAGTTTCCTGCATTACTCTCTCTCTGCCTCTGTTTTTAATAATAATTTTATTATTTGTACCCCACCCTAATTGCTGCGAATCACAAGTGGAGAGAACAGCTCATTTTATCAAAGTTAAAGTGAGGAAGCATTTGCCCATGGCAGGATTTCTCCACCAGCATGAAATTGCTGGCCGTGGGGTGGTACTGTTTGAGACTAGAAGGCCAGGCTTCAGGGGGATTAAGCATGCTCATCCAAACAGAAACTACTTGGGATTCCAAATGAAATGTTTTGAGGATTTAGGCCTTTAAGAAAAAAATTAAATTTCTGATTCCCTGCTCACTTAACGAACTAATGGGGTTTATACAGGTCTTCTCAAATTAATCTGTTTTGAGTGCTGGCAAAAGAACAGATCCTCCACAGCCTGTTTTGTATGGAATATGGTGGTTCAAGAGGATAAAAAAAAAGGTTAACGTTTGTAAGAACCTGGAGAAAAATGGTTCTGTTGGAAATATTTCCCCAGCATGATAATAGATTTCTTTTTTAATGGCTTGGTTTGCACATAATGCTAAGCCATGCTTTATATAAACCAAGGTTTATAAACAAGCAGCAAACAATGGTTTAGGAGTGTGGCTTTTTCATGGTTAAGAAACCATAGTCAAGACACTAGGCCAAGTTTGGATGATCACATTAAACCTTGCTTTACTAAATTAAATCATGGTTTATAAACCATGGCTTTGTCTTATGTGTGAACCTGATCAGTGAGTTGAAAGGAACTCTGGTCATGCCAAAAAGAAGCATTTGTCCCTTGCGCCTTTCTTTTTCTTATATGCCAGAACCAAGCCCTTTCAGATCTTGTCTTAGTACAAATTAATTCCATCCAACATATCCCTCCAATGGCTAGTCAGATCTCCAAGACTTAGTGGTCTTTTGGGCACTGCTTTCTCCTTGCCAGTAGCGATTTTACTTGACAGAGTGGATTTTTTGAAACTCTAGGAACTGGGCCAGCTTCGTGGTGAGCTCAGGTATTTACGCTTTGGGTGGGGAGAGCTTTCATTTGAATGGGTCACTTTAAAGCTCTTCCTCCAGGCTCATTTTCACAATGTATAAACAAGGAGTGTTCTGGCTCCGGTAGAAGCAGCTGACTTCACTGTTCTGGCCAGCTGCAGGGAAAGGTGTTGCTCCAGCAGCCATCAATGTAGAAAGGATATAGAGGGAGGGAAAGACACATGATGGTGTTGCTGTTGAGCCAGAGAGAAGCGGCGTGCTCAGTTTTGACCTGAGAGCATTTTATACAAGCAAAAGGCTTGTCATTGTGACAGGCAGGGATGTGAAATGAAAGGGAGACTGGGGAGGATCCAAGGCACTGTGCACTTTGCAGAAATTCTGTAAACTGGGCTATCTTCACTACATTGAGTGCAATTTCATGTTTGTCTTTGCTTTTAAAATTATTATTTTTAAAAAGCCATGTGAGAGTGAGTGGGAAACAGGTTCAAGGCCATGGCATGCAAGGAGTGGGAGATAATCCCCTCCATGCTTCCTTCCTGGAAAATAAATCCCTTTTCCCTGAAGCTGCTTATTTTCTCCAGGTGGGAAGCTACTCTTGGCAGCAAGGTAGGCTCTGAACAGTAGACATTTCAGATCCGCAGTGAAATACACTGGAAAGTATTGCAAGATCTTGTAAAGCTGGCATTCAGGGCATTAGGCGTGCGTGTCGTAGGGATGGAGATTATTTTGTTAATTTTGGAACAGTCACGAGCAGGCAAGTGGACACAATGGTGTAGGAAATGCCAATTGTTATGACAGCTCATAGTTTGAAAGCAGCTGGAGTGATCTGAGGCAAGGCCCTTGCAGAATACATTTTAATAGTTTTAACCTTCCTGAGGAGTTCCTATAAAAACAAGGCTGCATGTTGCCAAGTTCAAGGGCAGAGGAAAAGATCAGGAAAGATCCTGCTAAATAAACAGATATCCTCCTGACTGGCAGGGTACCTTATCTCTGTAGGAATCTAGAATGGTGGAGGTTTATTGTTGTTATTATTAATAAAAGTCATCTTGTTAATAATAATAGTTTAATGTATTAAGGTAAACAAAGTTTCCCCCTTGCTTCTTGATTATATATATATCTGTATATAGATATTGTACTGAACAGTAATGATATAAGGACACTCCCTAGACTGTGTGATGGAAAGTTGAATGTGTTCATAAGCTTATGCATTTGGCGATGATGCAGATTGCTGCCCACAAAATCTCATAAGCCTTGATGGATCAGACCAAAAGCTCACCTGGTCCAGCATGCTGTTCTCCTAGTGATTTAAGGCTGATTTAAAGAAACATGGGGCAAGGCTGAGAAAAGTGGGCCAAAAGCTAACTGTGACCAGGTCAGAGAGAGTGGGATTGGCACTCACCTACCCAGCTATATGGTCATGTCTCCATATATATTATTCTCATGTAGGATGATCATGGTCCCTACTTTACAGAATATGACCCTCTATTTTGAAAGACTATCAGAGGACAGTGCAGTTTTGAAAATGTCTTCTGTTTTAAGGACTGTCAAATTGAAATATAAAGAACCCTAAGAAGGGAGAGTACAGTGATACCTCGGGTTACAGACGCTTCAGGTTACAGACTCCGCTAACCCAGAAATAGTACCTCGGGTTAAGAACTTTGCTTCAGGATGAGAACAGAAATTGCGTGGCGGCAGGAGGCACCATTAGCTAAAGTGGTACCTCAGGTTAAGAACAGTTTCAGGTTAAGAATAGACCTCCAGAACAAATTAAGTTCTTATCCCGAGGTACCACTGTAATTGGGCCTTCAAGTTATCAATTAACAGTGAGAAACCTGGACAGCCGACAGAGAAAGCACTCAGGTTACTTGCTCACACTGTTAGAGTGAGATGTACTTTTTTATTTATTTAAATTATACTAATTCTTTCTAAATAAACTACCTTCATGCAAATCAGTGTCCTCATTTTTTTGGTGAGACATCTCTTTTGACAATGTTCATCCCTTTTCTCATCATATGGCTGGTATCTCATTAATAATCATATATTACCCATGATCACAGAATTATAGTGTTGGAAGGGACCCCAAGGGTCATCTAGTCCAATTCCTTGAAAGACTCCTTGACAGATGACCATTCATCCTCTATTTAAAGATCTCCAATGAAGGAGAGTCCACCACCTTCTGAGGCAGACCATTCCACTGTCAAGCAGCTTTTACCATCAGAAAGTTCTTCTTGATGTTTAGTCAGTTCTTTTTTGTAATTTTCATCCATTGGTTCAGTTCCTACTTTCTGGAGCAGCAGAAAACAAGCTTGCGTCATCTTCCCTGGGATAGCCTTTCGGGTATTTGAAAATGGCTATCATATCCACTGCTATTTTTCTAGAAAAAGAGGTGCCGGAACTCACCATGAACACCTCACTTGTTCTCTTAGAATGACAATGGCGTCCACCTGAGAGCTGCCGGAACTGAGTTCCAGCTGGGGGAAAAAGCCCTGATCATATCACCTCTCAGTCTTTTCTCTTCTCTAGGCTAAACAATTCCTCATAAAGCTTCATTTCCAGAGTCTTTTTCATCTTGGTTGCCCTCCTCTGCACATGTTCCAGCTTTTCAATATCCTACGTAAACTGTGGTGTCCAGAACTGGGTGCAGACCCCTGGTGTGTTCTGACCAAGGCAGAATAGGGTGGTACTATTACTTCCCTTGATCTGGACACTATACTTCCGTTGATGCTTCTGAGTAGAAACCAGCCACATGTTTTAGCAGGTCAAGGAAATAACAGTGTGGCAACAATACTGTTGAAATGAACACACGACTACCAGTTGCAAAGATTGCGACAGTTATGACTGAGAGATAAGCAAACGCCAGGGATGAAGAAATAGTCATGCATGGTGCCTGCGGTACTAGGGATGAGGGAACCTGTCAATCTTAGTTTCTTTCAGTTTCTCATTTTTCCAGTCTTATGCTCAATTCTTCATAAACGTTTTGTCATTTTTTAAATCTTTATGAAAATTCACCAGTATTTTAATGCAAATTTCTCTGGGCATTTTTGCCTAATAGACACATTTTTGCAAACCAATTCCCCATAATATATTGCAGTAGGAAGCATGCAGTTTTCACTAATATATACCCTAGCATATATTTTTTTGGTAAATATTACTTGCCTGGAAATTGCATTTCAAAATTTGGAGAAGTGTGAATTTCAAAGGATGATTGTGTTTCATCTTCTGTATTTATTTTGGAAAGCGCAAATTAGGTCAGTTCACCTTTAAATGCAAACTGAATTAAACCTCTCTTCCATTTTTTTTGCTAAAACAAAGTTACTTTATTGTCTGAAAAGAAATGACATATACCCTAGGCTTAACAGGCCAGGAGTTTCTGTATGTTGTTTCTTTGCCAATTCTGTTTAATTGCATCTTTTTCCTCTCCTTGCTACCCTTCAGCTGTTGCTACTCCTTTCCTAGGATAATCCCTTCACAATTCAGGAATAGTCACCATTTCACCAGATATATACTCTGCCCCTTCTTTCTGTCCCTTTGTTTCGTTTAGATAGTTTCTGGAATTGGTCCAAAAAACTTGTGTTTTTATGGCATGCATATTATCATTATGATGGTGGTGCATATTGCAGTAGGAAGCATTAAAATCTAAAATTGAAATGTTGTATTCTCACTATTCAACTGATCTCATATAAGAGGGGCTGCCTGGGGATGGGGAAATCTGGGTCAAAAGGAAAGCTGTGTGGGCACTGGTGTTGTTTGAATTTCAGTTCCATGGAACACAGAGTTGGCCTTATTTTTCTAAGCATTTCTGAGTACAAAATGCATCTTTGAAATAAAGTGTTGCTTGAATGATAAGAGGCGAAGTAAACAAAGTCTCATGCTTCATTGTATTCATACTTTTGCAGTATTCGTCCATATCTCTGACTTGACCAGTTCATGCTTCCAGTGACCTGTCTGTCTGTTGATTAAAGTTATATAAGAGAGAATTAAGGTTATGAGCTTTAGAACATCCTGTTCAGGGCAGCATGCAACATTAGACTATGTATGTATTAAAATGAGACAGCAATAATGTTGGCATTTCTCTTTCTTTGCTGTTAAAACATTCAAATCATGTTAAATCGGTCCTTGGTGAAGACTGTTAAGGATGTTGTGGGAAAAACAAGGAGAAGCTGAATGCATTGTACATGGCAGGAGGAAGCACTTTAGCAGGATAGTCAACGAATCTGTTATGTACTAAGCTTGGATCCTAGAACAATAGGCAAGTAGGATCCTAGAATGCAACAACTGATTGGCCTGCAGGAAAAGACCAATCAGGCTCCAGGAGGGAAGCAGAATCAGCCAATCAGACGGGACTCCTTGTGTAAATAATGTATATAAAAGCCTGAGCTTTGGGGGGCAATTCAATCACTGTTTTACAAGCTGCAATAAAGAGCATGAAATATACTCTGAGTATATTTCAGAATCCATGTTTTTAGACAGCATGATCTTAACAGTTAATTGATTCACTCTGTTGCTTGCTTGCTTTCCCACTTCCTCGAGTGGTGACAAATTCCTCGGGCAGCGCTACCCAGGCTTGGCCTCCTTTAGATGAGAGAGCACTGAAGACTTGCACTGTTTTTGCAATGCTTGCTTCATTTACAAATATAGAAACAGAGCGTAAGTGGATGCAAACAGTCAGCAGGCACTCTTAGAAGGCAGCAGATCTGCCCTATAATCACATCAGGTCCTCAGAGAGGCCTTCAGCCTTTAGCCAACTCACATAGCCTTACCTCTTCCAAATTACAAACACACACACACACACACACAGAGAGAGAGAGAGAGAGAGAGAGAGCTGCCCCACAGTGCTGAAATCAATGGGAAGCTGAGGCAGAGTTCTGTTGGTCAGACTCGGAATAGATATGGAGCTTTGGTTCAAAGCCACTGCCTGGGTAGTAAGGCCCTGTGAGTGCAATGGAACTTACTTGTCTCACAGTAAGAGTGCATGGGAGTGCCCATGCTCTCTGATGCACATAGAGTTCTTGTGTCTGTACGGATCTCCATTCACTTCCATGGAAGGAGGTGATCCAAATTTGCATGCATAGATCAGCTCCCTACATGGAAATGATAGACTTAGCAACAGAATTCTGTATATGCACCAGACCTGATATATTAAATTTTAAGCATATATGCTGCTTTGCTAAAGATAGGTCTCAGCATGCAGCCTACTTCCCCCCCCCAAAAAACCCCCTCATAACACTATGTATGTATATTTGTATAAGATGCAGGACAAGGATGTGGAACCTCTCAGCTTCCAGATGTTGCTGGACATCCATCAGTCTCAGCCAGCATGGCCAATCAATAGACACTATGGGTGTCAGTCCAACAACATGTGGAGAACCCCAAGTTTTTCATTTACATCTATAATCCATTTAAGTTGAAGGTGAAAGAGCTACTGCTACTGAAACTAGACTTCACTTTGAGGGTTGTTTGCTCCAGTTTCACATGTGTAAAAATCATTGTCTTTCCGGATAGAGATATTCCAAATTACAACCTTAAGTAAATTAGATCTTCTTCTTAAACAGCTACAACTCAAATCATTTTAGTCTTTTTTTTTTAAAAAAAGGGGGGGGAGGGAAAGAAATGCAACCATTTTCCATTGCCAAGGTGATCACATGCAAAAACTAACTTTTCCCCTCATGATTTTTTTCAGTGTTCGGAGAAAAAAATGTTGCTGGAATGTGAATCAAAGATCTGGGTACTTTCCAGCAGTCCACACTATGAAGGATTTTGGCAATGGGAATGGGCTGTTGGTTTCAGTGAAAAGTAACAGATGCAAACTGCAGCTCCATATGGATGATGCCCTTAAGAGTTTCCAGTAACTCCTCCAGCACCACTGGCAAAGGGCAGTTATTGGTCTGCATCCTAGGACCATGACAAAGTTTGGCTTTCACTGTAGTAGGAATAAGTGCATCATGCAGTAGATCCCCCCCCCCCGCTGAATTGTTCAATTAACTACTGGGGAAACTTGCAATGGGGAATTGAAAGTGGAGATCGCTTGCAGATGTCATCTTGGAGGCAATATTTGACTGTGCACATTGTTTTTCAAAACTTCCTTCCAAGAAGCAGCAGTCTTCGGTTTCCACTCCGCAATGATGGAGAGTACACTGCCTTGCTCATGTAAAATAATAATGATACGAATATGAAGTGAGAGACGATTTCCTCTTGACCTACTTCCTAAGCAGCGCTCAGTCAGTGCTCTTTGGTTTTGGGAAGGTAAAACAAAACCAGAAAAGAAAAAGCACCACCCACCCACATTTCCCAGGCTCCATGTGTTGCTTGGTGCCAACCACACAACCAGTTACTTACTCCTGATAGGCAGTTTCCTTAACAATTTCCTTTCATCTTCTGGCAACACCCAGAGTGACTCGCCAGACTGGTTGTTTGACTTTCAGGTCCAAACTAGATGTAGTGACAGCGGGTCCATTTGCTTAAACCCAACTCTGCTTTGTTCATGCTTTAAATCAGTGGTGGCCAAACTTGGCCGTGAACTTTAAATGTGCTTTAAGTGTATGATGCAGATGTGATAAGAGAGAAACTGATACTGCAGAGAGGTAAGCCACAGGTGGGAGAAGGTTCAGCACCCCTCCCCTATTGTTCCTTTCACTGTCCAAATTGGACTCTCCTCCCCTTTGCTAAGTGATTCAGGCAGATCCAGAATTGATCCTCAGACATAAGCACATCCCTCCTGTAGAAGTAAACCATGCCTTAATTTCATACATTTGCACATCAGAACACTGGACTTCCATTGTGAAGGAAGTGGAGAGGATCAGCATTGCAATGCAGCATTGCTTTCCTGTAACGGCTCTGAATCACGCTTAGAGATTGCATTCCTGTGGGGTGAATTGTGCTGAGTGCTTTTCAGAAGTCAGTGTCTTTCCACTGCACTGTTCACATATGCCAGGCATAGGCAAACTTGGCCCTCCAGATGTTTTGGGACTACAACTCCCATCATCCCTAGCTAACAGGACCAGTGGTCTGGGATGATGGGAGTTGTAGTCCCAAAACATCTGGAGGGCCGAGTTTGCTTATGCCTGACACGTGCATTTTATGCTCAGGGCCTACATTCTCTACTAGAAGAGTCATGTTATACAAAGTCATCCTAGGAGAGCCCCAATTTCTCTCTGCCCTACTTTCTAGAGAGGAAGTAGTTCTTCCCTTTCCTTGTGGTGAACAGAGGCACTCTGGGAATAGAGCCCAACCCTTGTTCAATGGTAGTCATGTCATTTGTATGTAGAAGGTCTCAGGTTCAATTCATGACATCTCCAGATGAGGCTCGAAATGTCTCCAGTGTGAAACCCTAGAGACAGCTGCTGTGCTGGATCAATGAATGAAGTGACTTACTGCCCCGGTTTGGTGTGGGGAAGTAGGGTTTTTTCTGAACCCCCTGGCTGTGTCCTTCTGTTGGAGGACAGAGTGGTGTATAGGGATGGAGAAATCTATCTACTTTCTCTCAGTTTCTCATTGTCCCAGTTTTAAGTACAGTTCTCCACATTTCCACATCAGCTCACAATTTTATTTTGAAGTCCTCATGAAAATTCACCAGCATTTTAATGCACATTTTTCCAAATATGCATGTTTGTTTGCAGTTTCGCCTAATATATACATTTTTTTGCAAATCTATTTCCCCTAATGTAATTCACCTTTGTATGTTACTTTCCGTAATGCAGGCACATAAGTCCATTTTGGCTCAACTGAAGAAGACGAAAAAAGATGTTTCAACTGCCTGATCAGTTAGATATAGAAATAACTTTTTAAAAGTCCCATGCATTTCAGTGGAAATGAAATTTAAGCAGACTGCTATCCCAACGCCAAAGTGCTTAACTTTGGCTAGATTTCCAAATAATAGTTGGGCAGATGACAAGCCCTCACACTTTCTAGATTCGCTTAGAATTTATATGCCACTTCCCCACAAACAATGCTCCTCAAAAGCAGCTCACAATACATATAATCAACCAAAATTGATACTCCTCACTTCCTTGAGCATCAATAAGACCCAAGGGCCGGTTTCATTTGGAGGAGAGAGTGCTGGAGATTCATGGCATTTTTGCAATACTTTGTGCTGTACAGTGGTACCTCGGGTTACATACGCTTCAGGTTACATACGCTTCCAGTTACAGATTCCGCTAACCCAGAAATAGTACCTCGGTTTAAGAACTTTGCTTCAGGATGAGAACAGAAATCGTGCTCCGGCGGCACGGCAGCAGTAGGAGGCCCCATTAGCTAAAGTGGTGCTTCAGGTTAAGAACAGTTTCAGGTTAAGAACGGACCTCCAGAACGAATTAAGTAATTAACCCGAGGTACCACTGTATATAACTACAGCCCTCCAGACTTCTTTGTCTAGCTCCAGGCCAAAAATCCTCTCTGGACTGCACCTCTGATTTCCACGCTGCCACCCTCACTGCACCATCCTTTCAAGTCCTACTAATAATACAGGTTGCCTCTGAATTACACAAATGCTTTATGCCTTCCTGTATCAGAACTCGGGTGAAGGAAAAAGATATATTTATTTATTTCATGAAATTCATATACTGTCTGATTATTTAAAAAAACAACCTAAAAGTGATTTACAAAAGCAACAAAACAATCAGGTTATCAGTAAAGACCGTTCAAAAGACTCAAACAATCAAATGATAACAATTAAACTCAGTGCTAAACTAAAAACAGATTAAAACACGTGTCAATGTTTTATATATCTTAGTAGGCTTGCTTAAACAAAAAATGTGGGGGGGGTTTTGAAGGTAGCAAAAAGAGTACAGTATAATGAAGGCACCTGTCTGGTGGCAATAGACAGGTGGGTGCTGTCGCACAAAAGTGGGGAAGCCGCCACACGAAAAAAGGCTGGTTTTTTGTATCAGTGCTGCATCTGCCCTCAGTTGCTCCAAGGGACGTGGAGTGGTGGAGACATCCAAGATGGTGGCTTAATTTTTCAAAGCACATGCCAGCTCCTCTCCCAGCACATTAATGTGCCCCAATCCAGCATGTAATTTGATAATTGTTGCCTCAAGATGTATCCTCAAGCTCCTGGTATGTTCTTCATGGCTTGGTTTTCCTGTGTTTCTTCTTTTCTAGCGCTGCTAGGATCCTAATATAGGTTTTAATGCAGTACAGAATGATCACATCCAAGAGCCCTCGTTAGTGTATGTATTTATATGGGCAGGGTAGCTCTCAGTCCTTGATAAAGCTGCGGTCCTTTGCTCTAAATAAGTTGCATTAAGTGTCTGGAAATATAAATGAACATTTTTTGTTGGTTTCTGAACTCTTAACCTCCATCCTTTCAAGTCCTAATAATAATACAGGTTGCCTCTGAATTACACAAATGCACTTTTGTGGTTTCTTGAAGGAGTGGGATATATTATCCTGATAACATATGACCCCTTTTAGGCGTTATCACATCTAATCCATAATGCACTGGAAATCTGCCGGTGCATTAGGCCGACAAGGATGGAGAGCAGATGATTAATGCACTAGGAAAGATTACTCGGGGGGGGGGGGGGCAGGCAGAGAGCAAGCTCAGTGTAGATTTACCACCCAGCACCACCTGCTGGTTAGCCCATATGTTTGCTTTTAGAAATAAGAATACAATAGAATAATGGAAAGGGGAAGAGAACAATACAGAGAAGGCAAAGATAGAAGAAAGAGTGAGAAGTGAGAAAAAGTGAGACAGGCTTACGGAAAAGGGCATATTAAAGACAGAAAAGGCAGGTTAGTGACATGGTGGAAGAATATAAAATTACGCATGGTGCATAAAAAGTGGACGGAGAAAAGTTTTTCTCTTGGCATAACACTAGAATCCAGGACATCCAACGAAGCTGAATATTGGAAGATTAAGGACAGACAAAAGAAAGTACTTCTTCACACAGTGCATAGGTAAACTGTGGAACTCACTGCCACAAGAGGCAGTGGTGGCCACAAACTTGGATGGCTTTAAAAGAGGGTTAGGTAAATTTTGGAGGAGGAGGCTATCAATGGCTGCTAGTCATGTTCTGCTTCTGCTGTTGGGGGCTGCATGCTGCTGAATGTTGGTTGCTGGGAGTCACAAGTGGGGAGAGCCCAGTTGCACTCAGGTCCTGCTTTGGGGCTTCCCACCGGCATCTGATTGGCCCCTATGAGAACAGGAACTTACTAGATGGACCTTTGGCCTGATCCAACAGGATTCTTCCTATGTTCTTAAGGTCTCATGTTTCAGGTGGTGTTAGAGGCTGACCCTACTATGATTAAAGCCCACCAGTTTAAAGCAAACTTGGACTCCATTGCACACTCCTTGCTGTGCTCCCAACGGTAGAAGTATGTTCTGGATCTGCTCTTCCTGAGTTATTCTGGAGGACGTGCAGGAATGCTGCTGCTGCTGCGCTACCCCATGCATCAGCTGTTAGGCAGGGAGGCTGAGCAGCCCAAACAAAGCCCCGCTGAGTCTCCAATCTCTTTGGGGCTTCCTCCGCCCTCAGGGACGCCCTCTTTGGGCTCTGGGTGGGGGTGTCTTCTTGCAAGCCCCACAGACTCTCTCGCTCTCTCCCACCATTTCCTGGTATGGTTCTGTTTATTTATTTATTTCATGGTGCCATACGTATACGTGATCACATGCGAGTCGACCACGCATAAGTGGGGGCCCGCATCTGTACTGCATGATGCGTCACATGTACACACATTCCACATACAGAAGGATGACAAGCAAACTTAGCAGGTCAGGCTATGTAGTACACTCAGTTTTCTTCCCCCAGCAACTTGCTGCGACCTCCAGCAACCGCTGCCTGAGGGGGCCACTGCACTCTGTCTAATTGTAGGGCTGGTCTGAATGCAGAGTTAAAAAAAATATATCAGCTGCTTGCAGAAAAAGACTGCCCATAGATTGTTCCATTCTCCTGCCTCACATAATTCCTCTTGCTGATCTCCCTGTCAGGCAGATCACGTGGACAGGCAGCAACTTGAGAAACGGTTCAGGGAGCATTGCATTAAGGTTTCTATGGTGCAAGTGCCATGAAAAGCATCACTCATTTCAGAATGGGTCAAGAGTTTATAGACTGGGTATATCTTGATTTTCCAGTTGTGTAAGAAACATATATCTCTCTGCTTGACAACAGGTACATTCCAAGGCAAGCCCATGCCTTTCGCTGGAGATATTCTCACTTTCACATTTGCCCACCAAAGAGGTAAAAGGGATATATTTCATTCGACCAACTGGTGTGTGTGCTCTTAAAAAACAACCTTAGAAATAGTTGAAGTGTATGAGGATTTTCAGGAGTAGATATTCACAGTACAAAATAAAGGCAAAACAGGTTCATACAGGTCCCTAGCTATTATTGTTTGGCAACTTTGTGAGGGGGCTGCAGTGTTGATTACATTTTCTGTAGTCCAAACCAAAGATATAATTAAAAGTGTGACATATCTTGCCTCAGTGGCCAAAAATGCAGCAATTAAGGGCCCACCAGAATGACAGATCTTTAGGCAAACTGCCCATAATTTCTATGTCACATCTTTGCAAGCAAGGAAATGTTCCACTTTTGCAGAAGGCATTAAAGAATTGTCTATTTTTCTGTAACTATAGGGATTGAATGTAAAACATCCCAAAAAAACCATCTGAATAAAACAAAGAGGCATATCAGATGTCTATATGGGAATCCCACAAACAGGCCATAAAGGCAACATCCTTCTCCAAAAGCTACGTGTATCTTCATTTCCCCCTGATAAAGATACCATCATAATGCATAAGAAAGGCCATGTTTCAACAGGCCAAAATCCCATCTAGTCCAGTACCCTGTTCTCACAGTGGCCAACCATAAAATCATAGAGATGGAAGAGACCCCAAGAGGTCATCTGATCCAAACCCCCGTAATGCAGGAATCATGGCTGAAGAATCCATGACAGGTTGCCATCCAACCTCTGTTGAAAAACCTCCCACGAATGAAAGCCTGCCACCTTCTGAGGCCATTGAATTGTAGGGTTGGAAGGGAACCCCAAGTCCAACCCCCTGCAGCTAAGGCAAGTCCCAGTGTGGTGTAGTGGTTAAGAGTGGTGGACTCGTAATCTGGTGAACTGGGCTCGCGTCTCCGCTCCTCCACATGCAGCTGCTGGGTGACCTTGGGCCAGTCACACTTCTTTGAAGTCTCTCAGCCCCACTCACCTCACAGAGTGTTTGTTGTGGGGGAGGAAGGGAAAGGAGATAGTTAGCCGCTTTGAGACTCCTTAGGGTAGTGATAAAGCGGGATATCAAATCCAAACTCTTCTTCTCCTGGGATGCTTGCAAGCGGAGCCTGAATGCAATAGCGTTCTCCCCGCTTGTGGGCCCCAGCAACTTACATTTAGAGGCAGACTGCATTCAGAGGCAATGGAAACAGCAGCAGCCCTTTTTGGTAATTTTGGTAAAAGTTGTGGTCAAAACATGCCAAGCAACTTCCATAGATAAATTGTAGCTTTCAAGCTACTTCCTTCTTTTGAAAGAACTGGTTTTAAAAATAAATATTCTTAAGTAGTTCTCAAGATGACATGCTAGGACGTCTTAATAGTCACAGGTAGTCACTAGATCATCACAGGGTCCTCTCAGCATGAGAAAAGGACCTACCCCAAAATTTCTGCTCTCTTCTGCACAAATCCATTACTCTTTTGTTCTGGATGAAACATTGATCTTGGACCTAAATTTCACAGAAAAGCTCTTCAAATTGGGACCATAACTGTGGGTAAGACGGGAACTACTTGAACCTCAGATGTAAAGGCCATTTATGTTTCTTAGACTTGGCTCTTAGTATTTTGGGGCATAAGGCATGCAATCCTGGGAAACTAGTTACCTTTACACTTTTATATTTGTAAGAATAATTATGCACTTATTCCTGTGCTTCCCTACTTCTCTTCAATTTTTAATACATGCCTCCCCCTCCGCTTCCTGCTAACCTACTTTTAATTTCAGGGTCTTTCTAATTTGATTTCTTTTCCTACCTTAAGCACTGTTGGCGAGGAATCCGCTGTGGTTGCTAAATAGGAGTGAGTCAAATATATAGAGCTTCTGTGTCCTGGTTTTTAAAATAATTATTCTAAGTAATCCTCCTTGTACACATGACACTTCTCATCTTGGAAAGGGTTTCCCCTGGGAGCTACTGTATAGGAAACTGCATTAGCAAGTCGCAAGAGCTTCTGCAAAGCAGTTTTTAGGCTCATGTTCATTTGAAGTTACTTTAACATCAAGAAAATGGGGCTTCATCAAGCAAAGAAAAAAAATATTTCTTAATGCCACCTCTCAGCATTGCTAAGCATCAATCAATATCAATCAGTGTTCAAGCTGATATCAGTTTCACACATTTTCATTTATAAGTGAATGCCAGTTTCACACATATTCATTCATTTCATCCTATTTCTGTATCAATCTGAGAATCTTTGTAAAATCATTCACATTAAAATTCTTATTTTTACTGTGTTTTCCCACAAAATGTGCACTTATTTTACTCATTTTACTATAAAATACACTTGATATGCATTTTAGCCTAAATTATGTACTTTCATACCATCCTAAAATAAAAATGCACATTTTATATGCATTTTGTTTTTTGTTATTTTTTGAGCTGGGAATTGAATTGCAAAATTCAGAGATGGATGAAAACCAAAAAGCAATGGTGCTCCAATCCACACATTAGCCCAGGAACTGCAAATCAGGCTGCTTCACTTAAAAGTGAAATCTGAATGAAATCCTCAAGCAGCCCCACTGGCAATGACATCATTTGGGGCTTGTCCACAAATCATCATCATCATCATCATCACCTACCCATTTCTACTTGTTATTCCCAATCAACAATATGGGGGTGATAAAGATTCCTCTGACCGTTATGTGCCGTATTAGCCTGAATATAAGCCGCACCCGAATATAAGCCGCATCTTTAAAATTCAAGGGGGGGGGGAGAAAAAAAGACAATAAAAAGACAATGTACCATATTGGCCTGAATATAAGCCGCTCCCTTAAAATTCCACAGGCATTGACACCCATTCCATTTTATCGTATGTCTCTTTCAGCAGTGATATTGTAAAAGCCAGTTTTGGTAAGGTCCCTAATTTAAGCCGTACTTTAACTTTTCACAGTCAGAATTTGGGGGGAAAGGGCAGCTTATATTCAGGCCAATACGGTACATTGTGTGTCTACCAAACCAATCAACTACCCATTGACATCTATGTCTGATGTTCCTCTACACAAGGGCTTGGTTAACTGTCCTGTTCTCCTAACACCCTTAACAAACTGCAGTTCCCAGGACTCTTTGGAGAGGCCATGACTATTAAGAAGTTGTGTAGGAGTGATTTCAACTTACGGTGTGGCTATGACCCCAATTCCTCAAAATAGTGAGCAAGCTTTCAAGATATCCAGAGCTCTTTATCAGGCTGGTAGTTAAGCAAAGGTGTGGGGGTGGGGGTGTGTGGCCAGCTTGGTGTTAAAACCACAACGTCTCCTTTGATCTGCATTAAGAGGAGCATCCTTAATAGGGTAGGCTTTCCTAGGTGCTACATGGTAGGTTTAAAAAAAATATGGAGGTAGCAGAGTTCGAGGAGGCTTTGCGGAGTGTGTACTTGATCTGACAGGCAAAGTTTCTGAAGGTTCCAAGCAACCAGACAGCTGAGAAGCAGAATTGTGTTTCAATGTCAGCCAAAGGACAAGGGGGAGAGAGAGTGTGTGCACATCCACAAGAAATCTCCCCCCTCTGAGACTTTTGCAGGCCTGCTCCTCTCGTTCAAGAACAGTTGGCGTTGTCTCTTGTGGGCCACAGCAGGGAGACAGGTTGGTCTCAAATAACTGTGCCGCGAAAGGCATGTGTCGTCCTCATTCTTTGCTCATGCTGAGGTTTCCGCTTAATCTGCCTTTATTCACAGTGCGAGCTATCCAGTGTGTGCAACCTGTCCTAGCCGTTCCTGGAGGTGAACCCCCACTTACACCAGCTGAGGAGATTAATTCATATTTTGGGCGGGTGAGACTTAGTTACTAAGACACCATCTCTGTAGACACAGCACACGGGAAATGGCTTTACCCTATAGGACTGTAAGTGCTATTAGAAAAGTGCCCACATCCAAACCAGTGAAGCATGTGGGATTTTGGAGATATATAGCCTATGCACTTAAAGTAGTAAAAAATAATAATAAAAGCAGCTTTTTCAGACTACCTTTAAAGTAAAATGGAAGCATTGTTTTTGCGATATGTGCAAGGGCATGTCCCAAGATGAGACACCGGCCTGTGGAATGGGTTCAAGTAGGCCACAACGTTATTGGCGACAAGTGTGTGGGGTTGGCATGGCAACCTGCCCGCTGTTTGAAACCACAACCAGCTCTCCTAGCGGACACACTCCTTGAGAGTTGCCTACACAGCAGCCCCCATTGTGGTGCAGACCAAGCATTTGGGAACCAGCTAGCAGCCTGAGGTGAGCGACGTTTGGCCGGGCTGCCCTAAGTGAGGACTGTGGCCTGTTGTTGTGGCACTTCTTCAATCGATGATCCTGCCCAAAGGCGTTTTCCACCACCGTTGTGACAGGAAATGTAACCCCTCACAGTAACATGTTTCCATTTACTAAAGGAAAGTCGAAAACCTCCTGATTTTACTCCCAGCCAGTTGTAGCTGGACATAAAAATCCGTTCTGGCCTTGACAATCCATGATGAATGACATCCAAGGTAAAGGTCTGAAACCGAGGGTGGGTGAAGAAATCCCCACAGAGAAAGGCTATGGTTGATGGGTGCCAGCTCTTTTAAAAACAATGCCAGCTTGCCACTTGTGGGCGATTGAATCTGGGACCTTCTGCATGCGAAGCAGGTGTTCTGGCACCAAGCTGCAGTCCTACCCCATAATTTTCCAGGCCACTTTACTTGCTTGCTTATTGTGTTTACAGCCCACCTTTTTCCCCAAGAAGCTCAAGGGGGCACACGCGGTTCTTCCCATCCTCACAACGACCCTCTGAGGTAGGTTAGGCTGAGAGGCCCAAGGCCTCCCAACGAGCTTCATGGCCAAGTGTGGATTTGAACTTCTGTCTCTCAGGTCCTAGTCTGACACTCTAACCACCACGCAGAACTGGTTCTCATAGTTAAGCATAGGAACCACCTTATACTGAGCCAGGCCACTGACCTACCTAGCCTTGCAGTGCACTGTCCACTCCAGCTGGCCGTGGCTCCCTGGTCTCAGGCATAAATCCTTCCCAACTTCGCTTCCTGAGATCAGTTTAACTAGAAATGCCAGGATTGGCACCTCCTGCATGCGAAGCATTCGCTTTACCGCTGAGCTTCTCATTGATGACGCTCCGAGGGGTTAAGCACATGCTTAACTCTCTGACTGAGCTCGGTTGAATGTAGAAGTGCTTAATTTTGGCTCAGTTGCACCTGTTGTCTTTGTAAGAGCATGCTTGGTTATCGCAGGCTATAGCATATCCAGAAATGTATAAATATAAATTAAAAAGGAATCTGAATCTGCATTAATGCTGAAGTGCCCCGATGATCCCCCCTGCTCACCACCCAGCAAGGTTATTTGCAACAGTATCTGGGACATGAATCTTTGCGTGCTTTTGCACACACCCATCCCATCCCAGGTCATGCTGAAACCTAACACACTGAATACTGGGCTCGCACAGAGTGTCAGTGTCCTGTTTTTAATGGTCGTGGCTGACCCAGGTCAGGTTTAGGTCAGCCAGGAGGAGGCAATGCACAGCAGCCTCCTGGAGCTTGCATCTTGGCACTCTACTGTTCTTTTTAGCAGGGAACTTAAGAAGTGAACTTTGGGTGCTTCCAGATGATCTGTTGATTGATCTTCCACCCTGATTTGTTTGCAGGGAAATTAGGTGGCTGTTGGCTATTTAATGAGCATTTATTCTGATTTGTTTGTGTGGAGGTTAGTTGATGTTGCATCAAAGCATGAGAGTTTTGCGCAAGCAGCCCCACAAGCACCCTTCAGAACTGCTCCAGCAGGTTGGAGAACCCTTTTGATCAGGTTTGGGGATCATGTTAGAGACTTGGGGGGTGGAATGGGCAGACCCTGGTCTTATTTCATAAGTAGGGAGGCATCATTGGATACCACCTACTCTTGACACTACAGACTTGCCTAATGAAGATACAGTGGTACCTTGGTTCACAAACTTAATCCGTTCCGGAAGTCCATTCTTAAACCAAGGCGTGCGTTCCCATAGCAGTGGGGGACTCAATTTACAAATGGAACACACTCAACAGGAAGCGAAACATGTTCTTATTCCAAGGCAAAGTTCACAAACCAAAACACCTACTTCCGGGTTTGCAGTGTTCTTAATCCAAGTTGTTCATAAACGAAGCTCTTCTTAAACCAAGGTACCACTGTACAGACAAACAACCTATTTTTGTGTTTTTATTTATTTTGAGTATTTATATGCTCTTCATCAAAAATAAATTCCCAGGGTACTTTATAGTAAGGATAAAAACGTAAGGAATATACTAAAATGTATATAATAATGAAAACCTAAAATATCAGCTGGTAGAGCAGCATAAAATTAACTAGGGGGAAATGTTACATTATAGAAAACCCTTAAATATTTTTATAAAAAACTTGTAGGCCAAATATACATCTTTCCCATGAAAGATTAAGGTAGCATTAAAGGCATTTCATCAAGTCAGCCGTGTTTTAAATTTGTCCCAATGAGTGATCTGCATAATTGAGAAAAGGATACCAGGTGGTATAGAATATTTCTTGCAAACTCTGCCCTTCTGCTTTCTTCATTTGCTTGAGCAAACTTTTCCATTACAATGTGATCCCAGAGGCATTTAAACCAGATGGCAATACTGGGATTTGATGAGCTTTCCCAGTTGCTTGCTGCTGCTGTAGCTCTAAGGAAAGTCAGATGAAGCCTTTGTGCAGGATATGCAGCCGATTTTGTTGTAGTTTGGCAAGTGACAGGGAAAATGTGGGATGAGCAAATGACTAGCAGGAAGACGTGTAAACACCCCACAAGCAAGTCAGGATGAATGCAGGGTGGATGCTCATTGTTGTTAAACTACCCCAGTAACATCAGAATGGTTGATCAGTAATGGCTAACCACCATGTAAGCTTTGTGCAGCAAATCAGGAAGTCACCTGGAGTGGTCACCTGGTGCAGCCTCTTATTAGACCAAACCAAGTGTCACAAAATAGTGTGCAAGCTCTGAGTTCAAGGAACTCCTCATCAGGTTAGATGGTAGACAGAGCTGATGGGTCGGTGGAGAAAAATTGACCAAGGTGAAGCTATGGAGTTTGCATCTGGTAAGCAAGATAGAATACAGGGGGAAGAGGTTGAAGGCACTGAAACGAGGCTCTGCTGGGTGCTGTGTAGATTTCAGGCTGCCCTCCCAGGGCTGCAGGGATGGAGCATGCAATGCTTGTTTTCTCCAGATCATAAATTATAAAACCCAGCTGTCTCCATCCTTTGGTGAAACACGGGTTCCTTGTAGGGGAAATACATCTTTGGGACTTCCTTAAAGATGGGGCCTGGATACGGTACACCCCCAATACTCCCTAGAAGGCTAAAAAAAAATTAGACTTGCTGTTTTTACATTTGTCTGCAATCCCAATTACAATATCAGGGGAGTGTGATGGAAGGATGAGAAACAATTAATTGGCATTTGATTCTGATGGAATGACTGTGTGCCTTTTGAAGTGTTCCAAGGAAGCCATAAAGCTGTCCACTGGCATCCTTTTGCCGTGATTTACCTGCACTTTAAACGTTGTGCGCTGCAGGGCCGAAGCCAAGACCTCATTCTTGTCCTTTATTCCATGTTGTTTCTTGGGAAGGGAATATGTCAGCAGGGGCATCTATTAACAGTTTGAATGTTGTCTGTTAAGCTCGGATTTGGAAACAAATCTTTGTCTCCAGTTTGATCACTATTAGCAGCCTCTTCTATCCCGTTGCCTCCCTGCCCAGTTTCCTGGGGACAACATTGAAAAAGCACATCTGGGAAGTGTGTAGCTTTGTGAAATCTCAAACAAAAGACTCCCTAGTAAAATGAGAAGTTTTAACATTTGAGCTTCAGTTTTGCACATTTAGAACATGGGAAGGAAAACCACTTAGTGAATAATATTGCCATTTTGGGGAGGCTTGTTTTTTTCATAGTCAGGATCTAGCCTGAGCAAGTATTAGTTGGTATGTTTTAAATTAGAGAGGTGTTACTGATTTTTGCCTTGGATTTTATTTTTGTTTTAAACTAGTTTATATGATAAATGTTTGAAATCATTTGAGACGTTTATTTGATTATGAACCACTCTGAGGACTTCATCTGGGAAGTGATCTACAAATTTAATAAACAGTTAAATAAAGAAAAAGTGTGGTATTTTCCTAACTTGCAATAACTCTTTGTGGGAGGTTACTGGCACACATATTTCAGGAAACGGGTACGGGTGGAAATGTTAACAGAATGCAGTCAATGCAGTTGGATTGTACCACCTGTTCTTGGTGCAGAGCTTCAAATTTGCTCCACTTCGCAGACTCAGCCCTTATTTAAGCAGTCTGGGGCACAACTGATCTCTGTGTGCATCTGTTACAAGACTGGAGGTTAAATAAGAGAGGGTTTATGTGTTAGACTTGCTGGTCAGGTGTGGCTAGACACATCCTTCTGCTATGTAAACAACAGGTGATATGTTGCCATGGGAATGAAAAATGTGTCAAGAATTACTTCTTGATACAGGGCCATTTACAGGATGAAAGATTGAAAGTTGGAATTTAACACTAGCTTACTAGCAGTGCACTTTCATTGGAGTGTTAAATTCTGTTTAAACTACCATATTTTTAAAAAAATCTTACCTTTCAGTTAAAGAACTAAGTATCAGAAAATGGAAAGCATTGCAAGAGAATATCAGAAGATGTATTATGTTTAAAAATGTCATGACTGTTAATACAGTACAGTATTTTGGCTTTGAGGCTTTTGAACATTGAGATTGGCAAACCCAGAGCTTTTGAACAGCTCAGTTGTGAATACCTTGCTGATGTAAATGGCCTTCTTGATGCCAATGAGTATATCAATTTATATGTATTTATATGCTTTCCGTAATATGCTTAATGTGGTTTACATCAATACTTGTTGCAAATCCTAAAACATGTCAGATTTCTGAAATATGTGTGTATTCATATACAGTATTTTAAATACAGGTTAGTGGCAGATAAAGTTGTGGGGGGGAATCAAGATTTGGTGACATTCAGTGGCAGATGTGTTTTAGAAATATGGATTCCCCATTTTTCTGTTAAGCTAAGAAATAGGAACAGCTTTTGCAAAAAAGGGGGCTGTTTTGCATTCTTTCTTCTCTTGCCTTTTGGCTCAAGTTGTAGTGGTGACCTCAGTCAGTGCTGAACAAATTCTGTATCTCTAGCTTTCAGAAAACAGTGTGATTGTACAATCATAAAGTGCCTGGACTCCTGCACCCAGTGGATGGGATGCCTTTTTTGTTCCCTGTGTGTGAATTGCCTGGGTGTCTTTCTGTGTTTTATTTGGAATCCCACAGCAACTTGCTTGGAATTAATGGCTTTTTAATAAAGTGCCTCCACAGCTAGTCTCTGCCAGCAGACACACTCAAAGAGGGTTATTTATCATTCACATGATCCCTGTCTTTCTGTCTCGTGCTCTCCTGTTGCCCTTTTGTTTCTTCCCTCGCTGCCTAAAGACCTCAAAGCGGGCAATGACACTGGTAACTAGGGATGTAAGAAGGCATTGATTCCCTTCCTGCCCCATATTTGTCAGATGCTGCCCTGTTTCTGTTCCTCTGCAGTTTGGCTTCCAACAAAAAAAACCCTTTATTCGTCTCACTGTCTGCTATGGTGAAATTTTGCACAATTAATTACGTTATCATTACATTGTTCCACATCATTGGTTTCATTGCAAAGGAAACACAATACAAATGGGGTGGGGAGGTGAGTAATCAATTACGTATTGTCACGTATCATCTGCAGATTGTAAACAACAGCAGTGATGTATTAACTGGATTTTTTTCTGTTCTGAACATGGGATGAGCAAGTGAGCATCAGCAGTTTCCACTCCCAGTAACCTAGGGGATATGAGCAACCTATGATATATATTTGTTTATGATAGCTGCTTCCAGAAGGGTAGTCGTGTTAGTCAGTTGCTACAAAAGGAGCAGTCTTGTGGGGCTTAAAGGCTAACAGACAGAGGCTCAAACGAAACCAGTGACCCCACACACAATGTCCATTGGTGCCCACCAGTATCTCCTGTGCCATAGGGCCTTTGCTGCCCATGAAAGGTCTCTGCAAATATTCCTTCAAAAACCCACAATGGATGCAACCCAACATTTTCATTAGTTTATTTTTTAAAATCTTAAAAAAATATTTTTCTTTATTGAGCCCCTGAGTTCCCTCCCTCTTTTTTTGTTCTGTTCTTTTGAGGTCTCCTTGTCCTCCACCCCATTCCATACCCTATTGCTCCAATGAAAATAGGGATGTCCAGAACGAATTAAGTACTTAACCTGAGGTACCACTGTAATACTTTTCTTCTTTATACCCTGCCCATCTGACTGGGTTGTACCAGCCAGTCTTGGTGGCTTCCAACATATATAAAAACATAATAAAACATAAAACATTTTAAAACTTCCCTATACAGGGTTGCCTTCAGATGTCTTCTAAAAGTCAGATAGTTGTTTATTTCCGTGACATCTAAAGGTTGTCTAGTTACTTATCTTTTTAGCTCGGGGACCACATGATTCTATACCCTTCAAAATTTATCTGATGAAAATAGGGATGTCCTAAGGAAAAGCGGGATATCCCAGGATCAAATCAGGAACCAGGATGGCTTCTGTAAATCCAGGATTGTCCCTGGAAAATAGGGACACTTAGAGGGTCTGCTTCTTAGCTACAGCAACAGGTTCTGGGGTCCAGGGAGTAAAGCAGCTGTGCTTTTCTTGGTTTGGCTTCACATTCCTTGCAAGCTGAGCTGGTATGTCTGAACAAATTTCAGTCTTGCCTTTTAGCACAGCATTTTCCAATCTGGTGCCCTCCAGATGTTTTGGACTGCAACTCCCATCATCCCTGACCATGGACTGTACTGCCTTTGGTTTTCAAGAAGTTTGTGCTGGGGATAAAATGGCTGTTGGAGAGAGAAACGATGGAGCAACAACAACAACTAATAAGGAGACCTGCTGTAGGGATGTAAGGAAGCAGGGTTGTTTGCTGTTTATTCAATCAGTATCAAACTTTATTTCGGTCACAGACCAGCATAAGATAAAATGTACAGATAAACTGAACACATAAGACTTAAAGCAGGTAAGAGATAAAGCTAGTAATTAAAAGGGGATTATACATACTTAAAAAGATAGAAACAAGGACAAATGGTTAAAAGCGACTATAAGGGAGGGAGGGTGAAGGAGCACAGGTCTTGCATTTTGCGCCTAGTTTCTGGCGCAGGCCATCCTTTAACGAATATCCGGCAAGGCAGTTTGCTGTTTATTGTATTTGCTCTGAGCACCCAAACAGTCCATAAGATAGTAAGAAGCTGCAAAGACAATTAGCCGTAATGAGGGTGACCTCTTTTCCAGCTAGGTAATAATTAACCAGCAGTGACTATTTGAATGTGGTTGCAGTAAACCCAGTGAGGTTCTCTGGGTTGTACCCAAAATATTTATTTATCTTTAGTGGTAGTATGATCTTGCTCTGGCTCCCTTTCAACAACATTTACTATCCTGTTGGGCAGTTGGCCCATTCATTCCTGGCAGATGCTGCCAGACTAGAGGTTACTCAGAGCTCCCCCCTATGGCCACCATGAGAACAGGAGGTAATAACTATTAATTTTTTTTTTTTTAAAAAGAAGCACCAGCTTTGGAACTCTTCCTCCGGTTCAGCACAGAAAGAAAGAAAAAGAAAGGTGAGAGTAGAGAGGAATAATTTGTTAGTGGAGGGTGTAGAAGAAATTCAGTTTGAAATAGGTTAGTCTTAAGGTCACTGCTAACTTTATCTTTTAGGGGAGGGGGGATGTCCTCAGTGAGCCCCCCTTGCTGAATGGCATTGGAGGCTGCAAACTCCAAGATATAGTGGCTCAGCAATTCAGTGGCCACTGAACATTTGAAAATATAAATGCCAGCAGCTGTTAAAATGTGTCTTGAACGCTTATGAGAATTCACAGGTCCTTTCTGAAGCAGGGAGCAACAGGAGGATGTTTTCTTAATTGCATTTTCATCCTACTCTTCCCTCTTAATTATCCAGAGCTCCTCACCTGACCTTATTGTCGCAGCAGCCTTTTGAGGTAGGTTAGGCTGAGATATCACGAGTGGCCCGTGGTCAACCAATAAGCTTCAGGACCAAGTGGAGATTTGAACTCAGGCCTCCTTGGTCTTCCTAGCCCAACTCTCTACCCACTACACCACACTGACTTTGTGATCTTTTGGACTGGGTATTTATTATGTTCTCTGACAGCCACATTGCCCACCCCACCTTTCCTCCATTTTAAACGTTTAAATCAGAGAAGGTAGAATCTGAAGATCTGAATCTTTAATGATGGGCACCAACTTGCTGCTTTTTTTAAAGGATTACTGTAGACAAATTGATGGAGGATATGGTTACCAATGTCTACAGGATGTGATGGCTATGCTGTACCTCCCCTGTTGGAGGCAGTATGCCTCTGAACACCAGCTGCTGGGGATCACAAGTGGGAGAGAGTCTGATTGTGCCCTGCTGGTGGAGTTCCTGGTGCTCTTCTACTTGAATCCTGCTTCCTTGCTTCCCACAGGTATCTGGTTGGCCGCATTTAGAACAGGCTGCTGGACTAGAGGGGCCTCTGGTCTGATCCAGTAGGGGTCTTTTTACGTTCTTAAGATAATCTTCTTCTCTGAAGTGTCATGACCATTTTCTTTCTCCTCCTCTAGCCATCCATTCCTGGCTCCAGGTTGGAAAACATCATCAACATCAATCATTACGCCACCAAGAAAAGCGTGGCTGAGAGCATGCTGGATGTGGCGCTCTTCATGGCCAACGCTGCGCAACTGAAGGCAGTGCTGGAGCAGGGGACGTCCTTCCAATATTATGCTGTCCTGACTGCTCTCATCACCATTTCTCTCTTCTTCCAAACTGCCATTGGGATTCTCCTGATCATTATAGGTAAGCATCTTTCTGTAGACCTCTTTGCTTCTTTCAAAAGTTCATTCCAGGGATCATCATATGAGGAAAGAGTGATACACAGCCCAGTGCTCCAGGGCTTTTCACAGAACAGTTCAGGTGTTACTTTGAGTCATTTACCAGATTTCAAACACTGCCATGTGATTTGGAAGCTGGGGTGGGACTGCTCAGTGGTAGAGAATCTGCCTGGCTGAACAAACTTGCTCTCCCAAAATATGGACACCGCCCCCCGTAAGGAGAGTGGTGGGGAAATGCCTTGGAAAGTGAAGGTAACATTTACTTTGATGCAACGTCATCTAACCTCCCCACAAATAAATCAGAAAATTGCTCATAAGATAGCGAGCGTAATCTAGTCTTGCAAGTAATTTTAAAGTTAGAATTAAAAGTAAGGACCAGGAACCTATGTAGTTTTCTCAAGGCTGTGTTGAGGGATGCTCCGTTTGACAGGCCTCAGTTAGGAATCTCATTTCCATAATGCCCAATGTTGCTCTTAATCAAAAGACTTTAAAAAAATAGCTCTTAGGAAGAAATGTTGGATGCTCATTTAATGTTTGAGCATACACAGAGACATTCCAGATTAGGGCAACGACTTAACATGATGGCAAAAAGAGAAATAAATGTGTCACCAACAAAGGAGCACTGATTTACAATGAAAGTAATTTATAAAATGTATAGATGAAAACTTAGAAATAATTACTGTATTTTAAATAGGGAAACAATAGGGACCTGCTGGCCTGTGTGCCTTCTCAGCTTACTGTCCGGGTGTTCACTGTTAATGGACAATTTCCAGGCTCTTCTTGCTCTCCCTTCTTAGGTTTCTGCATCTTTCAACTGGTCCTTCAGAGGATGCTTTCGAACAGAGAGCCACCTTTTTGAAGCAGGAAACAAGGCTGCTCTACCCAAGCTGCCCTACACAACCTCTACCACCCCCGCCTGCCTAAACCCCATCATTTGCAGCTATAACCCCCATCCCAGTGTAGCCGGCCTGATTCCCTTTCACCTCCCTTCTCCCCCGCATTCCATTGCTGCCCCTACAGTTAACATACAGAGGGCTACAGTCTCCAGAGCTGTCTGGCCCGACCCCGGGTCAGCCCCACTGTCCCCTTACATGATAAGACTTACATGATAAACACAGGCCTGTCTTTCTCCGCTTGTGAGTTTGGCATTGAAAGGAATGGCGGAGGTCGTGAACTTGGGCTACAGCTAATGCTGCATCAATGGAATCTCTTCTCTCGTTATGGGGCCTGACCGCAAACATTCCTCAGCATCCGCAGCTGCTGTTGGCCTCCAGCCTCTGGCTTGCCCTAGAGAACCAAAGCCATCTAAAAATGGAAATATCTGGTGTGTGTCTCATAGTCATCTGCTTCAAGCTTTTGCCAGCTTGGCTAGGCCTGATGGGAGTTATAGTCCAGAACTGCTGGAGGGCACCAGATTCGCAAAGGCTGGATGTAGTCTGCTTTATTAAAAAAAATTTAAAATGGTCCTAGCCATTTTGGATGGTTGCCTTTGGTTTTAGAGTTAGCCCACACTGAAGAGGTGGCTGCATCTAAGGCATTGCACAAAGCAACAGACCACAGCAGGTTTTCCTCAATTTGGTGCCCTCTAGATGGCTTGGACTACAATTCCTAGCCGCCACAGCATCATACAGCTGAGCTCACTAGAACTAATGGGAGATGTAGTCCAAAACACCAGGGTGTGGACACCAGGCTAGAGAAGGCTGTAAGAAAACCACTTTTTGCCACTGAGCACAGCAAGTCCTGGCTCTGTGAAGAGTGTAACCTGGACAATAAACATGCTTTTCAGAACATTTTTGGCACACTCATGCTTGACTTTTCAGGTGTATATTTGTGCATCAATAAAGAAGGGCAGGATTTAGCTTCCTTTTTGTGGGAGAGATCCCTGGAAACCTGAGGGTTATAGCCAATTTTAAGGCTTATCCACACCTACCTTTTGCCTTGCTCTTTCCAGGCATAGAGCCATGCTTAAAAGCTCCTTGTCCAAGCCTTTTTAGACTTTGGCTAGCTCTCCGCTTCCATGTCTCTCGCCATCCTTCCCAAACTACAGCTTCCCACTTGGAGCTAGGGTGGGGAAAAATGGTTTTAGCTCTCCGTATCTTCCAGAGAAATCTCCAGGTTTTCCCCCTAGCCATTGGCTTCTGTTGAGAGGCATCTCCCAGGCCATTCTTTGCCTTGAACATGCTTTTTCCAAATGAAAGATGTGGCTGGCACAGCTGGAGACCGACCATTAAAGGACATTAGCCACCCTTTTCTCTAAACCACAGCAATCAGGCAGAAAACTCACGGAAATATGAAAAGGACTTAAAGCTGTACTCATGGGCAAAATTAGGTCACAGATTATTTTTTTATAAGTAAATTTTCAACTCAAGGAGGCAGGCAACATCCTAACATTGCACCAGGCTGCAGAGCAGAGAAGGGAAGCATAGCTATTTCATCTGTGGTTTAAATGACACTTAGATAAGAATCTCGCTGGAAGAGTTTGACCCAGGCATTGTTTCATCACCACCACCACCATCATTTTATTTGTATGCTGCCTTCCATAGTTAAAACCATGCTCATGGCAGCTGGCATGGACACATTCATATAAACACAAACATAACAAAAGTAGTCATAAATAAAACATCAAAAACTACACAAAGATAACACACACACACACACACATCAATATATCAATAAGAGCAACGAGACCCCAGCCCAAGTGTCTGTTTGGCAGCCTCAGCTTTTGTAGCTGGAGTCAATCAAGGCTCCGCCCTCCCAGGTGGAAGGAAAGGAATAGTGTGTAAAACTGTGTTTCCTGACCTTACCTTATTGGAGGAAAGAAAATATAAGCCTATTGAACATTTATGAGAATAATAATAATGGTGGTGGTGGCACACCTTCTGCAGAATGTAGTGAGCAGAAGAGTTTTCTCTGAATTCTGTCTTGGTTTTGTCTTTTGTTTTTCATAGCTCGGATGAACCTGAACGACGTGACAAAGCAGCAGCGCCTGAATTTGCTCAACAACATCGCCACAATCCTAGTCTTCATCATAGTCATCGTCAACATCTTCATTACTGCTTTTGGTGTGCAGAAGACGGGTCTCTATCCTAGCATTTATGGTGGTCGGAGAATCTACTAAGCCTTGGAAGGGTAAGAAAAGAGTGAGTCTTATGCTTCCAGATTGGACAGATAAACACTCACCATCCATTTTTGCCTATTTGGACATAGGATACTCCATCAATCATTATTCTTAGGCAGTTCATAAGTAATGAAGTGGGATGATGGCAGTTCTTCTCTCTTTCTCTCCCCCCCAAATATGAAAAGGGTGTTTATCTCTAGGGAGACAGTTCCACAGCAGAGGAGTCTTATCCTTGTCACCATCAACAGTAAGATGCACAACCTGCCTGAGCCTCTTGTTTTTCCTTGCAGGCTGGAGCACATGGTAGAAGATAGCTGGAAAGCCTTTCCGTATAGCCTTATTGATCTCAGACTTGATGATCCATTTAAGATACACAACTGCCTGGGTGAACCCTATTGCAAGTACATCAGTTGCTCCTTGTGGGCTACTTCTGCAACATGTTTACAGCTCTGAAGAGGTGAATAATTTTTCAGCTGATCTTGACAGCAGCCTCTCCTCATCTCAACCCATAATGATGTTTATCTCCTGTAATGGAGTAGTGGGGAATTTCAGGTCAGAGAGCTAAATGCAGCCTTCCAGGCCTTTCTCGGACTCTCCCCAGGTTAGACTTCTTCCTCAGCCAAACACTCCTCTCTTCCCCAGCTTACATCACCCACTGGCCCTACCCTGCACCCTTTTTCAGTGAGTGTGAGTGTAAGTAAAAACTAGCCTACCATACACATGAAAAAAAGTTCTTCTTTGTCTCTGACCCAGAAGGGACTGTATGAAAAATGTTCCCAACCCCTGGTTGTAATGAGATTCCTCTGCAATTCAGAAGATTGCATTCAGCTAGAGCTTCCCAGCTCCCACCAGGAAAGGAGCAGCCCACAGTGATTCAACTTGATGTACTCCATCAATGGCAGCAGCAGTCAATGTAAGCGACAGGGACAACAGTATCAAAATAAAACATTGGAAGAGAATTACAAATGAGCACAATTGATAAGGGGCAGGTGCTAGGTCACTAGTTCAAATTTTGTCCAAGAGGACACAAAGTTTTCAGATGAAGACAGATTTGCAAAGCAGGAGAAAAAAATGATTTAAGGCTGCAGTCCTAACCACAACTGCTAAGAAGTCAGTCCTGCTGAATTCAGTGGGGCTTGCTGCCAGGGGAGTGGAGTTAGCATTGCAGACCAAGCCATCTTGTATAAGCACACAGCATCCACCCAGAGAAGAGGCTGCCCACTGTGTTTTTGATTCACTGCTCTTGCTTTGCGTCCACCTGAGCATGAATTAGTGTGGGATGCATGTCTCCGGATGAGACTTTGTTTCTGTGTTGTGTAATGGGATCAACTGCTCTCAGTGATGGGATGCAACAGAATGACCGGCCCCAAATAGTGACTCACACAGGAGCACAAGTTGTTGGCTCCTCTGAGGGTGGACAGTTATTACCATAAAAGTAAGAATGAGAAGTGTACCTCCAGTTTTAGCTCAGAAAAGAGTCTGCCCCAGCTACTAAAACATTGAGAAATGCAATTATTAAATGAAGAGCATTATGTTACCCTGATCCAGTAATCAGTGGTGGTGCAGAGGCTCTGATGCAACTAGCTGAAACTCCTGTTATTTTGCTGGAGCTCCTGAATAGCCAAGATTCCCATAGTTTCTATGTACTTAGTCCTGCTCCTCTATGGGTGTAAATTGTTATGTAAAACTGCTTAGTTTTTTGCAATTTAGCTGTATACAAATTCTGTTATTTAAATAAAATAAAAAGTGTATTTTGTGTGTGTGTGTGTGTGTGTACATACACAAAAGGTATAAAACTAGGATTATAGTGGAAATACAGACCATCAGCTTGCATGTGGCAAAAAATAAATTGCATTATAAACCTCTGCTGGTGGCAATAATACTATGCATAGTAATGCAAAGCATTTTAAAGCTGTACAAGTTAACCTTGATTTTTGTAAAAAGTGCATTGCTCCTGAAAGTTACCCCCATGCTGTCCTTAGCCACTCTTACAATATTTTATAAAGGACTTGCAATTTTCTCATCCCACTTAGAACTGGTGCATCTTTGGCATATTCCAACTATTTGCTTTCTCTTTATTTATTAAAGTATATTTTATCCAAAGGTGTGACTTGGTCTATATATCAAATTACGCAATGCAGACAGTGAATGAAAATCTTAAGCACTAAACATCTTTCTTTTATATCCTTTTATAGAATAGTACATAGCTACCCAGATACAGAAGAGGAGACAGATCCCATATGCAAAAATTTCACATTAGATTGGTCCACTTTGCAGGCAGGCATTTGAGGGTCAGAAAAAGACACCACACACATTTTCTGTAAGGAATCTGTATTTGTAAATGGAGGCACTTATGCTTCCTCTTGCAAGTAAGAAAAGGTTTGGGACTCGTCAATAAGGCACACATTTCAATTTAAATATACCAAAGAACATTTCAGATATTCACACAAGCTATAAAAGGTGTAGAGGTACTTCAGTGAAGGTGACATTGATGACACTGGAACAAACAAACAATAGATTCATACAGGTAAGTCCTTTCAGCATAGGCCCTTAGAATTTCCTTCTTTGACTTCATAGCAAAACCCAATCCTGATACACACATCCAGCGTTTGATGTTTATGCATCTGTGTGTCACTAAGTCAAAGAGATATTGTTGAATCAATGAAATCTGCACACATTTAAACAGGATTAAATAATAGTTCTGAAGAAAGAGGTTTACTTTGTTTTTAAATTGGGTTGGGGGAACCACTGACCCACAGGCCAACCCACATCCTCCTTTCCTTGCCTCATCCCCTCCTTCTCCACACTGAGGCTTGAAAAACTACAATAATTTTATGCTGCATGGGGGTGGGGTTACAGTGGGTGAAGACAGAGTTAAAAAAAGAAAGGAGTCTGGAAACTCATATGTTTCCAGAGACAGAAAATGCCATTCCCATTATCATTTGGCACACACACTTTAACCCACCTTCATCAATGAACCAACTCAGCTCCTCATTTTACACACAGCTGTTACCCATTTTGTGTGACCTGCTTTAAGGACTGGTTTGTTTCCTGAAGGTGTCAGGCCCAAATCTGACTTTGAGTTTGCACAACTTCTTGCCACTCCTTCCAAAACTGCAGCGTAGATAGCTAATTTTCTTACATATTTTCTGATGCAAGGACACCTGGTCTTCATACATAATCAGTACCAAAACATAGTAACAAAACCATAACCTTAATTTATCAATTAATTTTACAAAATATATTTTGTCCTTCAAAAAAGATTATTTCCCCCGCCTCTGGGTGGCTTGGAACACATGAAAATCAGAGTACAAACAAACCAACATTAAAACTACAAAATAAATAGAAGGGGTGGGAAGACAGTGTATAAAAGCTATTTAACTCAATGGGACTTCTAAAAAATATGCCCAGGATTGCACTGTAAATGAGGGATGGGGAACCTTTGGCCCTTCAAATGTTGTTAGAACCCCAACTGATCAGCATGGCCAGTTGTCAGGGATCAGCGTTTCCCAAACTTGGGTGTCCAGCTGGTTTTGGACTACAGTTCCCATCATCCCTAACCACTGGTCCTGCTAGGCAGTTGTAGCCCAACAACATCTGGGAGGCCACAGTTTCCTTATTCCTGCTGTAAATTAATCTCTTGAGTTCTAGGCTATTCAAGGGTTGTTGTCTCAAGTTCATATTTCCAGTTCCCTGTTTTCCCCATTTCATATGACTGTCAGGATAAACACAATTCTGTGCCAAAAACCTATCTCAAGTCCTAACAGGGTTTTGACCCAGCTTAATGGTAAGAGAGAGAGAGAGAGGCAGCTTATTGAGAAATACAGATGCAGGCAAGCCACAAGGTGAAGGCTTCAACATAATTCTTTTTGCTGTACCTGAGCAGAGCACAATATGCATTAAGCGAGGAGAAGAATCCGCTAGGCCCCTTTAGTATGTCCTGGCTGGGCTTATGCACAGGTAATCGGACACAGCCCACATATCAGAGTGACTTTGGTCCAAAGGCATGGATTTCAGGACACAGTTTTCGTTCAAGTATCTCAAAAAAAGAAGCATCATTAAAAACAACTCACACTACACATAACGAGGCTATATTCCTCTTTCTAACATACTGTGGAAGGCACTCCTTTTCATTTGTACCCGTTGACCAGAGAACTGCGGCATTACTGATGCTTCTAAGAAGTGAAAGCATTTCAGTAAAACCTCGGAAGAAGTAGGAAGGCACCACAAAAAGAGGCTTTTGAGGCAGAGGGATGATGCAGGGGAAGAGGAAAGTGGAAGGGTTATAGCTTGGTGGTAGAGCACTTGCTTTTTATGCAGAAGGTCCCGTATTCAATCTGGGGCATTTCCAGGTAGGGCAGACAATGTTTCCTGCTTGAAGCCCTGGAGAGCCACTTCCAGTCAGTGCAGACAATACTGGGCTAAGATGGACCAATTGGTCTGACGTAGAGGAAGGCAGCTTCCTATGTGTGCTTTTTGCTTCCCAGAATGCATCTGTGACATGCTGGTGAAAAAGTTTGGTTTTGTGCTCTTAAAAAGATCGCTGTCGTGGATGTAAGACACTAGAGGTAGGATCGTTTTCTTCCCATTTTCATTTTTCTCACAAGATAAAAACTCTCAGTTCTGCACCTGAACTTATTTTCTCATAACGCCTAAATTCATGTTCTGACTTCTGTGGTACTGGAGGCTTCTCCTCGACATGCCTGGATAAAGTCTGCACTGCGAGTGCAAATGTTCATCACATCTTCAGCTGCCGTCGGTTCCACATGCCCCGCTTGGAGTGGAAATGGTGGAAGAAGTTTCTGAGAGAGAGTCGTTCCACCTCCAGGCCAGCCTGAAAGATCCTGTGGGAGGAGAGGGAAGGAGAGAGATTGGAATGAGAGGCTAACTAGAACTGCCTGCTTCTGTGGAGCTTGGATTGGGAGGGTGGGGGAATCTTTAAAGCACCATGGGCCAGGTCTTTATCAGGATCGGGACTCTAAATTCTGATTAAGCAAGTGATCCGGAGGGTGGGAAGTTGGGACAGGAATGGCAGCCACAGGAAACTACCCCTCCAACTAAGAGTAAGGGGGACACTTCAGCGGCAGTGGGTTTTTATTGGACCAAGGGGACTTACTTGTGAGTGAATATATAAGATTGCTCTGTTTGCGTGTAGGAGGAAGTTTTTTACGAGGATGAAACTTAGTGCTTAATAGCGGTTTGGTTAATTGCTTTTAATGGCTAGTTGTTCCACATTGTGCTTTTCCTCTTAGACTTCATCCATCATTACTGAGCTAGATGAACCAATGGTCTGATTCAGTATAAGGCAGCTTCCTATGTTCCTATGAGAAGAGAACCCAAAGCCAGTTGCTGCTGCACATCTTCACTCACCGGTCCAGGAGTTCCCAGTCCTCTCCTCCCCACTTTTCCCCAAAGTCTCTGGTGTTCATGCCTCCAACGCGAACTAGATCTGACTTGTATATACCCAGGAGGCCAAAGCCGTTCACTTCCCAGTAGCCTATGAAAGCGATACACAAAAGCATCAGCCACATCTACATGGTTTATTAGTAAAAATTAAAGTTCTCAGACTAACCTGTGGCACCCACTGGTCCAGACATGTAACAGATTAATAGGGAAAGATCCAACTAAAATCCTCTACACACACACACATCCTAATGAGTTGCAACCACTCTTCATTGGGAAGTAATAGGATACCGGAATGAAGAACTTCAGGACTTGGGGGTGGAAGGGCTAACTGCAGTCCTCATGAATCTCCCCAGGCCACATCCCTCACTGATCCCTGCTTTGCACCCTCCCTGAATGGTTTTGCCTGGCAGGAATGTGTCCTGGAATTCTGATACTGCCTCCTACTTGCCTGGAAGGAGGGTAGAGAGGAATGTATGATTATGCATAAAAAGTAGCCAACCAAGGAAAGTACTGTACATTCCTTTCCCCACCCACTTTTGCTTCTCTCAACCCCAAGCCACCACTAGCACCACTGGGCCCTGGGAAGTTGCCCAGAAAGGACTGCTGACTTTGGGCTGACAAAGATTCTACCAAACCTTCCATACAGAATATTTTCCTTCTCCTAGACCTTCCCCCCTCTGTTATGAAACCGCTGTTTTAACCATCTCTACAAGGCTAAACTATGAACTGTAGAAAAATCTGTTTGTGATAATGAGGAGGAAAGATGACCAGAATAATATGGGTTTTATGCAAAAAACCTCCCTGCAGCACCTCACCATCAGGCCATTTTGGGGATGCACCACAGTGGAGCCTCATAACCATAGGTGCAAAGGCCATTTTCCCTTCCACACAGTGCTTCCGAATGGAGTCAATGATCCCTGACGGGAAATGGATGTGAAGATCACACAGGAAAATGATGCTGTGCGAATCCTGTAATTAAGCAGAGAAACGGAGCAGTCAGGTCGTTATCCACAGTACACTCGTGCGCGTGGGGAAAGGCTCACAGAAACGCCCATTCAAGGAAGATGTGAACATCACACAACATCATGCAACACCCTCCAGCTCCAAGACAACTTCTTATATGCAGAACAAACCTGTCAGATACCTGACTTTGTGTGTGTGTAAAGAGTTTCCACTACTATAGGCAGACTTTTTTTATGGATGACCCACTCTTTCAGTTAGAAAGATGAACCCAAATGTTCAACCTACATCTACTTCCATGTGGTTTATGTTCATTCAGCCATAGAGCATCTTGTCTTACCTGCAGAAGGCCCCAATCCCTATCATCTCCAGATAAGGCTTGGATTATCCCACCTGAAACCCAAGAGCAGGGTTTCTCAACGTTGGGTCCCCAGATGTTGTTGGACTACAACTCCCACCATCCCTGAGCTCTGGCCTTGCTAGCTAGGGTTGATGAGAGTTGTAGTCCCAAAACATCTGGGGACCCAAGGTTGAGAAAGGCTGCTGTAGAGAGTCAGAGCAGGCAAGGCTGATTATTTTTGCCCCCCGCCAACCCACTCTTTAGCACTCCATCAGAACAAATGTCAATTCAGGTTTTCTGCAGATTGACATTTGCTCCAATTGAGTGCTGCAGAGCTGGTTTTCATAGAGAAAGCTCCAGAGCAAAGAAAACCTTATATTAAACCCCGTTAAATCATTCCGAAACTACCTAACATTTGGCAGCTGAGGCGCTTTAGCTCAGCCTTCCCCAGCTTGCTGCCTTCCATACACTTTGGACCACAACTCCCATTACCTTCAGCCAGCATGGCCAATGGTCAGGGGGGATGGGAGTTGTAGTTCACAGCATCTGCCCTAGCCAGCTATCACTCACCTTCACTAGGTTTATCCCAGCTTGCAGGCCTGCGGAGCGCTGAAAGTTCCCCGTTAACCGCAAATATTGGTACCTGAAGACGAGAAATGGGTTATATTTTTACAGACAAAGTAAGGCTTTGTAAGGTTCTACACTTAGGCAGGAAGAATCAGCTGCACAAATATAAGATGGGGGACACCTGGCTTTCCAATAGTATGTGTGAAAAGGATCTAGGGGTTGTAGTAGACCACAAGCTGATGCAGCAGTAAAACCAGTTAATGCTATTCTAGGCTGCAACAACAGAAGTATATGGTAAGAGTTGTTTGACAGTAGAACAGAGGTTGGGTGGCCATCTGGCATAGATGCTTTAGTGGAGATTTCTGCATTGTAGGGGGTTGAACTAGTTGACCCTCAAGGTCCCTTCCAGCTCTAAGATTCTATGAATAAGTATTATTATTGCATCTGTCCCTGATATGCTTCAAATATGCTGGCCCATGTTCCTGTTTGCAAATGCAATAAATCTGCTCTCACCTGCGCAATGAGGACTTTTTCAGAGCCTTTTCTACATCCATATCGTCACTGCTGTAGTCTGTGATGATGACGTTGAAATAGGGGTCCTTAGTAACCCTGAACAGCTCTTCCATGTCAGAAATGAACTGCAGCACCCAACGTGCCTGGTTTTTCACTGTTTGGCACCGGGAACAAAGAGAAGAACAGAATGAGGCCAGAGTTGGTTCTAAAGGATGGAGTTGTGTCCCAAGGGGGCAAGACACACACATACACAATTTCAATTTCCTTCCTGTTCTAGTAAACATGGGCATGGCCCTATATGCAATTGCTGACACCTCTAACACGAGACTATATGGAATAGAGTCTGACTCAATATAAGGCTGCTCATCATATTCCTATTCAGCTACAGATGCAAATGCAGCTGCTTCCAGAGGAGCAGCCATGTCAGCCTGCTGCAGCAAAATATATGAAGTCTTGTGGCAGCTTAAGAGCTTACTAATTTATCAAATACAGATATACAGCATTATTGCTATACAGCAAACAAAGAGGCGCAGTGAAGATAATGAAGCAGTTTGCTCAGAGGAAAGCAGATCAGTCTTTCACTGACCAGTTTGTATTGTCCAACTATAGGCAGAGTCTTTAGTGGGCTATCTAGGCCAATATCAGGGGAAAAAATTGCTAGGCTTCATCATTTAATTCTCTAAATAGTATAGCTCTATGATACTGTGGCATCAACCCAGGGCTGTGAGTGCAAAATAATTATCCAAATTGATTCTGCGCTAAGGGAACTCAAGTTCTGTGACAAAAGCTAAAAACAAATTGTCCAAATTAAGCATGTTTTCACTACTTCCTTCCTTTTGCAATATTCTGCTCTTTATTTTGGTAAAAAAAAAATGCACACACAAATATATATATTCTATGGTTTTGATAGTTATGAGGATTGTGAGGGGTTCAATACCTAGACACTCCATCCCTTGACCAGTAGAATTTTTCTGGAGGAAAACCTCTGCTTAGCTCCTTTCATGCATAACTTAAAACCAAAACAAAGCAAAACAGAACACCAACACAGCTGTTGAGTTCTTAGGATGCTGGTTTCTTAGAGCCAAAGCCCACACCTATGGCTTTTCTGTGCTCCTGTGAAACACACCTATCACATTTCCTTTAGTTCGACGGATGTTACCTGAAACTGGAGCAAAATCATATAGCTAAATATGACGACCGATTCTGTTTTAGTACCTTAAGATGGATATTTTGTCCTAGGAGAATTTTAGGATATGTGACAATTTGAGCTACATGATAAAAATATGCTGTGTCTTTCTTCTAGAAATATAAGAAAGAGCATGGGGCATTAACCAGTCACTGAGAGTTAGAAGAAGAAAAATTAAGGTTGCCAGATGGGAACTAACGAAAGAAAAGGTAAACACCTGGGTGCTTAAGTCCAGTCAAAGGCAACTATGGGGTTGTGGTGCTCATCTTGCTTTCAGGCCGAGGGAGCCAGCATTTTTCCACAGATAGCTTTCCAGGTCATGTGGCCAGCTTGACTAAACTGCTTTTGGTGCAATGGGACACCGTGACGGAACCAAGAGTGCACGGAAACACCATTTACCTTCTCGCCGCAGCAGTACCTATTTATCTACTTGCACTGGTATGCTTTTGAACTGCTAGGTTGGCAGGAGCTAGGACAGAGCAGTGGGAGCCCAGTGGTTTAGACCACAGCGCCACCTGCATCCCAGATGGGAACTAAAAATACTGTTCTATAATGTAGGATACAGCATATAAAATCTAAGGGAAAATATGGTTGAGACTTTTCATCTCCCTGATATAGCATCTCTACCAGGTGAAGTACAGGTGGCAGAAGTCAAAATCCCATCATTCTCCATTGCAGCTATTTTGACAAGATCATAAAGCTATCACATCCCGCTTACCTGGCACTATGAAGTGGACAACGGCACGATGGTTCCAGGAAAAGCCTGCTGGCCAGCATAGGGCTGGCTCAGTTTTTCTGGCCAACAAGTGGCGCTGGCGGCCCCATGCCAGATCCTTCATAATACCCTCCTCCTCACCGCTGCTGCTACCATGCCAGTCCCGTGCAAATACGTATTCTGAGAAACGGACAATGCGCTTATCCCTTGTCACCAGCTCCAGCTCCAGAAGGTAGCGGCTGCCTCGCAGGTGGTCCTGCCGCTTCTCTACATTGATGACGCGCAGCAGTTGGAATCGCCTGAAATTGGCATGAAGGGCCACAGCTCAGTGGCAGAGTAGATGTGTTGCATGCAGAAGGTGCCAGGTTCAAGCCCTGGCGTCTCCAGGGATGGCCTGGGAATGTTCCCAGTTTGAACACTTGGGAAGTCCCTACCTATGCAGACAAGACTAAGCTGGATGGAGCAATGGTCTGACTTGGTATAAGGTGTCCTCCTATTATACGAAGGAATTGTGACTTCCTGTGTATGCCTACTCACCGTGATGGCTATGCTCAATGTCAGAGATAGTATGCCTCTGAACACCAATTGCTAGGAATTGCAGGTTTGGCTTAGAGATATTGAGTTGTGTATTATTTTGGTATTGTAAATATCATTTAAGAAGGTGTTGAATTTCTTGTACAATGAATTTTTGGAAACCACATTCAGAGTTATTTAGTTTGTGATATACTTCTCTGTAAGTGGTATTGAGCTTTGTGGAGGAATTGCAGGTCGGCAGAGTGCTGTTGTGCTCAGGTCCTGCTTGCAGGCTTCCCACAGACAACTGGTTGGCCAGTGTCAGAACAGGATGCTGCCTTAGATGGGCCATTGGCCTGATCCAGCAGGCTTTTCTAATGCAGCACCACATTTGCACACCAGGTTCTTAGGCCGTGTCTGACCAAGCACCAGGTCCACAGGCCTGATGCACAAAACATTTGCACTGTTACCCTTTGCCCAATTTTTGTTTTCACTGCAAGAGATCAGCCAGATACTAATGCCTTCACCATGCCAATGTTTTCCCCCCCAACTATGTTCAGCTACCAACCCTTTCAAAACTAAAATAAAAATGGCAAGTTCCGTAACAAGACAAGACAACTCCTACCTCCCAAACAAACTTGTCTCATATCCTGCAGTGGTCTTCAACCAGTCCAGACCCAAGGCCCACCGTAGATTCCCAACCTGTAGTGTTGACAGCCCCCTTTCAGTCCTTCCCTGCTTTGCAACCATCCCATACTGACCATAGACCACTGGGCTTGTCAAGAGACTGGGACCAAGCATTGGCCAGGTCTACCCAGCTGTCCCTAAACTGACTCCCTCTAGAAGTTGTCTGACTCCATCAGCGCCAGACAATGTGGCCGGTGGTCAGGGATGATGAGAGCTGGGGCCCTGCAGAATCTGGAGGGCACCTGCTGAGGGGAGACTGGTCCAGCCCTACGCAGCTGAAGGTCAGCACCCTGGACTGAACTCCTTGTAACTCCACCCTCCAGCTATTGACTCTGTTGATGCAGAGAGTAAGGTATCACAGGTCAGTGGTGTAGTGGTTAGTGTCGGATTAGGATCTGAGAGACCAGGGTTCAAATCCCCACTTGGACATGGGTGACCTTGGGTCAGTCACTACCTCTCAGCCTCACAGGGTTGTTGTGGGGATTAAATGAGGAGGTAGAGAATCATGTACACCACTTTGAGCTCCTTGGATGAAAAGGTGTGATATAAATGCAGTGAATTAAAAAAAGGTTCAAAGTTTAAGTCTGTGGCACTCAATGTGACAGTGAAAATGCCAAAAGATAAAGACCAGATGAAATCAGAGCTCATTCCTAGCTCCCCAAGACTACAGAAGAACATATCCAAACATCCCTTTTAAGGATGAAGAGTGACTCAGTCCTCATTTCACAATGAGATCTGACAGCATTTTTAGCTACCTATCCAGACCCAAAGAGTCTGTTCCATGCTGCAGTTGCCAGCCTTAATAAGGACCAGAGTCTGCAAGGTGACTTTTGGCTTACCCTTTGTTCTTCTGGTTGAGCTTCTTTAGGAATGCATGAGTGACCTCAAGGGCTTCCTTCTCTTTTAACAGCAGGTTCCCTGAAGTGTTGCACTTCAGGTCAATCCAGTCTGTCCGCAGCACCTGGAAGTCCAAGTTACTTGCCCTGAAAGTCTGCTGCCAGTTCACTAGTTGGTCAAATGCAGGCATGTAACGAAACTCCTCTTCTTCATTTACCTCCCCTTCCACCTCCTCCTCTTCTTCTTCCTCCTGTTCCTCAACCACCACCACCTTTTCTTCATCCTCCACCTTGTGCACTGTTGGCTGGGCAGAATCAGTCCTGACAGGTGGCTGGGGATCCAGATCCACTCTTCCTAAAATGACATTCGCAGCATCTGCTGCCTTGTGCTGGGCTATATACGAATCTACTTGGTTAAGCCATTGGTCCTCATGAGCAGGCTGTTCCCGGAGGGCTGCCTTCCCTGCTCCTTTGTCAAGCACCTGGGATTGCCTCGTTTTTGTGGTTTCTAATGATGACAGGTCCATGTTTCCGTTTGCATTAAAAACCAAGGTCTCTCTTGGGATACTTCCAGCTGAATCCTTGCGACTGATGGGATTTTGTTCCCCAATCCCTTTGGTCCTTTTGTTAGTCTGCATGCCCTCATCTCCTCCTTTCCTCTTGGTAGCTGGCAATTCATGGGCACTTCTGTCACGGAGAGGAGAGTTCTCTTGGTTTCTGCTGTTCAGATACAGCCTTCCTACTGGTGAATTTATTTCTGGGATGGTTTTATTGTTGGTCTGGTTGACCAATGTCATTACCCGCTTTTTAGCAGCTTTGCTCTGTGTACCTTTCCCAGCCACTGACAGGAGAGTCCGAGGCTTTAGTGGGGAATAATCATAAACATTGGCGTACTCCGCTGCCAGGATGGGAGCTCTTTTCACTTTGGGTCTGGAGGAGCTTAATGGAAGATGCATGTCATCTGGGTCTTCATACTGAGCATCATCAAAATTTTCTCCTTCATAGCCTGAAAAGATCAAACACAATTACATATCTTGTGCCTTGGTTGTTGTTTTTTTTCTCTCGCTCTCTCTTCTTAATTTTGAAGTAATTCTTAACTCAACATCCTGGAGCTGGCAGCTTGTGGGAGCTAAAATCCCAACACTTACATGGTGACCAGGGCTTCATACAGACCATACATTTAAAGCACATGGCTTCCCCCAAAGAATCCTGGGAACTGGTGTTTCCCCCTCACAGAGCTATCGTTCCCAGCACCTTTAACAAACTACAGTTCCCATGACTGTTGGGGGGAATTCATGTGCTTTAAAGGTACAGTGTTTATGCAGCCTGAATAGTGCAATACTGGTGAGCAATGACCATCCAGTCATCCATCATCTTAATTTCCAGATGCATCCATATATAAAAATTTAGCATATGCAAATTTGTGTCATGAACCTGTGCCCCAAGTCCTTTAACTACTTAGCAATACCCTGGCCTATAGGTGAAAAATACAGGCATCCCAAGTTTCTCTTTTGATGCATTTAGCCCAGTGGGTAGGGCATGAGACGCTTTATCTCAAGGTTGTGGGTTTGAGCCCCACATTAGGCAAAAGATTCCTGCATTGCAGGGGGTTGGACTAGATGACCATCATGGTCCCTTCCAGCTCTGCAATTCTATGATTCTTTAACTGTTGCATTTTGAACAGGGGGGTGGACATGCTTCCATATGAACTAAGCATCTTAGTCAGCCATGTTTCCCATTCTGGTTGTTCCTCATTTGATGTAGATATTAAACCACCTCCTACGATTCTGCCCATTGCAGTCTCTCTCTTCTTTATCACTCATTAGTCAACCATAAAACAACTTTTCCAGGTTTTTCCATACCTGGCAACTTAGTTGTTTCCTCAGAATCTGAATTCCTCCCCTCTGGCTTGTCCATTTTCACATACCTGGAGAATCCAAATCTGCAGGAGTTAAAAAGCAAACCCAGGCATTACAATTGCCACACTCTTTAAGCTTAGCCAGTATGCAACATTTCTGCTCTGCTAAACATCTCTTCTGCTTAAGGGGAGTCATTTTATGCAACCAGTAGAATCAAGTGGTAAAAGTCCGCTTGGACTGTACTACTTACAGGCTGCAGGTAGCAGGTAGCAGGTTGCATGTTTATGCTATTCCCTTGCACTTGTAATCTACCTTGTGGCAATGCAACCTACTTATTTTTCAGTTCCAAAAGTATCTTGCAGCTTCTTTAAAAATATTTCTTGCAATACTGGTACTGCGAACTCTCTTTTGCACAAATATTATGGGTAGGGAGTATCTTGTGCATTTGGATAGCCAGATATTTAGATAAAAAGAAGAGGGATTTATATAGTTACATGGACTGAGTGACAGAAACAAAAAATATACTGTAAGCTGACATGGACTCCATGCTAGATACAGAAACAAATAATAAATGCTAACTGAATAAGTGAAGGCAGTGAACAGGACCTTGGTTGTAACAAACAACAATAGCAGCTTTAGATTCTGCTTGCATAAGGCAATACAGATCTCTCTTCCATGTAGAAAAACACGTAGGAAATAATCCGGTGTGAAGCAGTCTTTATTCCTTTATTCCTTTTGACTTTCTGAAGGCACCCGGCACCCTCAGATCCCATCATGTTTAGCAGGAACCAAGTTACTGAAAAGACTTTCTATAGCAAAAAAAAAGTTTACATATTTTATTTAGAAATGCCTTTCTCCTAAAATTCAGCCCCTGCTTTCCAGTGACAAAGCAACAGAGTTCAGTTACCAAGAAGGAAGGCTTTACCTGTTCAGGAAATATTCATTTTCCTGGTAAAAGCACTTGTTATGTGTCTCCATGTGCGTCAAACGAGTGTAGTCATTGGGATATACAAATGATAAATGGACCTAGAAAGGGAGGGGAGGAGTCCACACACAAAAATATCAGTACTAAAACTAAACTTCAGGACTATTTTGTGTGATCAGGGACAGCCAAACTTTTCAGAGCACAGCTCAGGTCTATTAGCCCAAAAATCAATAAACTTGCCTCAGATTTATTTATACTGGCTGTTGTGTACGTGTGTAGAATTCTGAGAGAGATGCTAAGTTTTCCATACCAAGAACAATGGTCGTGCTATTGATTTTGTAGTCACTTATTCCAAAACGAAAGAGGAGAGATAACCACCTGTAAACATTTAGAAGCTCTTTTCCTTATTTTTGAGCTTGAAAAAGGTAGCTGATATATGCTAACAAGAACAACATTTAAAGCCCTGGGTTTAACTCTTCTGTAACAGAAACAAACAGTGAAGCACATGACAGCAGCTGCAATTTCAGGGTAACTGAGAATCTATGCTACTCAAATGACCATCAAGTACTGCTCAAAATAATCAACTGCATTTCCCATAAGGCATTTAAGGTCTGAGATGTTGTCTGATCCACTACAGCAGAGCTTTCCAAACTATGTGTCGCGACACGTTCATGTGTTGGCTGCAGTGTGTAGATGTGTGATGTGAACACACCCCACGCTCCTCCTGGGGGGGCGGGGAGCTGGAAAGTGGATAGTTTAACCTCCGGTTTCCTAGTAAAACTGAATTACTGTGATGCAAAATGATGCATGTCTAAAATGTGTGTCACCAACATGAAAAGTTTGGAAAGCTCTGCACTACAGAGATTCATTATTTCATGTTACAGGAATGTTCTCGTCTGGGTGAACTGGTTAAAAGAAAGTGTAAACTCAATGTGGCAAGTTATCCCAGTTAGCGCCTAAATTGGAGAAAGAATGAATGCCATTGGTGTTCAGCCAATAAAATGTGTGGCAACCAGAACTGAGCTGCCCCCTACTAAGGCCCCAAGATAAGTGGAGAAGATATGTTTGAACTTAGAGGAGCAGAGCAAGCAAAACAGAGGCAATCTTAGCTACTGAGCTTGGGCATCACCACGTGAGCTCACATCCAGCTACCACTTTGAAAGAAAGTTCATGCAAGCACACACAAAAATGACAGTGGAGCAATAGATCCACTAACTTCACATGCCACTGTGGACAACTACACACCGCTTCCTAAAAGGAAAGCCAGCCTTTAACCTAAGCTTCAGTGTTAGCAGCAGCTGCAAGCTGGGCAAAGACTTGAGTTGAGAATTAAGACTTACAAACTGAAGCCCTTGATAGCGCTCCAGAGGGAATCCATTGACCAGGTAGCTTGGTTTGTAAGGGCAGTCTGGAAGGATCTTGCGCAACTGTGACTTCCTTACGAGAGGCACTGAGAAACAGAAAATAAATGAGAGGCTATGACAGAAGCAGATCGGCGTAAAGCAGTCGGGAGAGAGCTCCTACTAACCATTAAATACATAGGAGCGTGTTCTCTTTTGTATCTAGCTGCTCTAGATCAGCCCCAAGCAAAGCCATCTAAGGCTGTAATCCTATGCTCTGGCAGCAAGCTAGATGCTTACATTTATAAATGGTGTCTCGGGGGTCAGGCTTGAGCATGTCAGCTGAGTGCTCCATTGCACCCTGATTGTACACAATCTGTTTTGGATTCGTAGCCAGTGTCTGCGGGATGTGACCAACTTCGTCCATTTTCAAAAGTGTTTCATCTAAAGCACATTGGGGTGGGTGGGGAGAGAAATAGTGGGAAAGGGTAGGAAGGAAGGAAGAAGGAATAATTCACCTTCTTAAGACAGCTGGATATATTCTTCTTCTTGCAACTCTAACTCTTGTCAATTCTGTCACATACTGCTAACAAGCTTCAAGGGATTTCACAGCTCAAAGTGCTCCTTATTTTTAAATGCTAATCTGGCAACCCAACCTGAATTCCAAATTTCAGTAAATTACATGCAAGTCCCATTTCACAAGCCTCCCAGGCTATTTTCTGCCCTCCCTCAAAGCTCAGTGCCTCTCAAAAGCCTATGAAATAAACCTGGTATGAAGTGAAGGGTATAGTGCAATATTTCTGCATCTGCCTAGGATGTGCTGCGGTTAGAGGCAAAGCTTTTCTGTTGATAGGAAGGAAGGAAGACTAACAGCAACAAAAAGCCCATTTGGCCTTATTAGTCCTGGGGGGCAGGAGGGGAAGATACTTACTAGCATAAAGGGAGAGGGATTCAGAGTCAATAACAGCAAACTTGGTTTCTGGGTCATTCAGCTTCCACTGAAAGAGAAAGACAGATGCATTCAAAGTTTATAAATTTGACAATTAGGAAAGGAAAGAGAGATCTGTCTGCAACAGACCCACACGACTAGGAGTTTGCCAAGCTATATAAAGTCCACTGCTTACATACTGTGGTTCAACAGATCTCTAGCAAGCAGAAAAGCCAGGAGATTTGTTGCCCTGGTGGACTGCTATACAGGTCTGGTGGCCAAAATGAGACAGGTTGGGGGCTCCTGTACCTTTAATAGTTGTGTAGAAAAGGCTGCCCTTGCTAAAATTTCCTCTTCTGCACAACTATTAAGAGCCCTAACCTCTTCTGTACTTATACATAACTGGTCCAAGGTAATTCGGTACACAATATACAATTGTGATCTACAAAGTCAAGGAATCCTTTCCCAATTTCAGATCCTGTTAATATATTACACTGTGCGTGAAGATAGTGAGGCTTTTCACAAAGGAGGAATATCCAGGCAAAAACGGATGAGCAAAACTATCAAAAATAACACTCATTGCTCATTGTTTAATTTAATCCTTGCTCCTGAGATAGCTTAGTGTGTGCCTTTGGCATTATTAGATGTATAGTACTGGAAGAATACATTGCAGTTACTGTTTTGGTTGCTCAATCGAATTTAGTATTTGTCATCTGCCTGATGTACGTGATTTTCTAGTCTTCTTAAATTAAAAACAGCAACAACAATGCAACACTCAGGAGTATGTCAGACATTTCAAGCGATCAATTAATTGGTCTTCTCTGAGCATGTGGGATAGATCACATAAAAATGCAAAAATAAGTTGGGAAGGAAATGTTGGGATGATGAAATAAAGTGCCATCTGAATGCAGCCCTAGCCTGAGTACTCACTGCCACTACCACATGGTCCGTTCCTTTGTCATCTTGCTTGTGTAGCACCTCAAAGTAGTACTTGCTTGTGGCAGACAACCTGCGAGAGAGAAGTGGACAAAGAAACACTATTAAGGCAGAACATCTTTCCCCACTTAAGCAATCATGGAAACTGAAGTAGCCACATCACTTTGGACTACTACTCTTTGGTCAAAAGGGGGTGGATTCCATTGGTTCTGTACAGTGATGTCTTCCAAGAACTCAAACTGGGTTGGAGTTCTATTTAAGCCTTTGATGAATTATTCCTTCCAGCTAAGGGATATAGCCACTGGATTCTAAGATTTCCTTCATCTTTGCTCAAATTAGGCAATGAACAAGTCAATTCATCTAATGGCAAAGTCTCCATGGAAGATGGGGAATACTTTCTGTCATTGCTGACAGCATCAATCTGTGCAATTTGAAAGACTGTCAGAGTGTCAGAGTTCAGTCCTGCCCAGACCTAGAACCTGAAGTGTCCTTGGAGGAGCAGCAGGATTAGAAACCATAAACCATGGAGTCACTGGATCCAACCATCCCTGCCTCAGGAGTTGAGATTGCCACACCAGCTGCCTGGGTTGGGTTCCTGGGCTGTTCTATACCCTCCTGTCTCTCTCAGGAACTAAGGAAATGGTGATCCAGGCAGGAACTTCAAAACCACAGCTGAAGTCCCTGGCTAGGAGTATACAAGAGCACCTGCCTGGGTAAGAGTCACAGTGGAGCCTTCAGCCCCTTGGACTGTGTACACACCATGCATTTAAAGCACATGACTTCCCCCAAAGAATCCTGGGAATTGTAGTTTGTTAAGGGTATTGGAAATTGCAGCTCTGTGAAGGGTGAACTACAGTTCCCAATATTTTCATGGGGGAAGCCATGTATGGTGCGGGTGTGATTATCTAGAAGCAGAAGAAACACCCAGAGCACAGGAAAAGAGACTGCGCTTCAAACATGTGCTGTGCATGCAGCTCAAGAGTTACAGAGTTCCAGTTCCTCAAAGCAGGGAAACAGAGCAACACAAGACACGGTGGGTGGCTAATTTTCAGATGGCACGTTTGTCAAATGATTATTGCAGCCTAGACATGGACAACATTGGCTGATTGAATCCATACAGTGGTACCCCGCAAGACGAACGCCTCGCAAGACGGAAAACCCGCTAGACGAAAGGGTTTTCCGTTTTGGAGGCGCTTCGCAAAACGAATTTCCCTATGGGCTTGCTTCGCAAGACGACAGCCCATAGGAAATCTCAGGGACAGCGGGGAAGCGCAGCGCGTCTTCCCACTGTCCTCGGACCTCCTCCGAAGCCTGGCGGCGGGGCGGGGACACCTCCTCCCGCCGCCGCCGGGCTCGGAAGGCTCCTCCGGCCGGGCGGGGGGAGGGAACACCTGCCGCCGCCGCCCGGCTCGGAACGGTGCTCCGGGCCGGGCGGGGGAGGGAACACCTGCCGCCGCCGCCCGGCTTCGGAACGGTGCTCCGAGCCGGGCGGGGGGAGGGAAGACCTCCCGCCGCCCGGCTCGGAACGGTGCTCCGAGCCGGGCGGTGGGCAGGAAGACCTCCCCGCCGCCCGGCTCGGAACGGTGCTCCGGCCGGGCGGGGGAGGGAAGACCTCCCCGCCGCCCGGCTTCGGAACGGGGCTCCGCCGCGGGGGGGGGGGGCGGCAACACCTCCCGCCGCCGCCCGGCTTCGGAACGGTGCTCCGGCCGGGCGGGGGAGGGAACACCTGCCGCCGCCGCCCGGCATAGGAACGGTGCACCCAATCCGGGCGGGGGGGGGGGGAACACCTCCCGCCACTGCCCGGCCTCGGAACGGTGCGGCCAAGCCGGGCGGTGGGGCGGGAAGACCACCCGCCGCCGCCCGGCTCGGAACGGTGCTCGGGCCGGGCGGGGGAGGGAAGACCTTCTGAAGGCGGGCGGGGGCGAAAGTCTTTGCTCCCCCTGCCTGCCTGTCCCGGAGGGCTTTGGAGGCGGGGAGCAAGACTTTGCCGCCCGCCCGCCTTCAGAAGTGGTCCAGGACCTCTTCTGAGGGCTGGCGGGGGCAAAAGTCTTTGTCCCCCTGCCTGCCTTCCCAGGGGCTTTAAGTTGCCCCGGACAGCGGAGAAGTCCTCCGCTGTCCCGGGGTGATTTTAAATGCCGCCCGCCAGCATTTTAAGATCGCCCGGACAGCGGAGAAGTCCTCCGCTGTCCCGGGGTTTTAAAATGCTGGGGTGGGAAGAAAAGCCCTTGCCCCCCAGCCTTCAGAAGAGGTCCGGGGACAGACTGTCCCCGGACCTGGTCTGAAGGCGGTTTCCCTAGGAACGCATTAATTGATTTTCAATGCATTCCTATGGGAAACCGTGCATCGCAAGACGAAAAACTCGCAAGACGAAGAGACTTGCGGAACGAATTAATTTCGTCTTGCGAGGCACCACTGTAGTTGCCATTTGATTATTGAGAATCTTAGGGGAAATTTATCTCATCAGAGAAAAGAGAGAAATTAGTTTGTCTCTAGGAAATACAGATAATAGCCACCAGGAGGCACTCTCAGGTTATTTTAAGGTTTAAGCAGGACAAACAGCACACTACTGATGATAAACCTTAATTTACTTACACTAAGGTTACCAGATTTTTTTCAATGAATCCAGGGACACTTTTCAACTTCAGTTGGAATGGATGGATTTTGTCAGGGGAGTGGTTTGTAAATCCGGGGACTGTCCCCGGGTAATGGGGATGTCTGGTAACCTTAACTTACACACACACACACACACACACACACACACACACACTTGAAGTTGCAATGTTCTAAAACAGTATTTTTAAAAACTTGGAGATCAGTATGGGAGAATGCATGCCGATCGTGTTTAATGCAGGGCAAGAGGCTGCGTTGGTCCTTGGTGGTCGGTGACAACTGAGTAGGCTTGCAGCCTGCTGGGCAAAACAGAAGCAGCAGCTAAGAAGTTCACTCACTTCACTGGCCTCGACTTCTGGCTCTTGAATTTCCCAAACTCCCCAGGTGCCGTCCATTCCTTCCCAGTCTGTACAAAGACAGAAAAAGTCCCCTTTACGTTATTCCTCAAGCAGATGGAGTTGCAACACACTCCTTGTTTGCTTACTGAGCAGCTGTGAGCCCTTCCCAAGTTAAATAATGCAAGTGTTCAATAATTTACTAAAGGGTATGCTGGCTATGTTCTACCTCCATTGTCAAAAGGCATTATATGCCTCTGAGCTGGGAATCACAGGTGGGCAGAGTGCTCATGCCTAGTTTGCAGGCTTCGCATAAACATCTGGCCGGCTACCTTGAGAACATGATGCTGGAACAGATGGTCCATTAGCCTTATGGGCCAGCAGGCTCGCCTTATGTTCCTGTGGATCCAGTGCTGTTGATTGGTATTTTTAGTCATTCTTGAACCTTGATGCAGAGCAGCATCCAGCTGTTTCAAAGCAAAGCTGAAAGAACAGTAGATGTCCAATATCCTGCGAGGGAGTTCACTGCCGATTGCGACACCATTGCTAGGCTTGCACATTGGCCACAGTGCCAATCGCCGCTGCCCCACCAGGCCCCAGGTACTGTACCTTGCCGACACTTGCCAGCAGCTGGAGGTCCAAGATGCTCTCGCCTGGACTCAGCCAGAACTCTGCATTGTCGTCGGCAGAAATAGCAAACTGAAACTCACCTAGAGAGAGAGATTCCTGGGATTAACTGGTACATTAGGAAATTCTGTTTGGGAGACAAAGAGAATAGCTTTCTTCTACAATGGAAGGCAAGCCTTAATCCCTCTTTTGAAGGTGGAAGGGGGGAGAACCAGAATGTAGACACCTAAACCTCTAGTTTTGTGCTATGAGAGCAGAAAGGAATGTTCCAAGTGCTCTTCTTTGCCTGACCTACTCATTTCTCGTTGTACTCTCCTCTCCTGTCATGAGCACTGCAACGAACTGGAATGCATACTGCTGATGAAATATCTGGTTATATATATATTTATCCAACAGGATTTATATGTGGTGCCTGCCACAGGTTGTTGGATTACAACTCCAATCAGCCCTAGCCAGCTACAAGCTCTGGCCCAACATCTGGAGGGCACTTGGTTGGCAAAGGCTGCTCCCCAAGGATGGGAGTTTTACAAGGTTGCCAAGAAGTCTGTTAAATACCTCTATATCCGGAGTGACAAAGCTCTTCTAGTCTGCAGGCCACTTCATTATCTCCCCACCCCTGGCAGGCCGCTTGGAATGCCCACCTGTCAGTCACCTGACATCCTAGTGACATCAGGGGTTGCTACACATTGAAGCCCTTATTGTTGAGACTTCTAAGTACAGCATTGGGCTATCTGAAAGCAAACTGCAAGCAGTCCCCCTTGTTCACATCAAATGGGTTATTATAAAGGGTCAAGCTATCACTAATAATTCTGGAAAACTTGTTGAGATGCTATACACGTTTTGAAACAGCAGTATGGGAAAAGATTTTGTAAAGGCGTGTCACACATCTTTTCTCTGTTACAGGGGTGGAGGCAGCTATGGTCTGCCAGATGTTGTTGGACCACAACTCCCATCATCCTGGACCATTGGTTCTATGCTGACTCCAGCTTAAGAGAGTTTGGAGTCTAGCAACATCTGGAGGGTCTCAGGCTCCCTACTGCTCATCTGTGAGAAACCTCAATAAGTTTCTTTTCAAATGAGCATCGAATAAGAATGAACCTCCTTCTAAAATCTGGAAACAGTACATAAATAAATGAAAGAAGTAAAAAAATGTAAAATGTTGTTTTGTTCAGGTTTAAAGCCTTCTGTTTTCATCAGATTCCCTCCAACCTGGGCCCATATCAGTCTCTCCCTCACCATCACTGAAGGGATGCAGATAGCCAAAGATGCGTAGCCCATAGTTTGTCCACTTTGGAGATGCTGCCAGTTTCTTCAGAATAGTCCGTGTCTGAAAGTGTAATGGGGAAAAAAGCAAGTATGCAATTATGAAATTGGATTGGAGGCAGGGGAAGGGGAAGCATCTATTGGGAGAAGGTAGAGAAGGGAGCACAGAAGCAGAAAATGAAGAGCAAAGGCTGAGTAACCTGAAATAAGTAATGGCCCTGGGTTGGTCCTTGCTCTCCATTTCCTGGAGTGTTTTACAGGCTTGGGTTTTCCTTGTCAGTATGAAAAACATGCAGCCCTACCCCTATATCTGCCCAACCCCTCATCTGCCAAATCTGACAGGTGAGTAGGACCGCCCACAATGATGTCAGGTGAAAACCTCTTTGAAGGCACATTCCCAGCACACCTTCAAAGAACCTTGCTCCAGGATCACAAAGGGGGTTGCATCAAAGGCCTTGCTAAACTGAAGGTTTTTTGCTCCATGTTAGGAGAGGGTTCAGTGAAACCCCATTTGTGACTCTGGAGCAAAGTGTGCTCCTACCCTTTGCAGTTGGGTGGTAGGAGTTCAGCTTTCTCCAGGATCATGAAGGAATTTGCAATGAAGCCCTTGCTAAAACAGATATTCTCCCTCTCTCCCCCTCTTTCTCTTTCTCTTTCTGGCTACTCTCTGGAGGTAAATTTCAGTGGCCAGGTATCTTCCACAATGCTTAAAAACAAGCAAACCATGAAGCTGGTGGTTCTTCAAGTCAAAACCCTACTCAGAATGAATCCCAATGAATTCAATGGGAATAACTCCTAGCTAAGTGTGTATAGCATTTGCAGCAAATGTCTGCTGACTCTAGCAGTGGTGGCTGGTGCCCATTGGGACAGGTAGGGAGGAAGGCAGGGAGACCAACAGTAGGTGGAGGCACACCCCGAGAAGTTGTAGGTAAGAAGGCAGGCAGGTGGAAGGAGGTTGGAGGGACAGTGTCCCATTCGCCAATACAGGACCAACCTCCACTGACTCACAGTTGGTTAGGAAGCTGGGCAGAACCTAAGAAAAGAGGACCCTCCATTTGGCACAAGGATACAAAAGACTCACGTGGGGATGCAGCGGAAAGTGGAGGTTCCTCCTCAGCTGTTCCACGGAGCCACCGCACCAGTCCTCAAAGACATGAAGGTTGACTTGGCCCTGGAACTTCAAGCATAAGGAGATACTCCTATTAATCACAGTCCAGATGATCTGGTGCCCATATGGCACACCCACTCATTTGCAACCTGGTATAGCAAGAGGGCATGTTGACTTGCCAAAGGTTTTTAAGAGGAATGTATTCCCCATCTGAGACTGGTGCTTTTTATGGTTTAGTAGGGAAATAACCAGAACTGTTCCAAATTGAAGCCTTTCACTTGCCAATTTTGCACAGTACTATCCTGTCCAAGGTTTAGAGAGCTCCAGCTGGGCCTGGGATCTATTCTAAATGAGTGCTGGACAACAGTCCTAATTTAAAGCTTACTCAACAGGTGTATTAACAGTCAGGTGTGTGCACAGGTCTTTTCACGTACTTTATCAGAAGTGCTGGCTGACTTGCACTTTGGAGGCCTAGAGATTTCTACTTACTTTAAACTGGAATTCTAGGTTATCAGACCCTGCAGCCCAACCCTTTCTGGGTAAACAGCTTTATAGGGAGAAGCAGATTTGCACAACAAAGAGAGGCTATAAATCTCTAGTCTCACGTGGGCTGCAAAATGGTCGTCTCTTTCTACACAGCAAATATTTATTCCTGCCAGACGTGTTCCTCGAAAAAGAGAACTAAGGGCAAGGAAAAGATAATAGGCCCAAACGTTGCTGAAACAGAAAGCAATGGGGGCGAGGGGAGGACAGAGAGCTTGGGACACCTTCCTTACGCCATATTTTGAAAAGCCATATTTTATTTATTTATAAAAGTATTTTTATACCACTATATCATAAAAAACATCAAAGCAGTTTACAGCAATAAAGAAACAGGGAAGGGGATTTTTTTTTTGTGTTTATATATTGTAAACTGCCCTGTGATCTTTAGATGACGGGCAATATATAAATTTAATAAATAAATAAAAATAGTATAAAACCATTAAAAAGTTTAAAACAAGAGAAGTAGCCAGAAAATGAATTTCAAAATCCCTATACAAAAAATCCAAACACTCTCATTTGTGCATCTGATGCAACCATTCCCAAACTAGAAAAATAGTTTATGTGTTACTTTTATACAGTGGTACCTCGCGTTAAGTACTTAATTTGTTCCGGAGGTCTGTACTTAACCTGAAACTGTTCTTAACCTGAAGCACCACTTTAGCTAATCGGGCCTCCTGCTGCCGATGCAGCCCGATTTCTGTTCTTATCCTGAAGCAAAGTTCTTAATCTGAAGCACTATTTCTGGGTTAGCAGAGTATGTAACCTGAAGCGTATGTAACCTGAAGCGTATGTAACCCGAGGTACCACTGTACCTTGTCCTTTTCCTCTAGGAAACCTCACGGAAGGAAGGATTCCAGGTGGTCACCGTTAAAGGCACTGACCACACCCAGAACTGCTTAGCATCAGGCAAGATGACTTGGTTGCTGTAAAATGCTCTATGTCATGGTGTAGACAGCAAAGTGTCCTCTAGATATTGTTGGATGTCCGACTCCCATCATCCCTCACCACTGGTCATGCTGACTGGGACGATGGGAATCGGTGTCCAACAACAACATCTGGAGGACACCACTTTGGCTGCCTTCTTCCCTATGCCCAAGTTCCACGGGACCAGCCATTTTCTGGTCGCCATCTTGCAAAACTCTAAATATAGAAATGCAGCCTTGAAAGCAACACCTTGGGAAAGGGTCTGTAATTGCTAGAAATAAAGGAAACAAAAAGCTTTGCTCTGTTTTTTATTGTTTGGCAATTCCGTATCTCCGGGGCAAATCAGCTACACACAATCTGAAGAATGTGTAAATGCAGGTGAAGATAAACTAGACAAAAAGGAGGTTTGAGCCAGAGAAGAATGGAGGCATTGTGGTGCTGCGTATGACATTCCCCCCACCCCCCCAGTTTTGCTTATAGGACTCTTGTGTTTCTCCACTGAACATCCAGGCTTCTCCTCCCTGGATAAACTTCCAATGCTAATAGTCATTCTATAGTCATGACTTGGATGCAAAACTATGCACTTGTGAAAAATCTGTTAAGAAATGTCAGCAACAAGGACCTCTTCTATTCTCAGGTACAGCGAGGAGGTGAAAAAGAAGGCAGCAATGTCATCAATTCTTGCAAGCACCGCCTGTTCCAATAAGCAAATGGTTCACTTTCAAGTACTGTCTAGGGTCAGTAGCACTCCCGTTACAACTCCCAGTTCAGGACTGCCAGTTCCAGAATACCTTTAAGACTTGTAGTTTAACAACATGTGTCTGTAGTGTCCTGTAGTCACATGCTTTCATGAACACTGAACAATCATGAAAACTCAATTCCCTTAGGACAGGGTTGGGGAGCTCTCTAACAATTGCCGCTGCTGGTCAAATACAGTGGTACCTCGGGTTAAGAACTTAATTCGTTCTGGAGGTCCGTTCTTAACCTGAAACTGTTCTTAACCTGAGACACCACTTTAGCTAATGGGGCCTCCCGCTGCTGCCGCCGTGCGATTTCTGTTCTCATCCTGAAGCAAAGTTCTTAACCCGAGGTAATATTTCTGGGTTAGTGGAGTCTGTAACCTGAAGCGCCTGTAACCTGAGGTACCACTGTACTAATGAGCACTTTTGCTTGGCAGAACCACAGCCTGGATCAGGGGTAGGCAACCTAAGGTCCGGGAATCAGCGTGTTTTTACATGAGTAGAATGTGTCTTTTTATTTAAAATGCTTCTCTGGGTTATTTGTGGGGCATAGGAATTCGTTCATTCCCCCCAATAAATATAGTCCAGCTCACCACATGGTGGTCAGCCCACGGCTGAAAAAGGTTGCTGACCCCTGGCCTGGATGCACGAAGAAGAGCAAACAGTCATCACATGGGGTTCTGCTGCAACCCTCATGAGTGAAGTAGTACCAGGTTTTCAAGGCCAATCCCTGTTCTGGTTTTCCATTCTTAAAAACTGCTATGTGGGGGAAAGATGCCAAACCTCTTCTTCTGTCAAAGATGCTTTGTTGTTGCAAACCTCCTTTTATTGCCAGGAACACATACCTTCTGTTCAAACGAAGACTAGCTCTATTACATGCAGAAATAAAAGCATCCCCAATCCTCTTTCTGGGCCCTTTTATCAGCCGCAGGAACCACAGTGCAATAGCATGCTTAGACAGATGCTGACAATACAACAGAAGTATTGAATACCCCCTGTAATTAATTTGTGAAGTAGTATGGATTTCTCATGCTTAATCCACAAACTGCTATGTAAATTAATCTGAGGAAGAAAAAAATAAAAAAATCAATTCAGGAACAGAACAGGGTTCAGTTCATAATCCTTTGATTTGCCTCAGATGACCATGCAGCAGCAGAGTACATGCCTGCGCTGCCCAGGGCAGGCGTGTTCCCGAGGGGTGCGGGGTGCGGAAGGTGCCCTCTCAGGCATGGGATAGCCACTCAGATGCACGGAGCGGAGCGTGCGCCCTGCGCCCTGCGATTCCCAAGCCTCCCCCAGTTGTCAAAACGAGGGGGGAAGTGGGGAACGCCGCTGGCAAAGCAGCGCAGCTCCCCCACTTCCCCCGAAAGCTTGGGGTAGGCTTGGGAGTTGCGGGCGGGTGGCATGCCAATGTCACCCCCCTCAGCAAAGACACCCGGGGCAGACCACCCCCAACGCACCCTCTTCCTCCACCCCTGTGACCCTGCCTCCCAAATTTGACAGAAATCAGTGACTATATAGGTTAGCTGATATCACTGGTAAAAAGAATCTGGCTTACAAAGGGTCTCTGTCAGAATTAGTAAAACTGTAGGTCGATGTGTGTGGAAATAAACCCACTTGCCATTTTGAACTGCATTTGCCATGGCTCTGCAAACTTTTATCAACACAACTTCACCAAATCCAGAAAAATGAGATGGAAAGTCTTTAAGCCCAAATAACTAAACAAAGACAATAAGGCACAATTCCAAACCAACCAAAGAAAGGAGGGATGGGGAACCGTTATGAGCCAAGAGTCGCATGCCAGCGGTGAACGGGGTTAGATACAAAAGTGGCCAAAGTAATGGATGAGAATTTAACCTTTGTACATTAGGCTTTTCTCTAGACACGCTCCTTTTTATCCTCCATCCAGGCAAGAAGTATTATTATTATTATTATTATTATTATTCTGCCTTTTACCCAGAACCAGGACTCAAGGTGGCTCACAAAAATTAAAATAAAGACAGATAAAATATACACAAGTGTCAGGGGTTCAGGAGCAGAGGCAAGGGCAAGGGAGGAAACAGAGAGCGAGGGGGAGGAGGCAGAAGAAAAGATGAGTGATGACGACGACCCGAGATCTCCGAGTCTTTCCAGTGAATCAGAAGATTCACAGAAAGGAGCACCAGTGGCCAGGGCAAGGGGGAGCCTAGGGGACACCCCAGGAAGATAGAGCCAGAGGGGACTCAGAGGGGAGCAGTTGGAAATCGGGACCAACGTCACCGCCAGAGAGCAGGGAAGAGGAAGGGCGCCAGGGATCAAGCGCTGGCAACTCACAACAGGGGGGAGGGCACGAGTCAGGAGTGGCCACACCTCCATCGGGGAGCGAAGAAACGGTCAGACGGAAGGTGGAAGGTTGGGCGCGCGCCAGGTTCAAATCCACAGGAAGGTGGCGCAGTAGGCAGCCCGGAAAGGGAGCCAGGTCCTAAAGCCCGCCGAAAGGAGGGAGAAGAGTCAGGGAGTCAGCGTCAGCGTCAGAGGAATCCCGGAAGGAAGAGACCCGGGGGCAGAGGGACCCAGAGAAGAACAGTCAGGCGGAAAAGGTGGAGCAGGGCTAGGATATTAAGTTGGTGTACAAGGGGCGGAGACTCAGACGGAGCTTCGCCGGTCTAAGCATGAGACGTAGAGTTGCACGCAGCAGCTTGAGAATGGAAACTGTAACTCAATAAAGACTTTTGTTTAATGATCGCTGGCTAGCGTGATCCTCTGTGAGCTAGGATCTGGAAGCAGCTCTGACAGTAAGCTCCGTCTCCTAAATTGTGGGCATCTACGGCCTCGCGGAGAGGAGAGAAAGCGGGTGCCTACTAGCGAGCTCACGAACGGCAGACAATATGACGGCCGAACAGCAGATAGCGGAACTCAGAGAAGCAGTGTCACGACTGAATGCCGAGGCTCTTGCATCCAGGAAGAGAGAGGAGGACGCAGCTGCCGCCTACAGGGATCTCCAGGTCAGGTTGGAAGTGCTTACGAAGCAAGGGCAACTGACACCCAAACCGGAGGATTGGGTTGGGGAGACGAACAGGCGGTCTGGTCTCTCACTTCGATGGGAATTTGCAACAGTACCCCAACTTTAGAGCAGATGTAATGTGTGCACTGCAACTGCTGAACAAAGACTTTAGAGATGAGCAAGAGAAGGTGGGATTCATCATGTCCCATTTGCATGGAGATGCTAAAGCATGGCTGCGCAATTTGTGGAGAGATAAGGATCCGGCGCTCCAAAATGCGGATGCCTTTATTAAAGCGATGGATGGGTGCTTTTAATCAAGCATTGACGTGGATCTTGCTCGGCAGCAGATACATGGACTGAAGCAAGGGAGGGCCAGCGTAAGGCAGTACCATGCCCGCTTTTCGCTTTGGTCAGTGCTCTGGAATGGGACAGAGATTCGGCTCCTGTAAGAGACCTGTTTTGGGAGGGATTGCACGGCTCGGTTAAAGATGAAATTGCGAGGGGAGAGACCCCGGACCACGCAGGAGATCGTTCAGAGGGCGCTGGCGGTGGGGGTGCGGCTGGAAGAACGTCCGTGGAGCAGGGACGAAGGGCGTGGAGGGCGCGAACCAGCCAGGGGCTCCTCCTTCCTTCCCAGAGAAGCAGCGCGTGCGCAATCCACGCCTCCGCCAGGAGGAGGAGCGGAACCTATGGAGGTTGGAGGTGCAAGGGCTCAGTCAGCAGCCAGAGCCCTAGCACCGGCAGCAGTGAAGCGAAGCCTCCTAGAGGGAACAGGAAGTGTTACATCTGCGATGATCCACAGCATATGGCGAAAGAGTGTCCCCAGAGGCTCCACAAGCACACTGCAGCCTCAGCAATGGTAACTGCAGCAACGCAGCAAGGAGAACCACGGCAGGGAAACGACGGAGTCTGGCTGGAGAAAGAGGCACTGGGGCCCAGCCAGACGTGTCAGTGAAGCAGTCCCCAGAGATTTTACAGCCCATGGACCCCTCCCGCCCAAACCAGTAGTGAGGCTCACCGCGTCGCTCCAGCTGCCCAATGGCATCACCATGGACGTGCCAATCACCATTGACTCCGGAAGCAATGCGGACTTTATAGGGCAGGACTTTGTCGACCGGCACGCTATACAGTTGCTGCCTGCCACGCTGCCCCTGCAGGTTGTCACGGTGGATGGCAGGGAGCTGCTAGGGGGGCAAGTGGTGAAGCAGACGCCACCAATGGTGATGAGACTTGGGAATCACAGGGAAATCATCAGCTTCAATGTCACTCAACTATCGGACACGCCCATTGTATTGGGCATGAGTTGGCTGGACAAGCACAGCCCGACGCTGGCTTGGTACCAGAGGCAGCTGACCTTCGGCTCTTCCTTTTGCGCTGAACACTGCATCGTGCCCCGGCAGGAAGGAGAGGAAGAGGAGTCACAGCTGCAGCTAGGCACGCTGCAAGCGGTTCCCCACAAGTACGCAGCATTTTTGGAGGTTTTCTGTGAGAAGGAGGCAGACAGGCTACCCCCACAGACCATATGACTGCAGAATTGACCTGCTGCCGGGGCGGCGCTGCCCAAAGGGAAGTTGTATTCCATGTCTGAGGACGAACTGCAGGAACTCAAAGAGTTCATAGATCATAATTTGGAGCGCGGTTTCATCCGAGAGTCCAAGGCAGCGGGGGCAGTCCGGTATTCTTTGTTAAGAAGCGGGACACGCCCCAAAAAGACTTGTAGTGGACTATCGCATTTTGAACAGCGTGACCAAGCCATCGGACTTCCCCATGCCCCGAATCGACGACCTCCTCGCAAAGGTACGGAAGGGCAGCGTGTTCACCAAGTTGGACCTGCGAGGGGCGTACAACCTCATTCGCATGCGGGAAGGAGATGAGTGGAAGACAGCCATGTTCACGCCCCTGGGCACCTACGAATATAGAGTTATGCCTTTTGGATTGCAAAATGGTTCCCAAGATGTTCAAGCTTTCATGCATCACGTGTTGGCGGGGCTCCTCTACAAGACGTGCGTCTGTTTCTTGGATGACATCCTGATCTTTTCGGAATCGCAGCAGGAGCATGACAGGCACGTCAAGGAAGTGCTGAGCAGGCTACAGCAACATAGGCTTTACGCCAAGCTGGAGAAGTGCCAATTCGACGTGACGGAGGTGGATTTCCTGGGCTACAAGTTGTCTGATAAAGGGCTCGCCATGGACAGCACCAAGGTCCGAGCAGTGTTGGATTGGAAAAGCCCACGCAACCGGAAGGAGGTCCAACGGTTTGTCGGCTTTGCGAACTTCTATCGCAAGTTTATCAAAGGCTTTGCCATGCAGACAGCGGCCATCACGGACACGCTCAGCTCCAAGAAAAAGAAGTTCATCTGGACAGAGCAGGCGGAGCAGTCCTTTCCGGCACTCAAGCGTCTCTTCGCGTCGGAAGAGCAACTGCTTCATGTCAACCCCAGCAGGCCGATGAGGGTGGAGACAGACGCTTCGGACAGAGCCGTGGGAGCAGTCCTGCTGCAGAAGGACCCGCAGGGGTTTGGAGGCCGGGAGCGTTTTACTCAAGGAAGCTCAGCAAGTCCGAACAGAACTACACCATCTGGGACAGGGAGTTGCTGGCCATTCATGCAGCGTTCAAAGCGTGGAGGCACTTCCTGATCGGCGCCAAGCACACGGTGCAGGTCTGCACGGACCACAAGAATCTAGAGCACTGGCGCACGGCACAGTTCCTGAACCAGAGGCAGATACGTTGGGCTGAGTTCTTTGCGAATTTCGACTTCCGAATAGAGTATGTCCCGGGGGACACCAACATCATGGCGGATGCTCTCTCCCGTAAGCCACAGTATTTGGAGGAGGCAACGCCAGCGGCCGCCATGCACATCTTCGCACCGACAGTGTGGGCGTGCACGGCGGCGACAGTTGACCTGGAGGCGGTGCGACGAGCGTTGCAGGATGACTCCTTCGCGCAAGCAAAGATGGCAGAGGCGCACAGGGGCACGGCAGCGACCGACGAGTTCCAGCTGCGAGATGGTTTGCTCATCCGTAAAGGGGCCATCTACGTGCCGGGAGACGAACTTCGCGCCAAGGTACTGCAGCAGCTGCACGACGCGCCCACTGCCGGGCACTTTGGCAAGGAGAAAACGGTGGAATTAGTAGCCAGAGACTTCTGGTGGCCAGGAATGAGAGGGGAAGTCGCGGACTACGTGGCGAGGTGTGACACCTGCCAGAGGGCCAAACCAGTGCACAGACCGCCGGCCGGACTGCTGGAACCGCTGCAAACTCCGTTCGAACCATGGGAGAGAGTGGCCCTGGACTTTGTCACGGATCTGCCCAGCTCGAGGGGCAAGACGGCTGTGCTGGTGGTGGTGGACTTGTTCTCCAAGATGGCACATTTCATTCCGTGTGCGAAGGTGGCCACGGCGGAACAAACCGCCAAACTGTTCATAGACCACGTGTTCAAGGTTCACGGTCTGCCGCGGTCTATTCTGTCCGACCGAGGGCGACAGTTCATCTCGAACTTCTGGCAGAGGCTGATGGGCTTCCTGAACGTCAAGATCAACCTGGCGTCGGCTAGACACCCGCAGACCAATGGGCAAGCGGAGCGGAGTCAATGCCATCATGCAGCAGTACCTGAGATGTTATGCGAATCAACAGCCTGCGACGTGGGTGGATTACCTGCCTCTCGCCGAGTTCGCCTACAACAACACGAAGCACGTGTCCACGGGGGTCACGCCGTTCTTCGCCAACAACGGGAGGCACCCCAGAACCTTCCCGGGACTGGAAAGAATGGGGGAGGGGAAGCCGCAGACAGCAGATGCATTCGCGTCGGAGTTGCAGGAGGTCCACGATCAGCTGCGGCGGCACCTGGAGCTGGCTAAACACGCATACAAGGTACAAGCGGACAAACACAGAAGGGTTGGCGAAGAGATCCATGTGGGAGACTGGGTCTGGTTAGCAGCCCACGCAGTGCCGGCCAGGTCGTTGGCGAAGAAGAAACTAGGGCATAAACAACTGGGGCCCTACCAAGTCGAAGAACAGGTCAACCCGGTGGCTTTCAGGCTGGCTCTTCCGGAGGGTTCCAGAATGCATCCGGTGTTCCACAGATCGGTGCTCACTCCCTACAAGGCACCTCACAGGTTTCAGGAACCAGGAACGGCACCGGGTCCGCTCCGAGAGAGAACCGGGCAGGGGGGAGTGGCACGGGAGGAGCGCATCAACGAAGTCACGGAGATTTTGGACTCCAGATGGGGGAAGAGGGGGTAGAATACCTTCTCGCCAAGGAGGGCACCCCGGCCAGTGCCAACAGCTGGGTGCCGGGCTACGCTTTAGACGAACCTCTGCTCAAAGAAGAGTTTCATGCCCTCTTCCCACATAGGCCAATGCCAGCAGACTTTTCGACGACTGGCTTTTCACGCCCACGCTTTCAGCCAGCACGTTCCGGGGTTCGACTCGGACGAGGAACCGACACGAGACGCCCGTTCCCCGGAGGGGTCACCCTCAGGATCTGCTTCAGAACCCTCGTATTGGTGGGATGATCGACCAGAGGAGCAGTTCCGTAGAAGGTGGCTGGAGGGTCCAGGACGAGCAACGTCTCCAGAAGGCAACGAGGAGAGACGGACATGGACTTTTCGGGGACGACCCGGGTTTCGAGCACGGCGGCACAGAGATGGAAGCGGAGGTGACCGTCGTCAACGAGAGCAGGGAGGAAGAACCGGAAGACTTCAGATGGCGGCCCGCCACGGGAAGCGAACTGTATCCGACATTCGTCCCCTGACACGGCAGCACCCAGATCCCGCACCGGAAGGAGGGGAGGGGGAAGAGGGGGCTTCGAGGGGGATGGATGTCAGGGGTTCAGGAGCAGAGGCAAGGGCAAGGGAGGAAACAGAGAGCGAGGGGAGGAGGCAGAAGAAAAGATGAGTGATGACGACGACCCGAGATCTCCGAGTCTTTCCAGTGAATCAGAAGATTCACAGAAAGGAGCACCAGTGGCCAGGGCAAGGGGGGAGCCTAGGGGGACACCCCAGGAAGATAGAGCCAGAGGGGACTCAGAGGGGAGCAGTTGGAAATCGGGACCAACGTCACCGCCAGAGAGCAGGGAAGAGGAAGGGCGCCAGGGATCAGCGCTGGCAACTCACAACAGGGGGGAGGGCACGAGTCAGGAGTGGCCACACCTCCATCGGGGAGCGAAGAAACGGTCAGACGGAAGGTGGAAGGTTGGGCGCGCGCGCCAAGTTCAAATGCACAGGAAGGTGGCGCAGTAGGCAGCCCGGAAAGGGAGCCAGGTCCTAAAGCCCGCCGAAAGGAGGGAGAAGAGTCAGGGGAGTCAGCGTCAGCGTCAGAGGAATCCCGGAAGGAAGAGACCCCGGGGGGCAGAGGGACCCAGAGAAGAACAGTCAGGCGGAAAAGGTGGAGCAGGGCTAGGATATTAAGTTGGTGTACAAGGGGCGGAGACTCAGACGGAGCTTCGCCGGTCTAAGCATGAGACGTAGAGTTGCACGCAGCAGCTTGAGAATGGAAACTGTAACTCAATAAAGACTTTTGTTTAATGATCGCTGGCTAGCGTGATCCTCTGTGAGCTAGGATCTGGAAGCAGCTCTGACAACAAGTAAAACATGTAAAAAGTTATTGCTAAAAAGTAATAAATATATCTATGGAATTAAAGAAATGTAAAAAAACCACATATCTACTAAAACACAGATAGTAAAACAAAAACAGCACAAGAGCCCTTTCCGTCAAAGCTGTCAGTTCCCCAGAGCTTGCTGGAATAAAAAAAATGTTTGCAGGAGTACAACAAGGAGGGAGCCAGTCCAGCTTCTCTAGAAAGGAAAGGAGCAGCCACCAAGAAGGCTCTCACTCACATCCTCACCATATGGACACAGACAGCTCAAGGGTTGCATATCAGAGTTCAAGGAGCCATAATTGTACACTTTCAGTTGTACACAAGTTTAACAGTTTTTATTATGATGTATTTAATCTCTCATATCCTACAAACACTGTAAACAAACAGCTTAATGGCTGCTTGCATATTAGATCTTTTGTTGGGAGCACAATCCAGAGGATATTTATAAATAAAACTTCACTAAGTTTTAATTCCAACTAATTTGAGCATTTTCTGAATAAACACGGACTAAATGTATGAAATGCAACTTACCGTATTTTTCGCCCTATAGGACTCACTTTTTCCCCTCCAAAAATGAAGGGGAAATCTGTGTGCGTCCTATGGGGCGAATGCAGGCTTTCACTTGAAGCTTGGAGAGCGAGAGGGGTCGGTGCGGCAAGGCTCCCTAGGCGGCGGATAGCAGCCTGCTGCCCGGAGCGTGGGGCGCGCTGAAGCTGGGGGGGATAATTTTTTTTCTTTATTCCCCCCCCCCAAAAAACTAGGTGCGTCCTATGGGCCGGTGCGTCCTATAGGGTGAAAAATACGGTACCTAGATGGGTTTATTAATTCAGTTGCAATACATTATATTGAACACTAACCTCAGGCCTCCAGGTGGCAGAGTTAATCAAAGTTGCAGGATTTGTCTTATTGTTGCTTCTTCTGTTAACTCTGCTATGAATCTATACAGAATGAAAAACAAGAAAATAAGTCTGTGTGGCTGGCTAGAATATGTCTCAGAGGTGGACAACTGGTGGCTTGTGGAGCAAATCAAAACTTGTTCAAAACAAAAGATAAAAGAGATGCTGAGGGCACTGGGGACTGCACAGACTGAAGAGTCTCCTGGTCTAACTGCTGAAGAAAATAGCTTGAATTTCCACTGGATAACAGTGAGGCAGACAGGATGGATGGATGGTGTGTGGGTGTGTCTATGAGAAAGAAAATGAAGGAGGAGAAAATTTATCTTAGCTGAAACCTGCTTCCCTGCCACTACAGCAACAGAGAACAAATCTGCTCCATCTTCTATGGGACAATGCTGCAGATATTTGAAGACAACTATCATGCCTCCCCTTAATCTCATATTCTAGCTTAAACATGACATGCTCTTTCAGTCATTTATTTTATGACTTGGTTTCCAAAAAGCCCTCACCATCTAGGTTGTCTCCTCTGTAAGCACCCCAGTTTGTCAACGTCTTCCTGGAAATGTGTCACTCAGAAGTGGACAGAGCAGCCAAGATCAATGTTCTTCAATCCTGGGTTCCCAGATGTTGTTGGGACTGCAGCTCCCATTATCCCTGACAACTGGGTAAGCCGCTGAGGGTGATAGGAGTTGGGTCCCTAGGCTTTATTGAACTACAAGGCTGGACTACATTGGTCTGGACTACAAAATGAATGCTCCGTATGTCTTCCAGGAAAATCTGAGAGGTAAATCAAGCTGCTGAATCCTGTTTATTCTCTTCTGGCATGTACTCCTTGTATTTGGGCCAAATACAATGAGGGATGTGGGTGGCGCTGTGGGTTAAACCACAGAGCCTAGGACTTGCAGATCAGAAGGTCGGCGGTTCGAATCCCCGCGACGGGGTGAGCTCCCGTTGCTCGATCCCTGCTCCTGCCCACCTAGCAGTTCGAAAGCACGTCAAAGTGCAAGTAGATCAATGCTCTTGAAAAGCAGTCAGGTGAGTCAGCAATGGCAGGGAGTTCCTACTGTAACTGGGGTGGAGTGGATAGACAGCCATAAAGGATGCCTCCCTTTTTGTTCCTGCTGCAAATACCTGATAATTATCTGTAATTATTAAAAGAGTGCCCTCTGCAACTGCAATTGTATCCAAGAGAGTAATTAGCATAACTGGTGTCTAAGGTGTGCAGGGCATAAACTGTTTGGAATAAAAGCAATGCATAATTTTAGCCACACCTTTGTGTAACAATTCAGGAACCAGTTCTTATCTATTAACATAGACTGTAAACACTTACAGAGACTGTACACTGATGAAACTTGATTTTGCAACCCCATTTCTTTTCACTAACCTGAGACTTGAATTCGTTTGCTTTTAAATCTGGAGCACTTACTATGATTTATGAGTTCAACTTACCAGATTTTCTGGTTTCTGAGGCAGATAAAACTGCAGGCTTGGATCCACTATAGGGCTGTCCTGGTTCCTCAGAGCTTTAGCTAGTTCACTCCAGCTTCCATATCCTGTAAGGTAAAAGGAAAATGTGGAAATAAACTTTCAGGTTAAAAAAACCATGGCAACTCAATCATTATGGAAGCACCAACAATTCCTATAGGCTAGGAATGGGGAACCTCTTCGCCTCAGGGTGAAATGCAGCTGGACTATCCTCAGATTGCCTTTGCCTGACTGGACTGTGTCCTTGAACAGTCATAACATCTCAGTGAGAGGGGTGTGTGTCGTTTGTTTGTTTGTTTGTTTTAGAAAACTCAGGCTTTTGTGTGGCTGGAACATGACCTACTCTGCAAAGACAAGAGTCACATCCTTTGCTCCATCCACTTTTCGACCTTGGACCCTAGCCATGCATTGCATGGCAGGATGCCCACAAGTAATCATGTATATCCTCCAACATTTCTCTAATGAAAATAGGGACGTCCTAAATAATAATAATAATAATAATAATAATAATATCATACCCCACCCATCTGACTGAGTTGCCCCAGCCAATCTGAGCAGCTTCCAAAATATATAAGAAAGGAATAAAACATTAAACATTAAAAACCTATACAGGACTGCCTTCAGATGTTTTCTAAAGTTGCATAGTTACTTATCTCCTTGGCTCAGGGATTGGATAACTCCATACCCGCCAACATTTCTCCAATGACAATAGGGATGTCCTAAGGAAAAGTGGGACATTCCAGTGTCAAATCAGAAACTGGGATGGATTCTCTAAGTCCAGGACTGTCCCTGGAAAACAGGGGTGCTTGGAGGGTCTGAACATGGCTGTCGTGCTGGCAGTGTTTTCTCACCCCTTTATATAAGGCATAAGAAAATGCTGTCCATATGTTAAAGATAATCAAGTGCCATATAAACAAATCCACTGAGTATTTACTTACAAACCCACCCCATCATTTTCATAGGACTTAATCCCATGTAAAAGCACAAATATTACTGAGAGTCTAAAGCTCAGGAACTGTGATACCCACATTATAGGTTAAAACAACTTGAAACTACAGTACAGGCATTTTATGGCAAGCCAAGACCACTCTCTTCCAGCAACACAGTACAGTTGGACATGGGACTAGGGGCATGACAAAATTCAGAGCACTTCTTTAACCTGCGTCCAACTAGTCCCTGACCATCACTTTAGGATTCCTGGCCACGTGAAGCAATGACTAGATAGAGGATAAAGCTATCAAGGAGCGGCTAGCCATGATGGCAATGCTCTAGCCTGCCCCCTGTTGGAGGCAGTATGTCAGTTGCTGGGCTGTTGTACTCTGGTCCTGCCTGCAAGCTTCCTATAGGCATCTAGTTGGCTACTGGGGAAAAGAAAACCAAGATGCTGGAAGAGATGAGCCTTTGGTCTGATCCAACAGGCCTCTCCTTATGCTAACCAACTGAATGAACTAAATCGCAATCATGTTGAAGGCGTGGAATACCAATTATGTATTATGAAATAATTATTGGCATCAGATTTCATTATATCAGAAGGTGAACAGCCAGTTCAAGGAAAGCAACTCCTTCCAAGCTTCTTAGGCTTGCCTTTGATCTCAAAATGCTACCACCTTTGCTATATGACCAGAATTATGCCAGCCAGATGTGCTCCTGGGAATGGCAGGAAAAGACTATGCAACCTTCTGGTCCAGTGTGTAAAAATCAATGGGTGGGGATGAATGCCTTCCAAAACCTTCCAAAAGAATTTGCAGACTGTGAGCCCCAGAGGAGCCTTCAGTCTCTGAGCATTTCTTATGCGTCTGATTCTGAGGCTGCATACACACCATACCTTTAAAGCACCTCCCCAAAGAATCCTGAGAACTATGGTTTGTTAAGGGTGCTGGGGACTATAGTTCTGCGAAGTATACATTTCAGTTCCCAGGATTCTGAGGTGGGGTGCTTTCAAACTACTTTATATGTATGGTGTGTATGCAATGCATACAGTGGTAAAGTGGGTCAAATATTATCAACTTATAATCTAGTATTTTACCCTTGAAGGCCCCTGAAATGTACCAGAAAAGTAGAGCTGAGCAAATATAATTAACAGATATCTCATTCACTTTTTTTTTTTTACTTCTAGAGCAATGTTACAAGAGTATCACAAAATAATAGAACATCTTTCCATTGCAAAATAAATGCTTGGTGTTTAAGTAATCATTGTATATTAGTTCTTTAATAACCTTCTGTTAATTTGATTTATCTTCCAATGTAGTTTAGAGTATGTACATCTATTACCTTGTTAGCATATTTGACATATGTAATAAAGGAGGTTGCTCCCTATGAAAATTCAAGTCAGGGTAAATTAGTAAAAGCTTACCCAGACAATTTCAAGAAGTCTGGTTTTCCCCCTGTAGCACTGCATGCAGATCACCTCTGACTCTGTAGGAATCACACCATAGCTGGCTTTGCATGGAATAGGACACTATTTTGAGTCAGAAACCCCTACCCACCACTCCACATACATTCCAGATCAGAAAGAATACAGCCTTTATTTATAACAGTTAAAATAAAAAGGTCCACAAAATATTGCTGCAGAGAGATGGTTCAGCGCTGCTAGTTTTACCGCATTCCCTTTTTCTTTTTCAGGAGATATATAAATATCCTTACAAAAAGTAACAGTAAGAAATGTTTCCCCATAAGAATGGTAGGCATCAAATTTTACTTTCATTAACAACAATGATGCATCTATGTTCTATGGAGGGCCATATTTTCTGCCCCCCACCCTGCCAAAAAGTTCCAAGCAATATTAATCTGGTCTGATTACTGCAACCCTGAGACCCCATTTAATTTAACTGGGAATAAGCTCCATTAAACATAAAAAACTTACTGCTGAGTAGACATATATACCTAAGTCCTTAAAGTTAACTATATAGTGGATTCTTAATGCAAAATAAATCGCCCGTGGGGGGCGTGTCTTTAAAATCCACATACACATGAAATACTAATATTTGCACACACACACAAATAAATATTGGAAGCACCTGCCTCAACAAAAATAAATTCTGGTTTCTATGATGAAAGGAATCACAGGGAAGGAAGTTAGGCAAGCAGCATAGAATCCTATCACCCGCTGACCAAAACAACTCACGTGTCCTGAGTCCCCACCCATTGGCTGAAAACAGCTCTGCTCGCTGTCATTGGCTGAGAACACAGCAGCGCCATGTTTTGCTTTTTGTGTGTGTGTGCCAATGGCTTACTCTTCTTCTTTTATATAAAAAATGGAAAGAGGCTGGGAAGGGAGAGGTGTCCAGTTCCAGGCGCTGTGTGTTGCCCTGAGGTCCTGGGCCCTCTGCCAGTGGTCCAGCTGGCCCACCCCTGCCTCTGACCATACACACAGCAGCAGTGCTATATACAATTTCAGCCAAACAACTGCAGAGAACCGCACCAGATGAAGCAATTAATCCATTGATGTGTTTGTCAGACACCTGGTGCCATGATTATCCGAATATTTATTTTTCCACCTGATCCTGTAATTAAAACTGGCTCCCTTCCCAGTATGTCCCTGTAGTCACCAGCCTGGCACATTAAGAGAAGACAGAGCAGGGTTTGTGGAGCCTGATTAGATTTTATGGTGCAGCAATATCTAGGCCATGTTGCACCATACGCAAGATTATGTTGCCAACATCCATCTCTTGCTCGATCTTTTATTTCATGTATGCAAAAAAGAAAAGAAAAAAATTATGTCCCATCAGCAACCGGGTCCCAGAATATATAATAATAAAAGGGGAGTGGGGTAGCCAGCTAGTTATTTTTAAATACATAAATAAAGCTAGATATAAAACCAGACCCACATGTTGCAGATTAGGTGGCTTGACTTGCATTAAAAAAAAAGTTTAGTGAACTTTTATTGGTGTTTTGGCTTTATAAAAAGCCAACTGCACCATCAGTTTAAATTTGAGGATGAGAATAAAACCACTAAGTAGAGGCCCTGCATGCCTATGGGAAGTTTGCCTTTAATTCCAGCACAACCAGAAAACCTAACAAAAGTCTTCAGAAATAAAGAACTTTTCTGTTTTAAGAGTAAAAGTAAATTATTCTCTTTGATCATGGCTTGATCCATGTTTTTGCATTTCCAGGATCCAGTATTTGATGTTCTTAAGCCTCAGGGTGTCCCCTCTATGGGAAGTGTGGAGGGTGGCAATGAGAAAGCCTTTATGGTCGTGGCCCCCCTGAAGCGTTTCAGTAAATTTTAGTAGTTTTAATAGTTTTAACAGTAGCACAGTTTTTAGGGTTTTATAATTAGCTTCTTTACCCTGCTGATCATTTTCTGTGCTGTTAATTGGGGTTGTTATTTTAGATGTGGGTTACTTATGCTCTTATGTGATCATCTTTATTTATTTTTCACGGTGTTTCCCATTTTGTATGTTGTAAGTTGCCTAGGGACTTTGGTGCAGGCGACGCACAGTTATCAATAATCAAAAATAATGGGTGATATCCAATGACAGTCATAGTAGATACACTGAAGATAAAAATCAATTTCATATGTGAAAACACATCAGACCAATATCTGAGCTTGTTCGACGCAACCACTGAAGACAATAGGTACAAAGCAGAAACAACTAATCTAATATGTAAATTGAACTGTAATCTTACTTTATCCACAATTACTTTGTTAGGTAGGCTACTCACGGTGCTTTATGGTTGGGAAAGGGTTTAACCCTGGTCTTCCATGTTCAAAAGCAGCTGCAAGAGGAGACCAAGCGCTAAATTAATGCCTCTTTGCAAGGGCTATGCTCTACAAAGTGCTGGGGGATCTGCCAAGTTCAGGTGACAAAGCAGATCTGTACCGGGGGAAAAAATAATTGCACAAAGCTTGGATAACCCAACAACTTAACTGTTGCGTGAAAACTAATCAGAATCACTAGATAAGAAAAAACAAGTTTAGCCAGAGGATGCCCTTTCTTATCTGGATCTGATTAGAATCTAAGATTATTCTTCACTATCCATGGCTGCGTGGCTGACATAATAAAGCAACTGATTGTTAGCGCCCAACAAATTGAAATTAAGCTCTTGGAAAGAACAATCAGTTCAAGTGCCATTGCTAATAGCACATAACTACCAATCAGGTTAGCAGTAGAGTAGATGCAATCATGTTTAGTGCAGAATGCACAATTGTCTAACTCCCATAAGTCTACTGCTTTTAGAAAGTGATGCAGGCTGCTTCTTGATTCCTAGAGGAATTCATCTTTCTTCACCTCAAAGGATGTGATTGGATTATTTTTTACACATCCAGGCACTCGGTCCCATAGTTTAGTACGCATAAAAAGTTAATGATGTCTGTAAACCAGCCTCACAGATAAATCCACAACAGTTTGTATTCCAATCACCTGACTACACATACCTATATTAATAATTTGCAGCTTAAAATGAAGACTAATTTGGCTCCCCACTTGGTTGCTTAAAGGCAATTCTTCTGTGTTAGCTACAGGTGACTGGGCAAGTGGCTGATCAGTTGTCCATCCCAAAGCATCTCAAACTATGGCTTAGCACAAGTGTGGAGACTCCCAGAGAGGAGATCACAGTGGCTTTATTCCTCCTCTAGTCCTGCTGCTGCACTGAGCTAAGCCATGATTTGGTGTAGCAGGTTGTCCAAACCCAAGCTCATGGTTTGTGTTGCTATAGACAAACTATGAGCTGCAGCCAAGGCTTGTTCTCGGGTTTACAGCTCATGGCTTGTCTAATAGAGAAAAGTCATGAATGCTGGGTTTGGACCACTATGGACTGTGATCTCCATTCTTGCACATTTGTGTTGGTTTAGCATAACATGTGAACCAGCTCAGTGCATCCTTTTTATTCATACTTTTCATCCCTGACATCTCTATCTCTTTGTGCACCCACAAAATGACCCAGGATACCACTGGTATTCAATGCAACTCTTTTCAAATTGGTGTTATATACATGTGACCAGGAACATCCATTAGTGCCCTGGCTGTCAAATTCTGCACCAGTTTTAACCTCTGGACCATTTTCAACTGTATCCCCATGTAGAGCTCATTCACTGAATATGGGTAACTAGTTAGACTATTACAGACTAGGAATGGCTATAGTTGGGCATAAGTATTCCGGGCCCCTGAAGCAACCTGGGTTTCCAGGGACAAAGATGACTCGAACAGTACTCCCAAGCTATGTTGCCTGCTTCTTTGAGAGGAGTGCAATCCCATCTATAACAGGACATTCTTCGAAATCCTGAATTGAAGAACCATCCAACCATAGAACTTGTCCGGATTCGGCTGCAATTCATTGGCCCACATCCAACCCAGTACCACCTCCGGACAATGGCTCAGCACCTATGCTGCATCTCTCGATTCAGATGGGGGTCATCAGCATACTGATGGCACTTTGTTCCCAATCCTACAATGACTGTTCCTGATAGCTCCACATCTAGAACAGCATGAGAGACAAGATTGAAACCTGCAGAAATGCCACAGGGCTGATGAAAAGTCTCCCACTGCTACTCTTTGGAACCATCCCTACAGATAGGAATGGAACCACTGCAAAATACTGCTTCTCTGACAATCCCCAAAAGAACTGTCAAAGGCTCATGTGTAATAGCAGCCATGGGGAGGGCGGATCTGTATCAGGGCTGCAGAGCTGTCAGGGACAGGTTTGACCATTGCCCCTGTGTTGTGACACACAAGCACACACATCATCCTGTCCCCTCAAAGCTCCCATTTGCCTGGGAACAGAACACAGTACATTTTAGGGAGTCCTGGTTTTAAGTTTGCAGGGTGACTGAAGGTGTCAAACAAGGCTATGCTTGCTGCAACCAGATATATTTTATATTGTGGAACGTTTCCCACTGGGTATCTAAAATAATCACCAGGGATTTTTTAATATTTTTTTTTGACCAGGGGAGAGGTATTACTCCTACTGCAGCATTTTAAAGTGCTTTTTTAACAATCCTGATTGTTATACGGAATAGTGAGCATATTCATGGTTTTTATAATGAATTCTTTGAGTCACAAATATTTTCGCTGACAAAAACCATAATCAGAAAAGTACATCTAAATTATTTGCAACATGCTGCCTGAAAGAGTACTTTAGAGATGCACAAATACAGTGTTTGATGAAATCAGTATTGTTCATTAACCAGTAGTGTGATGGGATGATGAGCTGCTTGTGCGTAAAATCGTATCCCCTCAGAGTTTGTTCAAGTCCACAAACCTCTGTCTGTGACAGAGCCCCTCAGACATGGCTACTCTAGTCACTAGCAGATTCCGACAGTGGTTGCTTTCGTAATCGCTTCCAACATAAAAGCTCCTTAACGGAAACACGTCTTCTGGAATCTCTGCGTGACAGTTTCCGGCGAGGAGTGGGTGTTCTTACAGGAGGTCCTGAAACCTCTCCACTGTTTTCGCTGGAAGTGTCTCTGAGCCATCCCTCCAGCTCAGCTCCTCTCCCCTGCTGGTTCCCTCATCAGCTGCTGCGTCTCTCCCAACCTGTGTGAGCCCTTTCACCTCCCTGTTGGTTTCCTCTTCAGCTGCTGCGTCTCTCCCAACCTGTGTGAGCCCTTTCACCTCCCTTCCGTCCGATGGCAGTTCCCTGACAAGTAGTTAACTGCTTGACCTGTTCTTTCAAATCTTTGCAAAAAATTCACTTGAAGCATTTGTACTCTGATGTTGATCTATGATTACACATTTCCTCAACAAAGTGTCAAGAAAGTGACAATTCATACAGCCTTTTCTAAAGAGTCAATTTTGTTCTCAATCTCATTTGCCTGCCACTTATGTCACAGTTATGGGCGGTGGTTGTGATCCCCTTGCCCAGTGTGTCATGTGGGGATAACACCACTTGGACTACACTGCAGGGCTCTCATAAAAACCACTCTCTCAGCAGAAATTTCATTCCCCCCCCCCATGAAACGTAAGACCTAGGTTAGAAAGAAGCTGAACTTCTTGTTTATCTTTCTATGGTGGCTGAGGGGTGTGCGTGTCATTCTTCTGCTACCCAGTTATAGCTTTTCTAAAGGCTTCAATTTCTCCATTGTTTCCTATGGGCAGCTGTAATTTATTCTCCTGCCAAGAAATGCTTTCTAGAGCAGCTAGGAAGTCCCACTTGCCAGACAATGGAATTGTCATTCTAGAAATGTACATCAGTGGCTGCCACAGATAAGCAGAGAGCATGTCTGGGTCCCATAGTCAGCATTCCTGATTCAAAACCTGTGCAGTGCCAAAACAGCCAGAAATAAATTGTTGCTTATTTTTAAATCACTGTGTCTTTTTCATCAGTGATAATGGAAAGGCTCTTATTTCAGGGATAGCCAAGGAACAACTACGCATCAGAGGAAACGTATAAAGCAGCTTGAGAATTCCCACGCAGGGCCAAGTGATACTTAGGAAACTGCCTTCAACTGAGTCAGAGCACTTGTCCATTTATAAGGCTGATCGCCGAAGAATTGATGCTTTTGAATTATGGTGCTGGAGGAGACTCTTGAGAGTCCCGTGGACTGCAAGAAGATCAAACCTATCCATTCTTAAGGAAATCAGCCCTGAGTGCTCACTGGAAGGACAGATCCTGAAGCTGAGACTCCAATACTTTGGCCACCTCATGAGAAGAGAAGACTCCCTGGAAAAGACCCTGATGTTGGGAAAGATGGAGGGCACAAGGAGAAGGGGACGACAGAGGATGAGATGGCTGGGTTGCGTTCTCGAAGCTACCAGCACGAGTTTGACCAAACTGCAGGAGGCAGCGGAAGACAGGAGTGCCTGGCGTGCTCTGGTCCATGGGGTCACGAAGAGTCGGACACGACTAAACGACTAAACAACAACAACAACAAAATGCACTGACTGGCAGTGGCTATCCAGGTTCTCAGACAGGGAAGATTCCCAGCTCTACCTGGACTTTCCATGGATTGAACCTGGCACACCTTCTGCACGCAGAACAGATGGTCTGCCACTGAGCCACAGCCCTTCCCACAATGATACTTACTGCAGAGCTTTTTAAGGGGGCTGAATGTGGAGCAGAAAAGCATTCCAAGGAGGAAATGAAATATCGAGCACCAACTGGGATGAAAACAAAGGAGTAAATGACATGGGGTATAGCTATATATAACCAAAATTCTTCTGTTTCCCCCTTTGAATGTCCGTCATGCTTTGGGGGAGCCAGTGGCATAACATTCCTGACATACGTCTTGTCAGATATAGCTGAAGTGGAACTCTGACCAAGACTATCGCTGGGTACATGGACAGAGGCCAAGGATCTGCAAATGATGGAGAAAAGGGGAGGCATTCCTAATAGCAGGCAAAGACTCACTGTGCAAGCCTGGATAATTGAAGGAGATGGCTGTGTAATCTGTAAAGCACAGCATTACCATAAAAAGTTACCAACCCAACTGGAAGTAGTTCATAACAACAACAAAAAACACACACAAAAGCATGTTTTCCTTCCTAGCCACAGTGTAGAAAACTACCTAGCTACCCTCTCCCATTCTCATCAGTGTCCCCCTTGCTTTTATTCCTGTTTCTGGACTTCTTTACCAAACCAAATCTTCCTTGACATGTTCATATAGTCTAATTTTTTTCATGTGAGCTGCTTAGAGTGTCTTTGGAAGGAAATGCAGGCAAAGAATTTGAGCATAAATACCTACAAATACATATTAATGTAATATTGCCTGTGTCTCCAGGCTGCGACACTTCCACAGCAATATACGACCCATGCCTTACTGACCCGTTTTTGGAGCCCTTTTCCTGCCACCCCTCTCAAGTTTCTCAGCCATTTTTATTTAAACATCATCACTTCTCTCTTTTTCTCTACAGACTTTAAAAGTCTAGAAGAGTCAAAAGGAAATGCAACACTGTGGCATAAATAAATGATCGCCAGGTCCTTCATTTCCCCCGTCATCTCCTCTTCTCAAGCGAGTAAGCGATCTGCCTTTGTTATAAGGGCACAGACAATGACCCAAGCACAGCCGTAAGATTTTCATGCCACACAGAGAGATGGTTAATAGAGAAGGCTGCAAAATAACCTCCCACCAATGTTAGCACCTGAAAAGTAATAGCTGAGTATGCAAGCCAGGACTTCTCTTTCATTGCAGAAATAGGCCCCAGGGGGTTGCTTACGCAGAATCTGCATATGGTGTCATCTCTTCTTGCCTGCTGTTCACAAGGCTATTACAACTACATATATCAATTCCTAATTTCAAGGCAGTGAATCTACAAGGGAGCTGGTTGGCCCAGTGGGTAGAAGAAGAATTCAGCCAAGCCTCCTATGTCACTGATTCAAAAGAGGTGGTCTTGGGCAAACCAGTGTTGCTCTGCCTCAGTTTCCTGCCAGTAAAGCAAGATGACCCAACTCTGGAAGAGACGTGTGAATTAATTAAACACAGACAGGCAGGCCCTGCTTTGTAGATTTATAAGTGTCCTATAAACATGAAGTTCTAAGATCTAAATGCCAAAGTCCACTATGCATCGTTTTGCAACAAAGCTACAATCTCAATAAATACAGAAGAAGTCATGTTTGGGCTCCATGGTGGCAATTATTATCATAACGCTTCACTTCTGAAACCAGCGACTGCAGTTGGTTCATTCATGCACCAAACAGGGGCCTGGGGGGAAGGGAAAGTCCTCTCACCAGCCTGACTCAGGATGTCACCATTCTCTGCCTTCCCCGTCAAGCCCCCAGATGCTTTTCAGTGGTGGGGTCACTTCTAAACAGCAGCCAAGTTCAGCTGCACCCTGTCCTGGGGGCCCCCCAAGGCCCCATGCCAAGCACCCTCCCCAACATCTGGCGCCATTCCTGTGCCATGAACACTTTTCTGAAAATAAAGTGCTTACTGTGCATTGAGAGATTTGCATTTACTACTTTACTCTACATAGAATTGTAGAGTTGGAAGGGACCACAGAAATCTTTTGCCCAACATGGGGCTCGAACCCACAACCCTGAGATTAAGAGTCTCATGCTCTGATACGTATCACACTTGCATCTTTTGGCTGGGTGGTTTCCAGGTCCAGGAATTAAAGGGAAAGGCCAGTTGTTCATGGGATTGCACTCCCTCTGAAAAAGCAGGTGCATAGCTTGGGGGTGCTTTTTGAAACCACCTTATCACTGGAAGGGACACAGGTATTTGCCAGAACCAACCAGGAGGGCTGCCTTTGTCTAACAAAGCTGCTCAGTGTCCTTTCTAATGTCTTGGATGCCAAAATAACCCCAAGAGTTCCTATGGAAATAATGGAACAGATTTCCATAAAAAGGCAGTGCAGAGGCCTCAGCTCAACAGCTGCTCCATTGTTCCTTCTCCTTTGTGCAACACAGGGCTTTTGCCTATTAAGGCAACTAGATGTCATGATGTGTATGGCAAAATTAAAATACAGAGACACCACCTAACGAAGGGACAGAGTAGAAGAAGGTTTGCTTGAGGCAAGAAATGTTCACAGGATTCCATTATTCACAATTCCAAGTACTGTAATCTTGATTTCTTTATCTGTTTTTACAAAGTAGAATGTAGCTGCACAAAGTCCTCTGTGCCCATCAGTATTGATTAGCAAGGAATGGAGGCTTTGACTGTGATGCAACAATGACATCACAACAGTACTGGCACATGTTCTTCACATACCCCACCAAACCTCCCACCTATTTGACGGAGCCAGCCGTCACAAATGGCGCAGTTTAGCATAAAATAAAGACACAGAGAGCCAGCAATATTTTCAGGATGGTATGAGCAGCTCCTTTTGAACTTCTCTCCTCTCCCGTAACTTTTTTTATCCTTTGTTCTCTCCTGTCGCATGGCCGTTTGCCAATGTCTCATGTTACCTACATCCGGTCATGGCTTAAACCTACCCATCGCCATATAGGGTAATTACTGCCCAGAGGGGGAACATAACTCCATATAAGGCTATGCACTTAATACACTGCAAGGCACGGACATGCAGGTCACCGAGGTCAGCGAGGCACCAGGTAGCACTACAAGCCTTTGCCATGACTTCATGGCTCCCACATGCCCTCTTTCTTTATTTTATATCAGAGCCATATATGTCAGTACCAATATGGTTATATCGAGCGCGATAGGCGACTCTTGTGAGGCCAGAAGCAGGCTGCTGACGGGAGAACCATGCAGTACATATAGAGATTAAGGAAGGAATACATTGGATACAGCAACACAAAATAACGCAAATAACTACTATAATGATCACTAAAATCAATAAATGTCGAAGCCAACTCCCATCTGGAAGCCAAGAATATAAGAATTCTGATTCCAAGCTGCATGGTAGGCTTCCTTTCTAGTTTATTAGCCATGCACTGGTGTCACTTCTATAGCACTGAGATTGGTCACTGTATGTTCCTGTAAGAGAACAAGAGCTATTAAAAGTGAATTTCAATGTATATTGACAGTTTGGATATATGCCCCATGATTCTTTCCCCTCTTTAATTTGAAAACAAATGGGGGCAGGCTCATGGAGGGTCAATTCTACTGGAGGCCAAAAAGTTTGCTTAGGGGATATAATATTAGTAAATTGAAAAGATCCATTGACAGGCACACCATGAAGCATTATGCCGGAATGACTGGCAAAGGGCGCCATGTGCATACACAGCCAACATTTAGAAGCATGCAATAAACTGGTAAACATAATCATATCTTGTACAAAAATATTATCCCTCCATATCTTATGATAATTTTCTCCCCCAAAAGTCTTATTCAACAATACTGTTCTTCTAGTTCGAAAGTGGCTGAGCCGTGGATACTGCCAGCCAGAGTAGGAAGCTGACAACTGCTTGCCAGCCGATGAGGTGAAATATGGTGGTTTCAACTGGACTAGGTCGTCTGCGTCTCTTCCTTGTATAACGGTGCAGCAAAGGATGGCAAGGCAAATGGTTAGGAAGACAAACACTGCCAGATGCAGCTCATGTGCAGCACCTCTAGGTGGCGCATGCGGAAAGGTTTCAATGCTTCACCCACAAAATGTTGACAAAGTGTAGGGGAGTTCCGCATGCCTTGAGGCAGGACAACCCACTGATATCGCTGGGTGGGCTGCGAATTGTTATATACTGGCAATGTAAAAGCAAACCGTTCCCTGTCTGCTGGAGCCAGTGGGATAGAAAAAAAAACAGTCCTTTAAATCAATCACCGCCAACTGATATTCTCGTGGGAGCATATTTGGATTTGGCATGCCAGGTTGTAAAGTTCCCATTGGCTGTATCTGTTGGTTAATTTTCCTCATGTCCTGCAGAAGACGCCATTTGCCTGATTTTTTCTTAATAACGAAAATTGGGGAGTTCCAGGGAGATGAGGACGGTTCAATGTGGCCAAGGGTCAATTGTCCAGAAATAAGCTGGGCCGCCGCTGCTAATTTTTCTTTTGGTAGAGGCCACTATTCTACCCAAACTGGGGTATTGGTGATCCTGGTTTGCCACACTGGAAACAAGTTGTATCGGTGGCTACACGCTGGTTTTCATTTAGCGCTGCTGCCAGCAGATGAGCCTTGTGGGTGGCTGTACCTACAGACTGACAAATGCGAAGCATGGCTGCTGTGTCTGTGGCAGGATTGTGTATTATCGGTCGTAATGCAAGTTTACAATCCTCATTGGCATTTTCAAAGGCCAATTGTTTGATGATTATTTGTTTGGCTTCAGGATTTTCAATTTGGCGACTCACTGCTGTAAGCAGCCTGTCCATAAAGGAAGAATATGATTCTCTTGCCTCTTGCCTGATTGAACCCCACCTTGATTGAATACTGGGTTCTGGGATTTTTCTCATTGCTTGTTTAGCAGCAAGAGCGGTGTCCCTCAATAAGATTTGCAGCAGTGTGGCTTGCACTGAAGCTTGAATGAAGGGACCACGCCCCATCATGGCATCTATGACGTCTGCGAGGATAACATTTGGATTATTTCCTCTGACTTGTAACAAGGCTGGAGCATAAGCACGGCAGGCAGTTTCCCATTCGTGGGCAAACAAAACACCAGCTGATGGGGGTAACACTGTATGGGCCAAAGGCTTGATGTCCTCTGGAACCAAGAGCTGGGCTAATGTTGCTTCTAAAAGCGCCTGCGTATATGGGGCTTGGAGTCCATTGGCCTTTACTGACTGTTGCAGCTCTCTCAAGATCTTAAAGTCAAAAGGTTGGTGTTGGGCTTGAGTGCCTGCCGGGGCACCAGCAGGGGGCACAATAACAGGGAATGCCATAGTATCCTGAATTAAGGAACAGGCAAGGACTGCACGTTGAAAAGGGGTAGCTGGTTCTGCCGCTGAAAGAGTAGGGTCATTTCCAGCCAGACCACGGTATTTTTGCAGGATTGGGTCCTCTGGTGAGGAACTGTAGTCCGGAGGTTTGGGGTCTGGGGCTGCTGGCAAAGCAAGTATTGGAACAGATGCTAACACAGCAGGCTGGACTAAGGAAGCTGGAGGTTGTGTTGTCAATGCAGCCAGGGAGATATTTTTTTGGTGATAAAGAGCCCATGGAGTAACGAACCTTGCACCATGCATTTAGAATCCGAATACCAATGCTGGGGTGCCCATGAAAATGTGCCTCAATCTTGTCCCAATGTTTCAGTTCCCAAGTCCCATCTGCAGGAAACCAGGGGGAATGCTCTTCGATGGCCAGAATGAGCTGTATCAAATCACCCTCCGGAACTTCCAATTTGTTGGAGGAGAGGAGAAATTTTAAGTCTTTTAAAAATTTCTGTTGGGGAGTAGACAAAGAGCTGCCCATTTTTCTAAAATCCAGATAAAAGAGGGATCGAACTCACCAGGGATCCGAAGATGATTAGCGCTTGAAACCCTTGCCGGGCGTGGTGAGTCAATGATATCCGTTGCGTGGATCGAAAAACCTCACACGGTTTTCTTTTAAAAGCCTCAGACGTATTCTTTTATTCAGCCTCACACGGGGCACCACTTGACGGAGCCAGCCGTCACAAATGGCGCAGTTTAGCATAAAATAAAGACACAGAGAGCCAGCAATATTTTCAGGATGGTATGAGCAGCTCCTTTTGAACTTCTCTCCTCTCCCGTAACTTTTTTTATCCTTTGTTCTCTCCTGTCGCATGGCCGTTTGCCAATGTCTCATGTTACCTACATCCGGTCATGGCTTAAACCCACCCATCGCCATATAGGGTAATTACTGCCCAGAGGGGGAACATAACTCCATATAAGGCTATGCACTTAATACACTGCAAGGCACGGACATGCAGGTCACCGAGGTCAGCGAGGCACCAGGTGGCGCTACAAGCCTTTGCCATGACTTCATGGCTCCCACACCTATTATACTCCACACTCAACCCTTCATATCCTCACGGGTCCTTTAATCCCCCCCATATCCTCACAGCTCCTTCGATCATACCCATATCCTTAAAACTTCTCAGTGTCCCTCTACCTCTGCTTTGTTCCAACCTCTGCTGCTTAAAATTATCATTTAAAATAACTCCCTTCTCTTTTGCTCCCCTCTCCCCACTCTGACTTCATGCAAATCCAGGATTGTGATACAGCACTACAAATCTTCCAAAGGGGACTGTGTGACGACAGCCTTACATTGGTATGTATATAGGAAGATATTTAATTTACAGAACACATCTTGCAAAAATGACTTCCACAAACATCAAAAGGCTGCTTCAGGTACAATAATGCAGCTTTCTGTGTTCACCATCAACTTGTTCTTATGCAAATACCTGAGGAGGGCAAATGATAATGTCATATGTTAACCTGGGGAACTTCATATACTTGGCTACCTAGAGAAAACAAATTGACCCCCTGATAAGATAAATTTTTTTAAAACAATATTTTGCATCTTATGAAATTAGGCAGGGTGAGGTTGTAATTCATGAAAATCCATTTTAAGATTACAATGGCCTAAATAGAGCTTAACATAAAAAGCAGAGAAGTGAACTGCATTAGTCAAGTTATTTAGTGTGAAGTAGTCATTCATTTCCATTAGTTACATAGTCAAGTTCCTGCTATAACTGTAATCTCCAGAACAACATAGCCACAGGTTGACTGATATTGTGGATGCTGAGCTTGCAGATGGTAGCCAAGATTACAAAGCTAAATTTATTTCCACTAGGCAGCAGAACTGGAGCTGTCATGCCACGTTACAAACCATGCAACATAGACACCACAAACCAGATAAAATGTGTCCTCAAAAGATGGACATAGCATGCAGATTATATGTTAAACACAGAGTCAAATTTGGGTACAGAAGAATTTGTGGGAGTTCTCTTGTCTTCCTATACACTGATCAGCAACAACAGCCAAGCATTCCAGGACATTTCAGGAAAGGATAACTGCAGGAAAGGATAACACTGAGGTTTTACCCACAGTGCCACCCGCGTCCCTTGTCCTGCTGACAAACACTACAGCAAATACCTAGAAACATAATATGGCAGCCTCTCCATCAGCTCTTCTGGGAGACCAGCAGCTTTTGATCCCTCTTTTCCTTGAATTCTTTCCATTCTAATTTGATACTGCAATGCAGGCATTGTTGCACCAAATTTAAAGCATTACATATTGACATATTCTAGATTTATAGTCAGTCACTTCACATGAACTGACCAGCCACCCAGACATTCCTTCCTGGTTTGTTGTTGCCCCTAGAAGGTCATCTTGGTTGAGCAAGTGAAGCTATTAAGGAGATCTTGTTCAACTGGTTGGTTCAGATTTGCAAGGTGGGGGAAGGAGGCAGGGCTGAGTGAAGGGTACGATGAACTGGCAGACACCTGGAGAACACAGAATATTTGAGCAGCTAAGGATATTCAGAGAGAGAGTCGAAAACATCCTGGAATTACAGGCAGAGTCCCATTCCAATATGTTTGCAGGTGAAATGATAAAAGGCCTTATTGAGGAAAACCATGCTTTATATAATGGGTAAGTCATATCCTTTAATGTTGCAACTCTCAGCATGGAAGGCATACCTTTGATGGGTGAGCTGTCTACCTTCTTCAGCAGTTTCCTCTGTAGGTTGCAGTTCCACTGGGTGTGGGAACTGTCCTCATACACCTTTCTAGGCTACTCCCTTTCCTACAGCACTGGCTGACAGAAGACAGCCCCAATATGCATTGTTCACAGAGCTATTGCTTCTTTTAGGTTTTTCCTTCTGCGGCTTAGGCCTCCATATTAACAGCACACATGACAGTAGACTTGATGTACTGACTTTCCAAAAAGAAGGGGGAACAAATATACACACAGCAGCAAGACTTTGCTAATTTCATCTACTAATTTTCAATAGAAACAAAGGTATCTATGTTGAACATGTCTACAACCTACTGCATAATTAAAAGAATGTGTTCAAATCTCAGTTCAAATTTTCTTAATCAGGTTTGGATAGAGCATTCAACTGCATAAGGCCAAAACAGCAATGAGATTCATTAAGCAGCAATCCATTTCTAGAAACGGCATTCTATTATGCAGTGTGCGCTGATTTGGAAGTCAGAGAATCAAACCTCAATTACGACTTTTCTTTCTTTTTTAGTTTGGTTCTCAGACAGTAACAGCTCAAGTTTTTCCACTTTGATTACAGTTAAGTCTACAGAAGTACAGGACCCAGTTCTGCACACTTGAGCTAGTTCAGTGCTGGCTCATCATATGGAAAAACTCAAATGTACTTCACTGACTTGCCCTCACTTCCAGCTTTCACTGGGAGCCTGATTTATGCAGCTTCCCAGAAACTTTAAATGAAGGACCAGAAAGAGGATGCTTCTAAGGCTGGCAGGCAATACTTTCAGCTCTGTGCTGTACTGTGACACATGTTCCTTATCTGTTTATACCTTAGATTGCTTCTCCTAGATTCTGACTCACTGCTTCACCCTAAATTTGAATGACCAATTGAAACTTTCTGCAGAAATGTTTGGGACCGTTCACCCTTAGGCATTCTGCAGCAGGGGAACAGAGGCAGACAACAGGACCAGAGGGGGAAATCGGTAGGAATGGCTGCAGCTACTGAGTCTCCTGATTCAGCAGCAGATTTAAATGGACAGTGTTAATTAAGGATGTGGGAGAATTCCTCTGGAAATGGAAATTGCTGCAATTTGCACGTTCATCCGAGGTCAGGAACAGAAATCCTGCAAGCGAACACAAGCAGTATTCACTAGAGTTGCTTCTTTAGTTGGCAACTATTACATAAATAATAGTGTTGTTTTCCACATTTCCCTTCCACTGAAATGCACTGAAATTATGCAGTTAATTACGCTGGTTTTGGCTGTAGTGGACAGTGGGACAGGTAACATAGGTTTTAGTGGAAGCCAAATCGTAGCAGGATGGAAACAGTGCTGTTTGAGAAGAGGATAGGTCGGAAATCACAGCCTCCTTAAAATCTCTACTGTTAATCTCTACATTGCAATAAATCCATTGTGAACACAAGAGGCAGCTACATTTTTCACTTAGCCATTAAAGTGTTGTCAGTCTCTCTCTTCACCTCCCCACCCCTCCCGAAGTCACACAAGTCACATTCAAGGTTTGACATATCGGCATCTGTCCCGTGGTCTGAGCCAGGAAGTAACTAGCCTAAACAGCCTAGGGCTCCTGCTGTACTATAAGAGTGGCATCTGGAAAACAGATTAACAATATATCAAGAACAACCAACCATACAATACATTCCCTTACACATACCTTCAATATCTAACCATCTGGACCAAGACTGTCCTAGAGTGAAACTCCTTTTTCTTATTAAAAAACAAACAAGAGGTACACATTCAGCAGCAAAAGGTCACACCTCCCTTCAGAGAAAGAAGACTGCAGTACTTTTCAGATATTATACAGAACACTAGATTTATTGTTTGTGGCCCCCAATCTTCCCTATACATGCATTCCAGTCTCCTTTTTTGTTTTTAAAGCCACATGGATGCACACAGTGGTCAGGTTTGCATGCAATGCTAAACTGTGGTTTGTCGAGAACAAATCATGAGTTGCCGCACAGATGACCAAGCAAACCATGGCTTGTTTCATTAAAGCTTAGTTTGTTGTCCTTCTGCCTGCTTCCCACTGACAGCCCAATATCCTGAATGCCTTTACAACATCTTAATACTGGTATCGTCCCCCTCACCATTGACTGACTGCACTGGTAATGAGAGTTCTTGGCCATAGCCAAGTCATACAAGATTTGAACACAGCTCCCATTCCAGCAACACTTCTTAGAATTTAAGGGCATTTGCAATACCTCAGAAGAGGCCCTGTTACTGCCACCTACTGTCTATATTTAATTTCATTACTAATTTATATCCCACCTTTCCTAGAAGAAGATCAAGGTGGCATGCAAACTTCTCTCCTTCACCATGTTAATCTTCCCAACAACCCTGGGAGGTAAGATAGGTTGAGAGATACTGACTGGTCCAACATCAGCCAATGGGCATCATCATGGCTGAGTGGGGATTTGAACTCTGGTTTCCCAGGTCCTAGTACAGCCCAATTATAATCAGATAAAGCAACGTTAAGAGTCAATGAGATCCACAAAACTTTTGTTTCAGTACACTGGAGCAAAATGTTTTGTTTTGTTTTTTACTCCCTGCAAGATTCAAGTCTGCACTTTTTAACTCCCCCGCCCCCTGCTTTGGAGTGCGCATGAAGGGAATTGCCGAACAAGTGTCTGAGCCTGCAGACAAAGAAGAACAGGACTGGAGCCTATTTTCACAGCTCACACTTACATAATTATAAAATTATGAAAGGTGTGGAGAAAGTTGATATAGAAAAGTTTTACTCCCTCTTTCCTAACACTAGAACTCATGGACATACATGGAAGCCAAATGCTGAAAGTGTCAGGATAGATTACTTTTTAAAGTACTTCTTTCACACCCACCAAATCCTCCATAGTATTTGAGCAACAAGTGATTTCTGCATCGCTCTGTCTCAACATCTGGCTAGCACTTTGGACTTGCCTCCTCATTTGTGCCTTGGTTCTGCCTCCTGTCTTGCTCTTTGATTTTGACTATTCACTTAGCCCTATCGCCCCTGGTTCCTAAGTTGCCAGCTCACTTTTGCCCACAGTCCAAGCCTATGTTCACTGTACCACAGCCAGAAGTATGCTATGCACACACCTAGCAACCAACCAACCTACTTTGCCTACAGACAAAAATGTGAAAGAAAGAACCTCAGGAGCTGAGATTTCTCATTAACCCTTTATAGCCCACGGTCCACAGTCACCCCAGTTGAAAGAAACCGCAGTTGGAGCATTTAAAAACTCGTTTACACAGCCGGTTCCCCCCCTTTCTTATAATGTGGTGATTATGATGAAGGTACTATTCCAGACTGAACTTCTCGTGAGGATTTTGGCAGCAACTCTTCTTACGAATGGTCTGGCATGCATAAATGGTCAAACCTAGAGAACAGTTGGTCTCTCCACCCTCATTTGGTTTTATTGCAATTTTATAGGTTCCAAATTCTGGTCTGAAAAGGCTGTGGGCCATGCCCAAACACATGATGCTGTGAGCAAGTTTGCTACATATTCACAGGACCCAGAAATGGTTTTTTTTCCTTGGCACATTTGTGACCACTTCAAATAAAATATTTCTAGTACATTTAATGGGTGGAATGTCCCTTACATCCACAAGCATTCTGCATTCCTATGGTAATAAAGGAAAATAAATAGCCTTCACTATACTTTTTTCAGTGCCTGCTTAACACATTTTTGTTTAGGCAAGGCTATCCAGAAACATTGATGTTGATGTGTCTTATTCTTTTTTCTGTTAATTTTAATTATATTTTAAATTGTTTTTAACTCTTCTATTTATAATGTTATCACACCTTATTTTTATGGTTGTAAGTTGTTTTTAATTGTTTTCAATATTGTTTTTAAGGCTGTATCCTGCCCTGGGACCTTATGGTGAACAATGAGCAATAAACAAACAAATAAATTTTACTAATTCTTACAAACTCCTTAGAGGTTTTACTTTAATCAAGCAGTGCATAGATTCTGCTAAGTAACAATGCAATAAATACTCGTTCTTGCAATATTTTTCTCACGCCAAGCCATCTTCATTCTTGAAAACAAAACATACTTGAGGCTACAAAACCTGTATGTAGTGTGGATTTGTAAAACACTCCAGCTGTTTCCTTTTCTTAAAACAATTGATAGTGCTGAATTCTCTGAGCTGAAACTGAAAATTCAGCTCTACTGCTGGATTTTTTTGGTTTTAATTCACTGCTCAGGGCTAGTGATGCGTAGAACTAATACATTCATGTGTCTCAAATAGCGTCAGAGTTGCTGGTCAACATGCCAACAACAATAAGTCAACTCAGAGTCAAAGTCTCAGTGTCAAACAAGACGAAGTTGGACACACTGCTTTTGGCATAAGAAGTCATTATGCTCAGTGCTCTTCTTATAAAAGGTGATTTTGTGAAGTATCAAGTAAGTTGGCAAGTCAAGATGATCATGGGTCATTTGCTACTTGCTGTTTCAGACCTATCAATGCCTGTACATGAAAGTCATCTTTCCTGCAACTCTGGACTACACAGAGCAAAAAGAGAATAGGTGTTTGCTGGAGACTTTTCACAAGAAAATCTGCTAATCTTGCAAGTTTACCTTCAAGGCAGACTTTTGTTACAATTGCTCAGCATATTCAATGCAAAAGGTAGCTTGCGTGTGGACCTTCTGCCTCTGCCAGGCTGTTGTGGTATTTGAACTGGAAAACTGCACCCACTAGGTCAGTTTGCTGGGCTGGTTGTGCAAACCATAAGCACAATAAGGTTCCCGGAGGTTATTTCACTTTGGTATACACAGCTGCAAAATTACTACTTCTGTTTTCTTATTCATTGCTTGCCTTGTTATGCAAACAGATCACAGCAGACATAATCCAAACAAGCACTGAAGAATGGGGAAACGTAGAAGAAAAACACCATAAGTTGATAACATAGGCAAGTTTTTAATATGAATTATGTACAGATACTAAAGGGCAGATTTCTTTATAAAGAAATAGGAAATGAACATTGCAAATGTCATAATGGTACCATCATCCTTGTCCTGTCTCCAATGTCCAAAGAGAAAGATTTTCACTTTTTATTATTACTAAGAGCAGAAATAAATTGCAAATAATGACAATTATGAAGGATTTTAAAATACAAAGCCAAACAGATAAATTTGCGATTCCGACTGTGCTTTCCCCCCCTTTCTCTACTGTGCCCAACTGCAAATATTAAAGCTCCCTTTAAATACTAGAGGTGTTCATTGGCTCAGTGTGTAGCCCAAAGAGCAAGGTGAGCCAGGGTGATTTGAGTCATGATCTCACATTGCTGAGTTGGATTGTGCTGTTGACAAAGTGTCTCAAGGCATCTTAAAGTGGATCAGAGACCCCCTAAGCTTCTGAGTTGTTCTCTGGTCTCAGCTTTTCCAAAAAATTAAATGCATTGCCCACTTTTTTTTTCTGAGAAATTAAACCAGACTGACTGGAGAAGCAACCAAAGCTTGAGAGATTAGGGGTTGGAATCCTTCCTTCAGAATTTATTTATTTTTTTAAGCTGAAAGACTTTTCTTTAAACAAACAAACAATTGAAAGGTTCTCTACACAAAAACCCCCAAATGCATCTGCCTGATTACCGGTAATTAATTTACTTTGGGGCAGGGGTGCTCCTTTACCTGCAAATTTCATCCACTTATGTGAAAAGGAAAAAAGTTGTCACCGTTTTTAGATTCCCCATTATAGTGTGTGTGAAACAGAGCTTTAGATTTAACAGATCAGAATGAATCTGAATGAAATGACACAAGCAGATCCAAAACAGATTAGGCTTCTTCCAAATGCTGCAGGTACAAGGCAAATCTTGTGGTCACCTCAGACTTCCATTACAAACATACACAGCAGTGGGGGGGCACTTCTCCACAGTACAATCCCAGCCACTGGAGCACAGATTTGAGTATTCCAAAGGAGTGCAACAAACAGAACTTCGGTAGTTTTTTGTTTTTTAAAAAATCATTATGGTATAAAACTACTGTAGGGTTCTGGTTTTAGATTAGAATGTCTGGGACGAAAACTGGAAAAATGATATTTTTATGTCTTTTCATGTTATAAATACCCTAACGGTTCCTCCCTTGGTCTCCATCAAAGAAAATGAAAGGATTTTCCTTAGTTAATTAGAATGAAAATTGCATGGTGCTGCAACTGGGAAGGAGAAACTATTATCTGGCCAGACAGATGCATGTCTACCAAAGCAACAAGTAGCACACTTCTTTAAGGACTAGCTCATATGTAATGTTTGCCTCCAATGAAATGTTTTAGGAACCATTTCTGTGGAAGTATGCATATGAACAACGTCATGTCTACACTGGGTTTTTCAGATTTTCTGCCTCTTTCTGCTTATAGTTCCTACTCTTTGTTCACTGGCATCTTTAAAAGGATGTTGTGTGTATTTTTCCTTGTGGTTCACTTGTATTGTCTCTTACAAGCACAAATCTTAAATGCCACAAGCTATCAAAAAATGAAGTGACATAGAGTCTGAACAACAAAATGTATCCACATACTCAAAGAGCTCCATTGTTTGGGCCTTGGTGGCACATCCCTAGGGATGTTGGAGAATTCCAATGGAAGTGGAAACAATGCTTATTCGTGCCATGTCCGGAATGGAACTGAATCCAGCAAGTACAGTACCAATTATTAGTCACTCTTGCTGTTCTTTCCAGTCCACAAACAAAATGTAACTCCCCACATTTCAATTGCATCTAGCACTTGGACTACTGTAATGTGCTCTACTTTGAAGGTGACTCAGAAATCAACTCCTCCAGAATACGGCTGCCAGACTGATGACTGGGAATGGCTGCCAGGGCCATATAACACCAGTCCTAAAAATCAACATTGGCTCCCAGTATGTTTCCTAGCACAATTCAAAGTGTTAGTGTTGACCTTTAAAGCCCTAAATGGTTTCAGCCCTGTATACCTGAAGGAGCGTCTCCGCCCCCATCGTTCAGCCTGGACACTGAGGTCCAGCTCTGAGGCTTTGTAGCGGTTCCCTCAATGTGAACCAGGCAGAGGAGCAATGGTTCCCTCATTACAGGGAACCAGGAAGAAGATCTTCTCAGTAGCTGCACCCACCCTGTGGAATGCGCTCCTGTCAGATGTCGAGGAAATAAACAACTGACTTTTACAAGACATCTGAAGGCTGCTCTGTATAGGGAAATTTTTAATGTTTGATGTTATTATTAAAATGAATGTTCTTTGCACTAAAACAAATATTGAAATGAATGGTCTTTGCACTAAAAGAAATGATGTGAGAAAAAATTACATCATTAATTGCATTAAATTCATAACATAAATTAGGATAAATAGCAGTCAATGAAATGAGCAATGCAGTATTTGCTGGAAACAGAACTGTAGCAGAACAGAAGCAGTTCTAACTGTGATGATGGCAGGTTGTAATGGAAATCCCTGTCTTCTTACATCCTTACACATATTGCAGTCACCCTTTAAAGGTTTCCATGGTAAACATGTGTACCTTTGAAAAATGAGCTTTTCATTGTTTTCATTTCATGTTGTATGACTGAAGGCTCATAAAGGCCAAGAAGCTGGTGAATTCTGTAGCTTTTTAAAAGATATTTTCCAGACATCACAGCTAATATTTGAGTAATTTCTCAACCACTGAAGTTGAAGAACCAGAAACTATCAACAGTGTTGAGGGTCTTAGAACATCTGCTCCCTACTGTCTAACGTGGAATCTCTTAAGTCCATCATCGACCGATTCTGTCCCCTTGTGCTTAAGAAACTTTCACATTTTTTAAGCATAGAGTAAAACACAGCATCTTCCAAGAATGAACAAGTACATATTTATTTTTTAAAAAACACATTCCCCCCCCCAAAAAAAAAACTTGCTCAGCCAGAGTGAGGTAAACTGGCTTCCTTTAAAATCCCACAACGCATTGCTGGCCAAGCCAAATATAGACTGCTGGGAGTGTTGGCATCCATCCCTTTGCTCTGACTAGTAGACCACACCCTTGCACTTGCACCCATCAGCTAGTTTGGCTCTGGCATAAAGGACTGCACAGCTGGCTTTCAAACAAAAAAGGGATTATTTAAAGTAGCAAAAAATATCAGGGACAGTATAAACCATCTGTAAACTCTGTTATTGGAGGGCAGGGATGAGTCCACATGCATATGTTCAAGGGCGAATGTTAATGGACTCAAGTTTTAAATATGTACAACAGACCTCCACAAAGTTGAACACAGCCCATTAGTTACATCTGGCACCCATCAAGAGCTTGATAAGTGCTCCTTGCCTGAGACTGAGAAAGAGGTGGGGGGAGGAGTGTGCCTGTGCCAGTCAAGCACTTGACAGGCAATAATAAGACATGGCTGGTAGGAGGGTTTTCGTATGGTATGCCCAAGACTAAGCAGGTCCCATATGCCATATGGAAACGAATACTGAATGACAAGATGGAGGAAGAGACAGAACAGAAACTAGTGTTCCCAAACAGCTGCAACTGAAAACTATAAGAACAAGGTTTATGCCATAGGTCAAACTACATATTTCATGGGAGATCCATGAAACATCCCTTTTTACAGACTGAAAATCAGTTGTGCAGGGGTGCATATGCATTTATGAATACAAATTCATTGAATACAAGCTTATGAAATGGGGCTACTGTGCTGATATGGAGAAATACATCTTTCCTCTAAGAACATATCCCCATTTGAAATTCCCTGAAAGCTAACGCCCATATTAGTGGTGAAGTTAACACATCACTTTAAACCATAGTTATGCTTAAATATGGTTTAAAGGTGAACATGCACTGTGCAGGGAGGAAATCATGGCCAACTTGCTCCTCCCTACCTCCCATGCTACTGGGAGATAAACCATGGTTTGCCTTAGCATTTCCCAGGCTCGTGTCTTGTTTTGCTCCAAACTATGAGCTATGCTCACTGGAAGGACAGATCCTGAAGCTGAGGCTCCAATACTTTGGCCACTTCATGAGAAGAGAAGACTCCCTGGAAAAGACCCTGATGTTGGGAAAGACTGAGGGCACAAGGAGAAGGGGATGACAGAGGACGAGATGGTTGGACAGTGTTGTCAAAGCTACCAGCATGAGTCTGACCAAACTGCAGGAGGCAGTGGAAGACAGGAGTGCCTGGCATGCTCTGGTCCATGGTGTCATGAAGAGTCGGAGACGACTAAATGACTAAACAATAACAACATGAACTATAGCCAAGGTTTGTTCCAGGCTTTCAATTATGGTTTAAAATGATGTGCAAACAAGGCTACTGTGTGCGAGAAAGGAGGGAATCCAGGTACTTTGCTCTCTGGGATTCCTTACATTTTATTTTCCCTCTCCCAAATATTTGGAAGTTCAGGACAGCCACTGCAGGCCTTTATATCTGTGTCAGGTTTCTTTTAGGAAAGCCCTATAGCATTCCACACATAAGCATATCAGCTGCCTGCTGGCATACTTAGGGAGCTCAATGGAGAAGGTATTTACTCCATGCTATGCAAGACAGATATAGCTTGGCCATTCCACTATAAACACAAGGCTACCACTGCAGTAATCTGTTCCCAAGGGCTTTCCTATGGGACTCTTAATGTCCTTGAGAAAGGCACTCTCTTTTTCCATTTGGAAACATGGAAGGCTTGGAGAACTTTGAGCTCCTTTCTGAGAGGAGATCTTATGTCGTTCTCCCTTTCTGTCTTACCAGGCCGGGCCGGGTCAGATACATGGCTCTTGGCAAGAAATATCTCATCTAAATTTATCACCCAGTTTTCCACCCAGGCAGCTTAAATGCTCTGGGAAGCTAGGCAATGTGAGGTAATGATTGGGAGAGATTATTTCTTTCTTCGAGCCGCCCGCAAGGCCCACAGACTGCCCGGCTAAATATAAACCTACTTCCACAACCACAAAGTAAGGAAACAAGCTTGCATTCTCTGTGCCTGAAGCAGGTCTCGGGGCCATTTTAAGCATTGCACAGCAACAAACCTGGGTTTGCACTGAGTATACTGTACTTTCAACAAGAAGTTTTAACTCCTTGACCTGTTTATTATCTATATATGTTTGATTTGTCACACTTTTTGCACTGCACAAATATTCTGATTCAAGTTTCACAGTCAGTATACTCAAATGTTAAGTTTATAAACTTTATTCATTTAATTTGTCTGCTGCTGTTCATCTGAAGAGTACCAAATAATGGTTCACAACCTAAAAATACCAAATGAAAATACCAAATACATAATAAAGCAAAAGCAAAACAAACCAATAACCCCCTCCCCCTAAATACAGTCGTATCTTGGAAGTTGAACAGAATCCGTTTCGGAAGTCTGTTTGACTTGCAAAATGTTTGAAAACCAAAGTGAGGCTTCTGATTGGCTACAGGAAGCTCCTGCAGCCCATCGGAAGCTGCAAAAGCCCTGTCAGATGTTCGGGTTAAAAAAAACCATTCCCAAACCGGAACGATCACTTTCGGGTTTGCGGCATTTGGGAGCCAAAACGTCCAAGTTCCAGGGCGTTCGACAACCAAGGTATGACTGTACTTTGAAAAGTGACATGGGCTTCATTCAACTCTGCAGAAAGATGACTTAGCAGTCCCAGGGGGTACAGATAAGCCCCAGGCAATCCAACTCCATCAAGAAGTTGTCATATCTGATTGGCCTGCACTACATGTAATTATGGGATTTCCTTGCTCTGCCTTTCGTGCAGCAAGGTGAAGTGTCAAGAGATAGGGGGCTGGTTGAACATGACAGCAATTTTTTCATTTTTTCATATATTTAGAACAATTATCTATATATTGCCTCCACAAAACTCAAGGCAGCTTCTAACAACAATATCCAAAACATCCAAAACAAATGTTAAAACAAAGATCTATATGGGCCAGTTGGCAGGATTACCAAGGAAAGGGAGAAGGAGAGGACTGGAATATCTTTACTGTCGCATCTTCTTTCTCTGAACTAGCCTATCCAATTCCTATTTCCATCCCCTGTAATAAAGGTGCCCCACTCTCAAAAAAAAACCAGACACATACTCAGTTCAAAAGCTATCAGCAGTCATACTAATCCAGTACTGCTGTAGCTCCTTATTTGTCCTAAAAAGAAACAGAAACAGAAGATACAGCTGTCTGCCTAATCACCGGTGTGGTAAAGAAGCAGGTCAATGGGCTGCTTCATCGCAGGAGCCCAACCAGCCAGGATAGCTGCACCTGAGGAAATGTGGAACTGGAAAGGGGCTGCTAAGATCCAGACTGTGGATGATTGCTTGTAAGCCTCCTAGGAAGGCAGGAAATGAGGTTATTGTAACTCCTGGGTGCTCCCAAGAAAAGACTCCCTGGAAAAGACCCTGATGTTGGGAAAGATTGAGGGCACAAGGAGAAGGGGACAACAGAGGACGAGATGGTTGGACAGTGTTCTCGAAGCTACCAGCATGAGTTTGACCAAACTGCGGGAGGCAGTGGAAGACAGGAGTGCCTGGCATGCTCTGGTTCATGGGGTCACGAAGAGTCGGACATGACTAAATGACTAAACAACAACAAAGGGTGCTAGGTGGGTTCATTTCTTTCACCCCCTCCCTCCCTTTGAAGAGCAGGTCTTCTCTCTTCTGGTAAGATCGAGAAGGAAGGCCAGTCTGTGCCTGAAAAAAGCAAAAGATGGCTGGATGACCACCGAGGGGTCTGGGCCCCTGGGACTGTGACAATCAATAATAATAAATAAAAACTTGAAAAGCAGATCATGTGAAGATCCTTTCGCAAGTTTGCAAGATGAAGATGGGGGTGCCATTTTCCTGCCTCCAACTTACATTTCTGTAAGTAATCTTACAAACGTATGTAAGGTCTCAATGTTTTTCAAGAAAATTACTCGTACTGTTTTTAATGCTCTGTCACACACAGCCTGATGCTTCACCCAATGGACATTAATAAATTTTAACCTCTGTCTCTTCATGTTTCATTCATATTCACACCTGCTTTGACTATTATTTATTTAAGGACTGATCCATCTGAGCACCACATTGGAGCTCTGCTGTGGTAGAAAATCTGGAACAAGGCCACTTTGTGGAATTTTGCAGAGCTTCTAAGATGTTGTTGTACATGGGATCTGGCTGTCCAGAACTACTCTGTTCCATTCTCCCAGGCACAGTGTTGCATCTGGGCAGCAAACAGAGTCCCAAGGGAGTGCCAAAGCAGACAGTATTCTAATGGTCTGGCAGGATCCGAGCCTTCAAGCTGGCCTGTGTGAAATCTGGAATGAAGCCCACTAGACAAAGACTTTGAGGCACTTCCTGTCAGTGATTTCAACCATGGCTCTTCTAGTCTACAGTTAAAAAGCACAGGACTGGGTATGGAAGTCCAAAGGCGATCCTATTATAGTATATTTATAATAAAAACAAACAAACATTCATTTACTCTTTATCTTAATACATGCCATGCAACCTAAGAAAGTGTAGATGAGCAGTCACCTCTGCAGGCACTGATCAGCCCTGGCCCTGCTTAGTTTCAGCAATGTGGTGGCCTCATGTCATGGCAGTTCCCTGCTTACTACTTACCATAAGAGGTCATTCCTTTGTGTAGACTAAGACCCCAGTACAGTGGTAGCTCGGCTTACAGACGCTTCAGGTTACAGACGCTTCAGGTTACAGACTCCATTAACCCAGAAACAGTACCTCAAGTTAAGAACTTTGCTTCAGGATGAGAACAGAAATCGTGCTCCAGCGGCGCAGCGGCAGCAGGAGGCCCCATTAGCTAAAGTGGTGCTTCAGGTTAAGAACAGTTTCAGGTTAAGAACGGATCTCCAGAGCGAATTAAGTACTTAACCCGAGGTACCACTGTATAAGGCAGAAAGACAAGAGGGGTCCAGATGATCTACCCACAATTTGAAATAATGTGTGAGGAGGGTTTCAGGCATCAGACCCTCCAAGTGTCCCTATTTGCCAGGGACAGTCCTGGATTTTCAGAAATACTACTACTACTACTACTACTACTACTACTACTTTATTTATACCCCGCCCATCTGACTGGGTGAAGCTGCCCCAGTTTCTGAATTGATGCCGCTTTTCCTTAAGATGTCCCTATTTTCATCAGAGAAATGTTGGAGGGTATGAGGAGGTTTATGGGCTAGTCTTACCTGTGCACACAGTGGGCACAACATCCTGTGTTCAAGGTGTATTACAGGAATCTCCAAACTCGGCCCTCCAGCTGTTTTGGGACTACAATTCCCGTCATCCCTGACCACTGGTCCTCTTAGCTAGGGATGATGGGAGTTGTAGTCCCAAAACAGCTGGATGGCCAAGTTTGGGGGTGCCTGGTGTATTGGAAGGGGCTTCACTTCAAACCAAGTTACATGAACATGGCTATGTTTAGCCACCACTCTACAATGCTGAGTTAAATGCCTGGATAAAGGGCTAATCACTCACTCCTCAGCCTAACTTATTTCACAGGGTTGGCGTGAGGATAAAATGGGGAAGAGGAGAACTATAGAAGCCTCCTCAAACTCATTGGAGGAAAGGTGGGATATAAATGGAAAAAAATAAAAATATATAATAAGTAAGTCTTGATAAAAAAACCTTTGGGTTGTTCTCACTTTCCAGAGAGAACAAAGCAAGGACAAGTTTTGCCTGGAGCCATTGATTCATAATGCTTGCCAAATAAAATTTTAAAAGCCTCATCTTATTAATTCTGATTCTGCCCCACCCCCTCGAGTCTTGGTAGACCTTGTGTAAATCATCAAAATAAAAACTCCGCAAGTACTTTTGCTGTTTATTTAAGAGTGTGGGAAACAAAGCCATGATAAATACCAGGAAGTAAGAAGGGGGGGAGGAGGACACCAACCACTGTTTTTTTTTTTAATCCCCACCCTTTCACATGCCCAGACAACCCTTGCCCTGCACATGCCTTCAGTCTTAGAGTGAAAGCAGCAGTGTAAGTAAAAACCAACCCAATCTATGCCATCCTCCTGCCTGAACTTGCTTGTGGAAATAAATGTGAACCTGACACACATCATCGCTCTCCAGAGATGTTCCCAGTCACCTGTGCAGCATGCAAGCACTAATTCATCAAATTCCCCTGAGTCATGGGGTTTACTCTTTGTTAAAGGGCCACAAGTGGAGCAGTGACAGGCTTTGGGTTCTCAAATTCCAGTAGCACCCTGTGTAACGCAAAAAATTGGGGAGGAGGATTTCGTGGTCCATTCTACAGCATTTTGGGGCACCCCTTGCAGGACAGTGCCCAGTGCAACAGTACCGGTTGTACTACCCTAAAACTGTCTTTGAGTGGATGGAAATAATATGACCTGAAAAATATTACACAAGTGGGGTTTTGTTTTTTTGTTTTTGCACTCTCAGCTACCACAGCAGGCTGTGCGAATGAACTACTGTACTTCCACTTCGTTCACTTTTAGTAGCTACTGGGAGGGTTCTATCGTAATTCAACCTGTACTACAAGGCTGCTGGGTGCAGCTCCGTGCACATTTGCTGGGTGCAACTCAATGAAGCACATTTAAGGCGACCCGCCCCCCGATGTGAAAGGCCAAAAGTTTTAGTCCGTGTTGGATTTTCTTGAAATTGAAAAAACAACAACCCACGATTTTGTGTGTTTGGAAGGGGACCCTTGCAAAACAGGCACACTAAAATAAAAGAGAGATTGCACAGGGCCACTGCATGTGAGCAATGAAAATGTAAAGTAGCTGTCACAGGCCCATCAAGCAGAAAAGTGTGTGTGTGTGTGTGTGTGTGTGTGTGTAGGGAACAGGGCTTAACTCATTTATAACTATATTTTGGGAATCATAGAAATAATAGAATTGTAAAGTTGGAAGAGACCCTGCGGATCATCTAGTTCAACATGCAGCTGTCCCATGAGGGGATCAAACCTACAACCTTGGCCTCATCAGCACCATACTCTAACCAACTGAGCTTATTCACGTTCTTATGTAGCTGCATTGTATTATACTTTCTGGGTGTCCCACGATCATATTGTAAAGTAATTGTGTTCTACATTATAAATCAAGCACTGCTAGTTGTTGTTTCTTTCTCTGTTTTCCAATGTGTTTCTTACCAATAAAGAATTCGGTATGGCACAAGTAAAATTTTATTCTGAAAGTGTGGTCCAGGAGAAAAAAAGTTTGAGAACCACTGCCTTAAACTGTATTTACCTTTAGACTGCAAAGAGCGAAATGTCTCTTTGCAACTGAAAGGATTGTGGGAAGTAGATGAAGAACTGGCCAGAATTTATGAGTTTGCTCACATTCTAACCACTGACTGTAGAGATTATGGGGGGTCTGCCTCCCCCCAAACTCATAACAATATACTCTGGGGATATGAGATGATACAGATGAGGACAAAGACCTAGAAAGGAAAGGAAAAGGCTATCTCTGCCTTTGTGAAACCTGTAAACTATTTTACCTTAGGGTATTGGAAGCGCTAGCAAGTAAGTTCATAAAAACATTTAGTGTTAGCAGTGATTAAGCTCTGCTTCGAGGGTGAGAAAGCCCCCGGGGGTCCTTTAGAAGAGTCATTAGCACTCTTTCTGATGCGCTCTTGTTTTCTTCATAACAGAGTCCACAGACTGACTTGCATACTGGGTGTGACTGCATTGTAGGTGAGCTGCCACTATGCTTAAGTTTGGCAATACTCATAGAGTGTCACAGGCCAGAGAGAAATATAGCACATACCTTATAAAAAATGCAGGGAAACAAGATGTGGAAAGATGGAAGAGAGCAGGTTTGGACAGAGGCCCTTTTCTTTTCTGTCATTTTGCTGACAACACATTTACCCCTGAGGCTCTTTGGATGGGCGCACAACCCTCCGATTGTTTCCTAGGATGTTAATCTGCACAGAAGGAACCTAAAGCACACAAAGGCATGTATTTTGCATGTGGCTTTCCATATCCCTTTCACATCGAAATGTTTCCTTTCCCCTCTATTACAATCATGGTAAAAGCTAATCAGGGCTTGCCCCTAACCATGGTTTGTAAACCCACATTGTTCCTTGGTTTTGATGGCTACAAAGACAATCCTCGATTGCTTTCGCCATGTTCACACTGATGCTGATGTAAATAATGATTAAAATAAATCTTAGACAGTATGGGGGACTTTATGTTCAAGCAGGGAGAGAAAGCTAAAACCTTTGCAACCATGGTGTGTCCCATTATGTCCCTACACAGTGGCTACATGGAAAGCACTTCTGCATAGGCAACAACAGGCAATATCTATTGGTTGTCATGTGTGACAAAAGCATATGCACCAATTTTATTATGGGGGGGCTTTGCAGAAAAACTGTGATGGGCTGTATTTTTCCTGCTAATCAACATGTAGTGAGGTACCCAAACTCATAACCATCACATGTGACAATCTAATTGCAGATTACACAACAGTTCTTCAGTTTCCATGAAGAAATTTGGAGTGGCCCCAAGTCTCCAATCATTAAGACAAAAGTTGTACAGAGATGTTTGGCATTTTTCAATTAGGCCCAAATTAGGCACTATTTGGATGAGTCAGGGGATATAGTGACTACTGCCTTAGGAAAGACAGCCTGGGTTCAAATGCCAGGTTGCTCACTCCATCCCCATTCCTGAAATATGCAAATAATATTACCTGTTTGACAGGATTGAGTACAAGCCAAGTGATTATTGCAAATCATTCTGAGCACTGACAGTCGAGCAGATGAAATTCCTCAGATTTGTCAGGGAGACATACATTTTTGCTCAATGCAGGTTGCAGGTGTGCTTTTTAAATGCAAATATAACTGTAATATAACATATGAGAAGAGCTTCTTGTTTTTGACCAAATTCATTTCAGGCTCCTCAAAATACTCCTCAGACGGCAGTATCTGATGTGTTTAATGGGTGGAGGTAGCAATTCTTTCAGGCTTCTTACACTTGCATTAAGAGTTTGAACTTTTCCATATGTATACAAACAGTCCAACCTTCTCCAGCAGAAGTGCTGAGTCATCCAGGACCAAGCATAGGAGGAAGGTGTAGCTACGCAAGACTCATTAAGACAAGTTCTCACAAGCAAATAGATCTGAAGAAAGATATTTGAGATAGCAATCTTAAACTGAAAAATCAAATAGGGAATTTGGCAGATAAACACAGCTCTTTTTTAAAAAATCCCAGCCTTTCGATCGCAATTGATTCAGCAGGCTTTACATGCCCTCTTGCACCCGGGCGGTAGGCAGTTCTCATGCTCCCCAAACCTGGCATAGAGACCCATCTTTTCTCACTGGGGAACAGATGCCTGTTCCCTCGCCAGTATTTCCTAGTGGCAAACCCAATTTTAAAATATGGATTATTTATTTTTATTATTACAATAAGATGATACTGGCTGGATACTGGTCTTGTGCATATGAGTCACAACTTCGCCTCTCCCTTGGGCCTTGTGTGTTTGCTAGAGGTCTGGCACATTTGGTAGCCAGGTGGAAGAATGGAATTTTGGTTCTGATATTCATGGACCAATGAAACAGTTTATCAATTCATAATGGGATCCTTCCCCTTATTCCATAATGTTAAATGTGAAGCACTAATGAGTTGACCCCATTGCAGATGCTGCAGAACACTTACAAAAGCCATTAGAAGCAAGTATTTCAGTCTTTTGGTGTTTGTGTGAGTGGAAGTAGGAATGCCATAGTAGAATATAATCCAGAGTGTCGCAGGAACCCCCCCCCCATCATTCATTTTGTACAAACTTGACACACACTACATACGCTACGCTTCTGTTATAAATTCATAGAAAATCAACCATGCATCGGATCTGCACCGTTCCACTTTTATTTTACTCCATGTAGGAAGGACTACAAAATGGGGAAGGTTTGATACAGGGCAGCCATAATGCCTTGAGCATATCAACACATACACAGGAGCCCTGCCCAGTTGCTATGCCAACCCGGATGGTCCTAGACAGAAGACCATCAAGGTCACAAAGAACTTGCATATGGGAGTGGATTCAGCACAGACTGGAACAAAGGACAATGATCAGCTCTTCCCTCTGGGGGCAGGAAACTGCAAACTCCCCTTTGTCACCTGGAAAGTACTCATGGGGAGGGGGAAAAGGAGGAACCAGACAGGTGACAAGATACTCAGGTTACCTCCACAACTCCTCCCTCAACCCCTCCTTTTTGTGATGTAGTTGTGATGTAGTCTTAGGGGTGTAGTTTGGGGGATTAGTAACTAATAAAAGTTGGGGTCTTCTTTTGTTCTGGGCTTCCATTTTGCTTCATCTTGTTGTGGATGGGAGTCCTGTCACCACAGTTTCCAATAAAGGCCAAGCCTACAGGCTGCTCTTTTGCTCCAAATTGTCCTGGTTGGTGTCTTTGTTTTTTGCCCAAGGGAGCCCTCGGATTCCTCCGTTAACAGGAGTAAAAAATCCAGAGTAATGCTGTGAACGCTAGCACCAAGCTTTTTTTGAGGGGGGGGGGAGCCTGCTGGGATCCCACGCATCCCATGTGCCATAAGTACGTTCCAGAGAAAGTTAAACAGTGAGTGTTCTGTTGCAAACAGAGATGGAAATAATGATCTATAGACTGACTTCCAGCTCTGGAAAATTACTGGAGAAAAATCTACCTTTGGGATGCAGAACAACAAACGCAGAAGGAGGCTATTGCATCAGCAAAGGCAATGTTATAAATGCTGGCTGTTACCCAATTATGTGTTGTCACTAGGTTTTCCACCTGGGAGACTATAAAGAAAGATTTAACAAAAATAAAGGAGAATGAATAAAACGCTGGAAGAACTCCACTCCTAACATCCTCTGTCTCCTTCAGCCTGAGACCAGCTCTTTTTAGCAGAAAACAAACATAGAGCATGCCTGTACCTGTAGAAGGTGGAAATTTTACTGAGTTATAAAATAAAAAGTATTTATAAAATAAAAAGTATTTATTTTTCATTACTACAACTCAAAATAGATTTTTTTATTGGTAGTAGGGTAGCACTGGCAGTCTCAAAGTTTACCTCCACAAGCCACTAAAAAACCCCCCTCTCAATCATAAACTAAACACACAAGTTAATTTTCCTCTAGTTTTTGTCAAGTACCTAGAGGATAACATATTGCAATTTAAAAGTGTACATTTCCCAAAATATATTTGGTTGTAATTTTCTTTAAGCCATCATGGTTTGCCCTTATATAACCCTAATAGAGCTTGAAATACTAATCCTCGAACCCATTCTCACCAAGGCACAATCAGTGCAGTATTCAAATGTTTGGAGAACCTCAATCTCCTTCACCTTCTTTTTTGGATTAGATAATTGGTAATACGTTTCTCACGTGCTACTGAGCTACAGTTCGCTGCTAACCTTTGATGTAAATGCAACAAGGTTATCTGCTGCCACACAATGTGAATATGTAAATAAATACAGCACACACTCTTCTTATGCCACAACCAATAGTATAATCTCATGGATTTTGATTTTGGATTTGATATCCTGCTTGATCACAACCCTAAGGAGTCTCAAAGCGACTCACAATCTCCTTTCCCTTCCTCAGGATGCATCAGGATGAGAACTTGGTTCACCAGATTACGAGTCCACCGTTCTTAACCACTACACCACACTGGCTCTCGTTTTAACTGGTAGACAAGCTGACAGCTGTGCAAAAAACGTAAAATTGCCAAAAGGGTAGCTGGGAGCACCTTTTTGCAAATTTATTACCAGTTTAGGCTTTTGTGGACTACAGTCTGCTTTATCAGATGCAAAAGGGTTAATTGTGTCCACCAGTTTCCCCCCATTGTAAGAGAACTTTATCAAGCAACACTGAATGAAAGGTACATGGTTCATGATTTGAATTACTGGTTTATGAAACATATTGTGATCAATCCACATATTAATCCACATTCAGTCAACCCACTTTTGCAATGTGGAGTTGGCCTACGATATAAATACACTGTGAACCATTCATTAGAGCAATTCAGTATCTGACGTTTCAACTCAGGATCACTGAGCTCTCATCCATATTGTTGTTTAATGTGGACAAAAAGCTTCCTGTACCTCCATTAATTCTCCACTGTCCATACAATGTTCTTTTCCAAATCTCTGCCTTCCCACATTTCCCCCTCCCTCAATCCAGATGGTCCTACCCTCTCCTTTCCAGAGTATCCCTGGTATGAGAAAATCCAGACTGAAGGAAGTGAAAGTGTAAGAATGCAATGGTTTGGAGGAGAACATCTAACAGAGAATTACCATACTTTTCCATGTATAAGACTATGTTTTTTTTTTACTCTAAAATAATGTTCAAAATCCGGGCTCATCTTATACACGGATAGTATCTCCCCCCGTTTTCTTAAATTGGAGTCCCCAAAAATAGGGGGTGTTTTATACATGGGGGCATCTTATAGACAGAAAAACGTGGTAATAGAAGGAAGGCCCACATTAAATAACAGTATGGACAAGCTCCGATTAAGCCACCACCATTTTTTCTTCCTCTTCATGATGAAGATTGAAAAAACCCAGGAAAACTGTCATTAGGATCCACCTTAGGCCATGTGACTAAGTCTAAAGGATGATGAATTTACATTATAACCAGATTTCTAGCAAGCTGGTTTTGGCAGATAGTCTGAAGTGCACCGGAGGCAGCAGAATCTATCAAATTTATGGTGCCCTCTTTATGGCCTTCAGACAACCTTGTTTCAATGGAGAAAATAAATTTGTCCAGGTTCAGCTGCGCAGAACAATCCTACACATAATTAGTTGCCCAGAAATAAGTCCCACTGTGTCCAATGGGCTTACTCCCTAGTGTTTTACGATAGTAGCTTTGCTATTTTTAAAAGGGTTGCAATGCATGAAAAGGGGCGGCTGTGTGAAAGGATGAAGCAACTTTAAAACACACACACACACACACACACACACACACACACACACACACACACACACTAGTTACTTTGTATTAATGTAATGTTTTTATATGTAACTGTATTTTTGCAATACTTTCTCTCTAAGCTCTCTGTTGCTGCTTCGGTTTTCTGTGCAACTCTCATACTGTTAATATATTCAGCGGCATAGAAATGAAATAACCAAACATGAATCAATCAACTATATTCTGTCAGATTTGAGTACACCCACATTTCTAGATGCGCATGTGAGAAAAAGAAAGAGGTGCAAATTACCATCTATTTCCCCCTACTTTGGAGATAGGATGCTCCCATTTCAATTCCAGCTGTAACTAAATCCTTCTAGTTGTCCTGAGTGGTGTGGGACGATTTTGAAATCGTAATCACCATTCCTGCATGCTCTGCTATATCCTATGGCTAAACTGTCAACATGTGCCTCTTCCGGACCTACTAATTTCACACTGCCTGATGAGAAAGGATTCATCTCTTGTCTTCAGTTGGCAGGTTTTAATTACAGCCCCTTTCTGGAGGAAGGCTTAGCCTTAGCCAAAGGAACATTTGGCTCCCAAGAAGAAAACTCCAACCTTGGGCAGAGTCAAAACGTTTTTGGCTACAGTTCTCCATGTCTTCGATGCGTCTTTAATTGCATGCTCTCTAGCCATGATTTCCAGGCAGCTTCTTTGGAGAAAGATTCACCAAAGGTGCATTTTAACCCCAAGGATATCTTTAAATTTACAGCGCAATCCTACACATGTTCTACTCAGGAGTCCTGCTGAATTCAAAGGGGTTTACTCCCAGATAAGTGGGCATAGGGTTTTCAGCCTTAATTTTGCAAGTCCTGTCCAAATGGGTTAGTCCGGGGACTAAAGGCAATGTTCCAGCACATATAATAAAGCTAGTATTTACGTACTTACTGAGCTCAATATTTTACATACATTGGCTGTGTACACACTCCTATTTACTCTGCATCCAACGCTTGTTTGGGAAGCGGTGTGCACACGGCATTAGCCACAATCCATATCTATCCTGCTACCAATGCTGTCATTTCTTAGAAAAATAACAAGCTGGGTCAAAACTGAGGAAATGAACAACTTAGCTGCATTTTTAGCCAGTAATGTGAACACAGCCTTTGCCTCAACCCTTACAAGAACTCTATAGGACTGGTCTGTACTATTAACACACTATTACAGATACTGAGGGCAGAGGTCGAGAGATAGTGGCTTGGTTAAGACATCCAGAGCTTAACCCTAACCCTTAGACTGAGTAAGACCAGTGGTCCATCGAGTTCAGTACTGTCCACACTGCCTGGCAGCGGCTCTCCAGGGTTGCAGGCAGAGGACAGTCCCAGCCCTGTTGGAGGAATGAACCTGGGACCTTCTGCATCCAAAGCCTGAGCATGGATAGCAGTTGGTTAGAGTGTGGCACTGATAATGCCAAGGTTGCAGGTTCGATCCCAGTATGGGACAGCTGCATATTCCTGCATTGGAGGGTTGGACTAGATGATCCTCAGGATCCCTTCCAACTCTATGATTCTATGAAAGTACCATAGATACTCTAACACTGACCATGGACCTTCCCCTACGGTTTTTCCTTATGGTCAGAGGCATACCTTGGCTCCCTTGGCAAGGACCTGGATGGTGCCCTCCCATCCCTTGCGCCTTTGGCATGGAGATGTATTGGCACCCCCTGCCCCCAGACCATGGACCAGAAACTCAAAAAGTTTGCTTTTTGTTGCCTTTCACACCCCACCAGTGGCTTCCTCCAAAGCCCAAAGAGTGGAGGAGTAGCCCAGGGAGCACATGGGGGAAGAGGCGCCATGCGGCCAACCCTTAAGAACGCCCCTGCTTATGGTTTTTCTCTCCGGCTAGAAGAGCAGTAGGATGGGCTTCCTTTCTATTGAGTCAGGGAGCGTGAAGGACTCCCTCTCTGGAATGAGCACTCCAGGTAGCCAGCCATTTCTACCTGGGATAACAGCTGAGGTGAGCTTCCCTCCTGACCCTCTCATCCTATGAGTCTAGGCCTTTAGGTTCTAGATCAGGAAACCTCTCAGCCCTTAACCAACTCACTAGCAGCAGCTCTGGCGCGTGCAGGATATCTGCCTCAGAGTGAGCAGCATTGTGAGGTCGGCAGAAGCTGCGTGGTCTGCCTTGCTCCCCGACGCTCACCTGTCTCCCTCTGCGCCCCATCAGACCAGACACTGTGGCTCTGTTCTAAAAGAAATGGATGGAAGCACTTGAGTCCGAATCTGCTTGGGAAGCCGCGTTCCCTTCTCCCTAATCCCCAGTGGAACCCCCGAGCCCCAGGAGCGGGATAAGGCTCTCTGCACACGCTCAGAGACACTCTCGCCTCGGTTACGCCCGCCTGTTTCCTAAGATCTTTAAACTCGGCTGAAGTCTTCGCGTGGGAATCCTAAGCCCCAACGACCCCCTTTCCACTTACTGCGGTTCAAGGGGTGTCCCCCGCCGTCGGCCAAGACCACCAGCTCCAGGTAGGCTGCGCACAGCGCCACGGCCAGCACCCCGAAGACCAGCACGAGGCGGAACCTCCTCCTCAGCACCTTGCCCAGCTGCGACGGGCGGCTCCTCATCCCGCCTCAGGCGAAGCCGCCGGGGAAGACCATGCTGCTGCTCCCGCCGCCGCCGCCGCTTCTCGTTCCGCCGCCTCCCCGCGGCCGGGCGGGAACAGCGTCGCCGGGGTGGCCTCGCCTCACACCGCCGCGGGGCCGCCCAAATTCAACTTCTGCTGCGGTCGTCGCCCCTCCCTCGCTAGGTCCGGGGAACTACTACGGGGCTGGTCTGCTCCCTCAGCTGCCCTGACGGTAAGGTCCCCGGCGGCGCAGAGAGCCTCTTCGCCCTGTGACGCGCCGCCTTCCCTGAGCCCAGGAGCCACCTTCTTCTGCCTCAGCGCCCTCCTTCGCGCTTCTCCTTCGGGTGGCCGGTCCAGGCCCTTCCCGCGCGCTCTGTCTCCCCACAGTCACCTCCTCAGTCTCCTCGTCCCACCTTTCTTCGCCCTCCTCTCCCGCCTTCCTTTCCAGGCACCGAGCCCGCTTGTCTTCTCCCTTTTCATTCACACTCTCTCTCTTTCCCCGCAAACGCAACACCCACACCCGCTGTCTCTCCAGGGAGGAGGGATCTCCGAGGGCAGCCCGCGCGTCTCCTCCTCTGGTTACAGAGGCTCTTCTTTCCCTTCCTGCACCTGTCCGCCCCAGCCGACCCAACCCACCGGCTGAGGGGAACGAGATTCCTTCGTGCCAATCTCTGGCTGAGAACGCGCCATACCTTGAAAGCAGTAAATCGAACCAAACCCAAACACGGATCTGGTTGTACCCAACCAACTACGTCCTACTTGGAGTTGACTCATGGACATCATTGGACCTAAAAGTTGGCCACAACCACTGATTTCAGTAAGTCTTCTCTAAGGAGGATTGAGTCGTCTACAAGTCAACTTCTTGAATGCACGTGATCAAAACAAAACAGGGGATACTACCCCCACAACCAAATCACAGGTGACAACAGTCTCCACAGGCTGATCTGTAAAAATCAAGGATCTTACGGCTTTTGGTAGGGACCTGGGTGGTGCTGTGGGTTAAACCATAGAGCCTAGGACTTGCCAATCAGAAGCTCGGCGGTTCCCTATGAAAGGGTGAGCTCCTGTTGCTCGGTCCCAGCTCCTGCCAACCTAGCAGTTCGAAAGCACATCCAAGTGCAAGTAGATAAATAGGTACCGCTCTGGCGGGAAGGTAAATGGCGTTTCCGTGCACTGCTCTGGTTCGCCAGAAGTGGCTTAGTCATGCTGGCCACATGACCTGGAAGCTGTACGCCGGCTCCCTTGGCCAATAAAGCGAGATGAGCGCCGCAACCCCAGAGTCAGTCACAACTGGACCTAATGGTCAGGGGTCCCTTTACCTTTACCTTTTATGGCTTTTGGTGCATGACACAAAAATAAGTTGACTCATGGATCCTCATGGTTTTTTAATATGTGGTCATCCAAGAACAGCAGCCATCCCATCCCATTTGTGCCCATGACCTGAGTCATAGAAAGCACAGATTCTATCCTTCGGATCCAGGAAACAATTCCTTGAGGATCCACTGAATTTTCATAGGGGATCCCCATGAAGCCTTAGTCAAATCCTTGGTTTTATGGGTTTCATTTGGAGGGAGGAAGATACATAAAACATAAACAGGTTCACAGGGATCTGTGCTCTGGATTCATGTCTGTGTGCCCTGTGGTGCCGTGTATCACCGGATCTGCGGTTTTTGTGGAGCAGTCTGTGGCTACTGATGTGATTAGAGATTTTGTGGATCTCCCTAGTAAAAATCCAGAGGATCCGTACCTCAGGTCCACAGACCTGCTCCTGGTAGCACTGGCTTCATGATGTTCGTGGCTCAGTCCATGGATTCAATGTGATTTGCTGGTGGATTTGGTGACGTCTCCTATGTAAATCATGTGGGTTCTGTGAATGAGGTGACATGGTGCAGCCAGGTCAACCTCACATCCCTGAATTATAAGAAATACACTAAAATGCAATCATTTGATTGTCTTCAATAAGCTTGGCTTGTTGACATGGATGCTGCCCACCTGCATGGTTTCAAGGCACTTGCTCTCCCAAGTTTTAAAGCACACAAGTCTTTTTGCGGGAATAGAGGTTTGGCTGTTCTCATTACAGCAGACACAGAGTTGCATGTTTGAAAATGCACCAACAATGGGCACATCCACAGTGTAGTAGTAATTAGCCCAGTTATATACTTAATAGTTTATATAGCCTCCCCCCCCCAATGTATAAATTAGCAAGGCAAACAAATTGGGGCAAATTAAAACAAATGCTGCAGCGTATTGGTGAAGTATTTCTAAGACCAGAGATTATGGCTGCAATCTTGAGCTCAGAACCATTAGGCTGAAAGACTTAGGCTGTGGTGAAACTTTGGCTCAGGTGGCAAAATCCTGGCTTAGCTGGGATATACCAGTGTAACTACCAGGGCTCAGCTTGCTCATTGGGACTGGCGGATCTTATGCCAGTGTAAGTTTCCCCAAGTGGGCATTCTAGGGGAGTGGTGGGGTTGGAACGGGCAGGGGAGGACATGCTGGCTCCTAAACCCATTCATCCTGGACATGTTACTTGGCAACAAGCTGTAAGTTAAGCCTTGTCCACACAGCTCTGGAAAAACCCACTAGCGATCTGACGTCCCAGATCACACAGCAGTAGCAGGATATAAACTGAGCATGGGCCAGTCTCAGGCTCACTTCTTCCCTCCCAAGACATGGCACACTGTCTCACGAGCTCCTTATGTGGTGACTTTGAATGTAGGGACTTTGTACTCAGGCAGGGGTGAGGCAACTGCCTTGGGTGGTAGGATCCACAGGGGCAGCAGATGGAATGCACTGCCCTCTACAATAGCCTCTTGGTGAACAGGAGGTCTGCTGGTCTCCCCTCACCCTTGTTCCCAGCGCTTCTTCCCTGGCTTTGTGAGTATCATGAACTAAAACGTGATTGTGGGACAGAAAACCAAAGGCTGCAAAGCCTTGCTTTAGGAACAGGCATAGTGAAACATTAATAAAAGCTGGTCTCAAAGAACAGGGGAGTGGCAGCTCTCAAAATGAGGAGCTGCATTTGTCATGTGCTTCAAGTATTCTAAAAGCAGATTGTGTTTCGAACTGAGATGCTAAACTCACAGGAGCAAAGTGGTGCCCACACCTAAGGAAGTGAATAGGGTGGCGCTATATTTATTTATTTATTTATTTATTTCATTTAGATATATAGTCTGCTTTATTCCTTGAACGGCTGATTATCCCACTTTACATCTATTCCAGGTTTATTTATTATTCCCATTTGCTCAAGATGGTATACACGGCCATATCCTCACAAAAACTGTCTGAGGTTGCTTAGGCTGAGAGACGGTGACTCGCCCATTATCACCCAGTAAGCTTTATGGCCAAGTGGGGATTTGAACCCTGGTCTCCCAGGTCTTAGCCTGACATTCTAACCGCTACTCCATACTGGCTCTCTGTTGTGGTTGTGCTGGTGAGGAAACTAGAGGGCAGCCTGCCGTGAGTGATGCGGTCTCAGTGCAGCCATTGGAGGAAGATCCTCTAGTCCCACGTTGCTCCTTCTCCAGAGGGATAAACTTCCTTGCCCATTGTTTCCCCTTCTTCTGTGTCAAAACATCTATGGTTGCATCAGAGGCAAGTTGCCTCTGAATACAAATTGCTGGGAACTGCAAGTGGAGGAAATTGCTCTTGCACTCAGGTCCTGGTTGAAGGCTTCTCATAGTCATCTGGTTGCCCACAGTAAGAACAGGATGCTGGAATAGATGGAACTTTGGTCTGATCCAGCTTTTTTTAATGTACTGCACAACCCCTTCAGACTCAGCTTTATGGAAGTTGTAGCAGGACGCGGGTGGCGTTGTCGTCTAAACCACTGAGCCTCCTGGGTGTGCCGATCAGAAGGTCAGCAGTTTGAATCCCCACGACGGGGTGAGCTCCCGTTGCTCTGTCCCCAGCTCCTGTCAACTTAGCAGTTTGAAAGCACACTAGTGCAAGTAGATAAATAGGTAATCTTGAGGCAGGAAGGTAAACGGTGTTTCCGTGTGTTCTGGTTTCCGTCATGGTGTTCCGTTGTGCCAGAAGTGGTTTAGTCATGCTGGCCACATGACCCAGAAAGCTGTCTGCGGACAAACGCCAGCTCCCTCGGCCTGAAAGCGAGATGAGCGCCACAACCCCATAGTTGCCTTTGACCGGACTTAATTGTTCAGGGGTCCTTTACCTTTAACCTTATGGAAGCTGTTTAATTTAATTTTCTTAATAATAAAATATTTTTTTTAAAAAAAGTTGTACTGGGCTCCTTCCGGAAGAAGTTCACTCACCCTTTCCCCATAGGGAGCACAGAGTAGGGAAAAGTACTATTTGAAGATACTCCAACTTCATAGCATGAAGATAACTCCAGAAGCTGAATGTGGATGTAGAGAAGTTACTGCAGCAGTGGTTTTGTACCAAATTCCTGGCATAAAGTAACAGAGAATGCATTGCAATTCTTCCCTACCTACTGTCCTAGCTAGCAGAAGCTTTGATGTGTTAAAACAGGCAGTGGGATTGGTTTGTGTATCCAAGTGTGCTCTTGCAACATCTGGAGATGCATCTGGGTTTTCTAAAGTGGCGAATGTTGTGCTGATTTGGGGGCTGATAGGAAGTTCCTTTCATTGTGGCCCAATAAGAAAACCATCCAGGAGTTTAAACAAATGGGACATTGGCCAGCAGGGCATTATGGGCTCCTGGATTGCTCTCTCTCGCAGATAGCGAGCAACAAGAGATGCTGTCAAGATGAACAGTCTTCCCAGACCAGGAAGCGCAGCGTGACTTCCTCCCCAACCCGCGTTCTGCGGGAGTAGCAAGGCAAAAGGAATTAAATCTGTTTCTCAAAAGCTCAAGGAAGACTTGGAGAAAGCCTTGCAAGGAACCTAAAGAGACACACACGTTTAAAAATAGTTACAAATGAAATCACACTGTGCATACACGTTATGTTCGATAATAGGATAAATAAGCAGAAAAAGAGCAGTTCCTTTGCTCCGCTTAATACAACAGAGGAACTGCGCCCCCTAGTGCTTTTTTATGTTACAACAAAACACGAATCCTTATTTGCAGTCAACAGACCATTATAACATTTTATATCAATAACTTTCATAAAAATACACATTAGCGCAACTAAAAAACACAGAAATATAGTAATACTAAACATTGTGTGTGTGTGTGTGTGAATCTATAAACTTCAGAAGTGATCTAGTGAGAATGGTGATATGTACTCAAAAACTTTGCCCCTTGTTCTGGGGCTGACTTTTTTTAACCCTGAAGCAGAGTATCATAAAAGACTCAGAAGGGTGGCCTGAATAATAATAAAAACAATAATACCCCACCCATCTGCCCAGGTTGCCCCAGCCCCTATGGGCAGATGTATAACAGGATGTGTGTGTGTGTATAATATTAAATAAAGGATTGGCTGGAATTACGTTCAGATTAACTTTATGGATAGAGATCTTAGGCAAGGGTTCATAGAAAAAAGGGAGACTGGAGAAGCTCCAGGTTTAGTCTTGGCATCTCCAGTGAACAAGCCTTGAGACACTGGAGCTTCTGGTCCCAGGCAGAGCAGCCAATGCTGCAGCTTCCTGTGGCGCTAGTTATATTACTTTTCCCAACTTGCATCTTTTAAATGTATGTTGGAAAGTGGGAAGGAAACAACTGAAGACGTAAAAACTGTGTAATGCTATGCCAGCATGATCCGATATGGTGATCTTCCCATGCATATGGTGAAGCTCCAGTGTCAAACTCACATATTACCATATTCCAGCATTATAGAAATTAATATCTTTGGCCTTCAGTTCTCCACACATGTCTTTATGGCTAAGAGTTAGATGCACATGCCCATATCCCAATCACCTAGGGGCAGCTGTCTACGGACATCCACTTGCGCTAATGGCTCAACATATGTTCAGAGCGTGAGCCAATTTATGTTTGAAGTCTTAGCCTTTTCTTTTCATGGTAGCTGCCCTGTTCCCCCCATTTCCTCATCTCCATTTCCACCATAAGTACAAATGCATTTCAGGACTTCATCTCATCATATACAAGCATTCTTGCTATCATCTTTCAAGCAAGCTGATTTGGAAGATCTGCAATCGGGGGGAAAAGGAAAGCTGGGAATAGGCTCTACCTTTTGGAGGAAATTGGGCAACACTGGCTAGTGCAATCTTTTATTGACTTTGCCATGCAACCTACAGGTTTGATTGCCAGGCACTTGCGAAGGATCACAGAACTTAATTTAGACATGAGAACCTGTAGCCCTCCAGATGTTGCTGGACTGCAACTTCCATAATCTCTTACCATTGGCCATGCTGGCCAAGACTGATAGGACCTGGAGTCCAACATCTGGAGGGCCACAGGTTCTCTACCTCACCCATCTGACTAGATTGCCCCCCCAATATTCCTGTAAGGGACAACACAACTGTGTTTTTAATTAATCTATTTAGAAGTGTTTCAACTCCAATTTTATTATAAAATTTGAAGAAATCGACAAGTATAGCATAGAAGGTACAAAATACAAAGAGACACGGCTTAGGCATGTTCAATTACTGTACAGCATTTTGCTCTTCAGAGATCCTCAAGGTGTTGTGTGTAAGCATGTCCAAATCATTACAATCCAGTTCAAGCCAGATGAGAATATAGTTTTGATGTTATTATGTTACCGGTGCAGGCAAAGAGCACCTAACACATCACATTTAATATTTGCAGTGCAAACAGTCTCTTCTACATTACTCTTGCTTACCGTGTCAGATTTCTAAGGGGAAAAAACCAAAATCCATCTGCCTGCCTGCTGTTTTGCATTCTCAGCTTCTTGCTTACTGTAACTGCTGGCTTTCTTTAAAGAAAGCAATGAGGCGCAAACAGACTTTCCAGCTGCAGTGATTCTCGTTGTGAATTCTGTCTGGAGGTGCACGTTAGCGTTTACACATTAGCAGCAGTGTGATATGGCTGTTTTAAGTACCCACACAAAGCCACAAGAGAATGGAGACCAGAAACCTCAAAAGGGATAAGACTTCAGATAGGATCACTTGGAAGGTTATATATTTCCTGCATGGAAAGCACTTCCCTCTAGGAAAAAATATGGAAACCAAGTGTGACATATTGGTCAAAGGCAAGCAATTGCTTGCATTAAGACTTGCATTTCGGCTTGCAGAGGTGGTAGGAAATGGAAGCCTTGGTGACAAATACCAAGAGAAATGTTAAATTAATGTCAAGTTTAATGCTATAGCAGGGGACAAATGATGCTGCCTCACAACACTTCAAGTGTTTATCTTGCAGCAGAAGATATTCTGTAAGAAAACCTAAGCGAGACCCACAACTGAAGCAGCACTTGTACAACCCGACTCGAGTCACATTTCTTTGGAAGCAAATTCTTTGGGGTTCTTAATTTTCTTCCTGCCCTGCAACACAACAGAGCAGATTTGGAAGTGTGTGGAGTTCCGCTGTGTGAGTAAAAGGTGTTCTGCTTGCGCAACTATTTAGCTGAATACTGCCCACAAGTGTGGATGTAACCAAGGGCTTCTCTTCAAACAAACTGTCACCCACCCATTACAGAGTAATTCCTGAGGGACATAGGGAAGTCGCTTCCCTCTTTTTAATAACCACTGACACACATAGTATGAGATCTACTTGAGCTGGTTTCTGGAGATGCCTGAATATTGCATCATTCTTAGAACAGATGAAAACATTCCTGCAAGCTGCAAGAGCAACGTAAAAGTTAGCCAATGACTCCAGTTCAATCTGTGCATAAACTGACATTGAGAAAAGCAGGAAGCCAATTCTAAACCCATGTAAAAAAATAAAAATAAAGTAAGAGAGTTTCCTTCCAAACCTTACATTAGGTTTAATGGGTTCCTTAAGTCCTGGAGTATAAAGTTACATCCTAGAGCCACAGTAAGCTCCACGTGGTGTCACAAAATAAAGATACGAGAAAGCTGTTGCAACAATGGCCTTTATCTATATGCCACTGGTGTTGGCCGGCGTGTCTCTTATTAGCAGGCTCTGAGCTCATTTTCTAGCCCATAGATCTTTGACTTTAAATTTTTCAATTCCCCTTGAATTTTTTTAGTTCTCCTATTCCCCTGGCGAACTTCCTGCAGAATTGCAAGGTCTTGCTCTGGCCCCGCAGTTGCCGTCACCTAGAGAGGGAAACAAAAACAGATGGATATATAAAGGTTCAGTCAACTTGACCATTATTTTTCAAAAGGTGCATTGGCACCCTAAATGAAGAAGATAATGGACAGGATCAAATGCCTGTATAGTCCCACACAAGCATCTTCCACCTTAGTCTAGCACTCTTTGTGTCCTCAAAGGAAGAAGAGTCCTTTAAAAAATAGTAGCAACACTGAGTTGGAGAACCATTTTTCCAGCTTCAGCTAGTATAGCAACTACAACGCTTCCCGAAAAAAGCTGGATCTCACCGTGGTAATTTCTGTTCTTGTTATCTCCAGGTTAGACTATTGCAGGGTTAAGTCAACCTGGTATCCTCTAGATCAGGCTTCCTCAAACTCCAGATGTTTTGAGACTACAATTCCCATCATCCCGGACCACTGGTCCAGCTAGCTAGGGCTCATGGGAGCTGTAGGTCTGAGTTTGAGGAAGCCTGCTCTAGATTGTAGTTTGGCTATCCTGGGGTCTGTTGGCTACTGCTGTCCCTTCCTGCAATTCGTCATTTTCAAAAAACTTAATAGGGTTAAAAAAATGCTTTCTTGACTGCTTTTGTGGGTCTCCCTGTTGGGTTGCCAAAAGGTTTGTGGCCATCCAAGCCTTCTCCTCACCCCATTTTTCTATCTGTTTTTAAAAACTGGATGGTTCACAACATAAAAATAAAAAATGAGAACACAAAATGCATAATAGAACAAAAGCAAACAAATAATCCCTGTCCCACAAACTCATTAAAAGGCCAGTCAAAACTATAGCGAAAGGGATACCAGATCAATTTTGAACATCTCCATTCACAGCTAGCAGGATTTCTAGTTGTAGGCCAGTGTTTGTTTATTTTTCTTCCTTGTAACAGAATTGAATATTGCACCAGAGGAATTCTCTGTCTGAACATTCAAAATCAATTCTACCTAGGACTCAACTACACAACTGCAAACAAAACGTTTTAAGAGTGTTGTAAAGTGCATTATACAAATGTGACTCTAGATGGCGATAGCGAGCTATGGCAAATTCAATATATTTTTCAAAATGTTTTTTAAAAAAGGATTTTCACAGCGTTTTTTATACATGTCTAGGTTCCACCCTAGTGGATCTCAGTCCTGTCCTTCTCCTGGTCATAACAACACTTACCTTGAAAAGCAGTCGCTCTACCTCCTTCAGACTTTGCCGAAGTTGTTTGATGTCTGTCTTAAAGCCTTCCACCTCCATGCAACGCCGTTTCTCCAAGGCCTCATAGCGCTGGGTCATCAGCTGCAGGCGCTTCCCCATCTTTTCTGAGCGTTCCTTTTGAAAGCAAACAGAAGATTACAGATCCCGTGAATAACTCTTGCAATAAAGAGGATGGAGGAGACTATCACAGCATGCCAAAGTGGTTGCTAAGCTTGACAGCAGCGGGGCAAGGCATTACCTTGAAGATCTCTCGTCCTACATCTCCTTCCTCTCGAATCTTAGCCAGCTGCTCTTCCAGGGAAACGCACTGCTCTCGGAACATGTTTGATAGCCGCTGTTCCTGTGTTAATCGCTCCTGTAGCCTCTGTGATTGAGACACACACACACACATACACACACACACACACACACACACACACACACACACACACACACACACCTTGGCTTATAAAATGCTATAAAGCAGAGAGAGACCTTATGCAGAACTGCTTCCTTCCTAAACAGCACTATGAAGGCAACTAGATCACCCTGAATAGTTAGTGGCTTCTATTATGACAAAGAAGGGCATTAGCAGGACCACCCTGTGCTTGTTTTAAAGCCAAGTTGGTTTGAGACACTAATAGTACTTTAGCTCACATGCTCTAGTTGCAACACTTTAGAATTCAACAAGTCAACTTTGCACGGACAGCAAATGAACAATGGGCACCAAACTGAACTATGTTCGGAGTTGTGTGTATGTTGCCTGGACAATGAACACAGATAACTATTTGTGTGTCTGAGGACTATTTTTAACCCCCTTTTCCCCTCCACTGCACACTAAAACAGACCCATTTTTTTCAGTCTTTCAACAACAGCGACAAGTGATATGCTATAAAGAAATGAATGAATTACAGAACTACTAATGATAATAAAGGAAAGAGGCACTCTCAACCTGTCACGAATTAATTATTATTATTATTATTATTATTATTATTATTATGTATTTATTTATTTATACTCTGCCTTTTTCCCTGATGGGAAGGCAGCTTACAGATAAAAATAAGAAGCGCTAACAACATAGTATTTTTAAAAAATTGATAGAATTAAAACTAGATACATATATAAAAATTATAAAAACATACCAATAATTACAATGAAAACAACAGAGGACCAGCCCTTTCATTAAAAGCAATCAGTTCCCAAAAGCCTTTTGGAACAAGAAAGTCTTCACCTGCTGGTGGAAAGACAGCAAGGAGAGAGCCAGTCTAGCTTCTTTAGGGAGGGAGTTCCAAAATATGGGAGCAGCCACCAAGAAGGCCCTTTCCTGCATCCTTACCAAGCATATCTGTGAGGGTGGCATGATCAAGAGAAGGGCCTCCCCTGAAGATCTCAAAACCTGGCTAAGTTTGTATGAGGAAATACATTGTTTCAGACAGCCTGGACCCAAGATAGGCAGAGCTTTACAGGTCATAACCAGCACTTTGAACTGTGCCTGGAAACAGACCCAGTCGCCAGTGGAGCTGCTTTAACAAGGGAGACGTATGTCCCCTATAACCGGCCCCAATCAACAACCTGGATGCAGATCTTATACAAACTTTTACATCACCAAGTGAACAGCCCCACTAGATCAGAACAACTGCTAATCTAATCCACTTTTCTGTTCTCTTAGTGGCCAACCAGATGCCTCTGGGAAGTTCACAATCAGGCCTTGAGCACAATATCCTCCTGTGGTGAGGAAAAAGCTACTCTTGATACCGGGGGATTAAAAAAGAAGACATGACTGGCAGAGCAGGACTGGCTTTTTTCGGGCCCACGCAGGACCAGTCTGGATAGCTGGCCTTGGTGAAGATTTGACGTTTTCATCCCCAAAAAGTTTTTGATTTGAGTTTCTACTGAAATGAGGCTGCATTTTAATGCTGTATTTTAATCTTGTTTTTAAGTTGTATTTTAATCAATTATTTTTATACCTGGTGTTAGCCACCCTGAGCCCAGTCTTAGCTGGGGAGGGTGTGGTATAAATAAAACATAATAATAATAATAATAATAATAAGAATAATAAGCTACATCTCAGTGTGCCACAGCACCAGGGGATGTTGACATTTCATGGTAATATGTTTGAACCTTCAGAAAGCACAGTTAGTTTATAGCAGTCCCTGTTACCTTAATCTCTGCACAGTATCGTTTACGGCATTCATGCTCTGTTCGTGAAACGTGCTTGGCACCTCTGTCTTGCATTTTCCTCCTGCCAGGAGAAACTCTGCCAATAGAATACCGGTACGGGCTGCTGTCCCACCGCTCTGGGCTGCTTTCCCACTGTTCCGGGCTGCCGTCCCACTGCTCCGGGCTGCTGTCCCACCGCCCAGGGCTGATGCCTTGCTGGCCACTGTCCTGCCTTCTCCTGATGTCTCCTGAACCTTGGCCACTGCCTCGCCGGCCGCTGTCTTGGCTTCTATTGATGTCCTCCGACACTCGGCCGCCGTCCTGCCTTCTCTTGATGTCCTCCCGACCTCGGCCGCTGTCCCGCTGGATCCTGCTCCACTTGGGTGCTACTTTTCTTTTGTCCAGCTTCCTCAGCAGCATGTCCTTCTCTGCCATCCAGGATTTCTCATTTGCCCGTGCGTCAAACTTCATCTGGAGAAAATCTCTGGTGCTCTCGTGCAGCAAGTTCTGAACTTTGTGGTAACTGGAGAGAGGAATGGTAATGAACCGGTCACCAGTTTCTTCCCCTGCTCTTCCATTATCCCAATTACAAATTGGGGTGGGGATCAATGGCTTGACAGTGCAATTCACTTTGTCAACAGGCAGCTGTCCCTGGATTTGGACCCACATGAAACCACTGTGAGGGACCTCAACATAAAGAGGCTGTCTTATATTAGAATCTTTGATCCATGCCTTATATTGGAGTCATTTGTTCATCTAGTTCAATACAGTCATACCTTGGGTTGAATGCGCTTCGGGTTGAGTGCGTTCGAGTTGCGCTCTGTGGCAACCCGGAAGTAACGGAGTGCGTTACTTCCGGGTTTCGCCGCTTGCGCATGCGCAGATGCTCAAAATGATGTCATGTGCATGTGCAGAAGCGGCGAAAAGCGACACGTGCGTGCGCAGACGTGCCATCGCTAGTTACGTTTGCTTCTAGATGCGAACGGGGCTCCAGAACGGATCCCGTTCGTATCCAGAGGTACCACTGTATTGTCTATTCTGACTGTCAGCAGCTCACCAGACTTACCAAGCAATACACAAGATCCTTTGGTTGGAGATCCGGTTATCTAACTTGGGACCTCATATGTATGCAAAGGATGTGCCTTACAACTGAGCTGTGAACCCTCCCTCAAATTAAAGCCAGCACCCAGAGCCATGCTTCTCCCCATACCTGAGTAGGGACCCAAACCCTGGACCATCATATTAAAAATATGATGTTCTACTGACAAGAGCTACATGTATGCATGCTTATAATGAGTCCAAGTTCATATCGAAGGAGTAGGAAAGTGCAAATGTATGACTGGTTTCTATGTTATGTTTGCCACTTTATACCTGCTACGAGAGACACAAAGTACCCTGTGACTTCACACAGTATCAAATCAATGCCAGTAGGAGGTCCATGCACTGTCTTAATACAGTTGACTAGCACTTCTCCCCATCACAGTAGGGTTTGTTTTTATTGGTCCCACGATATGCTATGAAGGCACAAGAGGTGACCACCTTGCTGAAGCTAAGTAGGTCTGGGTCTGGTCAGTACCTAGGTGGGTGACTGCCTAAGAACCACACGTACATCACCACTGGTTCCATGATGAAAAAAGGTGGGATAGAAGTGTAAGTAAAATAACATAAATAAAATGATTTGTATTCAGACTGAAAGCAAAGACACATTCTTCTTGCACTTACTTCTGAGTAAGCTCCTTGATCTTCTCCTGGTCCCTCTGATGCTGGACCAGAGACTCTTCTATTCGGATCCGTCTGTCCTCCAGCAATGCTTCAGTTTGTTCCTTGGACAGCTTGGCCTGTTCCTCTAGCTGAGCTTGAAGAGCTTCAACCTAAACAAGCACAGAAAAGGGGGTAGAATTTTCTGTTATGTTTTCCTCTGGCAGAACAGCTAACATTGTTCTATACACAAAGAATAACTGGGAGCCGTAATGTTCTGAAGTGCGATTTCCAGCTTCTTAGAAACCTGTCCAGAGCAGCTAGATGCTGAAGAATAGCAGAAAAATGGCTTCATACCCTCCTTATGAACTTTCTCATCATTTCTTTCTTTGTCACAATAGAAGACTTGATACTGAACTAGAAGGACCTTAGAAAGAGCTAGCATGGATATTATTTTTTTGTTCCTGTTGTGAGACCATTATGGAAGTCATTTGGTAAAAAAAATGCATTTGCAAAGTAATCCCAGTCAGGTTCTTGCAACTGCATTTTTAAAAGACCAAAAAAGAGTAGCATTTGATGTTGGATTTGGTTTTTGTTCTTGCTTTTTAACAGGCAACTTTAAGCAGCCTTATTCAGCTATAAAAATAACTCTGAAACTCTAGGTTTTGCACAATCAAAAGCTTCGTACCTACCTAAACTGTCAATCTTGGAATATAAAAACAATACTGAAAACCAATTGGAAAGCTAAGAGATTGTAAGATAGATTGGGGCAGTCAAGCACTACAATGAAAGAGAAATAAGGCAGCTGAATACCCAAATCAATGAACTCTGTTTTTAAGTTCCTTTACTAATTCAGTGATCATGCTATTCACTGACCATGATTACTGCAATTGTCATATGACAAGCCAGTGATCTGGAGCCATTTACCCCATTTCCCTCCCTTTTTCTCAAATGCACTTGATTCATCACCATATGAATGAGTTGCTAATAGATCAGCTACACTGGTTTACAAGTGTGGGGGTGGGGTGGGGGTGCTGTCACAATCAGCCACCTTAAATAAAGATTTAAATTTTTTGAAGTCCAATGCAAAACAGACAACTCTTCTCTGAATATTGTAGCCTTTCTCTTTTTACTGTTGGCTCTGAGCATTTAAAGCAAAAAATCAAGGTTTAATTGAGTGTGATGAGATCATAAGCAAAGAGAAAGAACAGGGTCTCAAATAAATTTACAGCATTGTTTTAAGATGCCTGAGAGTACATACCTGAAAACAAATACCACAGGAATGCCTTACTGACTGACAACAGGAACAAAAACACAAACACGAATGTACTTTTGCATTAACTCACTGGAAGGTTAAAGTTCTAGAATGGCTTTAAGTATGTTTTAATAATTTGTTTTAAATTGTGCTGTTTTAACAGTCTGATGTTTGCTGCCCTAGGCTCCTACGGGAGGAAGGTTGGGATACAAATTTAATGAATAAAATTAAGCAATGATATACTTCTTGTTGGCTAGCGTTCTAAGATAAGTTAACGGAAGAAAGTTAATGGAAGGAATGTTTCCTCTCCTCTCTTCCCAGTGGTGCTGTCAGGACAGGACTTTGGAGCAAAGTGTTGGAATTATTTACACCGGACAAGAGGGTACACAGAGACTGAACATGGAGCCCGGCACGCTTCCGTTGCGGAACTCTGCAAGCTATCCGTGCCTCCTGCAAAAGTCCTCCTCAGGCCTCTTTCTCTTGCCGGTAGCAGAGCTGAAACACAGCGGTGAGAAGCAGAGTGCAGCACGTGTGGAATAAATCAGTCCAGACACAAGGCAGTCCTTATCTACTCTTGCCTTTTAATCATGAAGAATAACATCATAAATTCAGACCTGGCGAGAACTGACACATTCTCCCTTTCGCATCACGTCCGAAAGTCAGACTGAAACACACGGAGTCAAACCCCTCCCTTAAGTGTTTCTAACCACGCCTCAGGAAAGAGACGTCACCAGAACTCTTTAACTCTGTGAGTTCTGAAACCATTCACACAAAGCTCTGTCTGGGAGGACCACTTCACAAAAGGAACAGGAAGGGCTAAGCCCACCTGAGTTGGCTTACCACTTTTTTTTGCAGTAACTACACTAGAGTTGGGGGAGGGTCACAGGGTCAAAGGAAATGTTCAGAGCAGTTCTTCCAACTCACCTCCCAAAGGTGTCTCTGTCTCCCTGAGGATGGCCCATCGTACAGGGCAGGGGTAGGCAACCTAAGGCCCGGGGGCCGGATCCGGCCCAACTGCCTTCTCAATCCGGCTCATGGACGGTCCGGGAATCAGCGTGTTTTTACATGAGTAGAATGTATCCTTTTATTTAAAATGCATCTCTGGGTTATTTGTAGGGTCTGCCGGGGGTTTTTATGTGAGTAGAATGTGTCCTTTTATTTAAAATGCATCTCTGGGTTATTTGTGGGGCATAGGAATTTGTTCATTTCCCCCCCTCAAAATATAGTCCAGTCCACCACATGGTCTGAGGGACGGTGGACCGGCCCACGGCTGAAAAAAGTTGCTGACCCCTGGTACTGGGGATTATCACTGACCTAAATACTTGCTCCCCTGATTTCAATGGATGTCAACGTGCATAAAATCATGCCCATCACTGGCAAAGCTGACTTTTCACGGAGAAAGAACTATTTGGTTTTAGAGATCTAAAAGCAACAGAAGTCCACCCGGGCTGCACAAAGCCACTTACCTGTAATAAGAGTGTTTGCTCATCTTTCTTGTATCTATCCTCATTTTCTGGTTTTTCTCCCTTTTCTGCTGGTTTTGTGGCACAGTGTTTTATACCTAGAGCAGAAATAAAAGTTGAATTGGTAAAGAAAAGCTATGTCACTCCTTTATTTAGATGCCCACAATATCCTCTCTCTTCAGATGTCTTCTTTGACGGAGACATTTCTTAGCTTCTCAGTTACCTGCTTTTGAAGTATGCTTGCCACTTCGATCATGTGAATCCCTGCCCTTGATTAGCTTTTGAGGTATAGTGGCCTGCAAGGACAAAAAGACTCTATTTTCTGCTCTGCTTTTGAGATAGGCTTCAGTAGCAATACAATGCAAAAAGCCTTAGAGGGAAAGGAATTTTAAAGGAAAATAGGCACATCACTGAATTCCAGAATGCAACATGAACTTGTGGCTTTGTTCTCCCTGCAGTTACTCTAGCAGCCCAGTTCCTAGAAGGGCATTTCTACCCATGTTGTGTGTACAGGTCTCATCTAGTTCTGCCACCCAACAGCACCAAATGGGTGATGTTTCACTGCTGGAGTTGGGCTTCAGAATTAGGAGTCAACTTGCCCCCCATTACCAAGATTGTGTTCTGGGTCCTAAGCGTTGCTCCCTTAGCAATGTACAGGACTGGGTCTGTATGCACCCATCTGTAGTGCTCCATGAAGTCACAAGCGAAGCACAGAACGGCAGCTGAAACAATTACAATCTTGTCTTGTGCTTGCCAGCTTCAAAGTGAACACTGTCAGAGCTTCCTGAATGCATTCAGATGTACAGAATTCAGGGAGGCAGAGAATTAGGTAGAGGGGGATGATATCCATCTGGCCGCAGAAAAGGCTTCTGCTTACAGAAGTTTTCCCTTTCTCTCCCTTCTGCTCCACAGATGTGCTCTGGAGTGTTGGGGGACAGAAAGGAGAAGGGGTTTTTTTTTGGTGTGGGGGTTGTTGCTCAGACAAACACAGAACATTGACTAGGGTTGAGGAGGCCTAAGCCACACCTACTTCCTACAATGTTGCGTGCATTTCCTGCTTTTGCAAGACAGGTGGAGCTACAACCCATTGTGCTGTCTTTTCATCCTGGGAGGAATGTGCAAACCATTACTGCCCTGCAGAGTCAGTTTCTTTTTCTGTTAAATGCAAATGATCAGGGTTGTAGCTCTTGCTCTGACATTATAACCCCCACACTAGTGGCATGTCCTTGTTAGGCCTGAGCATTCCTAAAACCTTTTGAGGAAGTAAAGTAAATGTGCTCAGAATCAGGAAACTGGACACCAAGCCCCTTGTTACAAGTGTCTTCTCATCTGTGTATACTTGCTGGTGAAATCAAAAACAAGGAAACCCATGGAACAAATAATGGTAGACAGCTGGTTGAAATCATTTGCATAGACTGTTTTAAGTGGCTGTTTTTGCAGAGATAACAGTTGCTTTTTAAAGACTACCTACTGGAATTTGTAACTATGTAAGGCACTGGATTTAGTGGTATGGGGTAAAGTCCATAAACTTTTAATAATAATAATAATAATAATAATAATAGTAATACCCCACCCAACTGACTGGATTTCCCCAGCCACTCTGGGTGGCTTTGAGCAGATATAACAACACAATAAAATATTAAACATTAAAACTTCCCTACACACACACACACCAATTACTTCTTATGGCAGTGGTACCTTGGAACGTGAACGTAATCCGTTTCAGGAGACCATTCGAGTTCCGAGGCGCGGCTTCCGATTGGCCGACAGCTAGGTTTTTGCACAGCAGAAGCCGTGTCAGACATTAGGGTTCCAAGGAACATTTGAAAACCGGAGAACATACTTCCGGCTTATTGGCATTCGGGAGCCAGAACGTTCGAGAACGGAGCCTTTCGAGTTTTGAGGAACCATTGTAATAGCAACAATATTAACTACAGTCGTAACCTGGCTTGGATCCTGAGTTGCCCTTTTTAAGAGGAACTTCAGTGCAGTGGGGGTTCCTACTGACAGGCTTTCAGACCCTAGTACCAATTTCTAGACCTTCTGCAGCATATTTTCACAGTGCACATGGGGATGTGGGGGAAACTGTCAAAAATGACCCCTCCCCCGGAGTATCCCATGAGCAAAATGCATTTTAAGGGAATTAAAGATCCTAGTCCCTATTAATCAATCTCAAGTTTTAAGATACCTGAAGTGGGTATAGGCAGAATAACTACAGCAATCATCGTTTTATCTTAGTTTTCGCAAAGCAGAAGATTAAGAAATGAATAACAGCATATAAGCAATTTCAAAAAAAGGAAAGACCGCAGATCTGTTGAGCTAGATATCTGACAAAGTGGGCTCTGACCAATGGAAACTTTTACAGTATCACAATATATTTCTTAGGCTTTGCTCAATGGGTTACTTTATGAAGGCTATTCCACAGTTAACAGATTTTAGAAGGATAGTTCTGTTAGCCTACTTATGCTTAGGGATTTAGACTGCAATCCTTTGCACACTTACCCAGAAGCAGGCTGAACTCAGCAGGGCTTACTTCTGAGAAGACATTCACAGGATTGTGTAGCATGGCATATAGTTATTTCCACTCCAGAAATTTACTTTAGCTATTTCACTATATATTGCTGTAATTCTTTACTGTTTTGCTGTCATGGTTTACTATTGTTACTTTACATGTCACATCCTGCTGTACTTTATTGTCTTAATATGCTTTGTGAACCACCAAAGGCAATGCCTTTAATGTAATTTATATCTCACAGAGGCAACATAGAACAGTTTAGAAAGAACCTGAAATAAAAATGTCTTGTAGGTTAACAGAGGTGCTCTTACCTTGTGAGGTGGTTCTTTGCAGAAATAGGTAACTTCGCCACTGTCTGTTCCCAGTAAAGCCAAAAGATGCTGGATCTTCTTTCTATCCTCCAGCTCTCTGAAATCAGTTTAAAGGACAGTGACTTATTTCTGTTCCCAAAGGCACTAGTGGGTGCACCCCTAAGGCCAACTAGTGGAAGCCCAGGAAACATCCAAGAAGTAGGAATAGATAGCTCCCCTGTCTGTCTGCATACACTGGAGAAATTCTCTTTCCTGTAGAATCTGGCTGCTGAACAAGATCTTACGTTAAGACAGTGTGTAGTGAAAGGCCCCCAGTTTTCCCTATCCTATTTCTTTCTCTCTTCTCACTAATGTTGCATCTGTTCCACAAAGAATTGACAGGGGATATAGTAGCTCCTCCCTACTCAAAATGAGGACTCAGATTGCCAACTGCTCTGCATATTCTAACACAGCAGTTCAGCAAAAAGGAAAGAAATAGTCTCTGAAGCCCTTCCAGCCTGGTGTAACAGGCCAATGGCCCATCTAGTCAAGCACTCTGTTCTCACCATGGTCAAACAGCTGCCTGTGAGAAGCCTGCAAACAGAACCTGAGCACTGTCGCCACCTAGTGTCACATTTGTATATTGCACTTTACATCACACTTAAAACCTTTTATTTGCAGCTGTGAAAACTCTTTTTTATCCCCTTTTCTCCATGCTATGCATAACTTTATAAACATCTAACATGTCACCTCTTATTTGCCTTTTCTCTAAACTAAAAAGTGCCAAATGCTGCAACATTTCCTTGGGTGGGAGTTGCTCCACCTCTTTATCATTTTGCTTGCCCTTTTCCGAGACTCTAGGACAATAGCAGAGGGGATGGGACAACAGCACATCTACTTTAGGATAGGTAGCATGCACCACATTCTTCCCTGTAGATCTCTTCATGCGGGAGAGAACAGCAGGTATCGCAATCCCTGTAACTTTAAAAAGAAATGGCACAAACATGCCACTCCCCTTTGTTCTGCAGGCTGTTTTTTCACTCTTCCCACCTAGGCAACAAACCTGATTTTCAGCCTATCGTTCTCAGCATAAAGGCGCAAGACGTGCTCCCTCTCCTGAAAGAGGAAAACCTGCATGTCACTCAGAGCCTTCTGCAGCTCTGCGATTTCTTCTTCTCGCTGACGCATTTCCCATTGTAATTTGTGCTGCAGGGGGGAAAGGGAAACATATTGTTATTGATCACCTAGCCGTTACAGCAAAGGTAGGGCAGAGACAGGGTTCCTCATTGCTCATTGGGAAACAAATACTGTACTGATGAAATAACATTTGCTCCAAATCCCCGGATTACTACTCACAACTGTTTCATATACCTATTAAATAGTACGAAAGACCAGAACAGAACACTGTGGAACCCAGCAGCACAATTGCTATGAGGCCACATAAGTTTCCCAGTGCTAGTCCTGGTAGTGACCCCGGAAGTAGGAGTGGGATCACTGTGACAAGGCACCATTGTGCCCCAACCCAAGTTACGCCAGGATGATATGATGGTCCACTATTGAAAACTAACATTCTGAGATTCTCCAACACCAACTCAGCCAGTTCAGTCACAGAGGCTGCTGGGCAGCGGCACTGGCAAGACACCAGCAAAATCCCCCTTTTGCCTTTCTGACCCTACATTAAGTACAACCCCTTACATCCCATCTGTATTTGATTGATATTAGTTTTCAATAAAATAAGCTACTCGTTTAATAGTTGCCATATTAGAAATCATTTTATTTAGGATGAGGCTAAGGGTTTGACACTCAAACCCAGGTTTATAGTTTTAAAACTGAGCAGCACAAAGACTTCACTGCTCAATACTTGAACTTAAGTATTAAGTATTAAGGGTCCTTCCCAGAGCTATAGATAACTCTGGCAGCTGCTGCCAGGCCCCACTCCATTCACATTTACTCCTCTTTGTATTTTCAAAATGGACCAACACTCGTCACTTGGAATTTCCCAGAAAATCCAAGATGGCAAATACTCTCTTTGCAAACCAAGTAACAAAGCACATCAGCAAACACTAAATCCTAATTCAAAATACTAAACCTGGCTTTGCCAACCACCATATAAACTGATCCATTCACCCATCTTTTCCCATACCTGCTCATCATGTGATGCTTTATATTTCTCCAGTCTTTGGACCAGTTCCTCATGCTCTTCATCAAAGTCTGCAATCTTCTTTCGGTAGTATTCCAGCAGTTGCCGGGAAGGGCGGAGAAAGGCCAGACGTTCGTTGATTGAAGGAAGAGGAGTACAATCATTCTGGTGAGGTGATGGGAAACTAGGAGATTTGGGGGAGCCATGGCCGGCAGCTGACCTGAACACCATGATGGAATATAACAATAACAATTCTATTACAAAGTCATAAAGACTACCAAACCTCAATTCTTGCAGTTAGCAATAACATAAAAACACAGAACGGTTTCACACAGGTCACAAAATCTAGACCTGAATTTAATCTATCCCACCTCCAGTTTCTCAAAAGCTGTGGCAGGCTCCCTTTGGGGAAAATGGAACACCTGGAAAGGATTCTGAAACTTTCTTTCCCGCTAGACAAAAACTGAGTGGTATTATTGCTCCTTGGGAGAGGACCCTCAGTGATCCATCTTTGAGAAACTCAATTTCCCCTAAAGTAGGTACCTTTCCCCTACCTTTTGTGAAACCTTTTTGGACAAAGGCATGACTAAGCACACCCAAACATCCAAAGGTGTCAAAATTGGCATTGTTCCACATCCAAAATTGGCTCTTCCACTTCACCACACTCATGCATCAGCATATACATGCAGGAAACACCTGAAAGATGCATGGGGATTTCAGGGTATTTGAATTCCCACCTGCTCTTGGGAATTTCCTCACCTTGTCCTCTGTACAGATACTTTCCTTTGTGTTGCTCATTTAAGGAAAAAGGGGGAAATTAGCACAAAGACAATAATTGGTTGTGTGTGGTCTGCACGTGTGTACACAAGAGTGGAATGGGCAGCCACACCCACATTAGCCTTGGTTATGCCACAGCTTTTGGCCCATGCAGTCCTTAAGGGGCTGGCCAGTAAGGAATGTGGCCTTTGGACCGACAAAGGTTGGACAACTTTGTCTTAGGGGTAGGTAGGTACCAAGCTACAATACAATGTTCTATTTCTAAGTGTGGAATGGCAGATGGTCTTCAAGAAAAGATATTAATAATATTTAATACAAATGAAGAGGAAATCAAGCAGTCAGTTCCTTGACATACCTTTTGGAGGCAGAGGGTGTTCTTGGAGAGGAAGTCATGCTGCTCACTCCTACCACCTGTAGTAGTGTCAAATATACCTTTTTTTACTCTTTGGTAACATAAGCATAAAGCCAAAGGTTCAGAGAAAGTGTATTAATGGTTCTCTAGTGGCCCATTTTTATTTCCTCACAAGCAGATGCATGTGCTCAAAGAAAGTGGTTTAAGAACCAAATTCACATGAAATCAAGCCGTGCTGCAGCCAACAATTTTTCAATCTGATATGGCAAACTATGCACTTGTAACAGGCTTCATACACGATAGTGCACATATAAATGATTTATTACATTTATCCTATCACACAGAGCTAGGAATTTCAACCAAAAGGCCCCTACCTTTCTTCATGGGCTAATGTATGCTACGCAATGGGAAAGGTAGCAGGGATAGTCAAAACAGGAAGGATGTCATGGGAAGGGGTAGAGAGAAATAAAGTAATATGACTGTCGGACAGGTGGCTTAAATTGTGGCAAGTTGTTATGAGCAGATGCTAGCAAGGCAGGTACCTAGGGCTGGTAAAACCGTTTTACCACCCCACCCCGCTTTTTATCCCTGAAACAGCTGTGAGGTTGAGTGGTCTCAGAGACCGTGACTGGTCCAGGATTACTTTTAGCTAAAAAGGAACTTAAACCCAACTCCCCCCAAGCCCAAATTGCTAGGCAACACAACACGTTGGTTGCCTCCAACCCCCCACCCCAAAATAATCTAGGAGGGCTGGCTGTAAACCTGTATATTTGCCTGCTTGGGCATATTTTTGGGGACCCACCTGATTTCTGTGGCTGTAAGATCTTTTACATTGCTTCTGAGTATTGCGTTTTAATGGTTGTAACCCGCTGTAATAGTAATAATAAGTGGGGAGCTTTACTCTCCTAGTCATCTGAATTAGACGTCCCCCAACTTAACTTTTAAAGATGAAAATCAAACAGGAGCCCCTTCCTTTCTGTCCTAGCAAAGCACCGTGAACCCGCCCCACGGAGCAAGCAGTTTGCATCGTGTCTCTCTCCGCTCCTGCCCCACTTCAGCCATCCCGCGCCTCCCCGCCGCTCACCCCAAACATACAGTACTAACCGCTCTAACACTCCCGTTCGCGCCGCAGCTAGTGCTCCTCTCAACCGACGAACCAAAAAGCCAAGCCGAGGGCCCCTCCGCGCCTACAAGTATTCTCCAATCGCAAGAGCTGTGAGAAACGGAGCCGGAGCTTTTCGCCCAATCCCAGCTCTCTTGCCATCCAGCAATACTTTTAAACTCTCGTTTACAAGGGGAAACGAAGCCCAAACGTGGGAAGAAAGGAAAGCGGCGGCGCATGCGAGGAGTCGGCGATAGGTTTATAGAGGCATGTTAAAAGTTAATCCAAACCCTTCGCCAAAACGAAAGCAAAGAGGGAATTAACATAAATCAAAGCAAATCGTTTTCTGGTATCTTAAATCCCCATTTAAGTGAGTAATAAATTACTACGTCGTTTATTTCCAGAGAAGCCGCCCTTTTAATCAGTTTGCAGCATCACTAAGAGCAGGCACCCCCAATTTTCGGCCTGCCAGATGTTTTGGACTACAATTCCCATCATCCCTGACCACCGGTCCTGTTAGCTAGGGATCATGGGAGTTGTAGGCCAAAACATCTGGAGGGCCGCAGGTTGGGGATGTCTGACTAAGAGCCTTGGGATACTTTCAAAAGTACAGCAAATTCCTATGTTTACTAAGACGCAAAAAAATTAATTAACTCTTGGGCGTTATGCAGTGGGATCTACTTCTGAATAACTAGGGTTGGTGCCCCGGAAGACAATGACACTGCAAATTTTAATAAGCTTACTCGGCAGAAAGTGGCACCGCGTTTAATTGTATTTATTCCTAGGGAGGTGTGCATAGGATTGCAGCTATCATTGCACTTCTGTGCATATTCACTTGGAAATAAATCTGACTGTGTTCCTTGCTCCAATCCTGTACATGCTTACTTTGGAGTAGACTCCGTTTAGTATTGATTTACTTCTGAGTAAACATATACAGAATTGTGACTGTTATAGAATCATAGAATTGTAGAGTTGGAAGGGACCCTGAGGATCATCTAGGCCAACCCCCTGCAATGCAGGAATAAATCAGCTAGTCTATAACTGTGAAGTCCTTTTAAATACATATTAAGAAATAAGCCCCATTGTATTTGCTGTAAGCGTGGATGGGATCACACCCCACAACTCTTTGTTGGTTATATTGCTTACTTACTACATTGCTTACCAAACCACTCTGAACAACAACAAAAATAGTAAAATCACTATAAATCAAACAACCTTCAATAATACTTAAAACAATAATCCTCTAAATTCCCTCATGTGTATTGATGCTTGTCAATTCAGGATCTTTGTGCATCTGGTAAATAGTTATGAAAGTTTATTGCATTTACATTTATAAGTATTTAAGGTGCCACAAGACTCTAATTTTTGCTACAATAGACTAAAATGGCTCTCCTGTAAATTTAAAAGTGGACAGCAGTCCATTTATCAAAACACTGTTCCAACATACATTGTGGTACTTTAAAAAAATCCTAATTGGTACCAGTGCAGTCAGGCCGGGATTGGCCTATCTTGCCCTGGTGAGCAACAAAGTAAGTACAGTTAACTCTTTATTAGGTGGGGAAAAGGATCTGCACAGAAGTATTAGGCCAAATAAGCACAGCAGTTCTTCTTTGGTAGGTTCCCTAATGAAGCAGCTGCGGAGATTGAAGGGTCTCCAGGGTTTTCCCCAAGCAATCTGAGACTGCGCCTGTATGACGCTAATTTCTCCGTCATCCTCTTCATGCCTCTCTTGGCTCTGGGAAACCAGGCTGGAGCTAGGGGAGCTTGTTGCAGCAGGATGGGGAGACACCTGTACACCTTCACCAGCCTGACTCATCTCTGCCTATTGGCCTCCCTCATTCTACTCACCTGCTTTAGCGTCTGCTTCTGGACTTCTCTCTGCCATAAACACTGTCTGCTCACTAAGCCCTGCTGCCTCTTCAGCTTCTGACACTTCCTTCTCCCTCTGACCACTCATCGTTGTCCCATCACCACTTCCTGGGCTCTGAGCCTTCTTCCCTTGGTGGTTCCCCAGCTGCTTCCTCCCACCATTCCTCTGTATCCAAATAGTCCATGACAACATTGCCAGGTACCAAACCGATTGCATTCTGAAAATATTCTTAGGTGAACAATTCATTTTTTATTTCAGACATTTATATACAGTACCACTTTTAGTAGTTATGATGAGCTATGCATCTGAGCCATGGGGGACCACCCACAGAGACTCCCTCAACTATCTTAGTAATTGGGCTGGATATAAAGGTGGTGTTTGAGATATCCTGGATGCAAGGGGGTAAGGGCTTTGTAAATTAAGACAAGAACCTTGAACTAGTTTAGATGTACAGTCACAAAGCTGTGTGGCAAGCAGGACGTTAGCAGGTGTTCAGCAGATAAAGGTAAAAGGACCCCTGACCATTAGGTCCAGTCGTGACCGACTCTGGGGTTGTGGCGCTCATCTCGCTTAGCCGGCGTACAGCTTCCAGGTCATGTGGCCAGCATGACTAAGCCGCTTCTGGCGAACCAGAGCAGTGCACGGAAACGCCGTTTACCTTCCCACCAGAGCGGTACCTATTTATCTACTTGCACTTTGACGTGCTTTCGAACTGCTAGGTTAGCAGGAGCAGGGACCGAGCAACGGGAGCTCACCCCGTCGTGGGGATTTGAACTGCCGACCTTCTGATCAGCAAGTCCTAGGCTCAGTGGTTTAACCCACAGCACCACCCGCGTCCCTATGTTCAGCAGATAGCACTAGACAAATTCATGATGTGTTGAACCCTAAGCAGAAATGGATACTGGTCAGTGTCCAGATAGGAGACTGCCTGGAAGCTTTATAAATATTGCCTTGGGGTCCATGGAAGAAAGATGTGATATACATTTAACAGATAATCAAACCTCCATGTTCAGAAGCAATATATCTCTTTAATACCAGATGCTGCACACAAACAAGGGAAAGGCTGTAATATTCACGTTCTGTTTGTAAGTGCCCAGAATAATCCTGAATAGTGTTGGAAATCAATTACTGATCCAATAAGTCAGTGGCATTAATTTATGGGACGCAGGGCAGAATCTAAGCTTTTCCTAGCACTGAATCTACATGTTGGGGAAACCCTCGGCTGCAGGATTTATGGGTGTTAAATGGCTCTTGAAAGGGAATTGCTGAAGGATGGGCATGAATCAAGTTAAGTTAGTATATTTTAAAAAACAATGAACACATTAGTTTGCTCCGGCCTAAACATGAACCAAATCAAGCTCAGCTTAATAGCTATGTATAACGACGCATGAAGGGCTTGATTTCCTGGTTTTCTTGCCCTTCTGGGACTGTAAAAAGTAAACAGGGGCCTCATCAAGCACCTGCCACCTGGCAAATAGTCAGTGAGACGGATCGTGGACAAGAGTTTGCCATAGCACATCAAACCAACTTCCTGTAAACACTGGGGTTACAGAATGGTATAAATTGTGAATTTATTGCAGTACATAATCAAGGTAGAATGCAATCCTAAACATTATTAGCACCTGTCAGCATAGAATCAGGGGGTGGTATTCATTTGTTATTAATTTAGATTAAATGAAAATGAATAAATGTGAGACAGGGCAACCTTTCCATATTATATTACACAACAGCCTTTTTATTTTCTCAGGATTTTCCCAATTGGTTTATGCTGTGTTTGTTTAGTTGTCCTAATTGTTGCTTTATGAATTGCTGTTATTTCTATTGTGATGCTGTTATGTTTTTTGAAAGTCCCCCAGAAACATATTTGAAGGACGTTTTATAAATCCTTAAAATAAAATAATGAAATTGAATGGAAAATATGCTTCCCAGTTCTTGCTCAGGACCTTGACAAAAGCAGAATCACAGCAGTCCCCGCCCCCTTCTGCTCCACTTTTGTTGTGGAGCTGCCTGGAAAAAGCAGATTAGTAACCCTTTTGTCCACACAATAGAAGAGCCTGAACAATCATACGCATATAGGTGGTTTGTTTTCTCTTCTTTCGATACATGTTTACAACAGTTTGTTGATGTTGGTGATTAATGAAAAAACTAGGGGTACATAGTTTTTTCCATATGAAATAACCTGAAATAAGGTTATCTACCTATTATTCAACACTTCTAGCTTCCAGGTTTCGGAAGGCAGTGAGGGACCAGAAGCAAGGATGTACCACTTGATTGTAAATAGAAGCTCTTAGAGGTAAACAAAAGACAAAACTGTAGGAGGTGAAGACAGGTGACCCCACCTAGGCCCGAAGTCACCCCCCCCAAAGCAGGCTCAAAGCTTCTCAAAGCTTTTCAAAATCATTTTCTCAGCAGCTAAGCATCTGCTCATTTGGTCTGCTGTTGCAAGGCAAAACCGTTACTTTTATCAGCACAAGAAGGCTTCAAAAGGCTAATGAATAGGCTCTGTCATTGCCAAGAATACTCAGGTCTGAGAACAAATCTTATCTCATTCGGTTGCAACACATCTGAACACGCTGAACGCAAGGCTCTCACCCCCCCCTTTCCTGCCAAGAGTCCAATAGTCCCAAGGCAGCTTTCTGTTCATGCTCAGAGGAACTCAGGAAGAAGGAGGAGAAAGGGGGAGGGAACTGGAATGGGTATATATGCTTGTGCACATGACTGTGAACTCGTGCATGCCTTTTGTGAGTTATCACACTTGCTCCTTCTACCAGTTCATGGATGGTAGAAATAAAAGCTTTTTCTCTGAAACTATTCCTTGAGCGTCTGTTGACTCCCACTTCCCTTTCCCGGGCGCAATATTTTTCCCACCCGAGGGCAAAGCCTCATAAGGCTACAAAACAACCCCACACAAAACCAAACCAAAACATTATCATTGTAACAAAGTAAAAAACAGATAATAAAAAATATAATTATATTATAATATTATATTATAAGATATTAAAAGATTATAATTATAATTAATTAAACTAAAAGCTGTGGGATGATGCTGAGGGATGGTATTGTATTATGGAGTCTAAATTTCAAACAACCCAATTTTTCCCTTTGTTTGTGAGGGGTGAGCCCCAATTCTCTACAGATTACAAAGTACCTCCATTTTTCCCCTATTGGTTTGTTGTTATTTTTTAAAAACCAGTCTCTGATATTGTTCCATTTATAGAAGACCTTAAGAGGATAATGCAGTTATGTATGCTATGAAAAAGTCACTGGCTGAAGTTCTGCACACCATGACATAAAAAGAGTTGGAGCAGTATGGCGGTCAAAACACATACCCCTATAAGAATCCTGGGAACTGTAGTTTACCACTCAATGAGCTACAATTCTCAGCACCTTCCCAGCAATCTTTTTTTGGGAGAAAGGCATGATGTGTAGAGAGCCAGTGGATGTACAGCATCCAGATTAAAATCTCTATACAGTACTCAGAATCTCTCTGAGCAAACATGGGTGCTGCAACCTCACGCCCTGCAAAGTAGGCTGCTGTCTCTCCGCCTAGCCTATCCTGCCCTCACAAAGATTGCTGAGAGGATTAAAATGTTTGCAGGCAGGGAAACCTGTTTTAATTTATATCTATCCTGCTCTTCTAGTGATTACACATCCTTCAAGATGGCTTGCAAGAATTTAAAATCGGAGTAATGCTCCTAAAAAACACACGTTAAAAATACATTTAAAAGCAACAATGATTTTTAAAATGACCTTTGCAGGTAAATTTTTTTTTTTTTTTAAATTGTTGCCTACTGGAATAAAAAAATATATTTTATCAGCTGGTGCAAGGCAGCTAGAGGCGGAGCTAGGTTTTTAAAAAATATTTGAAACTGCAGCCAGCAGGAGGAAAAGTGGCAGGTAAACGATTTTAAAACACTGAACTCGTGGTTTTTGTTTTATTTTTTCCTGGTTAGCTGGCAAGTTTATTTACTGGGAAAGTCGTTTTAATTAATCACTATGGCTAAAACCGCCTGAGACAGCCAGCCAGGCCCCCCAAGGGATTCTTCTCTGAGGGACTCGGAGGGGGTCAGGGAACTGCGGCGCTTCGGGGGGAGGGACGGTTGCTCTGGCGACAGAGAGCGGACGGCAGCGTCCGTTAGGGCGGGGCAGGAAAGGTAGATGTTGCGAGTGACAGCTGCTGTAGGAACTGTAAGTGGGTGGAGTCCAGGTGGGCCGTTTCGTACGCGGGGTGGGGGAGCGAAACGTCAAGAGAGACGCTGCAGCTGAGGCGGCTTCCGCCAGTGGACGCGGGGTGGGGGGGGGGAAGGTGAGAGAAAGGAGCGCATTAAGGCTCGTAGAGGCGGGCGGGGCTCTGCGAAGATTCCACGGAGGGGGGCGGGGCAGAGTCTGTTCGCACACGGAGAGAATGGGGTACATGGACAGTCGGCACCGGAAGTTCTCTTGCAGAAGCGGGCCCCATCACGCAAAACGCACTGCACATTCCTCCGCGAACCGAAAAAAAAGGACCGCGGCCTAACTTGCTCCTACTGCTTAGACCCGTTGCAGGAGCAAAAGGAGGCGACTCGCGAACTTGGCGCGTACACGAGCCGGTGCTTCGCGCGAAGAGAGGAGCGGCTCAAGCCCCGAGGTAGAGAAGGCCGGGACTAATTATTTTGAACATAAACTACTTCGCGGAGGGATATTCTCACACGGCTCGCTTCCGCAAGAAAGGGCTTTTAACAGACGCGTCACTTCCGGCGAGCCTCAAGAAGGGGAGGAAAAGGAAAGAAGAAGAAAAAACAACAAACCCCCGAAGGGGGAAACAAAAACAAACGGGAGGCCTCGTCAGCCGCGGGCTCCGCGAGACTCCGGCGCCTGTTTCTGAGGGCCTCAGGGCTCGCGGGCAGCAGCGCCCCCCCTCCTCGATGGGCACCGGGATGTCCCTCCGCCCCCCGGCCCCTCTTTGAGCTTCTTTGCCTCCCCTTCGCCTTTCCCCCCTTCGCCCTCCCTCTCTCACTCCTTCCCCGCCTGCCGCCTCCTCCTCTGCCGCCGCAGCTAAGCCCCTTCCCTCCCCGGCCCTGAGGCGGCGGCATCATCACCGTCGACGGCTCCGCCGCCGCCATGTCGGGGGACGACGACGGCCCTGGCGGGTCTCACTACGTGGCAGAGTTCGTGCCTCCGCCCGAATGCCCCGTCTTCGAGCCCAGCTGGGAGGAGTTCAGCGACCCCCTCGGCTTCATCGGCCGCATCCGGCCCTTGGCCGAGAAAACGGGCATCTGCAAGATCAGGCCTCCCAAGGTACCCGGGGAAGGAGGAGGAGGAGGAGGGATGGGGAAGTGGGGTCCACCCTTCAGGGCCTGGAAAGGGGTCCGTGGTGGGAAGGGCAGGTGGGGGCACGTTGGGTCTTCGGAACAGGATCTCGGCTTTCCCGTGAAGTCGCTCCCCGATCCCTTTCCCCCCTTCAGTCGCTCCCCTGGCTTTTCATCTCCTCGCTGGCCCAGCCTCCCGTGCCCGGTCGCATCACCAGCTGCCACGGTCTGTGATGCTTCTTCGCCCGTGAAAGGTGCCCAAGGGATGGCTCTTCCTTAACGATGGGGCAACTTCTCCTTTGGATTCCTTGATTTTTCTTTGTTATACTTGCCTGTTTTTAATTTTGACTCTGTAATTCCGTAACGATGTTTCAAAAAAGCAAAAGCTGGGTGGGTGCATACAAGGAAAAAAGGAGGAAAACAGGAAGAAGATTAAGGGTCCGTTCAGTGTTGTAGCAATATAAGATACAGTAGCTATGATCAATACAATAAGAATACTTACTTTCACTTTGGGGGAGGGTTACCGTGTTTACATTTTGCATAGAGCAAGTGACCTAGGCCACAGACTAACTTTTGTTAGTTTTAGGGTAAAGGGCCCCTAAGCCTTTTGAAGTGTATAAAATTCCCTATCAAAAAATTGTGTGCAGTTCCTGCGTAACTTGATCTAGTAAAATTGCCTTTTTGCTTGTCTATCTGGAGGCAACTTGGTAGTAGCAGAAAACACTATACCAATTTAACAAAGTCATCCATCCTACACTCCCTCTTTTTTCTCTAGTACATTGCTTCACTAATCTAAAATATCAATTTAACATATGAAGGGTGATTATAATTTTTTTACATAAAAAAGTTCCTAGTTCTCCCCTTGAACAATCCTTTTCTGGCTTTGGGAAATGGGATCCAGTTGCTGCATCCTGCTTTGAATGTTGCTAATTCCCCTTCACCATCCAAGGTCAATCTAGATCCTGTCTTCCATCTTTGTTACTGCATTTTCAATGTACAATATTTCAGTTATATTCCATGGCATTGTATGAAAGATGGTTTTACTCATCACATTCCCTTTAATCTCAAGAGGTGTTTAAAGTACTGGAGTTTTCATTCTCAGTTTTTCAGCTCCCTGCCCCAAATAACTTGTAGAAAGGGAAAAGCAATGGCAATGATTAGAGTTGCTTTTTTTTCTGGCATTGCTTTTGCACCTTGAGTTTGGTAGGTGCTGAAAAAGGAGTGTTGCCAGAATAAGATGTCGACACCCTGTCTGTCACTAAAAGAGTTGGGTATTTGGGTTTCTCTTTTTAATTTCACAATAGTGAGGGGTTTCTAAAGTGGATTGAGCGATGGTTTTGGAGTACCAGTGATCTGGCAATAAGCTTTTAACTAATTTTTAAATATATTTCGGGTACCTGTTACTGAATGAAATGAATTCTGAAGTAATGTTTCGCCCCATTTAGTCCTTATTGGGGATGAGTGATAATAAAAGCTACAGTTCTATTACTATATTGTGTTTAAAAAGCATGGTTTTATTCAGGACAAACCTCAGTTGCAATTATGGATGATTACTACTGCATACTGTTAAAAAGAGCACATTGCTTCAAAGTTGTTCAGCTAAAAAGATATCATTTTGCATCTCAGCATTGTGCATTCATTTGCAATGCACTTTACTTGCAAGTTAGAGTATAATCTCAAGTGCAAAGTAGCATAACATTTAATTTTGAAACAGTGTAGTAGCAATACATAAGGATTAAAAAGCACTTCAGGTACAAGTCTTATTCACTAAAATACTGAAAAATAGGTGCCATTAAGTTTTGTAGCCTTTGTTTTTTTATTGCCTCTGTTTTATTCTTGAATCCACCTACTTGGCCTTGTGGCATGTTGCTCTATAAGTAGATGCCTATTCTAGGACCACATCAAATACATTGGATTGTTTGTAGTATCTGCTGTGGTCCTAAGATGAAAACTCAAAATTCTGTTGAGCTTAAATGTCTTCTGATTCTTACTTGCAGCCTCAGCACCTGCATAGTGAACTGGTTACTTGGCAGATAATTTAAATCTTCATTCAGCAATGAATAACTTGCTTGCTTGATATTATTAGAAGCTTTAAGCAGTATGCTGTTCTAAATGTTTTTGAAATATTGCATTTCAAGTGATTTTATCTCTTTCCTTATAGATATTTCCATGTTTAGCCTTAAAAGGTTTTTGAAACAAAAAAGCTTGTAGTAATTTGATTGTTTATGGCAAGTGGTTTTTCTGTTGTTGACTCATGCCATACTGGCAGAGAGAGATGTAGGCAGACAGGCAAATAAAGTGTTCTATGGACTTGTTACTTGTGAGGCCATGCTGCTGTACTGACAAGGAATTGAAGTGCATTTGCTGAAGTCAGAGTCTAAGCATGTTTACAACATGATGAATCCTTGGGTTTACCTTGCATATTGTCCTCAGTTGTGTGTTCCTCTCATGCCAACATCTCCTTGCAGGAGTGAAGGTTTTATTGGATTGCAGATTCTGCTTCTGCTTGTATACATTAGTGACCCACATGGCTATAGACATTGAAAGAATTAGGGCCTTTTAAAGCCAGATACATTCTCAAGTATGCCAGCATTCTGACTGTTTTCTGTCAGCTCTAAAATAAATTAACCTTGTTCTTAAAAGCCTTTTTACTTTCTAATTCATCTGAAGATATTCTCAGGTGTGCATTGATTTAACTTGCATGTAAGAATAAAAATCCAGTATTTATAAAATATCGGAGAAATAGCTATGGGGATGTGTTGGATATTCGTTGAAGGCTTATATCTTGAAACTAAATTCCCTCCTTTCTTTTTAGGACTGGCAGCCTCCTTTTGCATGTGATGTACAAAGTTTTCGTTTCACGCCACGAGTTCAGCGTTTGAATGAACTAGAGGTGAGCTTCCCAACCATTGGCATAAATCTGTACCCCTACATAAAGCATTAGACCTTTTTTTTTTTAAATGAGGTTCAAAGTTATTGTCTTAAGAAATGTTTAGAACATCTCACCCTTCCATCATTTGTATTTACATGATTTGATTAATTTAACTTCAAGTGTCTATGAGCAATATTTCATTTTATTACCGTGCATCATTGCAGGAGCTCTTTATACCCTACTGGAAATGTCTTACAACACCAGTTTAAAACACATCCCCTGAAACTATAACCGTATTCAGGTGCTCAGAAGAATGCATGAGGGCACAAACTGTGTAGGGAGTACATTCACCGCTTAACATCTACACACACGCTGTCCCTCCCTACTCCCCCTGCTCCCTCCAACCAATCTTTTGATATTTCCAGTAGGTTTGAAGGGGGATTATAAGCATGTTTGGCTGAATACATTTAGAACCTTTTTCATGATAGGGAAGTTTGATTGTCAGGAGGAATCTAGACACATTTAGACAACTGTAGGAAGATTGGGGTGAAGCAGACAGTCATTGTATACAGTGGTACCTTGGGTTAAGTACTTAATTCATTCCGGAGGCCCGTTCTTAACCTGAAACTGTTCTTAACCTGAAGCACCACTTTAGCCAGTGGGGGCTCCTGCTGCCGCCGGGCCGCTGGAGCACGATTTCTGTTCTCGTCCTGAAGCAAAGTTCTTAACCTGAAGCACTATTTCTGGGTTAGCGGAGTCTGTAACCTGAAGTGTATGTAACTTGAGGTACCACTGTATAGGGGACATTGCACAGCTCCATGCCCCTTGCAAAGTTTGCACTTTTGCTTGAATGCCTGAATAGGATTTGTTTCAATGATTCCAGTAGAACTTGTTTTCAAGTAAATAGGTTAGAGCTGGTATTAGGCTTAATACCAGCATAATAATCTAGTGAGACATAGACTCTCTTCAGCTTTCAGGTAGTGAATGAAACTCTTCCATGAGGATATTACTCTGATATTTTAAACTTCAATTTACATCCATACCTTTATTTCTTACTGCATAGCATTTTGATTTGAAAATGCTTAAATGATATACATGCAACTTGCAAGAGACTTTTAAAAATTCTGAAAAGAGAAGACCCAAGGCATCTGCATTAAAGTAGTATTTTTCATTGTACTTGGATTCATCTGTTTCTTCTCCTCATTCCTAATATTTTTTCTTGACTTCTGCTGTGCAAGAAACATCTGCCAGTGCTGAAGGAGAAGTCTCCACCAGAGTTGTAGGAATGTAGAAGGCTTATATTCGGATTTGTCATTTGTTGAAATGGCCTTGGTTCTGATAGGACATATTCTGGTCTAAGTTTTGAAGACTTTCAAAATAGAGGAGCTGACTGTGAGCATGCTGCCATTATTTTCCTTGGGTATTGTGCTTCTCTCATACCTAACGTATGACGTCCATCTGTTGCCTTGGTTTGTTAATAGGCAATGACTAGAGTGAAGCTAGACTTCTTGGATCAGCTGGCAAAATTTTGGGAACTTCAAGGATCTACATTAAAAATCCCAGTCGTGGAGAGAAAAATACTGGATCTTTATTCACTGAGCAAGGTGAGTGTGAATCTACAATCATTTGGTAGGGTGTTAGTGGTTTCTCATAAAATCACGTTTTCCCTGCTGTAATAGAGAATCATAAAATATACTCGCTTAAGGCTTGAATAATATGGTGTGTTCATTGATAACTCCCCCTCCCTCCATATTAAGTCCATGGATTTTTATCTGAGTATATAAGCAATAAGGAGTTTTGGGTGCAGTAGCTTTCTGCATCAGCAAGGCAAATTACTCTTACTATTTGAAAGTGTCTTAAGACTCTTCGTTGGGACTTGCTGCAGGAGACTAATATGGTTACTCTACTAGAACGTAACTTCCAGGCACGTAGGGTTCATACTGCACAGCTTCTTAGTGTTTCCATACCAGTTCATAGCATATGCATTGCATCATGGCAGAAACCTGTGAATTGTGATTTAATTGGCAAGTAGCAAGTAGTACATTTTAAAACTACTGCATCATTACTACAATAATGCTAAATAATATTGTTGCTGGTTTTAAAAGTGCCTGTAAAGCATGCTAAACTCTTGTAGTACTAAATGTTTATTTTTATAAAATGTTTTAAACCTGCCTTTCCAAAGCTGCACGTAGCATACAACTTATTTAAAGCCTGCAACCTTGGTATAATGCAAACCAATGGAAACAGCCTGGTTTCTGCCATAGCTGGGGATGAAGGGCCACTGGGAGGCTGCATCCCTCCCTCTTAGGACATCATGGTAAGGGGCAGACCAACCTGAATCCTTTCATCAATTAGTGAAGGACTTGTTGGAACTGTTTTCCTTTCCCCTCTGCTACTTTTTCCCCTTCTGTATTCTAACTATTGGATTGTGAGTCTGAGAAAATGTTTAGTAATAATAGTAGTAGTGCAGAGAGTTCCAACTGTGCAATAGCACTTTTGGTCTCATGGCAGTTCATTTGTCAGCTGAATGCCTTCTCAAAAGTGCCTTGTCACCTCCCTGAATGCCAAGAAGGAAGAACACAGATTTGCGGTATGCACAGCTATGGGCCCTTTTGAGTGAGATGAGTAGTATTTCACAACTCAGTGGCTTATTAGATGTGAACTTGGACAAGTAGAAAGCTGTATATATCCAGGGAAGGGAATTTTACAATTGGCTTGTAATTCTGTTCAAATTTACTTGACAATTTAAGGGGAGGAGGAAAAGTGGATGTTGGAGGAAGGCTCTCTGGGCCTGATGTTGACCATATTACTCTCATGACATCTTCTTCAAGGCAAATAAACACTGGTTTAATTGAGCCATTGAGAGTCTAAATTGATAAGAATCAGTTAAGAATTGAATATAGCTGTGGCGGCCGCCTTCAACTTGAAAGAAGCAGACTGTTTTACCTCATACATACCTCATGTTGCCTTAAGACTCTTTCCTGGGAGTGTCTGCATAACCACTATTCTTGATCTCCAGCTCTTCTGACTTGTGAACTGGACTGAACAGCAGGTTAAATTAATGCTTTTCATAAGATGGAAAGTCAAGTTTAGCAAACTGTTTGTTTCTGGCTGCTGGAAGTGAGAACCTGCTATTTCAAACACCTTTGGAAACTGCTTCTTGTCTGGTTTCAGGCATCCAAATTATCTTTATGCATTAAGCTTTTGGAGCGAGAAATGAATTTGATTCTGCAGAACAACTATCCCCTTGTTATTAAGTAGAGGATCTGGTGGAGTTTTATATTTTGACTGTGACCAGTATGCTTTAAGAAACTTGTATGTAGCTTTCTAAAAAAATAAATAAATCTGTTTTACTTTTATTTCAGATTGTTGCCAGCAAAGGAGGCTTTGAAGTGGTCACTAAAGAAAAGAAATGGTCTAAAGTTGCAAGTCGTCTTGGTTACTTACCAGGAAAGGCAACTGGCTCACTGCTGAAGTCACACTATGAACGGATCTTATATCCATATGAGCTTTTCCAGTCTGGTGTCAGCCTTATGGTGAGAGATGGCTTTGTTTGCAGGAGAGTAATATGAGATACAGTATGTTGCTTGTCTACTGTATACTAACACAAGGTTTTGTGCTCTTGTGCATTTGCCTCATGGAAACAAGTTGCTTATATCACGATCAAGAGAGATGTATTATACTGTGATCTGGTTTTGCGATGGTATCTACTTTGTTTATGCTTGAGGTCAACCTTGATAGGATGAGGACTTGTTGGAAAAGAATCAAACATGGGAAGGAATCTTTCCTTGGCTAGGCAGCAGCACTTGAGAAATCGGTTTTATTCAGTTTTCGTGGGTGACTCTGTCCAGATGACATTTGTAATGCAGTGTGTCATTGTTGGTAGCCCTTTCTCCCAGTAGTGCTGCTCATCTTGAAAACCAGAGTCTGCCATCCCAGATCCAACCAACCTGGTGTCCTTCTGTGCTCTGATTCTTTAGGGCATCCAAAAGCAAAACTTGGACCTTAAGGAAAAAGTGGAGGTTGAGGACCTCGGCATTGGTGCCCAGTCTCCCCCTAAGCAGGGTACAAGAGTGAACGTTGTGCTGAAGAGAACCAGACGTGTCAAGTCCCAGGTACCCAGATCACTTGGCCACAGTAGACAGAGTGCTTTAGTCTTTGCACCAGTGCAGATGCATTGGAAATGCAACAGCCTTTGTCCGGCCGTGGGGGCTCACTCAAAACTTCTCATAAGGAAGCCATCCTTTTAAAGATCAAAAGTGAGCGTGCTAGATAAAAACACTCACGTTGCGCTGGCCTCACTTAACGTTTCTCTCACTGAATAAGCCAACTATGTTAAGAGGAAAAAGACTTCTGTTCATGCCAGCTTCTGAATTTTATCAGTTTGAGCTGGTGGCTAAGCTGAGGAGTTCCTTGGGTTTCATTTGGACTGTGGCCTCGCCGTGTGGCCGTAGGCAAACCATTATCTCTTAACCTCAGCTCCCCACTTGCTGTCATACAAAGGTGATAAACTGGTCTACCTTACAGGATTGTTTATAAGAATGAATGAAATGCTTGTTTTGAGTATTTTTGAAAACTTAAAGTCCTGTATAAATGCTTAGTATTGGTATGTATGAGGAGATTGGCTGATGCACACTAACACCAGCAGAACTAGTAGTTATGTAGGAACTTGGGTTCAGTTAATTTGTAGATAACCTTCTTTTTGTGTGTTGTGGTGGCCGGAAGTCTTCAGAATAGTCCTAACACTGAAGGGAAGAAATTGCTTGTAGCAGTAAAGGCTTTCTAAGCACTGTCTACTTCTTCTGTTCAAATTTCTCAGTATTTCAGTTAATATAACCACTTTATTTCATGAAGGTTAAGAGTATTTTTTTCCAGAACATGTGATGACACAAGCTACTTTTAAAGCCCAATTCTTTTTTAACAGAGTGAAATAAATATATGAAAAATTGTAACTAGCATTGACAGCCTTTTTCTTTAATTGTTAAACTCTGTGTATGTTTAAAGTAAGTATTCTTTATGTTTTGATTAATTAATTAAAATATTTATTACCTGTTCTTCACTGAAGCAGCAATCCTAAAGTGGGGAATGTAATAAGTTAAAATACAGCATATAAAACAAAGCACAGTTAAAGTTTTCATTACATCATTTAACACCTAAAAAAACAACTGCTACAATTATAAGTCACCAGCCATATGCATCAGCATTCGGCTGGTACCAAAAACTCTCATAAGAGTGATTGCTCACAGGGGAGGTGGCCATAGCTCAGTTTAAAACATAAAAACACTAAGTTGCAGATACATTTGAGGATGATATAAATGATTATGCAAAAGGAGAATGAACAGGAAGGAGAGACACGTTCTGTACTTCATTAAACAAAACATTCTAGTAGCTTTTTGCTGGTTGGTCAGTTGGCTTTAAAGGAAAGTTAGCTTTTTGGTTAATCCTCTAACATTCGCAAGTAAGTATGAAGTGACAATTATAGTTTAATTTTTTAGGCTAAATGATGCTGAAATAATAATTGAGGAGATGGTTTCTTGACTGAACTTGGAATAATTTGATGGGTTTTCTCTCTATGCCTGCACTTGGTACATTGTAGCTTGGCTATGCAGGGTTCCCAGGTATATTTGGTATGTCTGGTTTTTGCTTGCACTTTTCTACTTGCTCTGGTGCAGGTATGGGAATAGGGAGGGTTGTGCTAGCGCAGCAGAAATATTCCACAAATATCAAGTGTCCTAAGAGTATCAAGTTAATACAGGGGTGGAAGAACTGGATGAAACCAGTAGGCCATCCTTATCTTCTTTGCTCCATTCCCACAGGCCAAATTTGACTGGTTAGTGGGACTGCTGACCTGCCAGTTACCTGGCATCATAAGGACATTAGGTGACACATTTTTGCCTTTGCTTTGCAAGTCTTGACAATCAATTACATATTTATCTGTGGATGTTGAGGCCAGAATGGCCTCAGAGGCCAAATAGGGGAGGCCTTGTGGAGCTTGTTAGGGTTACCGAAACAGTAATTTAAAAAAAATATACTGTATGTAGAAGGCACATACATTCAAAGTACGTTTTCTATCTAGTCCTTAGTAGTTTTGTAATCATGGTTTTTGCATAGATATATAGTATACAAATCTCTTAAAGTTCAAATGAAATAACATTAGTTATGTGTTGAAGACTTCAAGTGTAGTCTAGTGTGAAATTCTGAAAAATAAAAATGAAGATGGGAAGGAGTCTGGACAGTCAAAACATAAATATCTTATTAAGACATCCCTTTAAAATTGATTTTGGTTTATAAGCCACAGTTATCAGAATTAAGTGTTTTGATAGAATAACTGAATTGCATTCCTGTATGTCTAATTTCAACTGTGAGCATGAAAAACCCTCAGTATTAAGTGAAAAATAAAGGGCCACAGTATATCTAGCATTTGTCATACTCCACGTAGACTCATTGAAATTAATGGCATGACTAACTTGGCTCTAACTTGGATACAATACAAGTCAGAGTAGACCCACTGAAATCGCTGAACTTGGTTCATATTGGTTGATTTTTTTCAGTGTGTCTGCTCAGAGTATGATTTGGGTGGTATCTGACTATGCAACAAATCCTAGGTTGAATCCAGACTTAGTTGTGCTTAGAATAGACCCATTGAGCTCACTTGGGACTTGAGAGTTATTACTAATCTAAGTTCCATTGACTTTGGTGAGTTTCCTCTAAGCAAAACAAAGTCTGGATCCCCTATGTGTTTTCTGCAATCAAAACATGGCGTAAAGTACTTCAAATGCTTGAGTAATACTACTACTGCTACTGTTGGTCTTGTTAACTGAGTGTGGATAATCACATTTGGTTTCTTTTTCCCTTGAACTCTTTAAGAAGGTTTAAACATATTTATTTTTGAGTCTTCCAAAGCAATTCTCATGGTTCATCTTGTTTTGCTGCTGTTTTTTTGGAATTGGATATGTAAATTAGCTAGACCATTCCCAGTAGTGTACTTTTGTGGAATAGAGTGGCTTTCCCCAGACTCTGCTTAAATGCTTCCCTCCGGACCAACATTAAAAGTATTCTTGATCTTCTTTTTCAACTTCCCTGCTCTTAATACAGTGTGGTTTGTAGCAAACCATATTTCTCCTGAAACATGGATAAAATATATCTGGATGCGGATGGAATAGGCCTGTTTTGGTTCTTTAGATTGGCAGGACCATTCTTACCAATTTTGGAAACTCTATGAAATACTCAAAGCAGTTTATTCTGTACTTATATTGGAATCTTGGTACAGCTTTTTCAGTCCACAGCTTAGCATACAACTGTTCAGAAAACAAAAACCCCATTTTCAGAAACCTTACAGGGTTTCTACAAAATCTCTCCACATTGGGGCAGGTGCTACAATTGTGCATGTTCCAAATGAGATGCTTGCTCCCAATAAGGTAATTTGTGATTCACCTAGCTAAAACACAATTTTAGTGCCAGCATAGCATAACAAAGGCATTCTTAAATGTGACCAAGAACAAGCTTTCATGGTCATGCACACTCCATCATCTCTTCTGCTTAACTATGGTTAAGAGATAGGAAGGTGTGGCCTTAAAGACAATCCCCTATTAACCAGGGTTCATTTCCAAAATTTTGGTTAAGTGTTCCACTTCTTAAGCAAGCCAGAAATCCTGATTTAAGAAACCTTAAAGTATGGAATCTGCTTAGCCTTAATTGCAATAAATGTTGGTGCCAGCATATCCCTGAACTGTGGTTGAGTAAGAAGGGAGGGTCTAGGGAGCGTGAGTTAATGCTCTCCATCGCCTGATCACAGTTAAAATGAATGTACAGTGCTTTGTTAATTTTGAGGTAAACAGTCAATATTGTTGAAGACATTGCAATTGCAATTAGCAATTGCTCATCTACAAATTAAACAAGATATCACGTAAAATGAAGAATCCTAATGAAATTTCTCTCACTTTCTCTCTTTTTAAAACTGCATCTCACTTTCTACATATTGCCTTACGTTGTTTAGGCACTGCTGTGATCTCCATTCACTAAGAATCATTTCCCTTTTGAATTTTAAACAACTTGACAGGAACATGAAAGATACTATTTAGTGTTACAAAATTTAATTTGGAAATGTGAAAAAAATGATGATTTAGCCTGTTGAAAGATAAAGCCTTTTCTGGATTTCTGAGGAACAGCAGATTGGACTGTTTTAATAAACACTAGAAATGTAGCAGAAGATGCATGATGGTTATAGATAAATGTTGCATGTGTCAAAAATCGAGACACGTACTGGAGAGCATCTAAGCCTGCAAGACTCCATCTCATTAACAAAGACATATACTTAGTTGTATATTCTAATAGTATTTATTTCCTATAATTTATATACCACTTGATTTTTTAAAAACTCAAAGCGGATTGAATATGTATAATGAACTCTTATTCTTGTTCCTTATTGTCGGAACTGTCCTTTAATAACTAATGTGATAGATTTTTATTCTTCATTACAAAACAATTTAAAAAGTGCATTAGCAGATGGTGTCAGTTAGTAGAAATGGGATAGTAAATATGATCTAATTTTAATTTTCTTCCTGCTTTTGACATTTTGCAGCTGGGTGCCATTCCAAGCAAGGTAAATTGTATTGTTTATCTGAAATTTGTTACCCATGATGATGGTAGAGATAAAAGCCACACTATCTTCCAAAGTATCTGCTCTTGGCAGTGACTGTGCAAAGACCAATGTCTGTGGAGTAGGAGTTTGCTCCAGCCCCATAACTCCTCTGGTCATCTACTGTGAGAGCTATTACATTCTGTGTAAATATTAATGGTAAGTTGATGTGATCTTGTTTTCAGGCAGAGGCAGGCGAGATGAGTAGAAACACTGAACTGAAGAAGCTCCAGATCTTTGGAGCAGGACCAAAGATGATGGGATTAGCTTTGGGAGCAAAAGAAAAAGAAGGTAAGCAGCAGCTTTGAGCCACTGCAATTAAAGCGGAGCGAGGCTATTATTTTATTTTATTTTATTTTATTTATTTTATTTTATTTTATTTTATTTTATTTTATATATTTCTATGACCATCCTTCATCTGAGGATCACAGGTATGTTAACTTCTTCAACATAGAGTTTTGAGCCTCGTGGTTCATCATTTAGCTGCTGGTGCAAGGTGGTGACATGAGCATTTCCAAAAATTGTATAGCAGCTGCATGCCCACTCCATTGAGAACCTTTGGTAAGTTCCAGATGCAACAGAGTTTTATATATTTGTTAAAACTGGCACTACTAGAAGCCAGCACGAAATAAACTACTGTGGTACTTAGCTGAAACCTTGAGGGAACTTGGTGCCTTGCAAATAATCAAACATGATATAGTTTAAAGATCTCACGTGTCACTGTGATTCCTAGTTAAGTTTATGGGGGAAAGGATTTCAATGAAGGTGAGCCTTCTAACCTGCTAATGTGCGTATTGTGGATATGCTGCTTATGAGCTAGTGAGATGCAGGCCAGATGGATCTTCCATATTTGCATGCCTGAGCAGTGTTCCCCCCTTTTAAAAAAAGGGGTGTTAGGAATATATTTACCGTATTTTTTGCTCTATAAGACTCACTTTTTCCCTCCTAAAAAGTAAGGGGACATGTGTGTGCGTCTTATGGAGCGAATGCAGGCTGCGCAGTTATCACAGAAGCCAGAACAGCAAGAGGGATTGCTGCTTTCACTGCACAGCGATCCCTCTTGCTGTTCTGGCTTCTGAGATTCAGAATATTTTTTTTCTTGTTTTCCTCCTCCAAAAACTAGGTGCGTCTTGTGGTCCGGTGCGTCTTATAGAGCGAAAAATACGGTATATGCTTTCATCTGGTAAAATTTGTGATGTGAACATTCCAGTTTTGAATAGGTTGTAACTGGGAACTTTGGAATGAAGGTTGTGAAGGTAAGAGTAGAATGTGTGGTGGAGTTGATAGGACTAGTGGCCTTGAAGAGGTGACCCAAGTCTCAGGAATCATATCAACGTCCTTCTGGTTTCCATTCCTTTGGTACAGATTGCTCACAGGCTTTAAAGTTCTGCTTTACAGCTATCGTGATAAATTTTGTTCACCTTAAACACAAAAGGTTTGGGCTCTTAAGATGCTACCAAGTTGCCCGATTCCATAGAGGAAACATTCTGTGGCTAGTTGTGCCATTGCAACCCAGTTAAGTGATGACTCCTTTGTTTACTGCTAAGCATGCTTCGCTTGCTGCTCCATTCAGGACACCAGACTGACCCTGTGAAATCTTTGCAGAAAATATAACTAGTACAACATTCTCTCTCTAGATGAAGTACCTCGAAGGCGGAAAGGTACTAGGTCGGAGGCTTTCGGCATGCAGATGAGGCAGCGGAAAGGGGCCCTTTCTGTCAACTTCGTAAGTTTGCTCTTGAGCATCTGATATGTTGCTTCTTACCTGGCTAGGGGAAATGATGAATGAGGGGATAAGGAAGCAAAACACCTTCATTTTATTAAAATTGCTGGTAGTGCTGTAGTTTGGTTGAGAACAACTTCTAATCCAGTCTGTAGTTGCAGAGGTCTAATTCTTCTTCAGGCTACAGTTTGGAACTGTTTGCATTAACCTCATGAGAGAGGTCTACAAGATGAGGAATTTGAAATTTCAAGGCGTTCTCTGTTTGATCACAGCTAACATCTTGGATACTTGTTACCAAATAGTACTTCTACTAGTTTTTGAGACTATGCAATGTTATTCAGTCTCTTCCTGGCTTTATGCATTGTCTTTAAGCAAGACTGCTTGCAGTTGCCTATGCAGAGAAAATCTGTGCTAACTGGAGAGCTGCCAGATCATCATTATTGTGTCTATGCATCTCATGGAAGAAGCATGTGTACAATGAGTGTTTAAAAACAAGCTCCCTCCAGATTTTGTTTTGGTTTCAGAGTAACCTTGATGCATTCCAAGTGTTCCAATAGCAGAATGTGAGAAATTTGGGTCAATTAATGAGTCTTAATTATGTGACATCTCTAACATGCGTTAATTAGTATTAGGGAGATGATATCGCTGAATTTTACATAACTTTACATACTACACAACTGAGGATTATATTTAATGAGAGAATAGATGGTTTTTAGGGGGGAAATGCAAAAAAGGTGCCTGGCTATAATCAGTGAGCCCAGGAATAATATTGGGTTGTGTATAGTAGTATTAACCACTGAATTTTGTTATTGGTAAGTCATACGTTAATTTGCTTTTGTTAACTGTAGTTTGAAAATGCAGCAAAAAAATAAGCATAAAGATGAATTCCTCAACCAGGGATTCCCCATGCTGGCCAGTGCCTGGCAAATGCTATTCCAACCCTGTAAAGAGCCCGTGGCTTCCTTGGATGATGATTGACATCTTTCCTCTTTCCAGTGGAGGCTTATTTAGAATCTCCTTGCGGAGGCCACTGCATGCAGCTACATTAGATGTAATGAAGGATTGGGGTAGGTTTGTCTTATGCATAGAAGACATGAAACTCAAGATGCTGTTTCCTGTATAGGTTGACCTATATGTCTGTCTGTTCTGTGGCCGGGGCAACAACGAGGACAAATTGTTGCTGTGTGATGGATGTGACGACAGCTACCACACTTTTTGCCTGATACCCCCTTTGCCTGATGTGCCCAAAGGTGACTGGAGATGCCCTAAATGCGTTGCTGAGGTACTTTGTTTTTGTTTTTGGCGTATTTGAAACATTGAGGCCACAAAACGCTAGTGGTTCGACTAAGAGGATAGGATTTCTGTGTCATTTTCGTTGCATAGAAGAGGAAATTTTGGAAATTGTAGCTTGGCATGTGAGCTACACTTGCTGAAATACCTTCCCTCTTCAATTCAACTAGTTGAGATTCAGGAATCCTGTCTTCTTTTTCTAGCTACCCAAGGTTTACCCCTTCTGAGGAATTTTGTCCAGGAGACAAGGCTTCTTCGTTAACAGTAGGAAAATGCGTCTGTTTTGAAGTTTGTAGTAGCTACAGTCAATTGTGGCTTGCTGAGACATGGGCAGCTGTCATATGTGATCTTTCATGATTCTTCCTATCTGAAAGGCGTTTCTGTGTAGGGACTTGATGATATTTGGAAAGGCCCTAAGTCCAGAAAACAGCTGAACAAGCAGAGTTCTTGCTTGTACAGCTGAGTTAGACACAGATTACTATGGAAAAGTGGAACCTGCTTTCAAATGGTCCTGCTCCAGATGTTTGTCACATTCCAGGTTCTCTGATGAGCTGTGTACAGCTTGCTGTGCTCTCTTCCTTGTCTTTCTCTCCCCAACAGCAGTGTACTGCAAAAGGCGCAGATACTCAGTATTTTGGGAAGCAAGTCCACTTGTCCACCAACACTGCTGCGTGCGCTCATTGGCCTAAGTCAACTTACCTCGAGAGATAAAAAAATGAAAGCTTAATATTTTTTTAATTTAGTTAAATGAAGGAACTTCATTCCATTTTTGCAGGATGCTCTGATTAAACTGCTTTCTGTGATGCCGAATAACACTTTTCCTCTTTTCTAGGAATGTAACAAACCACGTGAGGCCTTTGGGTTTGAACAGGCTGTTCGAGAGTACACCCTTCAGAGCTTTGGTGAGATGGCAGATAACTTCAAGTCTGATTACTTCAACATGCCAGTCCATGTAAGTATGTAATATATGTTGCAGTCAAAGTGTTCTCACTAGTAGTCGGAAAACCTATAGGCAGTTCAGATTTGCCCACACAGCGTTGCTATTTAACTATTTTATAGGGTTTTTTAAAATTTCTTTTTATTTTGTTGTTGTTGCAGAATTTAGAATTTAGAATTCTGTCCTCTTCTGTAGAGATCTCAGGGATTGGGTTCATGGGACAAAAATGAGGAAATGTGTCTTTAGAGGCCAGAGAGCCCCAATGGAGTCCTTTTTCCTTCTCTACATCCATGGTAAAAACCTTGCATTTCAAAATGAAAGGAAAATGGATGCAGTTCAGGTGCCAAGTTCTTTAATGTCCAGTTGGGCTTTTATTCTGGCAGCATTAGGAGTTGGATTTTGTCTTCAGTTTTGGAAAAATGTTTTCAGGTATTTTTATAAACATTCCATAGCAAGGTTGTTGTTTACTGACAAGGCCACTGACCCATCTAAGCCAGAGATGACCTTCTATAACTGTCAGTGGTTCTCCTCAGGTCCCCAGACAGAATTCTTTCCCAGTCCTGTTGCTTCTCTAGGTATGTGGGGCTTCCAACATGCAAAGCATGTTTAGTAGTACTAAACTACCATATTTACTCGAACGTAATGCACACTTTTTTGGCCAAATGACGTTGCGAAAATTATGGTGTGCATTATTTGATGGCACATTAGATTTGATTGCAAGCTTGAAAAACACCTTTGACAAAGCAAATACTTTTTTTGGTTTCATGTTTTTGCTAATTGAGGTGTGTGTTAGATTCAGTGGTGCATTAGATTTGCGTAAATAGAGTATGTCCTTTCTTCTGTCCTCCGCCACTCCTGGCTATTTTTATGAATTGGCTTTAGTTGCTAGAAAAATGTTAGATCGTAAAAGGGATTACGAATCCTAATCATGATTGATCTTTCCTTATGTTGATGTCATCAATTATTTAAATTCAGATCCAACAAGAATGTTACAGAAATTTGGAGTTGGACACCCATACAAAAATTATCTGTAATGCCCACCTATCTTTCTGTTTGCTATGAACCCTTGATCTATGGTGAAAAAAGTAGCAGTAGCGCTCTGTTGCTGCAAGAAAACAAGCACAGTGATTGATTCTCTCTGGTTGGTTTCTTCTAGATGTAGAATTTTAGCAGAGTAGCAGCCTTTGTTATAATTCACAACCTAGCCCTGAGTGCTTGTGTGGGTACTTTCTTTCTCTCTCTCTCTAACATGCATACCCTTGCTTCCCTAGTGGGAAGAAGGGGAGCATTCAAGTGTGATTCCTCCCACTTTCACTGCACCCGCATAAGGCAGGTGTGGGGACACCCTGGCACTCCAGATGTTGTTGGAGTACAATTTCCATTTCCCCTGTGCTTTGGCCGTGCTGGTTAGGGAAAATTGAAGTCCAGTATTTCCCGGAACACTGCAAGTTCCTCAGCTCTGGTCTAGAGAGAAAAACAGCTTTAAATGTGGGTTTGGGAAAGATTGAACACCAGTGAGGCAGTAAGTGCTGCTCCATGCCATTTACATGTAACTTGCTAGTTTTAAAGCTCTTCCCTCTGTGCTTTCAGATGGTTCCCACTGAGTTGGTGGAGAAGGAGTTCTGGCGACTTGTGAGCAGCATTGAGGAGGATGTAATTGTGGAGTATGGAGCCGACATTTCATCCAAGGACTTTGGAAGTGGTTTCCCTATAAAGGATGGCAGGCGAAAGCTGATGCCGGAAGAGGAGGTGTGGCTAGGATACACAATCTGCATGCACTTTAGAAAGCTGACTCTACATGTTATTAGGATTAATGTATTTGGGGGTATTTCAGTTTTGAGAGGCAACAGTTTTAACATACAGTTAACATTCTTTCTGATATATCTTGGCCCCAACTAGCATTGTGGACGGAAAGCTTGGGGCCAGGCCACTGCGCTGATTTAGCTCAGCAGGCTGACAGTGGTGCCGAACAGATCTTTGCACCCTCTCATTCTTGCCATGCGAGCAATGCTGCCCCTGCTCCTTATGGGGCCCTATAGGTGGCCCTATGGTGTCACTGAGTGCTGTGGAGTTCTTAGTCCAAATGTGTGTGTGTGTTGCCGTATGAATGACTTCATCCCTTATGTATGCATGTTGGATGCAGTATTGCTAGCATGGAGGCACCAGCCAGTACGTGTGTGCCAGGAGTGCTTCCACCATCTGATGAATGGTGAGGATGGGTGGGATGTTAGGCAACTTACTTAGAGCCCTCCAACACTTTTATTGTTACTGGTTTAGCAACAAGTTGTAGAGGGATAAATGACACCTTTCACTGACTCCTTTTGTAGCAATGCCACTAGAAGTGGTAATTGGTGTTGTAAAGAAGCAGAAGGGGAGTGTTTAAACTTTTCCTGCTAGATGAAACTCCCTTAGCTGTTTTTTTAAACTTTCCTCTTCAGAGGGGGAGCATCTTACTGCATACAGTCGCAGTGGGTCTTGCTGTCAGTGCCAATTGAACCCTGCTTGCAAAGGAGCAATTGGAAGTTCCCAACTGTTGTCACGTAGCTAAGGCCTTGTCTTCCCCACACCTGGTGTCACATATGCCCCCAAATGTGGGGCAGGTGGATGTGGTTTGGGGAAATGGTGTCATGGGCCAAATTGTGGCCTGTGCCCATTCGAATTAGGTCCATGGGCTAGAGTTTCTTCACCCCTGCTGTAAGTGAAGGTTGGGCTGACCTGTGTAAGGGATGGAGGTCAGGTTTGCCATCAGTACAGCCTCCCCACCCCATCCAGCCTCCCTGCCAAACCCCAGGGTTCAAGCGATGGGTGAAGCACCTGCAGAACCTTATTTACTGCCTGAATGTGGCAGAGGATTATAACCAGTCTAGGAGGAGAGTGTAAAGAACTGGCTCTTGTCCTATGTTAGGGTATATTAATGGTGTTCTGGCCGGTTCCTTTACAAACTCGTCTTTGTTCTTTTGGCAGGAGTATGCCCTTTCTGGTTGGAACCTCAACAACATGCCAGTCCTGGAACAATCTGTTCTTGCTCACATCAATGCTGATATTTCTGGCATGAAGGTGCCCTGGCTTTATGTGGGAATGTGCTTCTCTTCTTTCTGCTGGCACATTGAGGATCACTGGAGTTATTCCATCAACTACCTTCACTGGTATGGACCCCTGCCACATTGGGTGGGTGGGTGTGCATGCCCAGGTAGTGTCACCCTTATTTGCCCAGGGTTAATCTTTTTTAGAATGTTACACAAGTTCTCTGCTCAAGGGAGAAGAGCATTGAATACAATAATGAGTGTCCAGTAAGGGGCAAAGTAAGGGACGCGGGTGGCGCTGTGGTCTAAACCACAGAGCCTAGGGCTTGCCGATTGGAATGTTGGCAGTTTGTATCCCCGAGATGGGTTGAGCTCCCATTGTTCAGTCCCAGCTCCTGCCCACCTAGCAGTTCAAAAGCACATCAAATGCAAGTAGATAAATAGGTACTTCTCCAGCGGGAAGGCAAACGGCGTTTCTGTGCTCTGCTCTGGTGTGCCAGAAGCGGTTTAGTCATGCTGGCCACATGACCCGGAAGCTGTCTGCAGACAAACACCGGCTCCCTCAGCCTATAGAGCGAGATGATTGCGCAACCCCAGAGTCGTTTGCGACTGGACCTTATGGTCAGGGGTACCTTTACCTTTTTCTTTAAGAATAATTTTTTATTAACCGACCAATCACATCAAATCAAACCAAATTACATAAATTCCAAATTACACAGCCGAATTTTAAATTTTTGTTGGGGGTACCCATATTTCAAGTTCCGAAGGGGATCCAATCAACTTCTTGCTTCTTACTGCTGTTTTAATGTCCACAAATCTAACCTTATGATGTTCACAGTACTATCCAGTCCTTTCTTATTGTTTTTCCACATCTCTTGTTGTTATTTTCATATATTTTTCCTTTCTCTTTGTGACCTCTGATAGTCTCCACAAGCTGGTTAGAACAGTTTGTAATCCTGCGTGGATATTATTTTTTTTTATCCAGTAGCCATATCCAGACGTTTTCCATATAACATCACTTCCATACATCAAAACAGTCTTAGCGTCATTAATCTTCACCAATCTGCCTCCTTTCTCAAAACCTCTGAGGAGATTCACTAGGAATGCAGTCTGAAAACAAGTCCGTTCTTCCTCCCGGCTATAAATCCTTTGGCAAGATGGCGACTCCGAATTAATTGCTGCGCCATTCCCAAAAGCTCTTATTGCTTCTCGGTCTCCATAAAGCATACTTTTGGTTAAAGTTTATCTCCACACAGACCTTAATCATCCTGCTTGGGTCAGTTCAACCGACGATTCTAATGAGGAGGGGTTCTTGTAAATCACATAGAAGGAAAGTAAAAAAGGTTCCCCCCATTCAGTCCCGTTGTCAACATACCCAGCCTTTGGTGTATCTTCATCGTAAAATATTCCTGTTTCTCCAACCCGTCGTCTTCTTTCGCAGAGGTCACTTAAATTAGCAGACTTCACTCCCCTTCTTCACTTGAAATATGTGCATTTGCTTCTTTTGTAATTAATTATTCCAAATTGCTGCAACTAGTGCGCGATCAGAGACAGCGTCCAGGAGAGCCGAGGTCCACACGGGGGCATTCTGCCTAGGGCCCTCACCCCCTTCTTTCGAATTAGGGGGTGATTTATGGGCACAGCAGGCAAGGGCAGTGTTCCCCATTTCCTTGGGGCAACAAGGGAGGCTGCCTACTCCCATAACAGCCTCTTAATTACCCCGTGTGGGTCGGAGAGATGGTATTGTCGGCCATCTTCCAATGCGCCCCCTAGTGGCCCCCCGGGGTACCTTTACCTTTAAGGGGCAAAGACAGTTATTAATGAGAGAAGTTGGTATATGTCTAAGTTGCAAAACACTCCAAATATGTGGGGTGGGCCAGAGTAATGTCTGTGAACCTCTTCAGTCAATTTCTGAACAATCTTATGTTTCCCTGCAATTGCTCAGCATCCTCCTTGTTTTGTGTATTACCTGAAGACCAGGCTTATAAATAAGTAGCTCATCCTTGACTTGAATCATCTTGTTTTCCAGTTCAGTTTATTCTTGGCAAACTTCTACTGCTTCTAGAAGACTGGGCCTATTTGTAGATTAGGGTTGGAAAATACGCCTCATGCTAGAATGTGCTTTCTTTGTGGTAATGGATGATATGTTTTGCTAGGGGAGAGCCAAAGACGTGGTATGGAGTGCCCTCCCATGCAGCAGAACAGCTGGAGGAAGTAATGCGAGAGCTTGCTCCGGAACTATTTGAGAATCAACCTGACCTTCTGCACCAGCTAGTAACCATCATGAACCCCAATGTGCTAATGGAGCATGGTGTGCCTGTAAGTTCGGCAGAACCTTTACCTGCCTATAGGTTACTTGTCTTGTGTCACACAGAATGACTTGGAATAGCATTTTAAACACTCTGTAGATTCATTTCAATCCAGCTTCAGGCCTGATTATGGAACTGAGATTGCTTTGGTAGGTCTGAAAAACCTGTGCCAGGAACTGGACTGTGAAGGTTTCCCAGTGGAATCTTAAGTAGCTTTCAACACCATCAACCCCGACATCCTTCTAGCTACTGTGTATAGATTGTGTTCTAAACGCTTTTAACCCTTATCTAGGCAACTAGTGATTTCACTTGTAGATAGTGGAAAGATGCTCCTTTGGCGATATGCCCTAAGAGCCTTATGTAAAAAGATTGAGGTTTAAAAACCAGTTTCTTTGCAGCCTGCATCAGTTGGTAGATTCTATGAAGTGGTTGAGAAGGGAAAAGGTGATAGCATAGTTCATGCATGAATTAGTAGTTACTACCAGCCATGTTAATCTCCGTTTCTGAAAGATGAATATGATAATGATCCTTTCTTTCCAAAATCTCTCACTTCTCACTGTCTCTAGGTGTACCGGACCAATCAGTGTGCTGGCGAGTTTGTTGTGACTTTTCCACGTGCCTATCACTCTGGATTTAATCAAGGATACAATTTTGCTGAAGCTGTGAACTTCTGCACTGCTGACTGGGTCTGTATACATCTGGCATAACCTAGCTTTTCTCTTATCTGGGCACTGTCTGGTGCTATATATTAAAAGGCATCAAAGTAATACCCATCTGAAAAGGATTATTGTTTTGGTTACAGCTCAAGGTGCATTGGGCAAAATACAGTTGTGGCTATTTAGCTTTTTGCTGGTAAGGTTTGGCAGCTCTCCAATTTGCTTCTTGCCATTAGTATGGATCAAACAAATTACTATAATAACCCTATGGTGGTTTGGTATCTAAATACTAATATGCTGTTTACATTAGACAGGCATGTATTAAGACACCTCGTTAAAACTTTATTAAACCAGCATATCCATATACATTGCTTAAGGTTTGCTTTTAAATTTTCTCATATTGTCTGTGTATTTTTTTTGATTGAGCAAAAGACACAACACTATTGTTATCTCTGTGTCCACTCGTATAAGCCCCTTGAATAATTTATGCATATCATACTGTATTACACCATGCTATGATGATAAGTTACATAAGGCTGAATGGTCAAAATACCTTGCATCAAACCAATTTTAAGCACAACACTTGTTGCAGTCCAAAGCCTGGGTATTTTATCTAGCTTAGATGCAAGCTGAAACCTTGCAGAATTTCCAGAGGCTGTGACATGCTCTGTGTTGTAGTCGTCTTTTTGGAAAGTAAATCTCAAATATTGGGGAAATTGAAACTTGTTCAGTACAGTCATACCTCCGGTTATAGCCACGTCAGGTTGCGTTTTTTCAGGTTGTGGACCGCCGAAACCTGGAAGTACTGGAACGGGTTACTTCCGGATTTCGGCGGTTGCGCATGCGCAGAAGTGCTAAATTGCGCTTTGCGCATGCACAGAAGCGCCGAATCGCAACCCACGCATCCCGCACAGATCACGTTCGCAACCTAGAGCGTCCACTGTACTGACTTACAAAGTCAAACCTTTATTCACCACTCTGAAGAACATGAAATGGATATACTATATATTTTGGAAAGTCCTTTTGTCTGTTTGCTCTGCATTTGGACACCTTTTTTAATAGAACCAGAGCTTGAAAATTAAAATTGGTATAATGCAATGTTGCAATATAATGCAAAGTTGATCATTCTGAAAGAACCTTTGTATTTTCTACTTTTTTCATATTCAAGTGAGGCAAAATTTCCTTTTTTTGGACATCTGATCTTTAAGGTTGCCTCACTTGTTTTTTTGCTGAAATAATTACTTTTGGCAGGGGACTAGGTGATATACTTCAAGACTTGCAGTGTAAGTCTAAATCTTACTCTGTTACAATGTTGACATCTTCCTCTGTTAAAATGTGTTGGCTCTTGCAGGTTCTTTGGTTTCTCAGATATTATGAGGAGATGGTATCCCCTTGAGAGACTTTCAAGTCTCACTCCTCTTGTTTTTTGCTTCTCATCCCCATTGCTGTTTATCTTTTTTTGTCCCCAGCTAATTATGTGGTTGGCTTGGAGTTTCTGGGGGAGAGGCTGATTTCAGACAGGCTATTTGAGACTCCTTTGGCTTCATGTGAAATGAAGCCCTTGGGTTCCAGACCTCACACAAGCAATTCCCTCATATCCCCTCCCCCCCAAGTTGACTCCAAAGAGCTTGGCTTACCCAAGGCCCCTGGAGACCCTACTCCTGGATAGTGTGACACACTTAATGCTCATAATAATTGCCTATATCATTTAATGATACCATTTTAACGTGTTTTTCTCATGAACTCCAGTATGGAAGCCCAAGATGAGCTGGGGATAGTTCTAAACCAGATATCTCACTTCTTGCATTTCTAGCTTCCAATAGGTCGGCAGTGTGTCAGCCATTATCGGCGACTGAGGCGTCACTGTGTGTTTTCTCACGAGGAACTAATTTTCAAGATGGCTGCCGACCCAGAGTGCTTGGATGTGGGGCTGGCTGCCATGGTCTGCAAAGAAATGACTCTCATGACAGAAGATGAGGCACGTTTAAGGGAGGCTGTCATACAGATGGTGAGTTCAGGGAAGCTCTGCTTTCATGCCCTTTTGGACTGAACAAAGAGATTGTGTGAGGCCTTGGAAACAAAAGGTCTTCCCCTGACCAGTATCTTTGTTAGATGTCACTTTTTCTTTGCATTAGGGAGTTCTGATGTCAGAGGAGGAAGTGTTTGAGCTGGTTCCAGATGATGAGCGTCAGTGTGCAGCTTGTAGGACCACCTGTTTCCTGTCTGCTCTTACGTGTTCCTGTAACCCTGAACGACTTGTATGCCTATATCATCCAAATGATTTGTGTTCATGCTCTATGCAGAAGAAATGTTTAAGGTACCATCTTCCCAGTCCATCCTGCTTCCTTTTGTATACTGTCTTATTTCCTGCCTCTAAACTAGGATCAATGTTTACAGTAATAATGTTCCCTCTTATTCAAAGATCCAGTGCATAGTAGTCTGACAAATACATAATGTTATTATCATCTTCCCCATTTTTTTTTTTGCTTCTGCTCACTTGAAAGTTGCAGTACATTTGAAAGTTCTTCCTCCTTGTTTATCTCCAGATACCGGTATCCACTAGAGGACTTCCCTTCCTTGTTGTACGGAGTGAAAGTCAGAGCACAGTCCTATGATACATGGGTCAGCAGGGTCACAGATGCACTGTCGGCCAACCTCAACCACAAGAAAGGTTAGATGCAGTTTTGTTTCCTATTGGAATCTGTTAAGGAAGATTTTCAATTGGTTGGAAACACAAATGGGAGATGGACTTGAGCAAAACCAAATCCTAAAACAATATATAAAGTTCAGGGAAAGCTATACAAAATACTTCACTAAGACATGTAAACCTGTATTTAAAACCAAAAATACTAAAATGTTCAACATAGAACTGAATTAAGGCAGCAAATGATTTAACACAGTGAGCTCCAGAGAGCCAACGTGGCATAGCAATTAAGCATGTTGGACTAGGATCAGTTTGAAATCCCCACTCAGCCATGAAGCTCACTGGACCAGCCACACACTTTCAGCCAAATCTGCCTCATTTCTGGGGAAGATACAAAATGGGGGCAAGTGAAGAACCATGTACACTAAAACATACTTTGGAAGCGTCCCTGAGCTCAGAGGAACAGCTTGTAATGTGACACAAAGAAGGGCTACAGGGTTTCTACACTGTGGCTCTATGTCCTGCAGAGAGGGAATAGTTTTCTTGCCTTCAAAATAAGATTGAGACAGTATGCATTTGACCCGAGCAAGCTTACATGACCCAAACAAGCTTATATGACATTCCAGCTGGGAATGTCACTTCTTGTGTCGTCTGAAATACTTGTTCCCTTTAGTACTGCATGCTTGACTTCCTGTTTCATTAAATATATATTTGGACCAGTTGCCCAGAAGCAGCCAATCAGCTGCTGCTCATTTATCAAGCAGCAAATGCTTTCAACATTAGATCATGCGGGACATACATTTGCAGCAAGGGATGGCTAATTCAGAATTAAATTTGTAGTTTGACTCTTAAAAACAACAGATGGCTATCGCCCTGGAAACTTCTGTTCTTGAGAAGGTTTAATACTTAACATTGATTCCATGTAGCAAGGTGATGGGTGTGTTACACAATGTGTGCAGGATATCTGATACCAAGCTAGTGTGCTCATCCTTGTGAGACATTCTTCTGCTTAAAGTGCCAATATGGCAAGATAGTCAAGGTTAATTAGTTAGTGGAAGTATTGGATTGCCAGCCTGCCTTTCAGACAATTTTTTTGCAGAAATGAGGCTAAAATACTGCCATGAATTGAGGCATCTTGACTAAAGTGAGGAGCAAATACTTTCTTGATGTAGGAAATAGCTCATAACGAATGGATAGCTATGCATATGATAACTTGAATGTGTTCAGTCTACTGTTCTTGGGGACTTTGTGGTTGGGTGTGGGGAGTAGTTTGCTGTGCTTGTGTATATGTGCAAATGGCCTCTTGGCTAATTTCTTGCAGATGTGATTGAGCTGAGAGTGATGTTGGAGGATGCTGAAGACAGGAAATACCCAGAGAATGACCTCTTCCGCAAGCTAAGAGATGCTGTAAAAGAGGCAGAGACTTGTGCTTCAGTGGCCCAACTGCTTCTGAGCAAAAAACAAAAGCACAGGTATGACCAGGGAAGGTGGAGGTAGATTTTTGGCGTAACTGTATAAATCAGCAACCCAAAAACGCTTATTCTACTGTCAAAATAAATTGTGCATGCTTTGCCAGAATTGACACTTTTCAAATGGAATATATTACGTTTGGTGGTTGGTTGGGGGGATGTGCCAAAGACAGTTTGGTCGTGAAGGGGGGAGAAATTGGAAAGTGTTTAGAGAAGTCAAATCAGAAGGATTCTACCCCCTAGAGAATGCATGTAGAAAACTTTTGCAATGATGAGAGAATTAGGGAACTGGTGAAACATTTCAGATTGGAAATAATGTGTTCAAAAATGACCAAACTGGTGTTGATCATATTTTGCTCACGCTGAAGGAATTTTGCTGCTTCTGGGTGCAACTAGAAAGACCTAATTAATATTTACATGGGTATCCTGAAGGACTCCTTTCTCCTCCATGTGAACTTGCATGTTAATAAAAATCACTGATGGAGGACCTCCTCTGGTTACTTCACCTTCAAAAGTTAGGTTGATGGTGACAGCATTGAGCAATGTTGTCCCTAAATATTTGTGCTTGTTGTGAGGTGAAAATTGGTGGAGATTTTTGCAAGCTTTAACTCTGTATTTTTACATGAAAATCTACACTACTATTAATTTTGATAAAATATTGGGCTGTACAGCTTTTAAATTATTACATAATTAACATCTGAACTCTATTTTTCAGAGTATGTGATGGTAAGGCCTCAAACTCCCCTACAGCCTCTATTTTATGTAACAGATTTGTTTACGTGACCAGAGGAAATTTACTATGTGTTGCTGTTGTTAATTTATTAATCACATTTGCCTTTGTCTCAATGGTTTCAAGACGATGTGCAATAAAAGAGTAAACAGTTAAACACAAAACACCCAATACATTTAAAACAAAACTAAAATGATACAAAATAGACACTCAAGGCAATGACTTATTTATCCAGCTGGGAAAGCCTGTTGGAACAACAGCAACAAAAAAAGTTGCTAAAAAGTGCAGATAGTGACACCTGTTGCATCTTGACAGGAATGCTGTTCCACAGAATGGGCAGCCACTAAAAGCCCTGCTCCAAATTACTGCGGAGCGAGCTTCTGAGTTCTTTGGAATTTGCAGAGAAACTTCCCCAGAGAACAACTGGTCCTAGTCTGTATAGGGCATTACATGCTAGTACCAACACCTTGAACTTGGCCCATTTGTTGACTCTGTTGCCCTCCAGGAACTGTGTATGTGATTTACAAGGTTCTTTTCTTTCCCCATAGTAGACTGACCCCAGAGAGCGGAAGGACACGGACCAAGCTGACTGTGGAAGAACTGAAAGCGTTTGTGCAGCAGCTGTTTAGCCTTCCCTGTGTCATCAGTCAGGCCCGGCAAGTAAAGGTGGGTTTTTGGAGAAGGCTGTACTTGGATTGAGTTTTGGTTCTCTTTAGAATGGAGGTGGCTACCTGATTTTGACTGAAGGGTATTCATCCCGCACATGCAGTTATGCACAGGCCTGCAGCCCCTGCTCCTCAGCTGATCTTTGCAGTTCAGCTGTGTCTGTGTGTGGCAGGGAGTATGGGGGTGTTATCAACCCCTCTCTGCTCAACAGATGTTTGATCTTACGAGTGGTGGTTTCAGTTGCCATCAAGGCACTGAACTGTAATAATCTTAGCACTTTCTACTTTTTTTTTTTACCTCCTGCCACTAAAATCAGTGGGGTTTGGGGGAAGGGAGCTGGATCAGCGGCCTCGGATTTAGAGCTTCCATTTCCTATTTGAAATGAACGTTCTGCAAGATAATCAATTAATGAACATATCTAAGTTTGAAAATTGTTCAACACTATTCCATTTAGTTCTGTGATCTTTAAATCTTCCTAATGTTAAACAAAAAATAACTTGCATTTTGTGTCCTCTAAATATAGCCAAAGTGATACAAAGGCAGATTGTTTTCCTGGCAGTGCTTTCTCTTCTCGTGGTTTGAGAAGCAAATTGTTCAAAGGGGGGGAAGCAGTGAGCTGGACACTGTAGCACCCCAGGAAAACAAAACATGGACAGTAATGAGACTGAATTTGATTGTTTCCAGTAGTCATAGTCAAGAAAAGTGTTTTACGGGGAGGGGTTTCAGGTTTAACACAACAGATGGAAGCAAGTGTCTTAGCACTCCTTGCCATTCCAGTCAAAGCACTTAGAATCGCGCTTTTTCCTACCTTGTCAGTTATTCTGGGGAGCATTTCTTGCAATAAACTGTTCATTGTAGCTTTTTTTCTGCCTGACATCAGATGTCATTGCTTGGAACCTCAATAGTTCTAAACGTTCAGCTCATCCCAAACATACCAGTACCTAGTTACGCAGTCTGCAACCCCTCTGGCAGCTGCCATCACTGTAGTGAATGAGCACTTTGTTGTCACTCCCTTAGAACCTGCTGGATGATGTTGAAGAGTTTCATGAACGTGCTCAAGAGGCCATGATGGATGAGGTCCCTGACTCATCTAAGCTTCAGATGCTGATAGACATGGGCACTGGCCTCTATGTGGAACTTCCTGAATTGCCTCGCCTGAAGCAAGAGCTGCAGCAGGCACGCTGGCTGGATGAGGTGCGGGTGACCCTTTCAGATCCTCAGAGAGTCACCTTGGATGTGATGAAGAAACTGATTGACTCAGGGGTGGGGCTGGCCCCACACCATGCGGTAGAGAAGGCCATGGCTGAATTGCAGGAGCTGCTCACAGTTTCCGAGAGGTGGGAAGAAAAAGCTAAAGTCTGCCTGCAAGCAAGGCGAGTATTACTCTTGGTCATTCTGCTTTCTGTTTACAGGGCCTCCGAACTGCGGTGTAATTTAAGCCACAATGAGTTGTAGTCGAGTCTTGGCCTCCCAACACCTGAAACTGACTCCTCTAATAAGGAGCGGTGCCTGCCTTATGGCCAAAAAATGAAACCAAAGCATTCACATTCTAATTCCGTCCTTCAGAGATAAGTTTGGGAGCGTCTCGCTAAAACTGCGCTTTGAATCCTGTTGATGATATTCAGTTTTCATCATCAGCCATAAAAATGGAATAAATAACGCTGAAAAATGCACTGCCACAGAGAAGGGGTTAGTTTTGGGTGATGGCTGTTCACTACGTGGTATCTAGGACTTACTTTATAATGATAATAATAATAATAATAATAATAATAATAATAATAATTAATTATGATTATTATTATTTGTTATTTATACCCTGCCCATCTGGCTGGGTTTCCCCAGCCACTCTCGGCGGCTTCCAACTGAATATTAAAATACAATAGTCAACTAAACATTTAAAGCTTCCCTAAACAGGACTGCCTTCAGATGTCTTCTAAAAGTCTGATAGTTGTTTTTCTCTTTGACATCTGGTGGGAGGGCATTCCACAGGGTGGGTGCAACTACCGAGAAGGCCCTCTGCCTGGTTCCCTGTAACTTGGCTTCTCGCAATGAGGGAACCGCCAGAAGGCCCTCAGCACTGGACCTCAGTGTCCGGGCAGAATGATGGGGGTGGAGACGCTCCTTCAGGTATACAGATAAGAAAGCAAGACCATATGCTAATCAGGTTGTGCCCCCCTGCACCCCCAGGCCTCGGCAAAGCATAGCAGCTCTGGAGAGCATTGTCAATGAAGCAAAGAACATCCCTGCTTACTTGCCCAATGTGCTGGCACTAAGAGAAGCCCTGCAGCGAGCGCGAGACTGGACATCCAAAGTGGAGGCTATTCAGGTATGGTTCACGGCAAGCAATGCAGCTGGTATTTATATCCTTAAATCCTTTCCAACAGGCATTTGCTTCCTTCCTTGAAAAGACAGCATCATTTTTTAATTTTGAAATCTGATCTTCATTGATTGTCCCATTCATTTCCATGCTTTTTAATCCTGATGCATCCTGGCAATGCGTTGCAGTGTCTTCTTAATATTTACTTACCGTATTTATGTCCTGCCTTTCCATTTCAATAGAGATGCTGAAGGCGGCAAGCAATACACAGCAAAAATAGAATAAAACTGTAAAATTTCTTCAAGCGAAGAATGGCAGGGATTCTGTTCCCTGGCTGTGATTGTGTCTAGTTGTGAATAAAAGCTGACATTTTTAGTTCTCTGAACTGGCTTCAGAATGTAAGGGTAGATAGTCACTGCTGGTGACAACTGCTCAGTTGGAGCAACTTGAATACTGAAGCCTTCTCCAATTAAATGAGCTATATTTGTATTGATAAATATGTGGCATCATCCACCCTGCCCCTTATGTCTCAGCCTTAACCTTATAGCTGCATTTTCTTGAACAAAAATTGAACAGGTCCTTTTATAGAGGTTTTCAATTTTATATTTATGCACACATACAAGCTCACTTGTTCCTCACAAGCAGAGTGAAGTCATTTGTTATTTACAGATAGGTGTTCTGGAATTACGTACGTACAAATTATAAAATTTGCTTTTGGAGTAAATTATGGAAACTATTGAAAAGTGTAGGAAATTATTAAATGTGTGTGTTTTATGGGTGAGAGCTGATAGAGTAATAGGCTGCTTGGGATCACTTCCTTCCATATGAACCTGCCAGTACACTAAGGTCATCCTTAGAAGCCCTTTTCCAAATGCTTCTGCCGTCTGGGGTCTGGCAGGAAAGAGCCTCTTCAATTTTGGCACCCCAGCCTTGGAGCACTCATCCCAAGAAAGATTGCCTTGGGCCTTCTCATTACTTTATGGGTAGGGCCCATAGCGTAGCAACACAGCACCTGTGTTGGATGGAGAAAGTTCCAGGTTCAATCCCTGGCCTCTCCAAAAATCAGGTGGCAAGTAATGGGACAGACCACTGCAAGAAACTCTGAAACCACTGCCATGGTGGTCAGTATTGCCAGGTTAGGTGGGTAAATATTTCTCCTAAAAGGCATCGTCCAGTGTATTTTTGGCAGCAGACATGGACCCTTTTATTTTCTCAGGGCTATTAGTGTGAATTGCTTTTATTTTACTGTTGTAATTTTATTCTCTTATTGTGTCACACTGTGTTAATGCTCATATGTGATTTTATTGCACTTTTTATCCTAATATAATTGAACAGTGTTGAAATCCACCTGTGGCTGCATAGGTTGGCATAAGTTCAGTTTACTGTGGCGGTGGGAATGTTTAGCTGAGAATTATTCTTTACCCCTTAGAATGGGAGCAACTATGCATATTTAGAACAGCTAGAGAATCTGTCTGCAAAAGGCCGCCTGATACCCGTCCGCCTTGAGGCATTGCCGCAAGTCGACTCACAGGTAGCAGCAGCCCGTGCCTGGAGGGAGCGAACAGGCAGAACGTTCCTTAAGAAGAACTCGAGCTACACACTCTTGCAGGTAAGTTGTGGGTAATCTTGTATTGGAGCCTGTAGAAATGGCCTTAGCATTGCCTTCAAATGGTTAACTGAGGCTAGTGTAAGGTTACCAGATTTTTTTCAATGAATCCGGGGACACTTTTCAACTTCAATGGATTTTGTATGGGGACTGTCCCCGGGAAATGGGGACGGCTGGTAACCTTAGGTTAGTGACTATCTCTGTCTGATGCTTGGCACTGGTATAGCCATAACACTTTCCTGTGTCTTAATGCATAACCGATTGAGAAGCATTAAATCTGCACATGTGAGATGTGAGATGAAAATACATGAACTTCAGTACCATGTAAAGGTATTCTCTTTAGGAAAATGGGTCTGCTTTGCCTGAAATTGACCCCCCCCCAAAAAAAAAGTTTTAGCTTGCTAATTAAGTACTGTTTACCAAAATCATTTTAATTTGTCCCACTGGTGAATTCTGATTTAAATCTGGTTTCGAATGAAATTTGTCTGAAATTTTTCTGTGCAGCATTCAATCTGAGTGATCTTATAACTGGTCTGCTTTTTGGTTGCAGGTTCTGAGCCCTCGAACTGACATTGGTGTTTATGGAAGCAGTAAGAACAGGCGAAAAAGAGTCAAGGAGCTGATAGAGAAGGAGAAAGAGAAGGAGCTTGACCTGGAGTCCTTGAGTGAGCTAGAAGATGGACTAGAAGAGACCAGAGACACTGCGACGGTGGTAAGGAACTATAACAGCACTCCACTGGGTTTGATTTCTTCTATGGGGACCCCTTACATACTAACTTCATGGAACAATAAATGCTTGTGAGTGTTGTTACCTGTGGCAGGTATTTTGGCCAATTTTTGATCACTCCTTTTGTTTCCAGGCTCAGGACAAAGTGTTGATGCTAAAGTTTAAAGCCATGAATGGCTTGGGACTCTGGGTATCTTAATGTCTACCTTCATCTGTAGGCTCCTCTCCACATGCTGTGATCATGACCTGAGGCCCAGCTCTTCCAGGGCCAGGGCACCCAATGGAATGCCTTACCAACCAGGGTGCAACATGCCTCATTGCTATATAGTTTTAGGTGGCGGGTAAAGAGGTAGTTGTTTGTAATTTTTTGAAATTAAATAAAACAGAATAGCTATGCTGCATAGTTCTTGTTTGCTCAGTGGAAGTCTCTTCAGTGTTGAGATGGAAAGTGTCAGGGAACTGACATCGGAGCAAGAGGCGGAGGCAAGGCTCCCAAGTGATGCTGGAGAAGGGCCCAGCAGGGAGAGAGGCAGCTCATCAGCTGGGGAAGGAAATCAGCGTAACACCAGGGATAAAGGGGGGCAGATGGGGGAATCGGCGAGGGGGGCTCCAGGACTCCTCGCCGGAGACCAGCGGGGAGAGCATGGGTCTTCCGCTACCCACACCCTCCCTGCGCAGAAGACTTCCGCGCAGGGAGAGTAGGAGGAGACTTGGCGTCAAACAGCTTTTATGCTGGAAAAGGTTTAAGAAACGCCCACTGACGGATTCTGCTAGCGACTGAAACAGCCACGAAGTGAAGGGCTGTCCAGACAGAAAAGGTTTAACCAGGCAACCTAGCCAGGAGTGGCGGCAACTTACGCACGAGCAACCCCTATATTTATTACAGAAAGCTTTCAATCATAATTTTAAAAGTTATGTTAAAAATGGAAAGCATTTCAGAAGAATGATAAAATGTACTTGCATATAAAGATAATGGTATAATTATGCTGTAAATCCTCATTACGTGGAGAGATGTGAACTGCTTTTGAATACTGGACTAATCTGTAAACGTAAGTTCATAGGAAATTGTGTGGAAATTAAGATGAAGGTTTTTCTGCACATTTAAAAATGATGTATTTCTATAGTGCTTCACATGAGTTTTTGAGTTCAGTAATAATGTGCCAGAGATGGAGAGAAATGTTTGCCTAAGGCCAGCTAGTTAGTTCATGGCAGAGGTGAGATTCAAACAAGGGATCTTCTGATTCATAGTTTGGTGCTGTGGCCTCTTTGCCTCCTCAGCTCCCCACTTAAAGGAAGAAAATGGGGTATAGCAGCTGAGCTGAGTGAAGGGTTTTCACCTGTTCTTCTCCCTGTCCAATAGGTGGCAGTCTTCAAGGACCGTGAGCAGAAGGAGATTGAAGCCATGCATGCCCTCAGGGAAGCCAACCTGGCAAAGATGATGATGGTGGACCGCATTGAGGAGATCAAGTTCTGCATTTGTCGCAAAACAGCCAGTGGGTTCATGCTCCAGTGCGAACTCTGCAAAGACTGGTTTCACAGCACCTGTGTGCCCCTCCCCAAAACCAGCTCCCAAAAGAAAGGCTCCAGCTGGCCTGCCAAAGAAGTCAAGTTCCTATGCCCACTCTGCATGCGTTCGCGAAGACCCCGCCTTGAGACCATCTTATCTCTGCTTGTGTCCTTGCAAAAGCTGCCGGTCAGACTGCCGGAGGGGGAGGCACTCCAGTGCTTGACAGAGCGGGCTATGAGCTGGCAGGACCGAGCGCGGCAAGCTCTGGCTACAGATGAACTGTCCTCTGCATTGGCCAAGCTCTCTGTGTTGAGCCAACGTATGGTGGAACAGGCTGCCCGGGAGAAAACAGAGAAAATTATCAGCGCAGAGCTACAGAAAGCCGCAGCCAACCCTGACCTACAGGTAGGGGTGAGGCGGGGCCTAAACAATAGATAGGATGTACAGTGGTACCTTGGGTTACATACGCTTCAGGTTATATACACTTCAGGTTACAGAATCCGCTAACCCAGAAATATTACCTCAGGTTAAGAACTTTGCTTCAGGATGAGAACAGAAATCGTGCTCTGGCAGCGCGGCAACAGCGGGAGGCCCCATTAGCTAAAGTGGTGCTTCAGGTTAAGAGCAGTTTCAGGTTAAGAACGGACCTCCGGAACAAATTAAGTACTTAACCCGAGGTACCACTGTAGTTTGTTTCTCTGGTGTATGTAGTGCTTCTTTCTGGGAACACTTGAAAAGTTGTTGCATATTAAGAACTGTCGCTTAGTTTGATCTGAATGCAGTCGATCTCCTGCGACAAAAAGCTTCTGGTGATTTTTTTTTAAAAATCTTAGGTGTCTTGTAAGGCTTACAGGCTTACAAGTGAAGGTTATAAAGATATACACAATAAGGACCTCCACAAAAATAACACAAAAACAATAAGGCACAGAACTTTATAAAAATGTATATTCAGTTTTCATAGCTGCAGTGCACCATTCAGACAATGGCCAGTTACTCTGGAATTCCAGCTGATCACATTTTCTTTTGCGTTACAAAAATAAAGTCACAAGGCTTACAACGGGTCAGCAACCTTTTTCAGCTGTGGGCCGGCCCACCGTCCCTCAGACCATGTGCTGGGCCGGACTATATTTTGAAAAATAAATAAAAAATGAACGAATTCTCACGCCCCACAAATAAGATGCATTTTAAATAAAAGGACACATTCTACTCATGTAAAAACACGCTGATTCCTGGACTGTCCGCGGGCTGGATTGAGAAGGCGATTGGGCCGCATCCGGCCCCTGGGCCTTAGTTGCCTCCCCCTGGCTTACAAAATAAGGTGATAAGGTTCAGTTTGAATAGGAGTGGGTTCACAGTTTAATAAACTCAAGTTTGTTACAAATGTAGGTAAGTGGCCAAATCACATCCGTTTTCTTTAAGCACATAAAGTATATTCATTGACCAGCAGGGGGTTTATAGGCTGCAAAGCCAGAGATTGTAAAATGTGACAATCAGGACAGGTGAATGTAGGTGTGCTTCCCGTATTGTTTTACTGATGGGATTATAGCTTTACTTTGAAGAGTTGCTAATTCACATTTTGGTATCCTGCCTCCTGTTTGCTTCACTCCTTTTTCTGCTTTGGCTTTCTCTACCAAAATACAGTATACTGTATTTTATTTAGATGTGGAGATTACACTTCTGGATCTGAATTGTGTCCATAGAGCAAATCAAAGGAGACCTCCTATTGAAGTCTTCTAAATTAACTTAGTTTTAACCTCCTAATACTTTTTTCACCCCTTAGGGTCACTTGACTAGTTTTCAGCAATCTGGCTTTAACCGGGCAATGAGTAGTGTGTCGTCATCTCCACGACAGACTATAGACTATGATGATGAGGAGACGGATTCAGATGAAGGCATCAGGGAAGCGCTTGGCTATGACATAAAGGTCAGCACTGCAGTAAAAATCTTTGAGCCATTAATGTCAGTTTTATTTCTTCAATGAAACTTCAGCCAATTTACCGTAGCTTACATTCACAGCTGTAAAAGTTGCTTGACGCATCAAGGTGATCCAAGATGTGTCATGAAGCTTGTAATGGATTTTAATCTTACTGCAGAGTTTGCATTTGAATTAACTGACTGGAAATGAGCAAAAATGCACTGTCCGTCCCCATAAATCTAGAGAGAGGTATTGGCCCTCTTGTCTATCTGTTGCAGTGGTTAAAAAGTAAACCATAACCCATGTTCCTATAACACACTAGCTTAACATATGTTGGCACAAAAATAGATAACTCTATGCTTATGCCCACTTACATTCTGCTCGTAGGACAATGCCAGTGTAAAATCCTCTAGCAGTGTGGAGCCCAACTTGTTTTGTGATGAAGAAATTCCCATTAAATCTGAAGAAGTTGTAACACACATGTGGACAGCCCCCTCCTTCTGTGCTGAACATGCATATTCATCAGCTTCCAAAAGCTGCTCCCAAGGTAACATTTCCTATATATATGGGGCATCTAAGGGACTGTCTGACCTCACAGTAACATGTAACACTTGAGTGCCTTGTGGCTCTTGAGTAATTAACTATAATTCTAGCTTCCACTGCTGTGTTTGATCATTCAAGAGACTTTGCAGTCTGCCATAATTAAGGGAAATAATTGCCATTCACTACTAAGAAATACAGCATTTGAAATGTTTATTTGAAGTCTTGTCTGTTCTAATCCTTTTTATGTGAATGGAAAATTAAACCATTCTCTATTGACTTGTCTGGTGTGATTTTCGGCTTCTCTCTAAAAGGCTCCAACACCCCAAGGAAGCAGCCTCGCAAAAGCCCCCTGGTACCTCGCAGTTTAGAACCTCCTGTGCTTGAGCTGTCTCCTGGAGCCAAATCACAGCTAGAAGATCTAATGATGATCGGAGATCTCCTAGAGGTTTCTCTGGATGAGACCCAGCACATCTGGCGGATCTTGCAAGCAACACATCCTCCATCAGAGGATAGGTTTCTACATATTATGGAGGTGAGGATGGATGTTCCATACGGAGAATCATTTAGTTCCCTTAACTTACCTTCAAAAGGAAGAGTTTCCATCTCTTTCCTTCCCCCAAGTCCTTTTTCAAGACATGCTTGCTTAATGCGGTAGGGTTTCCCTCTGTTTCTTCCACATCCATTGAAGACGGCAGGACTGCCTGTGGCTTTGGGTCTAGGAGATGAAACAAAATTGGCTAGAACAACAACTACCTTCTCTTCCCTGCCTAGTTAAGCTAGAGGAGGGGTGGGGAATCTTTACTATGTTGAGGGTTGCATTCCTGCAGGGAAAGCCTCATTCCTCTCCCCCATCACTTTTTCATCTCTTTCCCTATCCCATCAAAAATCTCCTCCTTACTAGGCAGTTTGGCTCAGGGGAAAACAAACTCAGTCATGTGTGTGAGAGAGCTTTTTGTTTAAGCCTATCTGTTGTAGAGGGAAGGCAGGCAGGCGGGCTGCAGGCTGGATCCAAAGGCTGCTGGTTCCTGAGATCTGGTGTAGACAGTATGAGCTAGATGGACCAACTGGTCGTTTTCTGTATAAGATTGAGAAAACTTAAAACTGCAGCACCTGCCTTTCTGGGTCATGTAGCCTGTCTCTCTCTGCGTATATGTGTACACATTCTGCTTATTGATATGCATTACATACACTCTTTTGTGCTCTCCCAGTGGTGACTGAAATGGCCAATGTTGTGGGGCGGATGAAGGGTTTTCACTTTGCCTCCACTCCAGCAATGAACAGTGTCACCCAACTAACAACCTTAGTTCCTTAACTTTGCTTTGTGATATGTACGTCTTCCTAACCTTTCTTTTGTCAAACTACCTTTTCTTTAAGGATGACAGCATGGACGAGAAGCCATTAAAAATGCGGGGAAGAGACTCTTCTGAGCGGAAGCGCAAGCGCAAGCTAGAGAAAGCAGAGCAGTTCTTTGGCGAAATGAAGCAGAAGTCTAAAGAGCTGAAGAAGTTGGAGAAACCCAAGAAGAAGAAGCTAAAACTGACCATGGATAAGACGAAGGAGCTGAACAAACTGGCCAAAAAGCTGGCTAAGGAGGAGGAGCGGAAGAAGAAGCGTGAGAAGGCAGCTGCGGCCAAGGTGGAGCTGGTGAAAGAGTGCACAGAGAAAAAGAGGGAGAAGAAAATCTTGGATATCCCCTCCAAGTATGACTGGTCAGGAGCTGAGGAGTCTGATGATGAAAATGCAGTGTGCGCTGCACAGAACTGCCAGAGGCCCTGCAAGGACAAGGTGGGTCACCTTGGCTGAACCTTTTCAGAGCTCAGTACTAGCCTGCTTCAGATTTCAGGCTGTCTTAGCGTTCTGTCATTTTATTTTTATTTAAAGGGTAGAAACCATACAAATGTATGCTTGATAATAATGAACAAGGAAATTTATGCGTGTGTACCATTTGTGCATGTATGACTTAGGCTGTTCTGAAGCAGAATTCAGTCTTGCTAACTGGATTCTGACTGTTGACAGATGCAGTTTAAGAGATGCAGTAGAGAAATGGGTAAATCTGAAAATAGTTCGTCCATCTGATAAGTTTTCCCATCTCCTCATCTTTCCTTCCCTGCTGGCACTCTAGAAAACCTGCTGACTGACACCCAGGAGTTAATTCCAGACTTGAGAGAGAACTGTATTCCCAGGCCTTGGTGTGTATCGAAGTGAAAGTCTCTAAGCTGGCCGTGCGGTCCTCGTCTAGGAAAGTTAATCTTCCAAAAGCTCTTGCATAAAGCCTGTGAGCCATGAGTCTGCAGGTTGAGGGAAGCCACATGCTGCACTGCCCCACTTTTCTTGCTGGAGGTAAATCTGCAGAGCTTTTAGAACTGATCGGATTATAGCAAATTAAATCTCTTCCGCCCTGGAGACCTTTTTTCAGGTCCACTTGCAGCAACTTTGGACTGTACTTTCAGCTCTACAAGAGCAATCTCCTGGAAGCAACACTCAAACTCCATCACAGTTTTGTGCTGCTTCTGTTCAGAGAACATTCCACAAAGCTGCTATGCATGTGTGTGCACGCATAACTAGGATTGACTTGTGTGTTGGCAATGCCAGCTGTTGCCTATGTGCAGTAATGCACCTAATCACCCAGGGGTGGGGAAACTGGGTATGCACTAACAGAGGGTTCTTGTGCAGGTGAACAATGCAGATTGCTGTTGGCTGTGTGGTTCTTTGTTGAAAAATAAAGCTTTCCTTTTGCAAAAAAGCCACACGCCTCAAAATGTAAATCCTGCACAAGTGCATAAGCTGCTGCAGAAATTTCCATATGCTGCAAAAGCCAGGGGTTTGCTGCAGAATTTAGCTGCAGAGACCTAGGGAACACACCATGAAGATGCTTTAAGTTGCCTATTTTTTAGACTGATCGCTCACACTATCCACACCGGTTCAGGTCAGAGAATATTGTATAATATCCTTGCTAATTTGTTCCTTTATAAACTTAATATATTTTTTAGAAACCAGTTTAAAACATATTGCCACTCATATTTGCCCTGCCCACTGTACACTTGTCCAAAAAAATACAAATAAAAAAACATTTCATTGCCAAGAGGCTGTTAAACACTGGCAAACTGTAGGAGAAAGAGTTTCATGGCATACAGTAGCCATCAATAATGTTTCTGTACATTTCTCTTATTCTGATGTTTTGCACTGTTTTGCTTGTTCAAAGACCCAATGGTTGGTCCTGTGGAAAGTGGTGGTCAAAGAATAATAAAATAGAAGAGTTGGATGGGACCGTGAGGTTCATCTAGTCCAACTCCCTGCAATGCAGGAATCTTAAGCATCCATGACAGATGGCCATCCAACCTCTGCTTTACAAACTTCCAGTGAAGGAAAGTCCATGGTCTTGAAGAGGGAGAAGGACCCAGCTAATAAGAAAGTTGATGCAGATGCTGGAGCACAGTAATGTGTGGACTCCATTCTGCCACTTTATGACATTCCAGCCTCAAAGCTATGCAGACATGAATGGTTCCTTAAGTCTGAATCTGAGGTTGCTGGAACAGATGGAGTTGTTTGCTGCTCCCAGCAAAGCTACAAGCTTGAGGACCAAGCTCAAGCCCCCATCTTCCTACCTGCTAACCATGGTCATTTAGTCTTATCTAGATAGGGCTTTAATTAACTTTGATCCTCAGTGGTCAGACATCAGGCATAGACTCTGCAGAACCTGGATTGGACAAAAAGTATAGTGATTGGTACATGAGTAATGCCTAATACGATCCCTACACCTGATATCTCCCAGTGGTTTCATACATAGTGGGTATGCATTATGGGGTTCTGTAAGAAGGGCTGGTGGGGGTGAGACAGGGAGGTGAGCAATCTCATCTTACTGGCCTTTGGGGTTTCTCTCAAGAATGATGAACACAATAGCCAAGCAATTCTATGAATATTAGTTTTGTAACTGGGGCGCCAAGACTCATGGCCAGTACTTTGAAAGGCTGCAAGGAAGTCTCAACAAGGCCTGTAGGAGATTGTTTCTCCCACAGTAGATGGGAATCAACCAAAAAGCCACAATCACAGTCTCTGTGCCATTTAGACCAAAAGTCAAGTTAGCAGGAATTTTAGAAAACATTTTTGGGGTTCAATTTGCCACTTGGAACAGGTCCACTGGATCATGCTTTGCAGATACAGTGGCAGCAAAGAGGGAAGGCTGATGTGTCCATTGGTCAGTTTTGTCATTAATAAGAGTTAACACGGGTCTCTCCTTCACGTGCATCTTCCTAAACCAGGGAGACAGTGCCAATGAAAAGGCTATTGGGAGTAACACTGGCTAAAGTCAACCTTCTGTTGTACACATCAGCCAGACCATTGACAGGTACCCATTCCCTGTTGCTTATCCTCCAGAGTTGTGGAATCCAGCTTGTTTCATGAATCCAGTGGCACACCAGCCTAAAAGGCCTACTACCCCAGTGAGGGCACCTGAGGGAGGGATCTCTGCCTTCCAAGTTGGCAGTGGTGTCACCCACCTTGCCTAATAGGCTTTCAGACTAGGGCAGATCATATATCCCAGAACTTACCCTGTTGCATGAACAGAGCCAGGTTTTGGTGTAGACCATGGTTGTCAGAGACCAAGAAGTTCAAGTCAGCTCCAGCCTTGGTTTGTATGCTGAATTATCCAGTATAATGGGTCTTCCCAACCTCCATCACTGCAGAAATAGATTTTGCATTCGATGAACTAAGAACCGCATACCTTAATGCATAGCTAAGGTACCAATAACTGTCTTTACCAATAACTGACACTTCTCTCTCCCCACTGCAGTTTGGATACTTGCACGAGACCAAAACCAGGCCTTACTCAGCCAGGTCTCATAACGCATACAAGGTCAGTGGCCTTATCCAGAATTAAATAATGGATAATAAATGTTTAATTGCCCACTGACGGTTCCAACAACCATGACAGGCTGGAGGCAACAGCCCTGCGCCCCTAAGACAGCCCAGCAATTGCAGGAAGTGACACAGAGTTAGCACCTCCTCAAGTACTCTTGGAAGTGCTCTGCTTGGAGACAAGAGGAGGGAGAATTGGGTCCAAATGTTGGAGTATCTTAATTTACTGTACTTCATTCACCTTTTTGGGTAGGATTAAGGTCAGACGCTCAGTTAAAATCCTTTTGACTGCTGAAATAAATGCTTCTCAGTGTGGGGAACCAAAGCTTGTGTTTCTCTTTTTGATGACAGCATGCTTGCCTTTGGTTTAACTGATAATTTTAGCACTTCCCACTTGTGCTTCCTCTTTTATTTGCTCCTGCCACTGCATGGTGGCCATTAACCCTCTGCCACATATGGGCAAAAAACACAAGCAGGAATTCTTTGATCAGTGACTAAAGCATTGCTAGAAACAAAAAAGTAGGCTTGGCTCAGAACAGCAAAAAGGGGAAGCAAACTGTGTTTAGAATAGACTTGAACTAAGGAGGTTTACAATAATATGATTGAATTGGGTTTATGGCTACTTTGAGATAGTCAATAAATTTTAAATTCTTTTAAAGTAGAGTGCACTTAATTTAGGGGACAAAATCCGATACTACTTGAAAATCAAGCCAACTAGTAATTTAGGGGATGATGGTCTGTTTCAACTTGATACCTATGGTAGAGTTGAATATATGAAGCTGCCTGATTACCTTTGGCCCAGCTACTTAGACCGGCAGCAGTTATCCAGGTCTGGATTTGCTGCAGACTTGAACATGAATGTCTTCATATATGCATATATTATGCCATAAAGCTGTGGACTCTCCCTTTACTTTTTTACTTCCAATTTTGCCTGTACATGACATTGAAACCACAGATTTCAGGAAGGGCCAGTTTCTGGTCAGGAACACCTTAATACTGGAAATATTGTGTGTGTGTGTGTGTGTGTGTGTGTGTGTTCGTGTGTATGTTCTTGAGGAGGAAATTGAGTATGTTGAACAAATGGACATTGTAATTATCTAGAAAGTGAGCCTTAAACGTATAGCAGCAGCAGCTAATTCCCACTGTGTTATGTCCCTGGCCTTTGTGATCTTAACTGCAAGAACTGGGATTGTGCTCGCGTCATTTCACATGATTATTTTTTATGCAAAGTGCCATGTATCTTGGTGGTGAAATGCAAGAGCCTAATTGCCCACTTACTGGAATCATAGTCTCCTCTGTGTTATGGAAGTTTATGCAGGTAATGTATGCTCATACTGTATGCAAGCTAGGATGTTGGATGAATCTCTGAGTCTTCTGGGTGCAGGCTGTGAAAACCCTGCTTTGTTACTTGAATGTGAATTGAAACATCTGAACCATGGGAGGCGCCTGCGATATGTTGGTTTCAAAAATGAAGTCTCCAGGTAAATCCTACAGAATGGGGCTTTTCCTTCTCACAGGCTTTCCCTGCCCATTTCTGTTGCATTAACCAGGGAGTCGTCCTCCCTGGTAAATTCCCAGCCAAGTATTCTGCACCCCTCAGTCTGTCCCCTTGAGCAGAAGTTACCTGGGAACAACTGATGAGGTGCTGCAGCATCTGCTGCTAGTTTCTGGCATCCTTAACGCTGCTCCTGATGGACAGGCTGAAGGTCTGGGGCCAGATGCAGTTCTCTCCTCCAAAGATGCCCGGTTTGGTGGTAAAGAATGAATGTATTAACCCTTGCTTCTCTAATGACACCTGAATAGGTTTGTACTCCAGCTTTCTCAGCTTCTGTAATGCTAAGCTGGAGAATTCTGTCGCCTTTTGTGAGTTTCTCTTCCGTTGCGATGTCACTAACACGTGTCTATTGTATCTTACAGGTAGACTGGGTGCAGTGCGATGGCGGCTGTGATGAGTGGTTTCATCAAGTTTGTGTTGGTGTCTCGCCAGAAATGGCCGAGAGTGAAGATTATATCTGTATAAACTGTGCAAAGAAACAGATGCAGGGGGCAGGCAGTCCGACACACGCACCACCTCCTCATTTCCTGCTGAGCTACAAACTACCTTTGGAGGACCTCAAGGAGACGAGTTAGCAGCCGCTTGGTCTTACTGGGACGTAAGGGAAATGGAACACTAAGATGGCGGCGTGAAGCTAATGTAGCCACTTGGAAATGCTCCACTTCTGCGGACGTACGGCCCTATAGCGGAGCTGGCCCCATATAGCTGGCTTCCTTTACGCAAAAGGGATGTCATGGGCACAGGGGTACTGACCCAGCTATGCAGATACCACCCTGTTGGAAGTCCCAGCCAGTGTATTTACTCCCATGTTTCCTTTAAGAAAAAAGAGGCTAAGCATAGGTACCACCTTCAGGCTGAGCAGATATGAGGCCCATGGATTAAGCTGCTTTGCCTCAGCAGTTCAAATGGGGGTCATTGTTGAGAATCCTGCAACCCACAAGTTTGCCTCTTGAGTGGTGGGCTGATTGGGCAGAGGTGCCTAGGCCATGCTATGTGGACAAGGAACTTGCATTGAGCACCACACAGGGGGAGATGGGTGGGTGGAATACAAACAAACAAATTAGCTCCTGGTTTTGTTGTTAGAAGGCAAAGGAACTATAGGTCTTGGAAACAGACGTTGATTTTGTGTTTGCCCTCCTTCCTTTGGTGGTGCCTCCCCTCGTTGGGGAAAGCTCACCGTATAAATTAACATGTAGCTGAAGGGTATGTTTCCTTGGCAAAGCACTCCTCTCTGCACTGGTGGCCATTTCCCCTTGTCTCAGGCTTTGCTTGACACCCTGTCACTAAGTTGTCTGAAGCAAGGTGCAGCTGGTATGGTAGGTATCACGAGTGCATGGGGTTGGAGATGGGGGCCGAGAGTAGCTCAGCTTCCTCACGATTCCACACTGACATGCTTCTGTGAAAAACGCCAGCTCACAAGTATTCCCAGCATCACCAAACGGTAGTTTCACAGTTCCAAAAATGCAGTCTACAGATTGCAGCCCTGCTTCCTCGCCTTTAGGTTTCTATGGATTAAAGGCCTACACTTGGCTACAAATCTGGCTCAATCTCTCTCCCCCCCCACCCCGCTTTCCTGGAAGAGAGGCGACTTGGGGAGCAGGTGGCAATTGTTTTAGTAAACCAATTTTTAAAAAAGGACTGGTTTTTACTTTTTTCTATGTCTCGGACTACTGACTTGTTCTACAAAAAAAAAGAGAAAGATTATTTTTCTTTGGTTTTTATACTTACCACGGTTACCAGCAGCACAGAAAAAAAGAGAGAGGCTCACACACACACACACAAAAAAACCTGCCTGCAGGCTTGGGTTTTTAACTTCATTCCTTCCTTGTAGTACAAGGAAATTAGCAGTTACTCCCCACATCCTTGCTCCACCTGCTGCCTGTGTTTTAAATAGGTAAAAACAAAACATTTCATGTGCTACCTTCATGTTGGAGTTTGTTCTGTTAGCAGGGCATCTTGATCCTTGCTGGCTTTTCTGTGAGTGGCTGAAACTGGCCATGGTGGTGTCTCTCCCCCCCCCCCCCCGTTCCCATTATCTATTGTGTTTCCATTCTTCTACAGTTCTAGGAGTGTTGTAACTATAGTGTCCAGTCTTACTAGATGCAGGGGTTGGGATTTTCTAAAAGATAAAAATCTTGTAGTGTTCTGCCTTGACTGTTTTGTGTCCCTTCTGTTGTATCCGGTACTTGGAGATGTCGTTGATCAATAATCTTTGTCCTGAAGCACATCACTGGCTTCCGTCTGCAAATAATGCACCTCCTATAATATCAGGGTGGGGGACTCTCATTAAGTCAAGGGGTGGGTCTAGTGTTTTTATAAAACTGTTTACAGGACCCACAAGTGTTCTCCTGAACTGCATTTCAACTTGACCCTCTAACTCCTTTGTGAAGAAGTGGAAAATGCTGACAAGTTTCTCAAGTTTTCACTACATGTTGAAGAGGCAGGCAACCCACTTCTGCTTCCGTTGTAAAATTGAATTGAAAAACATCTTTCCTCTTCAAAAGCTCATGCAATCATAGTTGACATTTCAAAGAAATCTCTGGCTGGGTTTCCTTGGTCTCCCCCATTCATTTATATAGCTTTCTGGATTGCAGTTTCAGATTTCGGAAGCAAAGTGTCCTCTCAATTGTGTGGCCGCAAGGTAAGAAAGTGTAGTGATTTGCAAAGAACAACTAAAGCAGATTATTGATCCTTGGAACAACAAAGTTTCTCACTTGGTCAGCCTCAAATACCAGCCAGAGCTACAATATGAAGGTCAGACCTAGTCAACTCGATTACCACAGACTTCTGAACAGAAAGTGGTAGCAGAAAAGTTGTGATATTAAACTGTCAAAGAAAATTTAAAGCAACGTGACTTTATAGGGTTAGTTGAGGAGGTGTTTGTCCTCGCACTTACCGGAGTCTTCCCAGGTCAAGAAATCATTAAGGTGAAACAAGCATTTTAGTCCCCTCTTTTGTTACTGAATGTGCATAATGTGTATAGATTTGCAGTATTTCTGCATTCATTAGGCATCGGCCTGGTTTTATAGCCTATTTTAAGTCTGCTTTCCAATCTGGACTGTTTGTACCCTTTTTTGGCATTGGTTTCAATTTTTCAAGTTCCTATAATAGGCCTGTTGAGTCAGACCAAAGTTTTATCCAGCCTACCATCCTTGTTTCATTCAGCAGCCAACTGGACACCTCTGGAAAATCCATGAGCAAGAGTGTGAAGGCAATAACCTTCTGTTACTTCGCAGCATTTAGTAACATACAGCCTCTCAGTGTAGAGGCTCCATATAGCCATCCTGACTAGTAGCCTAGGAACCTTCCTACCTTGAATTCACCACCCTAGTTGACCCACCCTGCCAGACCAAATGCATCAGTTTATTCAGTTAACATTGCCTTTGTGTTCTCACTTTAATTCCAAAGCCCATTGCATTTATGAGTATGACGTATGATCTGTCCCATCTTCAAAGATCTTCACTAAGCCAGGACTTCTCTGTTCAGACCTTAGGCTGCCAAGTTTGTTGTTGGCATGTGCTTCTGTCTCCCCTCAAAGTAATAGGGTAATACTAGCCTCCTTTACAAGAGGGTAAGAGTGTACAACAATTCTCCATGATGTTCAGGGAAAGTCGTGTGAATGCTTTATTATATTTAATGAGTCCCACTTAAGGTACTCTTAAGGGTAGGAAGTCTTGACTATTGCTGACCCTCATCTGAAAATGGGAAAGAAACATGTTAATATATATTGTCTTTTGGCAAACGAGGCAGGGTAATCTCTTACCTGAAAATGATCTTTCTGCTTTCATGTGCCTCTGACGTTCAAAGCAAATTCAATGAAAGTTCCTACAGTTATGCTGATTCTGAAAGTGGTGAAGCCTTAGAGAGCAGGTTCAGAGACCATCCCCTCCCTCTGCTTGTTCTGGCCTGGGGCAGGTTGTTTCAGAATGCCCCAAAGCTCAGTCCTGCATCAGAAAACCCACCTCTTGAGCTCTAGGAAGGGCAGTGCTTGCTACAAATGTTGGTGACTTACCCACTGGTTGGCATCTGTCTCAGGAGACAATGGAGGATCCCCTTTGGGGATGAAGTCAAACTGTTGGAAGGTTACAGCGCCTGCTGTGGTTGTAGAAACAGGTATGGGAAAGACATGTTTTGTTGCAGCTGGGGCAGATGAAGGCATCCTGTTGTGCCACTGCAGATGCACCATGGCGCTTCTTCTCTGCACCTCCTCCCAGTGGTCATTCCTCCTCTGGTCACTGCTACGGATGATCTACCAAGACATACCTGCTGGGCAATATGATACCAACAATAGAAAGGGTGTGGGGCAGACTCCTTCAGCAGTTTGAGAAAAGTGATCTCTCATTTAAAAAGTCTGACCACGGAGATATTTCTCAGCTTGTGAGCAGGACATGTATGTATTTTAGAAATAGCTTACAAATCATGCTGTCAGGGTTTCTGCCTCCCTTCAGTAGTGTGTATGATTTCCTGCATTGGACTTGGAGTTCTCAGAATTTCCTCTTGGTGAAAAGAACAATAGGACTTTTCCTTTTGGATGCGAAGAAGGGGATGAAAATCTACATGTTCAACTTGTAGGTAGTCTAATGTCAAAAGGTTAGGAGATGTTCAATAAGCACAGCCCATTTTTCATCATGGCCTGTACGCTACACCTATTCAAACACTTGAATATTGCACCTTTTGTAGTATGGTTCATGCTGCAAATGTTTTCTGTGAGGCAGGGGTTGTGGAAGACAAAGAAACACCTAAGCTAACTGGGATTTGTGGGCTTCAGAATACAGTGGTACCTCAGGTTACAGACGCTTCAGGTTACAGAGTCCACAAACCCAGAAATAGTACCTCGGGTTAAGAACTTCGCTTCAGGTTGAGAACAGAAATTGGGCGGCAGCGGGAGGCCCTATTAGCTAAAGTGGTGCTTCAGGTTAAGAACAGTTTCAGGTTAAGAACGGACCTCCGGAACGAATTAAGTTCTTAACCCGAGGTACCACTGTATTATTTGTGAAGCTTTATGTTTGATCCATATACTTGGGTAAGAAATCTTATGTGCCATAGTTAAATTTGAATTGAGCCTCATTCTGCTCGGTTTTTTGCCACGTACAACTGGCTCATTCCCATGCAAAAATCAAAATTCTTATTTTCTAGAGACGTTTAACACTCATCAGGTGCAAGGAGATCTGTAGCATGCTTAACTGCCAAGGGGGGAGGTAATGCTATATAGAGACTGAAAATGGTGAAGTCAGGAAAGATCGAAGTGAGGATAAGGGGTGAGGAGAACCAGCCATTGGATTAGAAATGTAAAACAATGAGCCATTTCCAACTTTGGAGATGAAGCTGAGGAGGACAGCTTTTAAAGCCACTAATATTGCAGCTGGGCTCCAAGGAATAAAGCAATTCCCAGGAAAGATACAGAATTCCCCATGCTGCATAGTTTAATAACAAAAGAGAGTAGTTTAAAGGTAGCAAAGAAAGCAGCAAATAGGGGCCAAGTCTGTTTGCTAAAAGTAAGGCTTTACTTAAATACTTTTTAAGAGGGCAACTGGTATGCTGAACAAAATGTAGATGGATTATTTAAAATGTTTGGATTTTAATACATTTGATGTATTTCCTGTGAAGTTTACAGCCCAACCAATTCACGCAGAGTCTGACCAAACTCAAAAGTGTTTTTCAGGAGTGAAATTAAAACTGTGAAGGTGGTTTGGCTTCTCAATATGGATGCACAAAGGGTGCAGAAGGTCATAGCCATAATGCCCTGTTTCTGAGCTCCTAGGATAATCTATCTGGCTCCTGCTGGCACCTTAATTTGTAGTAAGGCATAGCACTAATGGAGTTGGGGGCAAGAGGAAAGGTGGTGTAGGCTTTCAATTTGACAAGCAGTGGAGTGACTTTGCACAGGGCTCGTCCACACTTCTGCTTGTCCCATGCCTAGAAAGCAGGGGTCTGAAAAGTTCCCCGCTTGTTCTTTGTTTGCTAGACATGGGTCAATTTTCTCTAAGAAAGTCCACTCTTTAGTGCTGAATCGGTGCAAACGTCAATTCACTCTAAAACCCCATCAATGTTGGTTTCGATTTGGCTGTAAAAATCAGATTTCCTCATGGGAAAGCGGTGGGACAAGTGGAAGTCTGATGATGAGCCCACAGTCTTGGGCAACCAAATTGTTCCATATTTTCAGTCGTTAGCTAGTTGGAAGGACAGCTGGGAGTATTTTTGTTTGAAATTTGCAGGTGACATCAAGCTGGGAAACATGGTAAAAATGTCGAGCAAAGTGATTCAGGAGCAAAAGAGAAATTAACTTCTTGATTCGTAAGGGGCAAGTTAGGTTTGGTAAGTATTGGCATTCCTTGTTCAAAAGCACTGGTGTGGGCCTTGCTTTGCTTCCTGGCCTTCACAAATAATTGATTAACAATGAAGCTGCTATCATAGCCACTTTCTCTGCAAGCTCTGAACTAAGTGGCCTCATTTAGGCATTGCACAAGATGATGGAAGGTCCTTGGAAGATGAGCAATCAAGGATTTCCTACAGCATGGTTGGCTAACCTTTTTGGCCTATGGCCTGTATTCACCCTGTCCTAACCTTCAGGGAAGGAGGATCACATATCAGCAGTAGGTGTGGCCATCCCATAAACTTGTATGCATGTGCACACACACTAAGGCACTCGGAATCCCTACTGAAATGACTCATACTGATTGTTTCTCCATCAATGAATCCAATGACTGGAAGGGAGATCTACAGCCTTGTTAGGGTTCTGGTCTTCATCTACCCAATTGCCATCTACTCTTGCCATCAAAATTGGTGGGGTTTGAGGGGGCAGAAACATTGCCTGGAGAGGCCAGATTCGGCTCTGGGGTTTAGTCAACCCTTGTCCTACATACTCACTATTTCCAGATGATGAACCAAATCTCAGCAAATGTAGTTTCACAAGCATTACATCTTCAGTATAAAAACCCCTACTCCTGCTTGCCATGTGTGTATTTGTGAGGTTATGCAACTGGAATGGCAGGGTTGTGTCCTAAGTCATATCCAAGAATAACCCATTGAAATAAATTGTCTTGACTTAAGTTGATTGATTTCAGTGGGTATACTCTTGTTAACATAAGAAGCTACTAAAGAACAGTAGCAGTGGGGGATGGTAAGACACCATGGTCCCTTTTCAGTGACTTAACCCACAAAGCCTGCCATTGTAATGACATATTGTTCACTATTTTGTAAT